TAGTTTCAAACTCTGGCTGGGGAGGGAAAAGGACTTGATATATCCACTGTTGGCTGTGATTTTTAGCTTTTTTTTTTTATTTTTATTTTACTACGTATATAATTTTTTTCTTTTTTTTTTCTTTTTTTGTGCTTTTTTTTTTTTTTTTTTTTTTTTGTTTTTTTTTTTTTTTTTTTTTTTTTTTTTTCGTTTTTTCTTTGCTAATCAGGTTCCGTGAACCGTGTAAAGCCCGACCGCCGATCGGAACGGAGAAGAGCATAAACCCCATCCGACCCAGCAGATCCACGGAATTGTTGCCAACCTGGACCCATAAGGCAGTCCCTTCACTCACCGCCCCACTACAACCCAATCACGTTGGATCATGATGAGTCACGGGGACCCAACGACCAGCAGTGAAGGACTTCGGATGACCAATATTTCCGCCCGCTACCTCCGAGTCCAAATTTTACAGGCTGAATGGAACTTTCCAGGCATCAAATTGGATCCATCCTGCCTCATTATTCATCGACTTTGATATATCCACTCCTCCGGTCGGCTCTCGTTCCAGCCGGTATTAGTGATGATTACTTACTTTCTTCCTAATACGAAGTTAAATTTCTGATGGATTTCAAATCCAATTAAGCTTTCAATGCTTCAAACAATGCGGCTGTTTACTGATCGCGGGTCATTTTTCATGACAAGCGATGGCATCATCGAAATGTGGGGGAGAATTAATATGATAGAAGACAAAGGACTCTGTAAGGTACTCGTGAGGGGCGATCGAAGTCCTACATCGACCAGGATACATGCCAGTTCTGACGTTGGAATGACCTCGGAGTCAGCGAATTCCGACGCTTCAGGGCTTGGATGCCGCCATTCCACTTTGGGGGCCTCAACTGCTTATCCTGCAGATATAGCATAAATGGGCGAACCCCGAGTAATGTACGCAGGGCCCAAGTCTTCTCTGAGATTCATAAACCTGTAACGAGGGTCAACCACGCCGGTCCATTTATGCCCAGCCGCCCACGTAAGCCCAGCTGCGGCCGCACTGAAAGGCTACCGTATTTCCTCCCTTGCTGCCAATAATCTGCCGACCACTTGTTTGGTATACATATACCTATCGTAGAAAAAGTCTCGGCACTGCGTATGCGGCTCCCCCAGAGATCTCTAGGATCTCTGCCTAACACGTACGCAACGACGCGACCCCTTACTTCTGAGGCTACTCTGATTCCCTCTTGGCGTGGAACTATAATCTGGCCAGGCAGGTCATCCCCATGGACTGAAGGCTGTGGTTGTGGACGGGGCAACGCCCATTGTCGGGAGGCCAGTTGTCTAGAAACTTTCGTAGACCCCGAGCAGAACGAATACGATTCTCACAGATTCGGAAAGTGACCTTCTCTTTTCAGTAACTCAACCACGAGGGATCTTGGGTCTGATTTAGCCATGTGTTGAGACATGGCCATTGTGGCTGTCCCCTGTGGACCCGTGGCATCAACACAGCCCTAGAACTGGGTCTGCCATTTGGCCTTAATTTGATACGCGTACGGATACGGAAGGTATTGTTCTGCCTACACACTACTCAAATTATGGTTATCGCACTGCCCACGCCAGATTATCAATGTCGCTTATATCGAATTGTCAGTGGTTGAAATGTACCCCATGTTTCACTCAAGCTCTCTCGTATATCCTAAGCTGGTCGGACCAGTACGGACGGTCGTGCCGCAGAATCTACAACGGGGGACATGCCAATGGCAACCCACCACGTCTCCAGAGTTCTCCTCTGCCAAAGTATCCAGACATGAGATTTGGCCACAATCCATTGCCCCTCGATGACATAGGGTCAAGTCATTTGCTCCTGCGCTCTGTACCTCTTCCCAGCCAGACTTTATCGCCATCCTTATCAGCGAGATGATGTCGTGACGTCACGACCTGGCCATCCCTGAAGGTTCTCACAAATGAGCATTCCCAATTGTACTCGATTACTTCATATGTCCACTGCTGGTAGTTCTGGACATGAGACCGATCGGGGCATGCTGCCATGCGTGAGGTCAACAATGACCTGGAACTTCCGATCTCCCCGCTGTCCCTCTCCACATGAGGGTCAACATGTGTTTGTTCACTAATGCCGGCATAATTACATAATCGATCGCATAGTGCAGATTCATAACTTCCGATCACAAGCCACAGACGGCGGTCCCGTGGGTTGCGAAAGTCGGAGAGTCGGTGTTGAGTCGGCGAAGCTCGTTCCAGTGGATTAGTAGTGGATACACCCTAATTACTGGGTCCGATCCATGGATGCCAGAGTTTTTCAGCCGAGGTGTCCGTGTCATATTCTGAACTAGACTCTTTTATGTCCGATAATGAGAAAAAATTTTTTCCTGGCCTTACTTTAGTCTATAAGCTAATGCATGACACTTATACATATAAGGCTTGTGTAAACTGAACTACATACCGTTCTGGATAGAGTATCGAGCCAATCCTATCTGCTCGCGTCGGCGGAAGTTACTTCATGATATGTCCATGCTTAAAAAATCTTGACCGCTGGCTAGAACGCTGGCCAGATGTGCATCATCATATCAGGCCATGTATGGCCTCATGGCAGTACGGAGCAACGAAGATTTACTGGTCCTCAAAAATAAGAGCCGACGAGAACCTTAGGTCCAGAGAGACCCACCGCGCGGAACCTTTCTCAGCCCTGGCAGATCCCTGAAAATAGTAATTAGGACGGTTTCCCGGTTACGGAGAATGAGTTGCGATCCACCGGCACGCCACATCCGACCATATACTGAGGACGGACATTTGCTCCGGAGTTAGGCATTGAGTTGAGTCCGTCCGAGCGATCCCTTCGACCACTCGAGGCTTTCGGGACACTACGTCGATGACTCATGGCGATTCTACTCCCATTCGTTCGTCTCCCTACTCCAGATCCTGTGTGATGAATGGATCCATGTGTGAAGCTGTGTCTTCCAAGGATCGCTGACTCTGTGTTTTGAACACTCCAGTTCGGGTTAAGCGGTGGTTGGACAAACTTTGATATTTGATGATGCTACTGCAGGCCACAGAGACCTATCTTAATCGACGGACCTCGGCTGGATATTCTCCCTTGGCAGTGGCCATTTATATCCCCTCGGTTTTACTACCTGGTCCTTGCTTGGCTTCTCTTTTAGCCTTTTTTAGGGTTTCCTTTCCTATTAGGGATAACCACCAGGCTGCATATCGACCTCGAAACCATATCGTCATCATCTGACCTCACCCGCCGGGTGTAACGGGTAGGCTGCACAGGCATCTGAACATTTTGAAGTTTCGCTTGCAAAACAATGCCATTGCTCTTGATTGGCTTGGAGGTGCCGGAACCAAGAAGCCGTCGAAGCCGACAGGTTATCTGCATCCTCAGCGAGGAGAGACATAGCATATACCAAGTCAATGACAATAAACATATGCGAGCCGAGCTAACCTTGATTCTTTCGAGAGGGTCTACTTAGACTCCTCGCGTAGCCGACATGCAGCCCAACCTCCAGGTAGTAGTAGGTACCAGGTACCAGGTATCAGATTATTATTGCCCCTTTGGATGAAGCTGTTGGAGTTGGCGGCACTTTGTTCCGAATGATGCTTCATTTGGACATATTTCCTCGGACTACATATCCGTGTTTTGGGAGTTTATGTAGATTTCATAGTACTATGGCTTTGCGATGTCATTCTGTCGATATGGTGGTATCCATACGTGGCCGGCTTCATGTATGCTGTGCAGACAATGGGCAAGCATCGATACTTGATCAAGTGTAAATCTCTATGGAATCACCTCACCGTCCCCACGGTGTGTATGCTTCCATGTCCACGCTGTTCAAAATCCCCAAGTCCGTCTGTCTGGTGTCATTTGGATTGTTATAATATTTTGAAGGACAGCTATACTGCTGGCGAGAAGCCAACTTTCGAAGATCTGCCAAGGTTCGCAGTTGCTGTTAGACCCCTGTACAAGAAAGATAGCATCGATACCGAATAGCTACTCCAGAGACTGCCTTACTCGGTCCATAGTATGAGTGTATGCATGAAGGTAGCATCCGAAGGTTGATTCAGAGAGCATAGAAAAGAGGTACTCTAACTAGATGCCTCTTGTTCTTCACAGTATACCATCAGCTTGAGAGGGAGGCATGTACTAGTTCTCCCCCGGAGAATGTGTGACTATACCACCCCCATGTTGCTACCTCCCTCCCACCCCCAGTATCAAGCATCCGAGAAACGCAATGCATAAATATAATATAGCAGGTCAAGGACGATTTGCATAACATTGGAACTGATTACTACATCACTCAAGCATCCCACCCCCACACCTCCTTCAACCTCATCTGCGACACCGTCGTCGGCCAATAGTTCGTCTCCCTAGTCGTACTAACAAGAACCTCCATCAATGCCTGCTGCTCCTTCAAATCCGTAAACCGGTCCCCGCAGATATTAATAGCAATACAAACAGTCGTAAATGCAGGCGGCGACTGCCGGTTTGACAACGCAATGCCACAGATCTCAAAGACAGTCGATCGTAACTTGGCGTTCATGACATCCATAGACTCGCGACAGATCGGCCCGACACGGGGTATATGGGGCGAGTAAGCCGTCAAGAGGATATTGAGTAGACCCATACTCTGGGACGCGACGATGTGGCAATCATCCAGGTACCAGATCCGGGGGAAGAGCTCGCCTAGTCCGTGGTCTGGTTTCTGGTAGTAGACGGGCGAGAAGGAAGGCGGACGACATTGGAGCCAGCGGTTGTGGAGGTCGATAAGGTCATAGTATCGCTCTGGAGGGGCGGGTTGGTCGTCATAGCAGTATTGCAGGGCGTAGGCGCAGATGATGAGGAGGCGGTTCGCCCAGATGTGGTCTGCGGCCGGGGTCCAGAGGAGGTAGGGGGTTGTGATGGAGAGCGGGAGACGGATGGGTCGTTGTTGGGAGAAGGCTACGTGGAATTCTTGTCGGAAGCCGACCCAGAAGACGGCTTGACGGAGACCGGGCGTGGAGAGGGCTGGTTTGGCCTGGGCTTCGACGAAGACGTGGAGGCCTTGGATTGCTGTTTCGCTTGGGAGGTCGATGAAGGGGCCTGCTAGGGGTTAGCTTTGGGGATGTATGGGTGATTGTGATGGTGGATGAGGTGGGTGTGTACTGTCTAGTTCTTCGTAGAATCGTAGGATCACTACTGTTGCTAGGAGGACCTCGTCCATGAGGGCTTCTGGTTCGCTGGCCAAGGATCTCAGATCCGTGATGCATTTGTTATGGTAATAGAGTACTGTCTCTTCGTTGATTGCGGGATCTTGCTGTAGTCCGTACTCTTCGATGATCTTGTCCTGTTTCTCTTTTGGTAAAGTGCTGAAGTGTCTTGCTGATACGGCCAGAATGGCGTTCCGCAGTGGTTCGCTTCCTCGGGCGATCTGAGGAATGGCCTTGACGAAATGGCGCTCCGGGTCACAGAGGTCAAACTGAGATATACAGTTTCAGTTCGAGAGATATTTAGCTAGTGGGCGTGTACAGGAGTCATGGCACGCACCCATCTGGCCAGGTACTCGACAAAGTACCGCAATAGACATGCTTCCTTAGGACCAGTTTGCGGCCAAGGAAGATGGGGAGGGTCCAGAAGACGCGTAGAGAGTACTCCAAATGGCGTGGACGGGCTTTCTTCAGAGTTGAGTGGGGAGAGAGACTGTGCATGGACGTTGCTGTCCAGAGCTTTGGGGGATTGGAAAGACGTCTCTGTTGGAGAGGATTCGGTGAAATTGGGCGTTTCATCAATGTATTGCAATGTACGGTATCCTTCTTAAAGTCAGTTATTGAATAGATGTATTCATATCATGACAAACCTGCTGGTGAAGTACCCGAGATGGTGTGTCGAAACCTCCTAGGTGCTCTCCGAATACATTCTATGCCGGATCTTGCACAGCGCGCACACTTGGGGTTGCCATAGTTGCCTGATTATCTACCCTTAGCGTTCTGCCTTACGTCTCCCCTAGACCTGGAAGCAACTAGGTAGACAAACATTTGACATGATGCTCTGCCCGAGAAATTAGTAGGGAATGTTAGAACGAGCGGACGTGGAATCACATACTTCGACAGCTCTCACTGCACAATGAATATGTCTCAAGTAATTGACCAGGCACACTATGTAAAATACAATAGAGACTCACCAGGGGATCTGTCTCGGTGGCATGATACTGAAGACGTGGAATTGGGAAGATTGTAGGGACTGTTCTAGAGTTCAATCGCCGATATGATCTCCGTCGGGTAAGCTTCGCCGGTTTACCCCGCATGGGGTTAAGTGCTTATATTTATAGTTATCATCATCATATACAAAGTGATCATGAAGTAACCCCAGCAGATTCTAGCCATCACTATTGAATGTGTTGCGTGCGATCGCTGCCTGAAAGATACCACTATGTCGAGTGAGTCTTCCCTATTCACCATCTCTCTCCTTCCACTCTTCCTTTCGCCTTATTCCACTCTTCCTTTCGCCTCATCCCACTTCTTCCACTCGCCTCATTCCACCCATATTTTCTTCCTTGTGCTTGACAACCTTCGTTTTCTCCAAATTCATCAATATTTTCTTTGTCTCAGGCATTCTCACAATGGCCGCGCTATTCTCTAACGTTTCGTCCCCAGCCATGCCAACAACGGTTGCTGTCGGCCCCAGCCCGCCTCCCTCTGGGCCATTAGTTGGCCTGCCGTCTACACACGTCACTCGAACTTGGTCAAATATAAAGAGACTTATCGTTGAAGCAGAGCAAATTCTTGAAAATTTGACTACGAATGATGGGAGTGGCAATCAGTGGCTTGTAGTTCTGGGTTTATCGAAAAGGGCCGTGGAGAAGCTTGGAAGCCACGAGGGTGAGTTGAGGGGCATAGCATATCGTTTCCAGTGGGAGGGAAGTGTCGGCGTTATGAAGATAGTACCAGGCTATAGCCACGAGTGTCCTACAGATGACTTTAGGTCTGTTATTCAGGATCAACTGGCGGCAATGGGGGTTAGAAGAAATGATAGAGGATGGGGTGTGAGCACCACCTACAGACCCACTGGCTCCAATAAAGGTAAAGAAGCAGACCAGATTTTCTTCCCTTTTACTCGACGCCCGTCTGGCGGTATTGTGGACTGGCCGACGCTAGTTGTAGAGACGGGTGTCAGTGAGTCGTATAATAAGCTCAAAGAAGACGCACGGTGGTGGTTTGAAAATTCGGACGGAAGAGTTCGCATCGTCATACTCATAATCGTGAAAAAGAATTATATGCGGTTCGAGAAGTGGCAACTGGTGCCTGCTAATGCGCCCACTCCCCTCACGAGAGGGTACCTCAATCAACTGCGACAGCAGGTGCCCAATATTCCTCCCCTGACTACTCAACCAGCAGTCAACCAACGTCCCTACGCTGCCCAGGAAGTGATGGTTACTCCAAACTCAGTGACTGGAGCACCCATGACGATTCCGTTCGAGGCCCTGTACGACAGAGGCCGTGGTCCTGCAGAGACCGATGTTGTCATCCCTGCGAATGACTTCAGAGATATCGCCGGCACTGTGTTTTGACGAACGATTTAGCATATGCAAAATGTCTTTCAGTGCGTTCTTGGCGTATTTTTTCAATTTTTGCGCGCCATCTTCAAAATCTAGCTATTTGCAAATGCTTCTAACTCAGCCAGTTTTTTCTTAAATTGAATTCTGATTGAAGTTTCATAATCAGTGATATTCAAAGTAGAGAAAGATGCCTATCTAAAATATATTAAGTATATTAAATATAGTTTAAAAATATCGATTGAATATATATATACAATGTTTCCCCTCAAGATAGTGGGGCATCTAGACACAACAGTCGCCACTTCTTCTTGTCTCCTTTCTAGCCCAAGATACAGGGACCTTCCTTTTTCAACTTGCATCAGATCGAACGTCGAGCGAATAAGGCCGGGCTTACTAGAGTCAACGCCACGATCCTATTGGGCAGACATAACCTGACGTAGCCCAGGGCAGCAAGGCAGCGTATCAACGACAACCACACCTCTCTTCAAAATGAGGCTCAGTTTCGCTTAGGCAACGATAATAGTAAGCGGAATACAAATTAATGAAGTGGTGGTGACTAGAATAGATTCAAAGCATATATGGAGCCAACCCCACTGGGTGAGATTAAATGCTTCATAGCGGGGGAGCTACTGATCCCTTGATCGGCATTGACCTTCTCCATGCTATCGTTTAGAAAGCCTCACCTCCGACCGGTCCTTTTGTCATCATGTCTTCCTCATCGAAGGACAGGCTTCTCCTGTGTATTTGGCCGCTGCTGGACAGTTGTATCAGGGTCATTAGACTAGCTTCCGAGATACAGTTCGAGGAAGATTTAAGCACATCGCAGGATCAAGCTCTCGCGGTACTGATAAACTTAAATTTCGAAATACAACGTTCACTTCGGTACATCCTGGAGCCGATTACGCTGCCGATTCCCCTCTTTACCTCTGTACTTCTTGGGTCAACCTGGGCGCTCGACTTGTTTGAGCGGCGGTTGCGATTGTACCGATTCTCCAGCCACGGCAGAGAGTATGTTTGTGACTCGTGGACCCGACTCATTGAGACGCTGCAACAATACACCATGAACCTTCAAAGATTGACCAGCACGTCGGACCTGGATTCGTAAGTGCTTATCGGATGCGTGACTGGTGCTACTTCATGGCTAACCCAGCTCTATGACATAGGCCCGACGCCATTTCCGATGCTTCTTCCCTCCAACGACTATTTAACAGCCAAAATAATGACGTACAACAGGAACTGGAGGCCCAGATTCGGTATGAAGGGCGGCCCTGGGATGTTTCCCCTGACACACCAGGCTATCTAGACGTACAGCCGGAGTATCCGCCATCCACCTATGCTACCCCGCCAAGCAGTATCGCTGATGGGGATATCTACGACGACCTTCCCGCCATCCCTGGACCTCCTCTCCAAGCTCCCAGTCTCCTATTCAAGGAGCAACAACGTCAAGCTGCTATCCAGCAAGGCCGGGAGAGGGAGCGTGAGAAGTTCTACGAAACCCTGAAAACGGTCTTGCTATCCGACGGTAAAGCTTCGGAAAAGCAGCGATCCAGCCACCTCATGGGCGCAATAAAGTCGGACTCCGTCCACGGCGTCAACATTTTTCTTGATCTAGGGGCGGATGTGAATGAACAGTGTGACGACAATCTGCCGTTGTGCCTGGCAGCCAAGCGTGGACACGACAGGGTCGTGGAAACCCTCTTAGAGCGAGGAGCGGAGATTGATAAGCTAAGTTCGTACGGCAGCACCGCGCTGCTGTCTGCGGCTGGCACTGGCCGTGTCTCTACCATCGGCCTTCTCCTGGACAGAAAAGCAAATATGGAAGCCAGAAGTACGTCTCCTCACTATCTAGGATATACACCGTTAATGAGGGCGGTGAAATCCGGCCGTATGGATGCCATTCGAGTGCTTGTCGAGAGAGGTGCGAATGTCAGGACCCAGAATGACGCAGGGGAATCCTTATTGCACGTTGCCTTGCGCGACGGCCGTAAAGAGATCATCGAACAAGTGCTTGGGTTGCAGCCTCACCCTGGGGCTGTGGACGTGAATGGTAATACGGAGTTGCATGTTGCCGCCACACAGGGCCTTGTTGACGTATGCAGACAACTCGTGGGGCCGATGAAGTGCCACATTCTGACAGGAATCCGTAATAAGGAGACGCCACTGCATTGTGCAGTAAAAGCGAAGAAATACGAGTTAGTTACGCTGTTTCTCAGTGAAGGAGCGATGGTTGAGTGGCGAGACATACATGAGAAGACTCCTTTGCATCTCGCTGTGGAAGCGGGGTGCCAGGAAATCGTGCAACTGCTTCTCAACGCGAATGCGTCTCCGTGTAAGAGAGACCAGTACGGAAAGACTCCAATCGACTATGCCATCGACCTGTCCAATAAAGACCTTGTACAGCTCCTAGCGGAAACGATGCCTTCCGTGGATGCTAAAGGCGGGAACAAAGAAACGCCCCTCCACTACGCCGTGAAGTCCCTGAACGTTGAGATTGTGCGTTTTTTACTATCGCAGAAGGCAACAGCTAACTGCAAGGACAGGGATGGTAAGGTGCCGCTCGAACATGTTATGGAACTGCCCGAGTCCGACGAGAAGACAGCGATCCGTCTCATCCAGGAGTTCTTACGTTCACATGAAAAGGGACAGTTGCTCACAAGCACATATGGGTTTCCTGCATTATCCCAGGCAGCAAGACACGGTAGAGTACAACTCATCGAAGAGTTTTGCAAGCACGATCCAGATCTCGCCAACGAAAATCCAGCTGCCGACTCAGGTTTCGAACCCCCCTTGCACGAGGCTATCAAGGGGGGACACAGGAAATCCGTGGACAAGCTCTGCGAATTCCCAGAAACAGACAAGAATATCCTTGACCGCAAAGGGAATACACCACTCCATCAAGCCATAGACCACTGGCAAGATGGGTTGCTGGCTATGTTAATACACTGTGGAGCAGACAAGGATCGTCCCCATGCGACAAATGGTTTGCCGCCGCTTCATTTCGCGGCCAAATCGCAGAGCCTAAAGAAGGTCCAAGAGCTTCTCAACGCCAAAGCAGACCCGGACAAGCGCATCAAAGGAGAGCAATGCCAATGGTGCAAGGATAACAAGAGACCTCCCGGCATGAATGCACGATGTGTCCTGCAGGCGATCCCTCTTCGAGACCGGAAGCATGAATACGCCGGGATTAATCGAGTCCTTTCCCAAACCCTCCTAAAGTCGGGCCATCCTAGATCTGCATCATCGGATAGAAGTGTAGGAAGGAGGAAGAGGCGCTCGTACATAATGGGCTCGAGTGTTTACATTCTTGTATAAGAAGGACGTGCATCAATGGGGTGGAGTGTACCATAGTGGTGTGTATGTTTTTATGGATAATAGTTTGTTACATCATGGATATCAGAACCGAAGCCCCGTTTGTTCTAGTCTGTACTTTTAATAACACACTTTAACTATCTGACTTCGCAGACACTCATAATTCATAACTGTCAGTTTCCCCATGCGTCCAGACCTAGAGAGAAGATTGCACCAGTCCAAGGAGTTCCACCATCATACATCGACAGGATATCTCGTACCTCCCTGGCGACGAATCTCATCCATAATTTCCATCACACGGAGAGTCTCCGACCACGGCATGTACTCATTCTGTTTCCTGCCTGCTAGTACATCCAAAGCAGTATTATCCGCCTCGTAGATATACCCACGTCCAATCCGCGGAAACTCATACTTCTTGCCTTCCCCCACCACACCCTTCTCATACACCGTAAACGAAAGAGGCATCGAAGCCGCCGGCCCCTCAACATCAATATACCCCTTCGACCCCTGAATCCGGGCAATATGAACCGGGTCCCCGGGCATCATCGTGGTCGAGCTAACAATACCCTGTCTCCCAGACGAGAGATACCTCAACAGCACAGCAGTGGTAACCTCGACACCATGCAGATGCGTCTGGGTCGCCAAAACATGCGGCAGCTCCGACTTCTCCGGCGACCCCGGATCGAGGGTCAGGATAGCCCACGTGAGGGAATAAACACCCAAATCCAGGAGCGAGCCCGCACCCAGTGCCGGATCCCTGTACCGCGACGTCAGGGGCAGACTGGGGATATCGACATCGAGGGCGAAATCAACCACCGTGCGGAAGATGTCCCCGACCACCTTCTCCTCGTGAAGCAGTCTGCGCAGCTCGTGCACCAGCGGGCGGTGGCGCAGCCACATGGCCTCGTGCACGTATACATTCTTCTCTGCGGCTGCGGCGAACACTTCCCGCGCTTCGGCGGTGTTCAGCGTGAAGGCCTTCTCGCAGAGGATGGGCTTGCCGGCGCGGATGGCGTCCAGGCAGTTCTTTTTGTGGAATGAGTGCGGCGTCCCGATGTACACGACGTCAACGGCTGGGTCGTTGTACACTTCTTCGTAGGACGCGTAGATGGTCGGTGTGCTTTGCGGGCAGTGCTTGGCTGCGAAGCGTTGGCCTTTTTCGAGCGCCGAGGACCCGATGGCTTGTACGATATGCTTGACTTTGGGGTTTTCCCGGGCTAGCACTAGGTCTTCGACGAACCAGGATGAGATGAGGCCCGTGGCTGGAAGGTTTGTTAGCCTGGTGTTTTTTGTGAGGTAGAATGTGGGAGGCTTACTGATAATTCCCCAGCGGATGGAAGGTGGTTCTGACATGATTGGTGACTGGTGGCGGAAACCGAGATTTGGTCGGTGATGGGAGAGTCTGGTGTCTGTTGGCGGGGAGCTTGGAGTTTATATCCTGATGCCGGAAATTGATTTCCATGGCTGTTCTTCACTTATCACTTATCGAACGAGAAAATGCCACCAATTATATGAAGTGTATTGAGTCATGCGTCTGAACCGATAAGTCTAGCCAGAGAAGGGAAATTCAAACCCCGTCACGGGGAATTGATATCAAGTAGCATTGTCTATGGACGTAGGATGTATAACATTAGTGTTTAGATTACTACTATTTTGTCCTCGTGTACTGTACAGCATGAATGTTGACTACTGGCGTATTATCCAAATTAACAAGTTGGCTTTTGTTTCATCGGTTTCTCGTGTCCACAATATAGATGGTTCTCTAGCAGACGTTGTCTGTTCTTTGCTTGATCAGCTTGTTCATTGTACCAACTGATTGCTAAGACATTGAGCTCTCGACAGGTGACCGGGGACGTTATGCACACAAGGAGCCTGGACGTCTAGAAGTCAGACGGCTCCACGGGAGCGAAAATCAAAGAATTCGATATATACGTCTGCTATGCTTACATCGAGACCCGATAGACCTGGGCTGACATATGCTTGTACTATCGGAACTGTATGATAGAAGTTGGTCAGTCATTGCTTTCAGGATGGATGCCTTTCCAATGTCCTCTTGCCTTTGCCTGTGCGAAGGTATACCTCGTATGACTCACTGGCTCACTGAATGTTCTTCTTTGCTCCTACGAGCTACTCCTAATGTTGTAAGATAGTGGGTACTTGAAATATGACCAACTGAGTAGCTGCCTTTGTGCCTTCTCAGCTGATTATCGTTAAGTCGGGTTGCAGCCACCCCGACGTATGTTGGACGCTTTGACCGGAGATAATGCATGCATATGAGATAGAGTTATTTCTAATCCAACCTAGTAGTTTATCTCATCATCCAGTTTGATGTGTCATGGTTCATCGTTTGTCAGAATCTCCCTCCCCGCTTAACCAGAGGGTATTGGATCCCCGGTTGTGCTTCAAGAACGCAAATGTAGTAGATACAAAAGCCGCCCCTCCCACGATGACCTGGGCTTGTCCAAGAATGCCCCTATTTCTCACCGTGCATTATGACATAGATCATCCTTGCCTTGATTCCATCCATCAACACACTGTGAAGGTTGATCACTGTTGCTTGTAAGGTTTTTCGCCAGCATAGTTGCCAACAGGGTCATAGTTGGCGACTACAATATACATGCCACTTTCACACTTCCTCGAGGATACAGCCATACCGACTTTGGAAGAGTCCGCCCAAACAACCTAGTTGTAAAAGATTCATAAGCTACTTCCAATGCCATACAGTGAATCTTATGGTGTATATCACTTACTTGAGTGTAATGTCCACAGATCGCATTGGGCCCGCATGTATTGCTATCGTAATTATAGTCTTTATGTTCATTGTGCCACGCATCTATTGCCTGTTTCACAAGATTCGCTGGATCACTGCCCTCATATAAGTTTTGCCCGGCACGATTATGCTCGAATTTGCAGCTATCGGCCAATTGCTGGGCAGCTGTGGCGAGACCTTCATCCCACTCGATGGGCTTCATGTTACTAGCGCTTGGCGTCACGGAAGATCGGTCTTGAGTATCCACAGTTAATGGGGAATATCATTCAACATAATTTAGTTTCGCACTTACGGTTGTTATGAAGGGAAACAGCCCGTTGCTATCCATATTAGGAATATATCCACAGGTTGGTTATGATTTGCATGTCAAACATACCTTGTCTGCATCGGTAAATGAAGCTCGAGCCCCAGAGAGACAAAATAGCATAATCGCAACAAAGCTGACTGGGGACTTCATTTTGGCGATCAGGTTGTTCAGCTCAAAAAGAATAAGCTCATTGAATGTAGGCAGAAGGGGCTATGGGCAAAAGGCTTTAACCAAATGCGTTACCAAGGTGCCTTGAAGTCGAATAAACCCTTAAGATGTCGGAGAATATCTTGCGATGAGGAGTTTGCTGGATGTTTTGTACGGGCTGGACCCCTTTTTGTGTTGAATTATATACCTTTTAAGTTTAATAGCTGTGGGGGCTTTTGTATGATTTATCATTTACTCTTTCATTTTAGAATGTCGATCAACCAACTGAACTAATCAAAGGTTGGTAAGGGTTTATGTGGAGTCTGATAGTCATGGCACTAGTTGTGCCCGGAAGCCTGAGCTTTAAAATTATTCCGTATATTGAACCAAAAGTGGAAACACGAGGCTACATTTAATTACATTGCAGATCCATCAAAGAATCTGTGGAACGACAAATCATCCCATTCGTCCGCACATCATGGGCGAATAGTTTGTAAGGTATTCTCAGGTCAACGGAATCTTTTGAGGAGGCACCTCTATTCAAGCGTAATTTAGTCACTCTTTTTAATTGCTAAAATCACAACCCAAGTAAACCCTAGGCAACGGGTACTTTGGTTGCTTAGCGTTTATCGGTCTTCGTAGTCTTCCAATCAAGTTAGCGATTAAGGCCATTGGAGCTGAAATGAAGATCCTCGGTGCTAGAATGAAGATCATCAAAGCTTGAAGATGCCCTGACAGGATATTTGACCCGGGGTTCCCGTACAACAACCAGTCAGGGGGTCATATCCACTGAAGATTAATCTAGCTCAACTTGACTACCTTCCTCGTTAAGTGTTACGACCCTCAATTCTTTTGGAGAAGCAATACTTATCTAGAAGCCTAGTGTCAGATTCAACGGTTGATGGTTCCACTCATCAACTGGATGTAAGAAGACTATGCAAGACGCCAATCAATTGATACTACAACAGTGGACCCGCCATATATGATTTTTTTATATTATTCTATTCCCTTACACATGATTGCAGATGCTTACAGAACTAAGACGATTTCAGCTAATTAGTATTCCCTTGACATTGGCCAATTTGAACACCAAGATAAAATGTTATTAATACTTGAATGTACTGTCTTTCATTCGCATTTGCGCAACTTATGCAGACTGGACGTCATAAGGTGTTATAATACGATTCAAGAAACCTGCCAGACGATGTGACATTGATATTCCCCGATGATAATTGGGGTAATGTCCAGAGACTGCCTACAGAGAAGGAGCGACAGAGGTCTGGTGGCATTGGTGTAAGCTTGCCCTCTGGTTCTCTGATGATAATCTTGTTCTTCTAACCATGCTCTCAGCTTTACTATCACTTTGACTATGTTGGTAGACCCAAGAGCTGGAAATGGCAAAACAACAACAATCTGGTTAGTCGCCTCTTATCTCATTCAAGGGAACTATTATCTAAACCTCTATAGCCCAAGGTATACAAGGAGCTGTCACAAGCCTACGAGCGTGGAGCCGACAGAGTTTGGGTCATTAATGTTGGCGACATCAAGCCTATGGAGATTCCTCTCTCATTCGCCCTGGACCTTGCGTTGGATACGTCCCGGTTTGATTTCGACACCATTCCCCTATACCTCAAAGCTCTAGCCACGCGAGACCTTGGTGATAAGTACTCCGAGCAGATTGCATCGGCTTTGATGGAATATAGCCACCTAGCGGGTCTGCGCAAATTTGAAATGCTGGAACCAACGACATATTCCATAGTCAACTTCCGAGAGGCCGGGCAGGTGCTCGATCAGTGGAGAAAGCTGGCCACGAAAGCACAAGAAATTCAGCAGTCGTTACCTAGCGAGCGCCACAATGCTTGCTATCATCTCCTAACTTATCCCGCGACGGCGGGATTCAACTACTACCAAACAATCCTTGGCCAAGGCAAAAACCGCCAGTACAGCTTCGAACGCCGTAACTCAGCCAACATGGTAGCGGGAGAGGTACTAGAGTACTTTGAGGAAGATCATGACTTGACATTGGAGTATGACAACCTTGCAAATGGCAAATGGGAGGGCATCATGTCGACTCCCAAATTTGATATGGGCATCGCAGACTGGCGTCCCTCATCATGCGACGTCGTTGCAAATCTATCGTATGTGCAGCTACGACAGGACTTCGACTACGCCTTTGGCAACCTGGGTATCTACGTCGAGCAGTCTCTTAGTGCTTATCGCCAAGGTCGGATCTGTGGGTCTATCAATCCTTCCCTACCAACTGAGGAAGGCTTTTCACCAGTACTCCCACTTATGGATCCCTACGGCCCAAAATCACGGCTCATTGAGCTCTTCCATCGGGGCGACCATCGCAAGCCGCTCAAATGGTCTATCTCGACACCCTATTCATGGGTTCAGATCTCCCAGACATCAGGCATACTCTCGAAAGAACACCCCGAGGAACACCTCGAAGTCTCGATCGACTGGCCCGCTGTCCCAACCAACTTTACCGAGACAATTCAGCTACATGTAGAATGCCAACCGTCTCCTCCGTATTTTGATCTAATCCACATTCCAATCCGCAACCACCGCGTCCCGACCAACTTCACCGGGTTCCCTGAGTCAGGCGGCTTCGTGTCCATGGAAGGTCCGCATTTCCAACGCTCCTCATCGGATACGGTATCTTTCAAACATATTCCGTATCTAGGGTCGCGAGCTCGGTCCGGATCCGTCGCACTCCGGCCGTACGTGCAAGCTCGAGAATCTGAAGAAGGCGCAAAATCTGCGTTGGCTGAGTACGATTTCTATCTCTTCAACTCGACTAAATCATTCAATTTGACTGTATACATCAATGGTGCCCTGGACACAGATCCAAACCTACCGATGAAATTCTCGTTATCAATCGATGGTCAAGAAGCGAACTTCACAAGACTACTGGCTGAGCCTGAAGAGGCTGGGGACACGCCTCCTGGGTGGACCGAGGCAGTGGCGGACCAGGTCTGGACAAGGGATATCGAGATTGCCGCCCTTGAACAGGGTCCGCATATACTCGATTGGGCTGTCAATTCGCCAGAAGTGTATCTGGAGAAGATTATTCTTGCGCTAGAGGGGCAGTTAGATAGCTATCTCGGCCCACCAGAGAGTGCACTAGTGGGCTGAGCCTGGGAAGTGTCACATAATTTGTCGAATTTGTGTAGTTAAGATGCAGAAGACTCTAATTGTGTTGGACAGAGAAAGCCCTGAATCACGCCCTTTGAGCTGACAGTGGTATGGCCAGTTTGGCAGCCGGACTAAAGGATGCAGCACCCCAGATGGTCGACTAGTAAGTCGGTAAACTGGTATAAACCTTCGGGTGATCCAGTACCGAAGCAAATTCTTCGCATGATCATTCCCTACATTCGTAGCCAAGTCCGACATGCATGGCGCCTTGGTAGGGAATATTCCACAAATGGGAGACCAAATAATCAGCTTGGCTTGTGGGATTTCTCACATTCGAGCTCCTAGTCCCGTCTCCACCTCTTTTAGGTATAGTAAAACGTGTCCTGTGGCTATCTTTTGGGGGTATTGCGATTACAATATTCTTCAGATTCGTTAGTGCCAGAGCAGCTACGTTCATGAAGACATTCTTGGACAGGCTTGCACCAAACTATACATTTGTCTCAGACGAGTACATTAACGTAGGACCTTGACAGTTGAGTTTGATAAGCAGTACATATTAAGTAGGTCTCGTTTCTAGAGCAGAAGTCTTCAGTACAGGAGAGGACAGAATTATAAGCTCTTAATTCGTCACTATTCTTTCCAGTGCTTTATAGCGGTTGCTGGGGCCGCTAGGCTTGTGAAGAGCTACACCACAGACGGATCCGAGCTGTGAAGATGGATTCCGACGTTCACTTCGCCTATGTTTGCTCACTTAATCCTGTTGGCGAGGTAATTAGTCTCATGATGGAGACGACGAATATTTCCAAAAGACAGACTTACGTTTCATTCCAAGACAGCAACAACGTGTCTCGCCGAACAGCGATGGCACTAACAAGAGTTGTTGCAACACCAGCACTGGTTCCAAAATACACCACCGCAGCCACCACATGTGAAACCCGCATCTTTGCAACGCTCATGGCATGGTTGGCCGTTGTCGCAGAAGCCATGTTGCTCCCACCCAGGCTGTGAGGAGCCGTCGCAACGAGCCATCACTGCAACCACCGATGTTGCTATGGCGAGGAATAGAGAGTACTTCATCTTTCTGTCTGAATCCGACGCAATTCTGTGAATGGAAAAGAAGGGCAAAAGAACAAATGGAGTTCGGGTTCGATAGAAGGGATCTTATTTATATTCTATTGACGGTGCACCGCACAATGTGGAGCAAATTGTTTTATCAAGCCCTTCATCAGCTCTATTTATGGCCCATCCAACGTAGCAATGGGAGTGAATGATCGCCATAAGTTCTGTCTGGCTGGACCCTGATCTCAGTACGCGTCTGCAAATCTCGCGGTGGATGGCTGGTCGATTGAGTTAAGATTCGTGTTCAACGTTACTTTTCCAGCCCCACTGATCGGACACTAGCACTTGGTACCAGCCAATTACGACGACCACAGCTCGTATTGCCACCGAAAATGGCTAGTCCTGGTGAAGATCAAGTTTCTCGAAGGAGACAAGATATTCTTTGGAATAAGCAAAGCTTTCAGGGTACCCTTGGGCTAACGTCGAATGAGGCGCGAATTACAGGGCAAAACCCCTTGTATCCGGACTGGTTAGGGCTGGTTCGGTCTCCGCATATACGAATACGAAGGGGCTCCAACCTTCGTAAACGGAATCACCCCTTTGTTTCGGAATTGCCCCCATCGGTGTTAAATTGAAAAGTGTCGACTGTGTTGCATTTAATTGCAGGGGCTATGGGGATACTCATTTCTTTCTTCGTCAAGTAAACCCGTGAGTCCTGTGGTTTGTTGAGCGAAAGAACACCCATGGCTATGGTCGGTGCAGTTTTTTTGGGGAAGCGGAGACTACCTTGTTAAACCCAACTTAAAGGCTTTCAGGGCACTAGCCCCGATGGCGGAACCACTGATGCTGATCTTCATTTGAGAGGGTTTGTATAGATGGTTGTCTCGTATCCTCTTTGAGGTAGCGCAATCCGTCTCGCCTGTCACATTCTAGCGGTGATACGATGGAACGTCAGACAAACAAACACACCGTTATTGTAAAATCGCATCCCCCACCTGATGGAGTTCGAAGCCGATGAAGAGGCTCTACACCTAATGGGAGGAAGACGAGTTGGATGGCATCGATTCCGGAGTTATGGAAGGCATTACTTGTGACAGCTACTAGTGCCGCCTCCCAACACCCTGCTGCGCCTCTTTGATCAGAGTACAGACAGAACAGCAACAACAAACCAACCTCCCTATCCCCTATAATGTCACTCAATATGAACATCAAGGAAGGCAATGAAGAACACCATTCCCTCATGGACAGTGCACACCGGGGAATGTCTGCAAATGCAGCTCCGGAGACAATTGAGTTAACCGTCCCCGGAGAGTCTGAAGCGGGAGGTGTATCTGGTCATAGATACTCAATATCTGACTACTACACTTTGGTTAGCTACTGGGGGATGCTGCGCTGGCTTTTGTCCTTCATCTTGCTTGGTGGCGCAACGGTCATTCTGGTCTCCAAATCTGTCCCCGGCCTCGTGCCCTACGCCATTGTCAACGAGCTCTGTGTAGGTCTATCACCATGCGATTCATATCTACAACCATAATTGGTGGTCCCCATGTGAATGAATGGCCGGAAGGCTAACTTAATCGATTCGCTTTCCAAGGCTGGTGCACATATACTTACAGTGTTCCCATTGCTGAGGCATTCCCATTCACCCACCAACCCACGCCCACCTACAGTATGGCTGGTTCAGTTTGTCGCCCTGCTTACCCTAACCCTGGCTGCCCTGGCGACCAGCATCACATTACTATTGAAGACTCTTGGATTCAAAAACGAAAGGAATGGCGCTCTATGCTACAACAAAAGCGGTGGACGCTACCGGTGTCGCAGCGCGCGTAGCCAAACGTATGATATGTCATTGGTCTGTCTTGGTGGCTCTATAGCAGTTCTGTAAGTAGCCGTCACGCTATCCACGCTATTGACCCTTTCTTTGAAGCTAGATCACAAATTCTGCAGCTACGGTTACTAATGACTCCCTTACCACCAGGATACCAATGCTTATTCAACTCTTTTGTATATGCATGGTGAATAGATCCAGGTTTACAGAGCAGGAGGTAGCGGCACATTATCAAAAGGTAAAAGCCTTACAGGCTGCTGTGGACACCAAGAGCGGGTGGCGGTCCTGTGGAGACGGATGTGTAGACATTGCCCGTGCGGTCAAGCAAGGTTGGGCAGAAGGCAAGGCACAGTCTAGAACACGAAATTAGCTTAATTATGTAGTTTAAGCCACTTCAACGCTGGTGCTCAGTCCATCAAGGATGTCGACTTTGCTCGTACTGCCGACGGCCCCAACTCCACTTTCGATATCCGTAACGCTATGCAGAAGGCCATGCAGACTGACGTCAGGGTCTTCCGTACTCAGGAGAGCTTGGATGAGGGTGTCGCCGGCTTGTAAAAGTCGGTATAAAAAGGGTTCAGCAGAAGACATCAGACGAGTGAACAAGCTCCAATATTGCTCCTTCTTTGCCACAAGGGGGATGCTAACTTGTAAACCCCCGTAGTGTGTAGGGACAACCTATATATAGCTAGAATAAAGCAAAAGACCAATGCGGTTGTAAAGAAGGCCGTGACCAAGGGGTACGGCTGGTTGCAGAAATGGCGCAAATTCTGAAGCCCTAATCTAAAGCACGTTAAACTATTTCCGTATGATTTTCCGGAACCTTTTGCCATCAACTCCTGTATTGAAACGTAATAATGCGTCAACTCACTCAGCTTATGCTATTTAATTTGTATCCTCCTGTACAAGCGTGTCTTTTCCGCCGTATCCTCACATAGAAAAGAGAGCACATAAAACAAAGAAGGAAGAAAGATCAGATGGCTATCATTTCTTCTAGGGCCCTTTTCGATCTAGGTAATAAACTCGAGCCTGGGACCTTGGGTAGCTCAAGTGAAGGTCATCCTCCCCTACCTAAGCACGAAGTAACCTGGCGAGCTCGGATCCCCATCCATTTATCTATTTTCATGTGTCAGTGACTTTTCACTGTTAAGGAAGGTTCACAGCCTACTAGACTTACCAGAGGAGGTCGCATCATTGAAAAGTGATTGCCGTCAGCCGGAATCACTCTAATATTTTCCACAACCTTGTCCCATTCAAACAATTCATCGTCGGCGCGGTCATTCAGGAACCAGTTCACCAGCCGCTGTTCCTCAGGGAGAACCTCGGGTAGAGGCACCTCATCCTGTTTATTCACCCCCTCTCTCGCCGAGAACAGTACAACCTGTGGTATCTTCTGACCTGGTAGCTTACTCACTCGATACATCAGCAGTTGCTGCCTTGCTAGCGTGAAATGGTCGCTCGTGAGGGGCGAGCCGCGCTTGTTCTCTCGGGTCTCGTCCTCATCCATCATGCTGAAGCGGTTGATGGAATCCAGAAAGTCAACCAGTGCATCTGGCATACAGCTGGCGAAGGTGGGGCATGCCGTGTCAATAAGAAACATCTTCTTGACTTCATTGCCATCTTCAAGAAGTTGTCGTGCCGCTTCAAATGCCAACACCCCACCGACTGAGTACCCGCCGATCATATAAGGGCCCTCGGGTTGCCGACGCTTAATCTCGGTCACGTAGATGGCGGCAAGCTCCTCAGTAGTGGGCACTTGGTTTGAATCAGGCTTACACTTGAGAAAGGGGCTGCTGAGCGTGTAAACAGGCACATGTTCCACTGGAGAGAGCAGCGGCGCAAGGGCACTGAACACAACACCGGAGCCAAATCCATCCGGGATCAGAAACAGGCTGCGGTCTCCCGAATCAAAAGTTGGGCGATGCAGGAGCATCGAGGTTGCCTTTGCTGGGCATGCGCTCTCCGGCTCGGCGACCATGCCACAGATTACTCGAACACTTCGAGATTCATGACTCGCGCTCTCTGACCAATCAACATGTGTGAAGCCCGCATCTAGCATCACCCGCTCCCAGGCCCATGGGCTCTGCAGTGCGTACTTCCGGCCGTCATCAAACAGCCACCAACCGTCCAATAAGCCCCAGACTAGATCATACCAGGCCAGCTTTTGCGTTAACTCTACCAGTGCCACGCATCCGTCATCCGGTCGTACCAACTTGCGCATGTTAACTAGACTGTGCCGCAGGTTGCGCGTTGCGTGTACGCAGTTGCTTGACACCACGACGTGGTAGCGCCCCAGCAGATCCTCGGGCGGGTCATCCTCGATATTGAGTTTCCGAAACTCCACGCCTGCGATGCCCTTGAACGTGGTTTTCTTGGCACGTGCCAGCAATGAAACTGAGAGCTCGGTGAATGTGTATTTGAAAGGGACACCAGTGGCTTGGAGCATTGGGAGAAGGTGCTTGGTGGTCCCACCGGTACCGCCGCCGACTTCCAGGACATGGAAGGGCTCACCGTTTGAAGCTTTCGAGTGGATGGCCGCGGACATGAAGTCGCAAAGCAGCTTTGTAGCGGCCAGAAGATCCGGTGCGTTGGCGTAAAAGTCATTGAGGAGGCCGCGACCCTTATCGCTGCCAAATAGAAGGGGGACAGGGTCTGACCTGCCTGTCAAACACTCTGCTAGGTGTGGTCCAAGGAGGCCGAGTAGGCCGTGCGTAGATGCGTACTGGGGGAAGTCCGATATAAGGCCCGTTATTAGCTCCTGGCCAGAACTGGTACTGCCTAGGAGCACAGGACCGCGTAAGAAGTCATCTCCTGCTTTCTCGACCAGTCGAACCTCTTCTAAGATATGCCATAGCCGGCGGGTCTCCCTGCGATACTTCGGTAGTGTTCCTTGCAGATTCGGGAGCTTCTCCCCTGGATTAAAATCCCTAATAGGACAGCCGAGCTTCTCAAATGCTTCCATAATAAAGGCTGTGACAGCCCCCAGCTGCGATGGGTATACCCGATCCCAGTAGCCGGTGAACTTGGTATCATTCGCATATGTATCAAAACTGCAGCGGATCTGTTGGAAAACCGTATGTATCGACACTGTGAGGCCTTTGGTTAATGTGGACTTGTTGCTCTCTATTGGGGCGGTTGCAGCTGTAACTAAGGCCATAGAGAGATCATCTCTGGAAGTACAACGTGTGTTGGAAAGGCTGGATAAACTGGTCGTAGGAGTCTGTACCAAAGGGTCACCACCATTGACCGCAACATATTCACAGAGAGATGCCACATCAGCCATTGAGGAGAATTCGGTCGGGGAGATATCAAGACCTAAGGCATTATTCAGGTTGCCGATGATCTCCGCTGCAATAAGAGAATCAGCACCGAGATCCTCTAGTTTCGAATCCATTTGAATGTCTGTGGTTGGTATCTCGAGGGACTGCCCAAGGGTCTGGAATACCGTCTTCTGCCATGTTGGAGTTCCGTCATCACCAGTTTTATATATTGGGTCGGGATCCTGGTCTTCACTGTCGACATCGCTGCTGGCTTCGCCATCTACTCTAGACAAGATCAGTTCACACAAACACACAACTTTCTTAGCTGTTGTCAGATCTTCACTTGAAATTTGGATCTTGAATCTGTTACGGAGATTAGCTAGCACTTCCGAGCCAACTAATGAGTCCACACCAAGCTCTTCGAGCAAGGCCTGATTTGTGACCTCTTCGACTGGGACGTCCAGGGACTGGCTTAGGACTTTTTGGACTTCACTCAATACACTAGCTGATCTGTTCTCATCCTTGCTGAACTTTTCCCGATGGGCAGCAGAAGTCACCTGGTATGGGATCTTGGGGGGAAATGGCTGAGCAGCAGCGTTAGACGAGCCCACGAGATTGTTAAATTCCATGCCAGGATTGGCTCCTGCCAGCACTTTAGCTAACGAGCTGCGAGGGGCCTTTGAGAACTTCAGTCCCTTGGCGAACCAAATAATATTCCCAGTCTGTGTGTCAAACGAAAACACATCCAGAATAGCCTCTCTATTGTCCTCCCGGACAATCTTTGTATACACTCTGTATTTCCCACTAGCGCGTAGCCCGTTCAGCGGTCCTACCGCATCGATGCCCGTGCAGATGTAAGATATGTTTCCAGCTTCTATCTCATCTGTAGCTCGCAGCGAATGTATACATGCACCAGGTACCTGCAAGAAGGTGTCCACGACAATCGGATCCGAGATGCCGTTGTTCGGCGCCCTGGCTATCGCATTCAAGTCACCCACGGGTACTGTGATGTCCCCCGCACATTCGGTGCCTTTCCCAGCCAAGTAACGTAGGCCCTGGTAGGCCGCTGAGTATATGGCCATCTTACGGAACACCTTGTACACCATTGTGCCGCGCAAAGCGTCCGTATTGGTATCTGTCTCTAATAGTTCGGTGATTCGGACCCACTTGTCCTTCTTATCCTGTTCCTCGTGTACACTGCTAATGCTGCTGTTTCGCACAGCAATGCTCCCCGTGGCGTGTGATATTGACTTGCCATTCTTAGTGGAGAACAGTTCGAAGTCCCACATGCCCTGGCTTTTCTCCGTCAAGGTCAGTCTGACAGAACGCTGCATGTCCAAGCCGAGTGGTGCCTTGATCTTGACGGCATCTGCTACAATCTCTGGGATATTAGCCGCTCCCTGATCTTTATGTAGCAAGATAACAGCATGCGAAGCTAGCTCCAGGTACATTGCTGCTGGACATATCGGTGACCCAACCACGACATGGCCTTTGACGAGGTCCTGGTACCGTCTGCTACGCATGTCGACCTTGAAAACAGACTTGCCCATACACTGGCTCTGAGATTTGTCCTGAGATATATAGGTGAAGCGATCAATATCCTTCAAGCAGTGAGAGCACATTTCAGACTGTGTTAACTCTTGCTCATTTGTCTTCCCACCTCGGTTGCCAGTGAGATGGGTGTACTCAAGCCAATGACTGTGCTTCTCGAACTGATACGGCGGCAGCGCTACAGGCACGAAGCTCGACTGTTCACTCCGGTGGAACAGCCAGAACTGTGCGCTAGTCTGGCCATTCTTCCATAGTGTAACTATGGCATTGGCAAGGGATTGCACTGGGGTTTTCCCATTGATCGGTACGAAGGTATGCTGAGACTGGGTCTGAGGTTGTGGCAGTGCATTTTGTGCCATGGCTATAATTGGACCTCCGAAGCCGGCTTCCAGAAATGTACAGGGCCCCAGACGGTTGACGATGCGTGAGATTGCTGGCCCGAAGTACACAGTTCCGCGAGTATTGCGGGCAATCACGTTAGAGCCTGGCCCAGTCCAGGATTGCTTGTGGCAGGATTCGAACGGGAAAACTGGGGTCTGTGTAGGATGAGAAGAGAGGGTCAGTGATTAATTGGCAAAGAACAAGGTTGGAAAGGGACTGCATTGGCGCGATTAGGTATGTTCCACCACTGACCTGGAATGGGATTGAAGCTGACAACTGGGCGCTCTTTTCGACGATCGAGTCAGCCATAGAAGAATGGTATGCGTGCATGCCCCTAAGGACCTTGAAACGCAGCTTCTCGCTGTTAGACTTCCTTTCGTTTAGGTACGATTCGAGAAGGTCTATGTGCGCCGTGCTGCCGGCGACAACAAAATTGTTCGGCCCATTGTAACAAGCAATATCGAGCTTGGCATCTGGGTGCTTTTTGTGGAATGGTGCTAAATGTTCGGTTGGTGTTGTGTCTGTTCCGACTAAGTCGGCCTCAATGGCTATCATGGACCCGGGGTCGTCTCCCCAGACCTCCTGGATGATGGCTGCGCGGCCTGCACAGTTGTTAGTACCTTATATCGTTCGTTTCTCTAGTTTACTATCTTACTGTATATACTAAGTCAGCATTCGCCCATAGTTGCATGCAAGGTGAAAAGTAATTCAAGACGTAGACGACGTACCCAGTCACAAGCCTCATGCCAGCCTCAAGCGTAATAGCACCTGAAACTGCGAGTGCTGCCCACTCGCCGAACGAATGGCCACAGATCGCGTCAGGCTTGACGCCAGAGTCGATCCATGACTTACCGCACGAATACTGGATGGCGAACATCGTGGCGTGGCGGAGGATGAAGTCACCATCACCCTCGCTGCCCTGGAGTATGACCGGGAACAGACTGGGCAGACCAAGTGACTGCATGACTTCCTCACACCGATGTAGGTGTGTTCGGAATAGCAGGGAGCTGTCATAGAGCGGTTTAGCCGAGGGAATATTGTTGCCATTTTGTCCGCTGAAGAGAAGCACTATAGGCTTGGGACCTTGGGATGTAGTGTGCCTCTCGGGCTCGGAAAGCTGGGTTTGTAGGTCGTTCACTATATTGAAGAAGTAAATCAGCAGCTATTACCTATTGTTAATTCAAGCAAACTCCAGAGTTTCTTACAGGAAGTGGCCGTTGTGCTGAACACATGCTGGAGTTTACGATTCTGCTTCGTGGCCAAAGCGAAAGCAAGGTGAGAACTTGTTTCGGGAACAAGTGAGCCTTGCTGGATCTGGATCTGAAGTTTTCGACAATAGGCAGAAAGGCTGGCCTTGGAAGCGGCCGAAATGAAAACAGGCCAGGCAGAAATCGATGGACTGTGTGCCCCTGACCCTATGGACGACGGTAGTAGCGGTGGAGTCGGAGGCGGAGGGGCTACGACAGCAGCAGCGTTGTTTCCAGAAGCGCCATAACTGTTAACCACGGCCAAACGCAAGCCGTCACACCAGTCCCTCATCGACTTCGGGATAGCCATCATATCGGGCTCCAGGGCTGAAATGTTCGGATTCAATGTCTGGAATTGAGCCTGGCCTGGGATCTTTCCGTACTTCATCATCAGCAAGATCTTGATCAACGAGACCACACCGGAGGCTCCCTCCGAATGCCCAATATTGGGTTTGACAGCCCCAACATACAAGGTGGATTGTCTCTCCTTGCCGCCCAGGATCTTCCGGATCCCTTCCACCTCGATGGGGTCACCGACACGTGTGCCTGTGCCATGTGCCTCTATGTACGAGACCTCTTCCGGGTTGATTCCAGCACGATCCAGCACGTCTCGGTATAATGCCATCTGGCTCTCGATAGCCGGGTTCGTTATACTGGTACTATTGATGTTTTGGTTATTGCCGGTAGCCAGGATCACCCCATGGATATGATCCCCATCTTTCAACGCCTTCGCTAGCGGCTTCAGTACTACAACACCCACAGCCTCACCACGGCAGTACCCATCAGCCCTGGCGTCAAATGTCTTGCAGGCCCCTGTCTCATTGAGAAAACCACCCACACGCATCGCGTTATGCAAGACCATGTTGGTTATCAAGTTGACACCGCCCGCAACGGCGCGCGTGCATTCACCTGCCTGGATGGCACGGCAGGCTTGGTGGATGGCGACCATGGCTGATGAGCAGGCCGTGTCGATGGTCTGCGAGGGCCCCGTCCAGCCAAAGTGGTGGCTCAGCCGTCCCGCTACGAACGACCGGAGCATGCCGAAGCCAGTGTATGGCGAGGCGGGATGGCAAGCTAGATTCAGAGGGTAATCAGGTGCATTCATGCCGATGAAACAACTTGTTATCTCCGTCTCTCTGCTTTTGTCGTGGGTTTCCGCTTCTTGTTGCTGGCTACCACCAAAACAACTGGCGGATTCAAGGGCATGGTACGTCGTTTCGAGCAATACACGCTGATGTGGGTCCAATGCTGCTGCCTCACGCTTGGACTTTTTGAAAAATTGATGGTCAAATGACTCGATGTCAGTCATAAAGTTACCCCACATCTTGCCATCACTGACTACCTCAGGAAATCGCGTCACGTCGATCTCTCGCGCCATGCTCCTGCCTGTCTCAATGCTCTTCCAAAGGTCATCCACAGTATCCCCAGCAGCTGTGCGGCAAGCCAGGCCCACCACTGCCACCGCATGCTCGGGGTAGCTTTTGTAGGCCGTAGCGGTGCTTTGCTTTTCTTGCTTACGCGGTGTGATGTCCTTGAGCACGGGATGCCGCAACGGCTCGTCGGGCTCGAGCTTCAACACTCGTACCACTGCCACATGGTCCGTCTCAAGACTCACGACGCGACTGAAGGCATATAACGCTTCGCATTTGCTCACGTCCATAATGCCCCGAGCCGCCATCCCCTTGGTGAGCATCCGGGTGGCAGACTTATTTTGGGCCATTAACCCGACGCCACGCCAACAGGTCCAAAGGATGGACATGCTCTTATCACCCTGGCGTCTTCTGTGTGCCGCCAAGCCATCCAGAAATGCATTTGCCGGTGCGTACGATAGCTGGCCTGGGAATCCGACGAGTTGCCCGACTGATGACATAAGGACGAAGAAATCCAGCGTACCGGGTGGAAAGAGCGCGTCCAATGTCAAGGAGCCTCTCACCTTTGGTGCCAGTACATCTGCGACATCCGAAGGAGAGCAACAGTGCAGGGTATGGTAGCCTGCAATGCCGGCCGCATGGACCACCCCCCTGATAGGTGGAATATCCAACTCGTCGATGGCTTGACCAAGCAAGGCCTCTGCCTCAGGCTTGCTGAGGTCAATAGAGAGTACATGGACCGAGACGCCCAGGTTCTTGAGCTTGGCAATTTGCGAGACAAGCCGCTCGTGATCTGCATTGTTCTCGTTTGTATCCAGGGCTGGAATGAGTCCACGACGAGATAGTAGCAATATGTGACGAGCACCCTGCTCGCCCAACCATGTCGCAATTTCCAGACCCACACCCCGTGTCCCTCCAGTAACGAGGTACGTGCTGTTCCCTTTGAGTTGAAGCTGCCCTTGGTCGCCCACCTCGTCCTGGAATGCCTGGAGTGAAGCGGTCTGCGCTATGCCCTGGACGACCCTGACAACATCAAAACCCTGCGCGTACTTGAAGGCGGACAATGGAAAGCGCCCTTGGTCTTCATCGAACAGACCGCCAAAAATTCCCAACATTTTCATCTTCATGGCTCGCGCTAGGCCATACAGAGGGGCGTACCCTAGATCACTCGTGCCGAAGTCCCTTGAGATGAGCGAGAAAAGCTTACTCGTCCCGTTTCGGTTGGCTTGGCTATGATGATACATTATCTGTGCCACTGCAATCAAGCTGGTGCACGACCTCGTCACCGTTTCATAGACGCCGCTCTTCTCCCTGACCGCGTGTGGGATGTGGACAACAATCGTATCGGGCGTTAGCCAGGGGACGATCTCCGTAGCATGGCTAACAATGACAGTTGTGTAGCCCTCATCGGCAAGCTGGGCCTGGTATATAGACAGCTTGTCACTCTCCTCCTCGTTGTCAGCTCCCACGAATACAACCCTTCTAAATTTGAGCGGTTCAGGGGATAGTTCAGCAGGTGCCCAGTTAAGCCGGTGAATCAGCTCTTTGATGGTCATGACTACTTCTTTTATCGAATACTGCGACTGCTATGGTAGCTTATTATAGCAACAGGGTTTGATAACATAGAAAAAACAAAGGATGACTTCGGGCTTGCCAAACTGATATTCATACAGACCACTGGCTTCCACCTTCACACTATATATACCTTCTCCAGTGTGGTAGCTCTCCTCTAGGTATGATAGATAACAAGGTATTTGATATGCATCTCGGAGATTGCGTAACGTGTATATTTTTGTCAACTAATGTGCAATCTAGAATAAGCTGATACTCTTACTGAGAATGAACTAGAGCCTTCAGGGTATAGGGTTGGCAGGGTTGCCCTCGATGGATGCTCCACGACGGTACGAAGCAGCATGATTGCTTTTACTGCAAAACGTCAACCGAACTTGTACCTAGGTCACTCTGCTTAATACCTGTAAATTGGTCGTGGGTATTTTATGTATTAGCGTACTAGTTTTCTCCCATTAATTGTAACACTGGCTAACGCAGATTCCCAGCTTCTTACGAAACGTCATCTTCTAGCCGGCAGTAGTTGCCACATTGACTGAGCTTGATCGAAGTACATGTAAGTTGCAGGGATAGTCGAGCATGCTCGTTGCCACACCTGCATGGTCACTACTTGAGAATCCGTCTTTATCCGGCTGAGTGATGATGGGTCATTCCATTGGACTTAATGCTCACTCATCCCAATGCCGGTAGAATTTTGTGCGGTCGTCCGGGCCTAGATCCTCGCTGCCACAGCACAACACCACCCATGCTTTAACACTATCTCTAATCTGCCAGACACGCAACTAGCCCGGGGCCCATGCAACGTTCTCATATACGTAGAAAGTGTGTTGTGTTTATTGTGCTATAATAGCTACCCCGAACTCCGACGAGCTACCTGAAGTTGCAGGGAAGTTTGCCAGCCGACTTTAGTATTTCCTGATAAGGAAGGTTTCATCATAAGAGTAAGCCAGTTCATGCTGAGGGTTGCATCAACCCCTGGAATCGGGATGGACGGTCTGATAGACACCGTTGCGCCTGGGGCCTCCTTGAAAAGCTCTGCAACCATTTACGTATCTTACAAATTAACTTGAATACCAGGATTCATGGACGTCTGACAGTCGAGAGATCCGTGAGCGAGATAACCACGCAGATGGTCCAAGGTGTGAAGTGTAAGTAACAAGTCCACGATGGCATCTGGAGTCCTAAAAATCAGGTCTTAAGGGGATTCCAAGACCGGTGCACAGATTTCCCGCTCTTTGAATCTCTCTCGAGATATGTTCTAGTATTAAAATGGCTAAGTGCGAACTCTTTCACCAATTAAATCCAAGGCCGTGAATTAGTAAGTTATAAATCTATCTTTATTCAAACTAGTGCCCGTCTAAAAGAAACAAGTAAGAGTATGAAAGCCATGCACCAGTTTTGCAATCACCTGTACCAAGTACATATACTGAGTCATTTAGTGAACACAAACTATTTGGTGTAGTAATACTATATATTAGGAGTTATTGGCCGGCATCCAAGTAGCTGATTACCTTCGACAGGGAGAGTTGCTTGGGAATGCCACTCTAAACGGGTGATAAATTTCCATCTAAAGCTCAATACTGCATCAAAGAGGGCAGCACAAGAGTAGTGTGACCAAAATATGAAAAACACTTTGAAAACAGAGTTTAAAGAAGCACGTGACATTGTTGAAAGTGAAGCGCTTGCGACCACACTCGTCTCCGAGGTTCAGCTGGCATTCGTGCCTGTGTACTTCCCCGGTGAGCCAGTGTCAGTTTTGGCGGCTGGTCAAAGACTCCCGGAATATAATGTCCTCCGGGGCACTGCATCGCCAGGCGTGCAATGCGACCTGCCTGGACCGAGGAACGCCGTTCCCTACCTTGGACCCGCCCGGGCTCCGGTTCGGGCCGATCAACCCTAAATGTGATTAACCTTGGTCGTTTAAGCGACGGTATGACTAGCTTAGCTAGGGTCAGCGTATGCCAACCTCAATATGATTTTGTTCCAATTAGTATGATGTCTCCATATATGCCCGAAGTAGTAATAGTATTGTACGGTAGAAGGAGGTCCTAGTCCCACACGCTTCTTGTTAAGAAAGTTAACGGGCGTCAAACGTCGACAACACCACCGCATTTCGGTGACGCACCAAAACAAGCTAAATTTCTCCACCCTTTCTTCTCAGGTCAGATAAACAACGCCTTTTGGAACAGGGTTTAGTGGAAACTGAAGGTCTACTTCAAAACTTGGTTAGTTACTTGTTATTGTCCTGAGTATACCCGTGTATACCCGTGTATAGGACGAGCGATGGAGTAACCCACCTGTGTAAATCCGGGCGTTCAATAATCAATTATACAGGTTTTAGGGGGTCAAACCGAACCCTTGTTAGGTCATTTCTTTATACATCTACGGGCATGTTCGGTTTCATATAGGTTACATTCCTCATTCTCCTCGAACACGCTTTCAGTGCCTGTACGACTTGGAAAAAAAAAAGGTGGGTGTGTCTTGTGGAAATACAGGCAGGGCATGGGTACTTCTATGAGAATAAGAAAACCCCCAACTACCGTTTTGTTGTCAATCTCAAGCCAACTGCGTGACATCGACAATATGCAACTCATCTGGCAAGCCGTTGGAGCAGCAATCATTGCCATTTTCCTGCACCTTTTCAACACCTGGTGGCATCTAAGACACATCCCGGGACCTTTCCTCGCTAGCATTACCAACCTCCAAAGAGTCTGGTGGGTAAAAACTGGCCGCGCTCATCTTTATCACCAGGCGATCCACGCCAAATATGGAGAGGTCGTACGCATCGGACCTCGCCTAGTATCCTTCAGCAATCCTGAGGCCATTTCGACGGTTTATCCCATTCGCCCTGGGTTCCCTAAGGTGCGTATTTCTCTAGAAATAATATCACCAAGAGGGATGTATTTGCCGGGAAGCTGAAAATCAACGCGAACTGAAGAGTGACTTTTACGCCACACTCCGTCCCTATACGCGAGAGCGAGGCGCCATGCTCGCTGTGTTCAATACGCAGAACGAGCAGATACACAAGCAAATCAAAAGTCCCATTGCACCGCTCTTCTCCCTCTCCAATGTAGTCATGTTTGAGGGCCTGGTTGAGGAAGTGTTGTCATGTCTCTCAGAGCAATTCGACACTCGCTTCGTGGGTACAGGTAAGATATTCGACTTTGGTGAATGGCTGCAGTATTTCGCATTTGATGTTATGGGAACTATGTCCTTTTCGAGAAGGTATGGTTTTCTTGAGCAAGGTCGTGATGTAAATGGGATGTTGGATGCGATATTTCTGTTTATGAAGACGGCCGCACCGGTATGTGCTCTGGGCAGTATGTTCTATTGTGTAGCTGATACCAATTTCCACAGATGTCACAAATTCCATGGGTCGATCCTTGGATCTACAAGAATAGATTTGTCAATAGCCTCCGCAGGACGCCTGCAATGTCCATCATGGGGTTTGTTGATAGGGTCATTCGCGAACGACTAAATAATCCTGACCATGCCAAGCGCGATAGTCACAGGGACTTTCTAGCTCGCTTTCTGGAGATCCAAGATGCGAACTCGAATGTGCCACCGTGGTAGATATGTCCTCCATGTACGTACACGGTAAATGACACTGACAGAAACCCTACTCACAGGGCCTCAACCGCCTGGACATTCTCAAATGTCATCGCTGGCTCGGACTCTGTTGGAACCGTGATGCGGACTATTATGTGGTATGTTTCTCTTATATTATTTACATCGATTGCAGATTTACAACTAACGACATACAATAAGTGAGTCCCAATTATCGCAATCACACCTCTCAATGCCGCACACCAACATTTCTAAATTCAATAGACAATCTTCTTACCCACCCCGCCACCCTCCAAGCTCTATCCAGTGAACTCATAACAGCGAATCTCACCCTCCCCTACCCGAAATGGAACGAAGTCTGCGACCTCCCTTATCTCGATGCTTGTATTCAAGAAGCTGTCCGTCTGCACCCCCCCTTCGCACTTGTCCTCGAGCGTGTTGTCCCTGCTGGCGGCGTCACAGTCCTGAATCACTATCTGCCTGAAGGAACTTTAGTCGGGGGGAACCCCTACGTGGTAAATCGACACGCGGAAACATTCGGGCCCGATGTCGAGGAGTGGAGGCCAGAGAGATGGCTTGAGGGGGAAGGGCGCAAGAGGCTCGAGCAGAGCGTTCTTACGGTAGGTGTCAACCCTTTGCTAACCAATTTGACTCATGGCTGAGTAGCTAACTGGGGCAGTTTGGTGCCGGACGGCGTGTCTGTCTTGGCAAGTATATTGGGATACTTGAACTGAAAAAATTAGTTCCCTTCTTGGTGCTAAAATACGATGTGAGTTCTCGCTTTATGGAGGGTATTGACCCGGTGTTGAATTAGGTGGTTGCTAATAGGATACTATAGATGAAGATCATTGATCCTGAGAGGTTTTCGGTGGAGAACGGCTTTTTCTTCAAACAGCGCGGGTTTTATTGCAATATTACGAGACGGAAGGAGGGATCAGACCGGGACAAGGCGGATTCAAAGTAGAGCAGGCGAACAGGCTACCTAAGGGGCCAGCTGATGCTTACAAGTACATGTAGGCGATAGATATTACTACCTACTTCCAGATAAGCATGGAAGAGGAAGTCCCCAAAGTAAAATCCAGGCCTTCACACACACACCTCGAGAGATATCCTGCCCTGCCAGGTGTTAAGAACGCTCTCTAATCTGACTGGGGTCATATCGGGGCATCTTTTGGAAAATTAAAAGACAATTGGAGTGCTCAACCCTGCTACTCAGTAGACTACTTTTCACCAAGGGGCCAACAGTCTAAAATTGGGATGTTCCGTTAATGAAACTAGACTGAAACATTCGACTCTGGTTGTCTATGTTCCTGCTACTGTTGGTATTTTCTCGTTTGACAATAGGGTCACGGCGTATGCATGATATGTGTGGGCCCTACCCCCTACCCTTTACAAATCAGCTGAATTATTGCCACCTAAGCTGGTTTTCAAGGCCCACCAAAAGTGCCTTAGTTCACGAAGTATTCAGCTGGCTCTGTTTCCTCGATGTGGCAAGCGTTGCTTTGACAGGCGTATATATAGCGTACTGTCGCCCATATCCACACATTCTGTCAAGGCCCTGCCTATACTATTTATAACCCCCCCCTCAATATAAGTACGAATTGCCATTATCAAAGCTCTTCCTTAGAAGTGCTACCACCACCGGCTCCGCAGTATAACCCCGTCTCGCACAATGGACTCGTCGAACTTTTCACCACCTGGTCGTCAGTTAACTCCACCCTTCTATCAGATCCCGGCATCCTGTTCGACTGTAGACGTCCGGGTGATAGATACGTAAGTCAGGTCCATGTTTCTCCCGACACATCCACCTAACTCCCTTGATTTATAGTAATACACGCCTCTACCTGAAGCCCGGGGCCTTCTACGAGCCAGCCATCCCTAGTGAGGGACCGCGCGTGCCCTCCTACTGCTTCCTCCTCTCGCACGGCGATCGCCACCTTGTTTTTGACCTGGGTGTGCGAATCGACTGGCAGAATTATGCGCCCCAGATTGTGCAGCTCCTCACAGCCACCACGGAGATTACCTCATGCGACAGGGACGTCGCATCAGTGCTCGACAGCGACACCAGTGGGTTGAACATTCGCAGTTCTGACATTGAGGCCATCGTGTGGTCTCACAACCATTTCGACCACACCGGCGACCCGTCCCGCTTCCCGACCAGTACCCAGCTCATTGTCGGTCCGGGCGTCAAGAAACGCTCCTGGCCCGGCTACCCATCCCGTCCCGATGGCACTGTCCTGGACAGTGACGCCGTGGGTCGCGAGATCCGTGAAATAAACTTTGACAACACTGGCCTCCGGATCGGCCGCTTCGCCGCTTTTGACTATTTTGGTGATGGCTCCTTCTACCTTCTAGACGCTCCAGGACATACTGCGGGACATATGTGTGCCCTTGCCCGCACGACAGCCTATCCGCCCTCGTTTGTCTTCATGGGCGCTGACGCCTGCCATCACCCTGGCGTGTTGCGGCCGTCGCAGTATCTTCCTCTTCCCCGGCCACTACCCGGGGGAGATCCAGTGGGTTGCGGCGGATGTCCAGGAGATCTGCTGATGCAGTTGGCCTCTTGGAAGAGCCCCAATGAGCCCTTCTACCACCTGGCCCGTGGGCAGTTCTTCCCTGATTATGCTGAAGCTATCGATACAGTGGCTAAAATCCAAGAATTGGATGCTGCAGGTAACGTGCTAGTTCTTCTGGCTCATGACAACTCGCTAGAAGAACACCTGCCGTTGTTTCCACAGTTAGTGAATGACTGGTGGGCGCAAGGGCTGCGGGACACCACGATTTGGTCATTCTGCAAGGAAATAGGGCATGATAAGTGGGTTTAACACGAAGCTAGGACAGCTAGTCAAGGATATGGGGCTATCGTGGGAGGGTTCGCAGAGGAGCGTAGAGGAATTCATCCCTGGGTATAGTTAAATCAAGATTGAGGACTTGTATTCTACTCATAGATATATTTAAATATAGCTCTTTGAGATAATTCTGAAGTCCACTAGCCTGTTGAACCTTGCTCTAAGGATGAAGAGTACAGTCACTTGAAAAAGCTGAATCCTCCACGCGATTGGAATCTTGGTAGGCGTCGGCCAGTTATTTGACTTCTTCCATTGTAAACAAACCGAAACTCTGTGACTACATGTCCACAATGGTGTGTATGCTCATGGCTACTTCCTCCACTTGAACCAACCCTTGTCCTCCAGTTTGCTGGCTCTCCGCTTGGCCTCTTGCTCTTGCTCCGCCATCTATGCCTGCAGCACCATCACCTTCCTCTCCATATCAGCCTCAGAAGGCATCCCACCTCGCCCGCCGTCCCGCGCCGTCTCCCGATCTGCCGACCCGACATACTCGCCATCCGCGACGCCCAACATCTGGCTCAGGCCCTCAGCCTTACCCAGCAACCACTCGCCGTGTCGCAGCCCATTGCGCCAGTTAAGCGGCAGATTAGCGTAGCCCAAATAAGCGCCCAGCAGAGCGCCCGCAAAGCAGGCATTGGTGTCAGCGTCGCCGCCTCGCATGACGAGGTCTGTGATGAGCGGCTCGAACGCAAGGGCCCGTGATGTGAGCGTTCTGTTTGCAGTATCACACATAGCGAGACGGAGGAGGTGCACGCCCGCGCCCAGCGTCTTGTATACGTAGCCGATCTTGCCGCTGTCGTCCAGCTCTAAATCGTCGAGGCTCTCTACCTTGGCGTGTCGGCGCAGCTCCGAAACGTCCAAGTCTGGCTCGTCTCGCCGTTCCGGGTGCTCTTGCAACGCTTGAGCACGGTGCTTCGCATACCAGTGAATGGCCGCGTCGATCACGGAGTCGATGTCTGCCTCTGTGTGAATATCTCGCAGCACCAGGCCGCGCACGAGCGCCGTGCCAATGGCGCACGAGACCACACATCGCGGGTCGACGTGCGTCACGACCGAAAAGGCGGCTCCCAGGTCAAACGTCTCGTCCAGGTTCTTGTCAAGACAGACCAACCCCAGCGGATGCGTCCTCATGAGACTGCCATTCGGCGCCACGTTGTACTTACAGTTAGTCCAGTGCCGCCGGGCTGCCGCCTCCGGGTCGTCGAGATAGGTCTTTGTCCGCACGATGGCACCCACGGCGCGTCCCAGCCCCAGCGGCAGGGTATCGAGCGGCAGAAAGCCAAACTGCACCCAGACATGGAGTCTGGCTGCAAAGTCCGTTGGGTCGAGAGTTTTGAGGTCCGTGTGCAGGCAGGAGAGCAGCAGTAGCATAGCGTGGTCCGTATCGTCGGTCCACTCGCCAGGTCGATGCGGTCCTCGGTGCGAGTCTCGGCGGAATGGGGTCGCCTGCGACTCTGGGGAGAGCACAAACTTGCGTGCGGGATATGCGGCGGCCGACATGTCGCCGGAGAGGAACTCGGTGTAGAGACCGACCGCGTCGCCCAGGGCGGACCCCACGAGACAGCCGACTATGCTGTCATGGAGGCCTGCCTGGGCCAGGCGATTAAAGCCATCTTGTGATAATTGTATTTTGTCCATGTGGGGATGAACCTGTTGCGCGTGGTGGGCACTTATAGAACTGTTAAATGAAGCCTAAGTGGGAGCCTGTTGAGGAGCCAACAAATGAATAAGCCTCGCCAAGCCGCAAGGCAGACTCGCCGTATACTGAGGTTGGCAAAACGCCACTGTTACCATAATCCGATTCACGGTCCATGATACGAAAAGCTGCTTCTGGTAGGGGAATTCCTCGTGAATGCACTGTGCACGCAGTGGGCGAGGTCCACGATGGCTGGCCACATTATGGCAATCTGTGTGAAGCTTTCCATGGTACCACGTTCTTAATGTTTGGAGCTGGAAAGAGATAATTACGATTGATTGAATCTTGTATGGCGTTAGCCATAGATGTAGGAACAAAGTGGTAGATCGCCATATTTGGTATGCTTGGCAATGGGCATAGATAGTTCGTTGGTTGCCTGGCAGGCAATTCATTAGTTTAATGTCCAGCTCGTCCCCAGCGAAACCGCGAATGCCACTCACGTCGCCTAAATGACCTCATAAAAAACTGTCTTACGATGACATGCCAAGCACACCGTGCCCCGTGGAATCGGACGGGTCAAGAGAGGGTTGCCTGCCGCTTGACAGAAAGGAACGCACCAAAGCAGAGACAAGAGGAATATATCGAATCAGCACAACCGAGCTGCTTGAGCAGATTCTCCTCCATCTTGACATGCAAACCCTCCTCGTCTCGGCAATACGAGTCTGCAGGGCATGGAACAGCCTGATTACAACGTCTCCACGCCTGCAGCGGGCGCTTTTTCTGCTGCCCGAAGACGACCGGGACGCATCGAACACAAATACCATCATCAACCCACTGCTGGCGAAACACTTCCCGCCTTTCTTTACTCCCGTTTACGATATCGGCTGTCCGTTCCCTATCCGGGGCCTAGCACCCGACGAAGGTTGCTACGACTATCTCTTCGAGGACGTCAGCTACAACGGCATGAGTAATTTCAAGTCCATGCCTGTGTACCAGGTGAGCATGGCCAACAACGACTTCATCGACCACGACGGACAAGATCCCAATGCCAATGCAAAGGCCCGGGAGAACAACCCTTATCTCCGAGAATGCGCGTCATGGCGGAACATGTTGACGTCCCAGCCGCCAGCCAGGAAGCTGGGCTACTGTATGCTCTCGACCGGCGGGAACAGCACCATCGCCAGCACCAAGATTCTCTCCATCAAATGCCGGAAGGATGGTGATGGCCAGGGCGGTAGTATAGAAGTGAACTCGGCTGCGAACCAAAACCCTCCCATACGCATGGCAAACCTGTATGCACAAGTGTTGCTATATATGAAAATGGGATCGAAGCATTGTGGCTTTAAGATCATGTGTAACCTGCAGAATCATGATCGGGACTACGTTACCCAGTACGCTTCTCTGCCCTACTATCCAAGCTTTGCGTGGATGGAAGACCATATAGGAGTGTTGTACAATCAAGGCGCAGACATCGTGTTGCAGCACGTTGTTCGTCCTCGGGGCTGTTTGTTCATGGGATCGAACCCAGAGGCAGACGCCGTCTGGTGGCGGTGCCAGCCTGAAAGCCTACAGTCAGGTTTATTCTCTGAGCAAATATCTAAAGAGTGGAGATAAAAATCGAAGTTGGATTCAGTAAGTCAGTGGCCATATGCCGCAAGCCAAGTGCTTGTCCACCCATGCTTTAACGATCATCTCCATATGCGGATCAAGCCAGTATATTTTGCTGTATCCGGCCGAATCGAAATAAAGATCGTCATGTTAAAGTTCAAACCTTGGCCAAGCGCCCCTAGAGCGTCATTTCGTTTTGCGACGCTAAAATTGTATGCCAGACAGAATAGAATTCATCCCACATGCTTTCATTCACCTCATCTGTTCCTTGGTCATTTTTTGAGCTGAAGAGCGGACAACAGCGCTAGAGACCCTCCATATTAATATGTCACAGGCAAAAAAGCGCTTTGAATGAAGAAAGCTCAGTCGCAGCACCTGTTAGTTAAGATGATAAGAAAGTCGCCCTTATAAAGTACCATTGGGCTCATGAATAGTCCTCCTCTGTTTCGCCTCTTAAGAACACAAAGGCAATACAGAAAGATCATTGCCGGGTATTGACCCACCTATATCAAGAAGTAGCATGTAGTATTTGCTGGTCCTGTATGTACAGTCGAGCAGCAACGCATCTGTATTACAATAAAAATGTGCGAGAGAGTCCGGGTAAGTGAACAAGATAGCTGTCAGTCAATTGTCTGTATATAATTGCGCCCGACACCAGAATGCTCGCTTGTGTGATTAATGAACTGTACTTGAATGGTGCTTTGGCTCTCCCGTCGATCCCTTCTAATAGCCGCGGCGATCATCAACACTTATATCCTACACGGTGCGTCTCGCGTGAGCCAGTAGGAAAGCGCTGATACGATTAGTCATTAGGTTCCCAGGGAACCAGCGTCTGGGGCGTTTAATTTATTCACACCTGGCACTTCCACGTACGTCTCGACATAGGTCGTACCAGGCGATTACCGCGCAAGAAAGATTCGGCTTAAACTAAGTAGAGCTGCTCAAGACTCTGCAGATTCATGTACCAGCTCAGCGCATCGCAATGCGCTTCCGCGAGAGCTAACAAGACATTAGAATGAGCGATGACGCACCGTACGAGAAAGAAATCAACAAACTAGTCGCCGAGCATGGAGCGGTTCCTCCCCCGTACGTCACGTTCCCAGACATACACCCATTTGAGATTTTCTGGCGTATGGGCTCCGGCGAATCTTATTTAATGATGTATTCTGCCTGGAGCACTAAAGAAGGAATGAACGAAGCCCAATGGATTGAATATTTCCGCAAGTTCCCACCCCCGCCGATTTGGCTCACGTGGGTGATTGATTGTATTTGGAATGTCGAGGAGAATATCGGAGAGAATAGCGACGACGAGGAGGATTTCAATTTAGATCCGTTCGAATTTGACTACTGGTGCTACTTCAGACGCACAGCGGCACTTGGCTTCGGAACGGAGTCGGATTGTAAACGTGCTTGGGAAGAGTGGGTTCCAGAAATATAAAAGGAAAAGAACAGCAAAATAAAAGGAGTGAGAGTAGAAAGGAGAGATAAATAGGAAGGATGCCGTGTGAGAGACGTTCACGCTAAGAATACATTATTGTCAGTCTCAACTAAATATATAGTGTGCTTCAGCAGAAACTACTTCTCAACACACCGAGCACCCTACCAGCGCAAGGCGAAGAACAAGCAATCATATAATTTCGGATGCTTTAGATTATAGGCATATCAAACTATACTCTACACTTGCAACAGTCACCGTTATCTCGTCGCGTGGCGATGCCTAAGTGTCAAAGGTAATATTCTGACGAAATTGCCGATCTGGGATTAGAAAAATGTAGAGGCATCCATACCAGAAAAAAGATCATCCCACTGGAAACCATCCAGATCTACTAGTTCCTCAGACTCTGAGCCAGCTGATTGCCATATGACGACTGACCTGTCATAACAGGCATTTGGTCTGGAACAGCACCCATCGGACTGCTTTTGTTCGTGTCAACGGGGTTGGGAGTCCCCGCGAATGACAGTGTATCGGGCCTCTGGTATATTTGCGCCGTCGCGACACCTATAACCGGAGTTGTGCTGGTGGGAGGAGCAGTAGAGGTTCTCCCCAGTTGGAGCGGTGCGGATACCCGTGAGATCTGCTGCTGGGCGCGATGCTTCTCCAAGACCTGGGTTAGCGACTCGAGTAGGTTAACCGTAGCTAGCGAGTGGCTTCTTGCATCTTCCAGCATGCGTAGGGCCTCGGGGACCTCCCCATAACGTATTTCATCCTGCAATGAGCCCGTTCCGTTGACGCACGCATCCATTAGGAGCACAATGCTCGCCATGAAGACGCCATACTGGCGGATAAGCGCAGTCAGATCTGCACGAAGGGGTGCTGGGCGCGCTCGAGCTGTGCTTCAGCGCGGATGAGCTGTCGCACGGACTTGAGACATGTCTCTCGAGAGGACGTGTAGGCTGGGTTGTTGTTCGGTCCGGATGTAAGATATGTGAGGTGCAATTTACACCGCTGGGTGTGGATCACCGCGTTGGGTAAGTAGGCTTGAATAAAGATGCCGCTTGTTGTTGAGTCGGAGCTGGACTCGTAGGTATCGAGGTAGAAGAAGGATGGGATGTCGTGGATCATCTGGTCGAGCTCGAAATCTATGGCTGTGACATGAGTGTAGTAACTCGCCCCGCCTGCGCTCGTCACAGCCATGGAGGTGTAGTCGACGATGCTGCGTGAAATCTCGGCAAGGCGAAGCCGCTGGAGGAAGTACGACATCTCGGTCGGTTGGGAGATCGGTAAGTCTAGGTGCAGTCCGGCGTCAAGCAAGTGTACGTCATTGAGGTTGCGCGGCTTCTTCACTATCATTTGACGCGGGTTGGCCTGGTACACACCCTCGCCTGGATCACCGCACCTCGCGGCCAACAGCCTGGCTCAAATTATCAGTATTCCATACTTGCGTTGAGAACGGGTTGACCAAAGACATACCAGTCGGTTGCGATCAAGTACCACCACACCCGACGACCCATCTCAGCTTCGATAGTGTGTGCAGAAACCGCATTGGACTCATGGTCTATGCGGTGGAGGTCCAGCTCGCGGCTTAATAGAAGCCCTATCGAGATGAGGGATCGATAGCGCAGTGAGACGCCCTTCCCTTCCAATACCTTCATTCAACATTAGTGCTTGAGTATAACTTATGTACCATAGGGATCTATTACTGGCCCTTACTAGCACCCGTAACAAGAACAACAGTAGCCATGCTCGGTTCAACTATACTGAGTTACTCTCTTGGCGAAAAAGATTCTCCCTGTTGCATTCTACCAATTCGTTTAGCTGTTTGGGTTTTCTTGTAGGCCTTGATTATGGACGCAAGGTGTCGACGGCGTCATACTCCTGGGAAAGGAGGGCGTGCAGCTTACTCCGGCCCTGAGACGTGCCTGCATGTAAGCACCGACACTGCGAGAGTTCTGCTTATCTCCCGGAATCTCCCCGGGCCTCTCGGGTGCCCGAGCCTAGTAAGGACCTAAAGAGACGCAGCCTGGAGTAGTGTCTTAACCCCTGAGGGGAGAGAAAAGGGTATGGTTAGAGTGGATCTATTGGGTTTTCCGGGTTGCTATCAGTCACTTGTCTTATCCCCACAGCCACACATTCATACATGACATACTCTATCTCTAAGATTCAATAGTACGGAAAAGTATTTATCAATCAGGATAGCCGCCATTCGATCCTTCTTACTCAATTCCGGAGTCATACCTGCTTGATATACCACGCACATGTACCACTAGTTAAATCAGCGATATGGGGTTATTCCCAAATATAGTGGACCGGACAACGGTATTGCCTTCCTACTTGGCCATGGCAGATTCCAGGACGGTGTGAGCATCAGTTGTACAGTTGCTGGTGGGCTTCCCTGTATTTAGGTCCCATCGGACTCAGCTGGAGTACAAACTAGCGCTTCAGCAAATCAATTCACTAGAGATGCAGACGATGACAATCCATACATTAGGTGATGAAAAAGCCCTGGTCAGGTTTTACGCCATGTAATTAAATGACCGTGACCTTTTGGTTTCCCAGGTGAGGTTCTGTTTGCGTGCGTATCAGAGTATGACATTTGGCCGGTAAAAAGAAGTATCATATTCATCGGAAGCGAATCTATGTCAAAGTGAAATATAATAGTGTTAGTATAATATTACTACAGAGCCGAATTGATCGAAGGATTCGACTGTTCGACCTTTATTAGATCCTGGTATAGCATCTATGGCTTGTCCTTCTAGTTATGTCGCCATGTTCACGTTTCCCTAATGATTAATCACTCCCTTGGACTTATCAAACGCCAGTCGTATATCTAGCCTAAACGTTGGGTGAATGCTCGGCTAAATGGTCGTCCAACATGGCCAGGTGAGGATCCTGCCAAAGCTCAGGCAGGAAGCTGAGCTGCATACCCCACGAGTACAACACGGGGTTCGGGGACCCATTCGAACCCGATGCCGGTGTTACTGTACCTGTATCCAATGCGTCATTATTATTAAGATACGGAAAGGTTGAGCGGCCATCATTGTTATTGGTTGTAGCCAAGGCTCCAGCTGGGTTTTCTAGACCGGTGCTTTGTGAAGCAGCTGCATTGTTAATAGCCCGAAGAGCAACTTGGTAGTATAGCCGACTGACGTGGTAAGGCACGGCAGTTTCACAGTTTGGATCATGCTTTTCAAAAAACCTGATCACCGTGCCCAGAAGATGTAAATCTTCACGGGCCTGGGGGCTAGTTTTGTTTTCCAAGATGTTGATAAGTAGGATATCGACAGTCCATGCAATGTGATATACCAGGTAGCTAGCAAAGCTGTCAGTATTGCTCTCATGGTTGCTGTTTTGTGCAGGAATGTGGCCACTTACATGGTGAACGGGTGGCCATGGTCATGATAGTTCAGTAAGGAGATCGACGCCCGCGCAGCACTAACGCACAATGCCACACTAGAGATGACCAAGTCGCTCTGTTCGTATTGGTTCCAAAGAGGGACAACTTTACTAAGCACAACGGAGTGGATAGATATTAGAAGTTGAAAGTAGGAGAAATGGAGTGCTGTTAGAGACATTAGACGCGAGCCGTCTAAGCCAGTTAAAGGAGTTTGTGGGCGAGCCATGTCTGGGATTTTCTGCCTCCACCTTTGTAACTCTTCGTCGAGCTCCATCACTCCGGCATATAACTGTTCGGGAGACTGTGTAGAGGCCTGCGGGGAGCGAAGCCTGTCGTAAACTTTGTCTTGGATCTCGCCCAGGATAACCTGTTCACGGAGCCAGTTTAACGTGGAGCCATCATCAAGTGTAAGCGTGTTACGCCCATCTTCTGGGTCCTCCTCTGGCAGAGAGGGGAGCAGGACGCTTTTAAGTGAGGGTGGTGTTGAATGGTACATGGCCAAGTCTTGCTCTATTATAAAGGCATGATAAAGCAGGGTCCTTTCGTGCAGAGCTGCAGAGCTACTTTGAGTGGGTACAGCATGGTGGTAGCCAGCCATGAGAATTGACTGGATGGCGGCTCCGAGGATGGCGGCAGAAGTATGGCTTCTTGATGTGTATATAAGGTACATAACCTAAGGACAATTAGTGAAGAAGCTCTCGTTGTAAGAATCAGGATCAGGACCATGAAAAGCATTGTCGCGATGCTAAATTTATTGGCGCTCTGCAACATCATCGCAGGAAGCATACTGAAAGAATTTTCAAAGCACTTTTCGGCTTCATCGGGTCGCATATTATCAAATTTGCTTAGCGAATGAGCTAACACAATATTCAATGCTGCATATGATGTGGCATCTGAGAAGAATTGGTCGTTGAGATACCTTTGAAGTATTTCGGCCAGGTAATCGTCTTCGAGTAAATGGATGGAGCTATTATAGGTGGCGGAAAAGTCTGATGGGTATGAGATTTTTGAGCAACCGTATACATGCATAGAGGCCATTACCTTTGACGCATGCGATGATTGTATCATTAGGGGGTAAAGGATGGTTGGCCCGCCCTTCCAAATTTCCCAAAGGTACTTTCCTTGGAATCTTCAGGCCGGACAGGAGGGAACTAAAGCTGTCATCGCCTACCAGTGCATCTATCCAGCGGATACCATCGGGAGAAAGTATAGCGCATGATCCTGTTGGATGGTGTCTAAGTTAGTTGTGGTCTGTGAATCTTGGACTTTTCCTGCGTCGCGTTAGTTACCTATACACAATCTCTCGCCATTCCTATCCTTCTTGTCAAGAGAGATTGACGTATCCTCCTGCGAGCAGAGGTTAATTGTCGGCGGACTTTGACTTGGAGCCGGCGAAAGCCCCGTAGTCTGTTGATCGACTGGGCCTGTCATATCATGTAGATATTCGCGTCTCATTTGGGTAGTTGGGAGATTCATGGATTCCGAAATCAAACGCTCCATATTCTCCAATCGCTGAGTCAGAGCACGGTAAGACCTGTGTCACAAGATGAGCACAGGGTAACTCAGTGTGTAGGCACGATACAATGCTGAGTAGTACATTTTATTCTTTGGGGGACGCTGCCTTATGGCACTGTACTCGCAGCTATCCCCTCTTTCATTACATCGTGCGCAAGACGGGCGATTCCCGTCGCATCTAACCTAGAGCAATCAAGGTTAGAGCGATATGGTCGAAACCCCGAAGGCAGGTTGGACTACCTTGCGCGTACGGCATGGGATGCACGCCCATCGTGACTTAGTTTCTCTATTGGGGTTTGAGTTCTCCATTGTGGGCTGGTCCCTCACACTTGTGTTCTTGGCTGGAAGAACGGATCGCGATGATATTCGGATACAAATCGACGCCAGATCATCTGACCGCCCCACTTTTTTTCCAGGCAGCGCTTAGGCAGGCTATATTGGGCGTAATGATGTCAGTACGAGGTATTCGATCCATGTATATTATATACATATTTCTCCTGATGTTGGAATCTTCATACCTTGTTAGCCTTTATTCATTGCCTTACTGATGTCGTTTCCTACAATTAATGTCAAATGCGTGGAATCTTACCGATCCTACACAGAAACATATATTTTCTGAATGGTTTGCTGCATTTTTCTTAAAAGGAAGCATCTTTCTTCACTCCCCCCACCTTTCTCTGGAGATTTTCAGTAACAGGTTCTCCGAGCTACATAGTAGAATAAGAACTGAAGTGGTGATGAGAGGATACACACTACATGGGGTAGAAAAGTCAAGTGTGACCACTGAAAACGGGGACGGTTGAGAAGAATGTGGGCTTGGGAGGGCGGAGCTGCAACCATGTGTGGATAGATTTAGATCTCTAGCTATGGGTTATTCATATCTGGGATTGCCCATAATATTATGCATGGGAGTGAGGATTGAGGCTGCCCCTTGTGGTGAGAATTGTCGAGGTCGAACAGTCGAGCGTGGGGCTCGAATAGGGCCATACAGAAGAACAATAAAGAAGAAAAGAATCATTCAGACTTATGCATCCCTTCTCTCTATTAGTGAACCCCTTATATTGTTTGGTGTATGATATCTCCTCCACCTTCATTGGGTGGAAAAGTGGCGCTGCGTAACATGGAGGAGAATTAACCATAATTAGGGTTTCCGGTTGAACATGTTACATGTGTATAAGCCATGGCGCAAATGAGCTGACCGAGAGCCAAGGGTGCAAATATTCGAAGCTATTTAACAGCTCGGAGGAAGGTCCGACAGTAATATCAGCTCGGAATTGTGATCTACGCATGGTATGCCACTGTTCATCGGCGCCCTTCACTAAGGAATGTTTGATGGCAAGCCATTAACCATTCGCAGATAGACCCGAAGTACAACTGGTGGCACCACTTGACGCCCACCCTATTGTTGCCCAGACGATGAATATCTGGGCTATTTTCACGGATAGTGTATACACAAGCACACCGTATAAGCCTTGGTCCACCCAGGTCAAGGAACATTGACGGAAGCATCAAAAACTCAGAGTGTACGCAATCACTAACTGATGCTCTAGAAGACCTCATTGAAGACCGGCAGCGTGACCAAATACATACACCCTTTTCCATGATCGCGTCTAGAGTAGGCACCAATGAAATGGAACCACTCTACAGGTACCTAGCGTGATGGTATGCTATCATCTGGCACTCTCGGCGGATTGCCGTCGCCCAGTTTTTCGGTTCTATGTCCGTGATTGGTGCCCCATTTCCCCAGACATGAGTAAAGCTGGACAGCCTGGACTTTCCCTGGATAGAAACCCTAAGCCGCCGAGCCAGGTTGGAAAATAGCGCAGGTAGTATACCCCACAATGGCATCACAAATGGACCCCGGATGGGCGGGGAAGCTATGCAAGGTGATTGTTGGGTTGCCTTCGGCCACACGAACATTGTTCCCCGGTTTTCCTCCTGCAATCCGGGGCAGCCTGCTGTTCAGCAGGCTTATATAAAGCTCGGCCCGTAGGCATGGGCCCGAAATCAATGCCTGTATGTACTAATATTTTCAACAACACCAAGTACTTGGGCTCATAGTTCAGAAGATGCTGCTGTCCTTGGAGAAACCCTACTTTGGCCTGACCGGGGGATGGCTGACCTTTTGGCTCACCGTGAGTTGTGATGTTTACGATACTCCATCTCAGTTAGGAGCAGAATATAACAAGGGTGAAACCATAGGTCGCTTGCGGTGTGGATATGACGCTGTTCGGATACGATCAGGGTGTCTTCAGTATGTCACTCCCTCCTTGTGAATACAGGAAAGCTAACCACCTTTTCGCAGGCGGCGTAGTAGTGACGCAAGACTTCCTAGAGCTCCATGACTTGGTCGGCCCTACAAAGACTACAACACTTTCAACAGTGACTGCCATCTATGATATTGGTTGCTTTTTCGGTGCCATTCTCGCCTTTGCGATCGGCGACCGCCAGGGCCGTAAAAAATGTCTCCTCTGGGGGACTGCAATTATAGCAATAGGGACCATTCTACAGGCATCATCATACAGCTTGGCCCAGATGTTCGTCGGCAGGGTTGTACTAGGGTGAGTTGATTTGTCTTTCGGGCCAAGCTTCTCAACGGAAGACTAACCAGGTGTACAGTGTCGGCAATGGTATGAACACAGCCACAGCACCCATCTGGCAAACTGAAACAGCACAGGCCAAATGGAGAGGAAAGCTCGTTATCTTTGAACTGGGGTTGAATGTTGGTGGCTACTGTATTGTCAACTGGATCAATTACGGGCTATCCTTCCACGAGGGACCCATCGCGTGGCGTTTGCCTATCGCTCTGCAGCTCGTCCTTGTGATCATGTTATTCCTCACTGTCCCGTGGCTTCCCGAGTCTCCAAGGTATGCTGGTGATTCCCTGCTTGGAGACTGTCAAGTTATTCTAAGATCCATCCAGATGGCTTATAGCACACGATCGTCATGACGAAGCGGCAGAAGTGCTTGCCTGTATAGAAGGAATGTCCATCGACGACCCCTATATCACGACCCAGCACAACGAAATTAGATTTAGCATCCAGTACGAGCGCGATAACGCCGTTCGGTGGCGCGACCTCTTGCTTCGTCGGCAGTCTGACGGCACCAAAACCCTTCGCCGGTTGCTCCTAGGCGCCGGCACACAGGCCATTCAGCAGCTTCAAGGTATGTTTGTATTCCAGGCAATGAGCACCATTCGTACACAACTCCCAGCTAATAAACCATGGCGTGTCTAAAGGAATAAACATCATGAGTTATTATTTGCCCACAGTGTTGATGAACTCGGTGGGACTCTCGAATACCATGGCACGACTGCTGACTGCCTGCAATGCGACGTCATACTTCATCTTTTCTTGCCTGGCAGTTACAGTGGTCGAGAGACTGGGCCGCCGAGGTCTGATGATGCTTTCTGGGTTTGGCCAGTTTGTTTGCTTCCTAATAATCACTATCTTGCTTAGGTTTGCCGAGATCGATAAGGGATACGCCACTGCCTCAGTTGCCTTCTTTTTCCTCTACCATATTGCATTCGGAATGGGAATGCTCGGCGTGCCATGGCTGTATCCAACCGAAATCAACTCCTTGCCGATGAGGACTAAAGGGGCGGCGGTTGCAACGGCAACGAATTGGTAGGAGATGTCAAACGGGATTAGTTACTAGTGTGTGTCTTGAACTAACGTGATGATTTAAAAGGATCACCAATTTTGCCATCGTTGAGATCACACCCATTGGGATCCAAAACATTGGGTGGCGATTCTGGATCGTGTGGACTGTGCTTAACGCGGTCTTTCTACCGATTATCTACTTCCTTTATCCGGAGACAGGTTTGTTGACACATAGCTGTTTGATGCGTGGACGACTTGCTGATCAGACTGCAGCAAACCGAACGTTGGAAGATGTGGATGCCTACTATCGGTCCAACCCGCCATTGATGGTGGCCGGTGATTCGGATGCCACCTCGACAAAGCGTCCGCTTAGGTTCATCCAACACGAGGATAGTGAAGTCCAGAGGAGGGCGAAACGAACTGATTCTCTGTCCTCTAAGAGTGACGAGTTCGCTAGTGCAGAGCATGTAGGATGACTTACGATACCCACAAGAGGGTAAAAGTTTCATCCTTTGAGAATGTGATGCATTCATGACTGGACACCTCTACTATCCACAAGGAGCTATATAGACGACTGAATTCAAGCCTTCTTCTTTTATTCTTTCGTCGGTGCACATGCATGGTCGTCTCGGAGATATCTCCGAGGCCAGTAAGCCCTGACTGACCCACACCGCGCGACGGAGTAAGTCCCGACACGTCCAAAACATGATCGCTTCCCTAATTACTCAATATGTAGGTGCGAGAAATAGAGCCAGGGAACTGTATTCCACAAGGCGAAAAGGTCAGAATGCCCTGGACTGATCTATATACCAAGCCGCCGTTACATAGGGTTAATATTCAGGTACCACGTAGGACCAGTGACGTCGATATAATTATCGTAAAATCAAAAATACAAAACCAATATGATTTTTAGAGAGAGTCAAAGAAGTTGACATTCCCAAGACACGCTATCTAGTCATAGTCATAGTATCTCTTACCGAGTGAAAGGAGGAAGCAACGCGGCTGAATCGCGATGGACACTTAGCAACAGGAGGGCACAGTAACAAGAACCCCGCGTCACTCAAAGGACCTGAATGCCAGGTCAAGTTCGAAGGTATATAGCATCGTTGACAACCTTAGCCGACGCCTTGTTCAATTCTGCATACCACTTGTTGACAACCATTTTAAGCCGATCCTTGTCGATATTCTCCTCAGTTGAAGCGTCTATCTTGACCAAAAGCTCGTCCTTGTCAGCTTGTTCCGGTGTCCCCTTGATTGCATTCCGAAACTTCTGCTGCACCGTTGGATCCAAGTTTGACCGCATAACCACTTCTAAAAGACCAGGTTTATCAGCGAAAAGCTTGTCTTTCAGGTAGAGTGTTAAAAGTGGTGAAGTCTGAATCTTTCCCGAAAGTGCTTGTTTGGCGTTTTCATCCAGGGATCCTTTGATATCGTCGAGAAAGTCGTCCTTCTCAGGCTGCTCACAACTTGACTCCACTAATTGTACGAAAACAGTTTTATCATTGATAAGCCTGTTGGCCAAGTAGGACTTAGCACTTGGCGAACCCTGAATCGCTGTCAGGAGCTCCTGCTTCTCAGTTTCTCCCAGGGTTCCCTCTATTGCATTGACAATCCTGTTCTGCCTAGTTGGATCCGCCCACGTATCTGCGGACTTGACCACTTTTAAGAGATCCCTTTTGTCGGAGATAAGTTTCTGGATAATGTAAACTGCGCACTGAGCAGTTCCAACGCCAAGTGTCCAGCCAGATCCTCCGTGTCCATAGTTATGAACGAGAGGAAATCCACAGTCCTCATCAGCCCTGACCTTGACATTCTTTTTGGTGAATGGACGCAACCCTTGGGCAAAAGGGAAGTGGTTCACAAAGCCTGCGTGACTCAGGCTGGGCATGAACTCTCCTGCCCTGTCCCACATCTGCCGGACTTCGGGCGATTCAGCAGTCAGGTTCATCGTATCGCTATGTGGTTGGATGATGGAGCCCACGTAGAGGATGTCGTCGTTTCGAGGCACAATGAACACCGTCTTGGTGGGTACATTCCCCGGCCCCATTTGTGCAGGAACCAGATAGGCGTCATTCAGATGACGGAACTTGCTGTAGCGCGTATTCTCAACGCGACGGATTGCGCCACGAACAGGGTACACATCCTGGTCGTTGACTAGCTCTTTGGCACCGAGACCTGTGGCATTGACAATGACATCGGCCTTGTAGTCTGCTAGCAACTGCCGACCAGTTTCCTTAAGATCTTTCACCACTCGGGTCTCCAGTGTTGCCCCCTTTCGTTGGACAAGCGCCATGAGATAGCCCAATGCCTTGTCAGTATTGATAATCGGGGCGTCATGGGTGTAGCCGCTTTTGAACTCCTTTCCACCGTAGCTCAGATTGATAGATGGTTGCTTGAAGGCATTTGTGATTTCCTCTTTGTTATGGTATACAGCATGATTGCGAATCATCCTTTTCGCGGCATAATTCCTGGAGGCATCGCCGCTGATGACGTAAGTCTTGATGGCCTTATACTTGTCGTTGTGTTCATATTGTGGCAATGATCTGTCGGTGCAGCTGGAGATGACGTCTTCATAGAAGAATTGATGAAGCTTGGCGACGGAGAGGCCCAAGGAGTGACCGCCTTTCTCGTGTTCGTCGGAAATGTCTGCATAGGCCGTATAGAATGCATAGCTTTGCATGGCCCAGTCTCGATAATGTTGCACAGTGGCCCAGCCCGCGCCTGGAGATTCGATTTCAGTCAAGCCACAACCCCCCGGGGGCATCTCCCATAAAGCCCCCGCAATCTGAGAAGTGATACGTGACTCGCTGAAGTCCCAAGTGCGTGCCCACTCTTTGGCAAGAATTGTTACTCGAGTGCCCTGGTCGAGAAGCATCCATGCGACCAGCAATCCGCTGACACCACCGCCGATAATGAGCACATGCGAGCTGTCGGCTTTGGGTGCCTCCCGCGGAGAATCGCCAGTTGAGACTTTAAAGTCCTTAGCACCTGGAGTGTATTCACCTTTGAATACTGTCACTTCGGGTGCTGATACCATAGTGCTGAGTTTGGGGAAGAGTAAACGAATTCAGTGGTAGAGCTGGAAGCTGATTGCCTTGGGATATTCAATACTTCAAATCGATGTGGATGGGATACTAGATCGGACGAGGTAGCTTCGCAGTATTTATAGGCTGAGATCTACTGGCACCATGCAATGGCATGCTCAGTGATAGTGCCTCGGTGGCATAGCATGACTTGCTTTGCTACGAGGGATATATTCCCGGCCTCGCACACCTGCAGACTCTCCAATGACAGTTTTCCTTTGGCCAAGAATCCTCGTGTGCCATAAGAAGCAGCACATCATGTGCGATGAGCCTTGTCCACGTAGCTCTGGGGCGAATATCTGATGATCATCTCGCTTCCTGTCTGGGAACCAGGCGTCCAGTGCACATTTCAGTTCAGTAAAAGCCCTGCCTGTGTAGTGGAATTACACCATACGCTTCTCCAAGTGCCCGGACATTCCTACAAGTCAGCATTCCAGATGCATGATACAGGAAGCTACAGCCATCGTGGACCAAGTATATGAGAGGAGGAGAGGTCGAATCCACTCTCTTGCCTAAGCGAGATTGTGAGGAAAGCAGCCTAGAGTGTGTCGATCTGAGGTCTATACAATTGGCCTTCTCCGATCCATTCCAGATATGGTTGACTATAGCCATGCTCCAATTCGCAAGAGGGGTTATGAACTTCTTCACTAGGAACGATTCAAGTTTGGCAAGAGTCTCAAACCAGACTCAAGACCCTAAAACATTGATTGCCTATTTCGGCACCAACAGTGAGAATAGTAATATTATTTGTTAGGGATACAGTGTTTTTCACACTTTCTTCGAGCACCCACAATTTTAGGTTCACGGTCCATCCCGATTCCCGACCGCGCATGTATGCATATACACGTCAGTCATAGTATGCTGCGAAAGTCGTGCTTCTCTCCAATTTCCTTCCTTTTTTTTTTCCTCCAATAAGCAAGTACAGCCATTCTCATCAAGTGCTAGAGCGCAGAATGGGTGTAGTGTCAATGCACCAGACTCGTAGCTCTTGTTCTCTCACTGTGTACATCGCATATACGATGTCTCAGCCAGCCGTCTGCTGAATTTCACCGCGTACTCAGTTCGTCTGCATGCATATGCTGGCTGTGGGGGACCGACCTCTTTCCAGCTTCAGTATAACCGGAATCCCTCTCTTTTTGTTCATACTCGGCGATGTATTTTCTCGTTCCAGTAGACCGCGTGCACACTGCCCACGGCAGGTATTGCAGCACATGGAATGAGGACGCATAACAGAAATCCTTCTGTGACTCAGGCCTCTAAGAAGGATGTCAGGTGATGTAACATGTCGTACTTGCGTATGTAAATCCCCCATGACAAGGAATTCGAATTATGTAACCTCTACTGTGAAGCAAGCACTGCATGACCCCTACTTTGGTAAGATCCTGTAGGTTGATAGAGTCTGGATACTGGCGCTAGCACCTGCGAGGGAGTACTTCGCGAGCCGGAAGCCCTCTATGTGAGGCATTGTGATGCAGTAGACTAGCCACTATGCTGCATAGTCGCTGCACTTTGGGGTAACTATCCGTGAGTTTGGCGCTGAATTGGTAGCTGAATCTCAGTTTGATTTGCAAGGTTTGAAACCTGCACATCATATCATATGCAATGTCATATCATATGCAATGGCCTTGCTGATCCCGCTTGCGGGCATTGTGGATCGTGATTTCGCTGGTACTTTGCAACCACGGTCATAGACAGTCCTTTGGATAAATTTTCCTACTGCCAAGACCCGAGCGAGGCTCCAACGGTCGCAGTGACGCTTAAACGTGGTACTAATAAACCCATCTCACAGCGTTATTGCCTTTCTGATTGGGTATCGAGGACACGCTGATCGTTCTTGTGGCTGGCTCAGATCTGCCCAAGGGGTGTGCCGATCATAGCGCAACACAACAAGTGAGCTGGTCGGCCTATTCCAAATATTATTTGCAGACGTGCAGATCATGCAAAGTGGCATCTTGTGACATCCTATTACGTGGCCAGTGGAGCTTGGGCAGAGTGGACAGCAGCTGTTTTCAAACATTGATTACTCCACGATGGTTGGTTTCGAGCGAGGTGCTCTGGGGTTGAATGTTGGGCATATCCATGTCGGAGTCTCCTGGAAGGCTGTCGTTCCTGCCCCGCACAGCCTGCAGAACAGCACACCATCCATGATCGTCGCATACCCACTTGCGATTGAAGTAAAGCCAATTAGGCTCGCCTGCGAAGACCGTTGCCTCACATGGGCCTGCGTTAATGAGGCTTCCCCCCAAGTTAGTCAGTATATTCTTAGCTGGAACCTGGCTGTAGAGCTTTATATAGATAGTTTTTTCTACTCATCCAAGACCCCGCCTTGGCATAAATGTGAATATAGGGTGGATTTGTAGTTGGAGATCCTTGTTTGTATTAAGGCGATGGAGATGTCTCATTGAGTAGTGCCGTCAAAGTGGCCGGCATCATTACCGTCAATTCATTGTTCTCGAAGTTGGCAAGGACAAACTTGAACGGAGTCTCCAACTTTTCGAGCTGAAGCTAGTCGACGAGCATGGGAAGCACCTTGCATCCCTGCACCAGTGGGATATCGATAAACGTGTCTTTAAGTCATTGGGTATCTCAGGCGGTTTGGCTGTAGCACAGATTTATCTGCTGCTCAGCTCCGCACTAGTTCAACATGTTGCACGTCTTGTGGATGTTCCTAATGCTTGTATGACCATGGGACTAATGACGGATGTCTTTGATTTTCATATTCGGCCGGAAGCTGTTCTGGTCCCAGAGAGATATGAGGTACACTGAGTTTGCGGTGTTCGAAACTCGGAAATGGAAATATGGGATGAAAGATGACGACATTCCGATGGAAAAGTCTGGCTATGGGTACTACCCATCCTCAGCGCCATATTCAAGCATCAGACTGACCACATTCTGATGTTCACCCTGGGCAGCACACTCGAGTGCTGTCATGCCAAACGAGTTTTTGCACTTCATATCAGCACCCTTGTCAAGCAGCAACATAACCAGATCCTCATACCCATAACTGGCAGCGTATATCAGTGCTGTATTGCCCTCATCATCTTGACAATTTAGATTAACACCACTTTTAAGTAGTAGCTGGACTATACCAACATGTTCTTGTAAAGTAGCCCAGATCAGTGGTGTGAAGCCCTCCTCGTCTCTGCACTCTAGACCAGCGCCACTATCAAGTAGTAGCCTGACCACATGTTCATTCTCCTGTGTGATAGCACACAGAAGGGGTATGGAATCATGTCTGGGGTCAGTGCCATCTCCATGCCCAGGATCAGCGCCCTTTTCAAGCAACAGTCTGACTACACACTCATGCCCTCCGGCGGCAGCATATGCCAGTGGTCTGCGACCTTGATCATCTCCACGCATAAGATCAGCCCCTTTCTCAAGTAGCAGCTTAACCACACCCGCTTGTCCATTTTTAGCAGCGTATATCATGGGTGTGAGACCAGCGTCATCGCTATCCTCGAGACCAGCACCGTTTTCAAGTAACAGTCCGACGACACCCTCATGTCCGTTTATTGCAGCATGGATTAGTGGTGTGCCACCACCATAATCACCACGCTGAACGTAAGCACCCATTGCAAGCAGCAGCCCAACCACATCCTCGTGCCCATTTTTGGCGGCATATATCACGGGTGTATAGCCGTAACAACCTTCACTGTGAATATCGGCACCCCGTTCAATCAATAATCTAACCACATCCAAATGTCCGGATGAAGCGGCACATATCAGGGGTGTTTGACCATCCTTATCTCCGTCTCTGCACTCTACATCAGCGCCCCTTTTAAGCAGTGCCTCTATAGCTGATTTATATCCATGTCGCGAGTACCATAACAGCGATGAGCCTCCGGAGACTTCAATATCATGTTTGTATAGTGGACCCATTTGTTGAATGGCGTAAATACGCGAACTTGCCCTTAATATAGAAAGAACATCCTCTGCGTTTGGTAGGCTTTCAATGATGAGAAGTAGTACCTCATTGGGAAGGTTGAGGAGAGACATTGTAAAGGCAAAGATAGCCTAGTTATCGAGCTACTTCTCAACAGTTCTAAGTATATTTGGCCATTTCCCTGATTGAAAAACAAATGCGGTATTCAATGTCTGGAGTGCAAGTATTCCATAAAAGAAAAGAGTTTGATGCGCTTCAGCTAAACAGATGATCACATGACCCATGTACACACTATACCAGACGCAGTAAAGGCCAGCTTGACCCGTGACCCGTACTTGTGTGGAGTAAGCTTCTTAGACCCACCGCTCCTCGCAAGGGTTCTTCATCCATGGACCCTGCCGAAGTAGGCTACGTATGTGACCCCATATACCCAGTCGTCTTGACCGCCTGATCTAACTACTGAGATTCAGATTGTGGACGGTCATGCTTTTAAAGCTATTCAGCTCTAAACAACTCGCTAATATCGCTCACCGCGCAAAGGAGCGAGATCCTCAGGTACGTGCACGCCTTTGTGAGCTCCATTCTATCGGCCGCGGTGCGAAAAAGATCAAGAATCTGTACTCACGGCTCTCGCTTTCCACAAGGAAATCCACGATTCCCCTTCAACCTGCGCGTACTAATAATACTACGCATTCCCGCTCAAACAGGCCTAAAAACTGACTTTTGATCAGCGTGCGCGTATTCTCCAGCTTGTGGATCAAAGAAATCTCTGGGTCAAAGACTTCGACTTTTGTAGTATGGAGCAGCACTGAGTGCTTGGTCAGTAGTCCGTTATAGAAACAAAGTTTGTATGATTGTGACATTGCTTTGGAAGGTGGGATACAATAGAGAACCCCTTTTACATAAAATCATCTCAACGTCTCCCCTAATAGAAGAAATTTTGTCTTGGCAGAAGTAGCGCTAACCTCGATATTCTCGAGCATTGCGAAAGGGCTGTACGGGTTGAGCATGTACTCCAACGTATAAATAAGATTAACCTACGCGGGGGGCGATGGCTGGACTCAGGATAGGCCCGATTAAAGTGAGGATCAGAGTATTCCCCGGCGGCGCATTGCATTGAATGCACATACTTGGCCGAAAGCAGATCCAGAGAGCTTCTCTTGCAAAAAGCCTTGTCCATAGCATCTTGTCCATGTATATAGGGTTGTAGTAGCGGTAGCAGAAGTGAATGTCGGCGCTCTATCAAAGGAAATGTCAAGCAGCAAGTCGAGCGAAGTTATTGATCTGGAGAATGTTGGCCATGTCATTGAGAGAAATAGCAGTGTTGACCTTAATAATAAATGCTAATATCTACGCTCTTCCTCTTTGACTACTATTTCTGCCGCTCTTTTCATTCTCATATTGCACCACAGCAGATTAGCATGATCCACCGCATCGAGTAAATCCGAATTTCTCCCACACATGCACATAGCAATAATGAGTAGCTTTGATACTAGATTGAATGGCGCTCTCGATGTCGCTGTTGCGAAAGTACTTGTGTCAAACTTTCAGTAAAGAATACGTCTCCACATCGCTTTCACAAGCCTCCTATGTGGTTAGTTGTCTTGACATGAGTCTCCTCCGCGTTGACACTGCAAGCACAGCAGTTTGCCCCAACAAAGGTTACAGAGTTTGCACTTATCACAGGAGCGGTGTTTCGCCCGTCACAATTGCCTTGGCCGTGCGATCCGGTCTCCGAAGCACTTGTATTCACACAGGGCCATTGTTGTGAGATGAGACTACGTGGTTGACGCCACGGGGCACATGCGCCTAAGGCCGTTAAGACTAGCTGCAGGGCATGTTGGGGAGTGAAATTGGAGAAGGCCCAGAGCAAGAAAACTCTATCTGTCCATTTTTCGGCGTTTTTACCGACGTAGCATGTCTTCAACGTATGCGATTAGGCTCGGGACTAGGTACCGCAGCGGGGCCTGTGGGTCTTCCTCGGTGATTCCACCGACACAATTAGAATACGAAAGGTGGGGTGTAATAGGAATCAGTAGCTTCTAAGATAGTCTAATGCAATATATTGCCACTCTGGTATGTTGTGCGCAGTGAACGATAACACTTCAGATAATGTGGGGTAGGTGGTCCGGGGTAAGAGTCCGGGGAGAAATCTGGGGTATTTAGTCATTGATCTAGCCTTCAGTAATATCTTCTGGTCCATAATATATGTAATAAAGAAATTATAAGAGCCAGGGCAATTCCTCCCATGCCTCCTGTTTAACTGTTGTTATAGCTGGCCCATTTTCTATCATTGTTCTCCTGCCTATCCTCATCACGGACTGTATTCCTTTCCGAGTGGAAGGACGGAGCAAGGCCGTCGTTCTCGCCACACATCATACTGATTCATACATAACTAGCGATGGGGACTGGTCATGGCAGTCCCACTGTCGCCGGTGGTCAGGCAATTGCATACGGTCCCACCGGGTACAAAGGGATAATCAAAGAACCTCGCATATTCGGGCTAGCATGCTTCGCCTCAATAGGTGGGTTTCTGTTTGGGTATGACCAAGGCGTGATATCTGGTGTGCTTGTCATGAGCAGCTTTGTGAGTCATTGTCTTGTGCATTTGATATCATATCATATAAAACGTCTCCAATCCTGTGTTAACACCTGTGTCCCGACCCAGGCAGAGCATTTTCCAACCCTGACCGAGAACGCAACCCTACAAGGATGGCTCGTTTCAATCATGACCTTAGGTGCAATGTGTGGGGCTTTTGCAAATGGTCCCATCAGCGATAGCCTGTCACGCCGATGGTCGATCTTATGTGCCAACATCGTCTTCCTGATCGGCTCCGTCATCCAATGTGCAGCAGAAAACGTGGCGATGTTGTTCGTTGGTCGCTTCGTATTTGGCTGCGCAGTTGGGATGTTGGCGATGGTTGTCCCTCTCTATCTTTCCGAGATTGCGCCCCCAAATATCAGAGGCGCATTGGTGGCCTTGCAACAGCTCTCGATCACGCTAGGTATTATGAGCAGCTTTTGGATCAATTATGGAACACAATACATCGGTGGTACCGGTGCGGGACAAAGCCAGGCTGCTTGGAGAATCCCTTTCGCCTTGCAATGCTTACCTTCAGCTATCCTTGCGATCGGTACCTTCTTCCTTCCCTACAGCCCCCGTTGGTTGATGAATAAAGGTATGTGGAATTGACGAATAGATACTGGCTCATCTAACTGACGTTCTGGTAGGCCGAGAAGAGGAAGCAAAGCAGGTCTTAGTCCGCCTAAGACGGCTTCCTGCTACTGACTACAGACTCACGCTTGAATTTCTCGAGATAAAGGCTGCGCGGGTGTTCGATGAGGAGAGTAGGCTGGCAAAGTATGGCGACAACTGCTCACGGTTCCATATTGCCTGGAATCAATATAAGGAGCTCTTCACGGTACCTCACCTACGGAGGCGTACAACAATAGCATGTCTACTCCAGATTCTCCAACAATTCACGGGCATAAGTAAGTTCCTTTTAGCCCTACAGCGGCCTATCCACTAACACTATCAGACGCGGTTATATATTATGCCCCACAATTCTTCGAGGCCATCGGCTTGAGAGGTAACTCGGTGAATCTGCTCGCGACTGGAGTCGTAGGCATTGTATTCTTCATCTGCACCATCCCAGCAGTTATGTACTTGGACCAGTGGGGCCGGCGGAAAACCCTGATCCTGGGATCTATCGGGATGTCGATCGCCGAGCTGATCGTGGCGACCTTGTATGCGGTTTACCAAGACCGGTTTTCCGAGCACCCAGCTGCCGGCTGGGCCGCTTGTGTTTTTGTCTGGGTCTATATCGGAACATTTGCGTTCAGCATTGCCTGTGTGAACTGGGTGATGCCATCGGAAATGTTCCCCCCGGCGACGCGCGGTAAAGCTGTTGGAGTGGCGATTGCCGCCAACTATCTCTCAAATTTCATCGTGGCGCTGATCACACCGAGGATGCTCCAATCTATCACCTTCGGCACGTTCTACTTCTTCTTGGTGTTTTCTATCACGCTCGGAGTATGGACTTACTTCTGTGTTCCCGAGACGAATGGTGTTCCAATTGAGGAAATGGATACATTGTTTGGTGGCAATGAGGGTGAAGCGGACCTACAGCGGATTGCGAGTATTAGGGCGAGGCTAGGATTCGAAACTTCGGAAGACGGAAAGATGGTGCTGGAAGAAACCAAACACGACAGTGTAGAACATTGCGAACGCGTAGACTAGGCAGGCGGACCGCGCAGTTGGACATACAGGTCAGGATTGATACCGTGGTCAGCAATTCCAAGCTGCATAACACTGACTATATACTGTCAGGAGACCATTCATGACGCACCCGTGAAAGGCCTTCTCATGGGAAAGCTCAGATCGAGGATACAAAGCATTCATAGTCTCCCCGTGATGGTTTCATGGTAAATCTATTAAAGCAGTGGTCGAGTTTCATAACGAACATGAATCTTGTACTACAATGACTTATGTTCCTTACGCCTCAACCAACAGTATAAACAGACTACCAAGGAAGTATTTTATTAAAGTACAAAATACGCATAAAAGGCTCTACGAATCGATGTGAAATAGACAAAAGTCCAAGGATCCCACCAAAACAAGTGACCGATATGTATTACACAATATAACTCTGCATTCTTTTGCGCACCACAACTAATTGCGAATAATCTCTCTCCCATCCAGCCAATCCATAAACCAAGCATAGCACATCAGGACCCTTCGCCTCCATGACCGCGTCCAGAAGAAGTTGCCAGATCTCCAACTAAGCCATGCACCGTAGCCAGTGTACTCGCGCTGCCCTTGCACCACACCGTCCCAGGCACCCGTGTATGTTACCAGTGACCGCTGCTGATATTTAAATGGTCGAGTATCCTTGAGACCAGAGTTGAAAAGCCGAATGAGATAATCCGCTTTTTGGATTGCAACTTCGGCCGTTGTCGGTAGTGTTCCACCCTCAATATCTGCCGCATCGCCCATTGCAAACACATTCGGTATCACGTTGCCATCTGGTGAGAAGACGTTAAGATGATCATCTGTCAGGATTCGGACAAGGCCATGTTCGGTCTTGCGGAGTTGCAGTTGGTCGACCAGCGGGATTGATCTGTTTCCGGTGGCCCAAATGAGCATCCCGTAGCCAGTGATCCCAGATTCCCTGGTCTCAATGGTGTCCTTTGTCACGTTGACAATGTGGCAGTTCAGCTTGACCTTGACCTTGTTGGTTTTCAATGCGCTGCAAGCGTATTCTGATAACTTTTGGTCAAATGGGGCCAGAATCTGGGGTGCGACATCGATCACCGAAACGGACGTCAGGCCCTTGAGGTGTGGGAATAAGACTCCCAAATCGCCTTCGAAAAGATCGGTTAATTCAGCGGCCACCTCGATGCCAGTGGGACCGCCGCCAACAATCACGATATGGAGCAGCTGCCTCTGGCGCGCCTCCGAGGTCCCCGGCAATGAAGCCATCTCCAGGATGTCATTCAGACGAGTCCGCACAGTATTTGCATTGGCCACAGTCTTGACAAAGATGGCGTTCTCCGCCACCCCAGGGATACCGAAGGTGTTGCTTCGACAGCCTGGCGTGAGGATCACACGGTCATAAGATACTTCGAAACGATCCTCTTTCAGCTCTTCAAATGCGGGTTGACAGATGAGCACCTGCCGGCTGAAGTCAATGTCGACCACGAAGGCCTTGATGTATTTGGCATGAAAGTCCTTCCGCCGGATGGGCTCATGGGCCAGACGGGGGTCAAACAGCCCACAGGCCGCACTGGCGAGGAGGGGAGTCACTGCAGACGTGTTGTCCGGCGCAATGAGGGTGATATCGTATTTTCCGTGGTCGATGCCGTATCCAAGTCGATAACCACCCCATCCACCGCCAATGATGACTACCTTTTCCTTGCTAGACATTGTTGATTTGTGGTCTGATGTTGGGGAGTGGTGCAGAAAGAGATTGCAGAATGAAAGTCACCTTCCCCTGAACGACCTTTATAGTTCACACCGGGTATGCATTAGAAATACCTTGTCGATCTATGCAGAATATTCCTGACATCATGACTCCTTGTCCCGAACTAGCAGATTAGAGTCATCGTCGGGAACACACGAGGGAACCGAGGCGAGGTGGTCTGACAGATTTTGCCACGTAAACATGGTACTGGCCTAGAGGTCTCTCTCAAGCTGGTAGGTTCAGGTAAGGGATGGACGCGCGAGTTGTGTGCTGGTATGGATGTACCTGCGAAACCTAGAATCGTGAAGTTAAACTTAAGCTGTCATGAATGCTTGGCAGCTGTCGGCCGAGCGTGCTTCTGATTGGCTCAATACTCGAACCCAAATCGGCAATCCTCCGCCCGCACTAGCGTGCATCGATGATCTTCAAGTTGTGCCCTATATCAGGGGAAGATGATGTGGATTCATTCTCTCTCAGCCATCTTACCCATGCCTATTTGGGTCCCCGACTCAGGACTGTTAGGGTTATGGAAATTCTAGCCTCCATGACAACGGGTCCAGCGCCATGTTTAACTTTAAAATGACAAGCTGAATCTCTGTGTCTGCCGCTCCCCACATTCTCCACCACGATAACTCCGATTAAATCCTTTAAACCCTCTATCATCGACGACTCCAATGCTCCCTTTTCACTTGGTAGACGTCATTTTGTTTGTCATGATACTTGCGTCACAAACGTGGACACCAGGGACCAAGTCTATATAAGTTCGACCATTTCGAACCTAGAACTTCTTCACTCATTTACTTCCACCTTCAAATCAATTGCCCTAAAAAAGAAACAATCATTTCAAAGGCAAAAAGTCTTCATTATGTCGAGTACCGTTGGTAAAGTGAGTTCTCCGCTCCCAAGTCTTGATTCCCAATACAGCCTTCAAGCTTTCAGCCTTCTGCACTGGACGATGAGTAGCACTCTTGACCTCCTTCTCAATCAAAATCAATGTTATATTATGATATGCGCCCCGCGAATATTGTGCTAACTTGATATGATAGACCATAACTTGCAAGGTAAAGACGTTTGCAGCATATCTTCTAGATCATTGTGGCTGATAATATCAGGCTGCTATCGCTTGGGCTGCCGGCGAACCATTCTCTATTGAGGATGTTGAAGTTGCCCCTCCGAAGGCCCATGAAGTTCGGATTAAGATTATCCACACGGGTGTTTGTCACACGGGTGCGTCCTACCACGTTGGATACATATGACCCAAATCTGTATTCTTGTTTCACATTCCTATTTGACTCATATCGGCTAACATGGCCGTGGCCACAATACAGATGCCTACACTCTGTCTGGTAAGACCCCGAGGGAGCCTTCCCTGTTATCCTGGGCCACGAGGGCTCCGGTATCGTAGAGTCCGTTGGTGAGGGCGTAACCACGTCAAGTCCGGCGATCAAGTGATCGCGCTCTAGTTAGTGATTTCTCTGATCTCACTTACGTTACGAACCCTCGCTTATGAATAACCAGTACCCCAGAATGCGGCGAGTGCAAGTTCTGCAAATCCGGGAAGACCAACCCGTGCCAAAAGATCCGTAACACGCAGGGTAAAGGAGTGATGCCCGACGGAACGTCTCGCTTCAGAGCACGCGGCAAAGATATCCTGCACTACATGGGAACGTCGACCTTCTCTCAGTATACCGTTGTGGCCGATATCTCGGTCGTGGCTGTTACGACGAAAGCACCGACAGATCGTGCCTGTCTGTTGGGCTGTGGCATTACTACTGGCTATGGTGCTGCCACCGTCACCGCCAATGTAGAGCAGGGATCTAATATCGCCGTGTTTGGCGCTGGGTGTATTGGTTTGTCGGTGATTGAGGACGCGGTGAAGAACAAAGCGGGTAAGATTATTGTGGTTGATGTCAATGATGATAAGGAGCAGTGGGCGCGCAAATTTGGCGCGACGCATTTTATAAACCCCACCAAGCTCAAGAACGGGAAGACTATTCAGGAGGAACTGATCGAGCTCACTGATGGAGGATGTGATTATACCTTCGACTGTACTGGAAATGTGGGTGTGATGCGTGCTGCTCTTGAATCCTGCCACAAGGGCTGGGGTGAGAGTATTATTATCGGTGTTGCTGCGGCTGGCCAGGAAATTTCCACTCGGCGTAAGTTTACTCAATGTGCTGACTGTCTATATATGATCACATTGCTGACTAGTTATCTAGCATTCCAACTAGTGACCGGCCGGGTGTGGAGGGGTTGCGCATTCGGTGGTATCAAGGGTCGATCTCAGCTCCCTGGTCTTGTCGATGACTACGTCGCCGGCTACCTCAAGGTGGATGATTACATCACTCATCGGGAGTCACTGGGGACCATCAATACTGCTTTCCAGCATATGAAGAGTGGTGACTGTATTCGGTGTGTGTTGGATATGAAAGTGTAAAGTTGGCGCGATAGGGTATATCCATGCGTACAGTGCGCAAAATTTGGCTTCAGGAGTAAATATAAGAAATATAACTTTCCTCAATGACGGGAGTACGGTGTTGTCAATTTAGTAACATGATGAACATGAGGACCTGCGAGCTTGGCGCTGAAGATGGCTCCTCTTTGCAGTCCCATCCAGGCGTCCCTCCTCGACCTCCCTGGTCGGGTGCTTATAACGTGCCCTCTCCCCCTCTCTCGGTCTTCTTCCATTTTCGCGGTTCTCTTCGTATCTCCAAACCCCCGATACCCAGAGCAGCTCTGCGAGATTTGCTGCTTGTGTCTCCAGATTCCACCCTTGATCATTCATCTTGGCTTTTCCACATGGCACGCCCACTTATTCTGTGGCTCAGGGTGAGGAGCACCAATACTGGACTGATCCCATTCTTTGCGAGGAAGCTCGAGCCAGGTTAGGACAGTTTTGTAACTTTGATGAATAGCTTCAAATGGCAAACCCAATACTCTAAAAGATGTCGCTGTCGTTGAACACTATCGGCGAAAGCGAGTGTGGATATTCCCTGGTGCAAGCCCGAAGTCCTCAACACACCTCTCCTGTGACCATATGAGCGCACTCTGTATGGTTACGAGCTTTACGACTCTCTAGCGATGACTCCTAGAACAAGTCGGGAAGCTCTGAAAGAACCGGGTGGAGATGCTTGGGTTGAAAACCATGTCAGACATTCGAACTTTCGTCGTTGGACGGCAAATGAGATAAATCGTCTGTTCTTCTTGCGCTAAATAAGAAAAAGAAATAATCGGATACCGTGAAAACGGGATATCTTGACCTACCCGGGCTCATTAGCAGTGTTAATAGCCTCCGGAAAAAAAAAAAAAAAAAAAAAAAAAAAAAAAAAAAAAAAAAAAAAAACAAAAGCCTACCAATCACAATTCTTTGGACGTGATCTTTCACATGCCGTTCTTCTTCGACCGCCTCAGGATGATCAAACAGGGGCAAATGTGCTTGAAGTTAGGGGACGGAGACGCGCGTTTCTGTAGTCCTTCATCTGTCAGAGGACACATGCCTCGGATCAAAACATATTCAAGATCATATAAAGAGCAAGCGTGCAGTATTGTAGAGGTGGGCGAACAAGGCTTCGCAGTATTCGTCGGTCAATGGTTCTATCCTACTGAAGACGATACAGGATGTACTACCTGAGATTCATTATAAGATCCTGTGTAGAGTACCTTGCGAAGCCTCTTAATATTCCTCTTGCTTTTTAGGTCGTATACCTCTTATCTATGCTGCATTCGAGGTACGGGTTAAGTTTGGAGAAGGTTATACACAGAGTATAGCCCGGTGGTCTTGCTATGAGCACCTTTAGCCGACATACCAGATTAATTATCATCGAGAAAATCTACAGTCGCCATCGAGATGAATCAAGATAATGGCATACCTAACCCACATAAAGGGCTATTCAATCGGCGACCAGAAGTCCGGGATTACAGGGAAAAGAAAACGGCGGCCTCAAATGGCCAGAATAGTGATTACTTTGAGCGTCAATCTCAGAAGCCCTTATTTTCTAATTAATAATGATGGTTTGATACCGAAAGCTGCTCAACATCCTCACCAGCATCGCCATGCGAAAAGAAGCTGCTAATATTGGAGCTCTTCCTCTTCAACCAGCGCTTCCACCACCACTCGCCCTGCTGATCCTGGTGCACATCACACGGCAGGAGAATAGCATGATCCAAGGCGTGCGGTAAACCACGGTGTCTGCCACGCACCTGCATAGCAATGATGATCAGCTTCGACACCGGGTTGAACTGCGCACTCAGACTCGTCTCCGTCTTTGGATATCCCAACGACAGTCCCACGGTTCCGTACGCGGAGACGATCTCGAACAGAAGTGGGAAAAGCGAGAACGCGAAATCACGGCCGTGGGTTTGTTGGATGCGCTTGCCCTCGGTGACGGAGATGAGGAAGAAGCCCAACATCACGTACCACAGGTCGAACCCGAGTTGCCGCTGAATATGCGCGGCCAGGCCGTGTGGGTTGGGCTTGTCTTCGTCGTCGTAGATGCCGAGGCTTTTCTCTTCGTAGACGTTGGTTTTTCGGATGGCGATTGCAATCGGGAATGCTGAGATGTACATCATTACTACGAAGGAGACTTGCACTGCTGGGTGCAGGGTGCCTAGAGAGGTGATTGAGAAGCCGGCGGTTCGGGTGGAGGCAATTTGGAATAGCCCGTCTACGAAACGGAGGCCCGGGGAGAAGGGATTGCTTTGTGGGTTCTGTAGGGTGGCAGGATTGCTTAGTCGATATAACAGTGGATATAATGTCCAGTGGGAACTCACCTCTTGGAGTGTGTAAAAAATGAACAGGTCCAGAGCGTTGATTAGGAGGAGGACACCTGATAATCTCCAGGTCTCTGGTCCGGGGAAGAGCATCGTGAAGCATCGTCGCGGATGCTCGAGAAGGTAACGCAACTCATCGTCTAAAGGAGATCCGTATCTTGTGAATTTAGATAATAACCAGATGATGAAGCGTAACATGCACGGAAAGCCGGTGTTCCCGATGACCACTAGAAAGGTCATCACTAACAGGGGAAATGCAGCGTTCCGGAATGAAGCCATTGAGTCGGGGCTCAATGTGTACCCTAGATCATGGAATGCAGACCCAGCGGTAAATACCGCCCACCACGGCCGATTTAAGCCCATGTCCTTGACCATCGTCCCATATTTTGAGTCCGTCATAATCCACGGAATGAACAGTATAATCCCAAGTAGGTGAAAAGCCAGAAAGTAGCAGATCAAGATAACCATCAACGTTTTCAGCGCCCTGTATTCAATCCCCCCCAGCTCCTCCTTCTGATCCTCATCCCAGTCAGAATAACTCGCAATCGAATGCTGCCACATCAACGACGGCAAGAAAGGCATGCTGGGGCTGTCCGTTCGTGGGAAACCTTCATTGACAGCCTCGGAAAACGAGCGACGGCGAGAAAAGGAAGACCGTCGCTTCTGTCTGGCTTCATAATCCCGGTCAGATTCGTAAAAGGTGATCCGTGGGCTCGAGGGACCTATGGCAGCTGGTTTGAAAGTTTGGTAACCAACAGGGGACTGAGGCTCGGTGTGTGTCGGGGGGGATGCTCCAGGGGAGATTTCCTCGTCCGTACTTCCGAGTAAGGGCTGCTCTTCATCATCCTTGTCGGAAGAGTCGAACGCAGTAGTGGTCGTATCCGTGGTATCGGTGATAGTCCTGTTCAAGCCTATCGGTCGTCGGGCCTCAAAGTCAAGAGCCTGGTTCATCCGCTGGCGTTGGCTGTGGCATACTGCTTTGGCATCACGGATGGCACTCTTGAAGCGCTTCCGAAACCAGTAGATCCTGATCAAAACCAGCAACGAATGAAGGAACACAGGATTTGTGACCATGGGAACCAGCCATAGCGTTATTTGTTGCGATATATGCAGATCTTTGAGGTCTATGGGGTTAAGTCCGGTTTGAGTCGCGGCACCAGAAGCGAGCAATAAGGCATCGACAAAACTCAGACCCCCCGGAATATAAAGGATGATTGAGGCTAGCAGGGCCCAGATGATGATATAATAGTAATGATGTTGGAGTCGTAAGGGAGAGGAATCAGCTTGTGGCTCATGGTAGGGGGGCATGGAGGGAAGAGGGGCTAGTTGCGATACACCCTCCAAACGGTCTGCGGCGCGGATGCAAATGAGGGGAGGGAAGAATTCACAATCGTGACAATGGGTGAGAGCGACATGCCTAAATTAAATTAAATACTGTGGGATCATCGTGAAGTGAGGAGGTCAAAGTTGAGTGGCTGCGGATAGCCTGAGAAATGCCTCATTCTCATGGCTCCAATGGGTTTGGCCGGCACTACGTCCTGTTTCTATCAACCCGAGAGAAAAGTATGTAACTGTAGCTGCTGTGGGGCTTTTATAGGCTGGAAGTACTCCGTACCAAACATTTTGCTCGAAAATAACCTGACGCAATTGTGCGACAGAGGCAACAGCTGAACGAAGGGAGGCGAATTCTTAGGGCCAGACCCAATGATTGCTCCGTTTAATCGCTCATTCCTCCGCCATTGACATCAACGAATTCTCCCCGGACCCATGGATCAGCAACCTTATTCCGTATAAGCATAAGCGAGGGAGGAAATCCGATGAGGGAAATCTAAGAAAATATTCAGATGGAAATAGAAACGTAACTATACTGCAATCTTGTCTATATGGTGGTCCCAGCACGTGACGAAATTATATATAAACTTGCAAGATTGTTAACGTGACCAGACTACCCCTAAGGTCTCCCTATCCTCCTTTCACGCATTGATCCACAACGCTTCATACATCCTGACGGGTAATAATATGACTGGCTCATATGGAATACCTGTGCACTTTGGAATCCATGGACATAGTGGTGTAAGAGCTCTAGCCATTGTGAATACAGTGATGAAGACAGTGGAGCGTCTTTTTCTGGCATGAAACAGTAGTCTAGACAACCGATTCGATATTTCGTATGAGAAACAAAAGTCCCTTGTATCCCAAAACAATGCAAGCAGAGACGTAGTGGTAGAAGTAAGAGTATGTGGGTTCTGCTCTTCCATTATTCACTGTCCACAGGACATGCTCGACAATCATCCTCAGCTGTAATTCACCATCCGTGCTCCCCACCAGTACATAGCTACCAATCCTAACTCCTTATTACTCTCCTACCTACCCTCTGTATTTACTCCACGTGTTGCTTTTGCTATTGCTAGCTCTTCACCATGGCCGAGTCACCCGCTAGTATCATGAAGCTATCTGTACGTGAAGCAAATAAACAAACTACGGTTATCACAAACTGATACAAACCAGCTACCTCTAGCGAATGAAGACCTGGGGCGTCTGATTAGACGTATCGAGCAACATTGTCCATCCGAAAACACTCTCACCGTTACTTTCTCGCAGGAACACGTACAGTTTATCTCTGTTAAAAAAGCTAGTATACAGATCCTAACACTACAGAAGGCCTCACAGGTACACGTCAACGATGGCGCAATTACCAAACCCATAGCAAAGACTAGACGCGTGAAGGTACGTCGCGCCCTCCACCGACGTTATTCGCCTCCGGGTGATGAATGACAAAGCGACTGGCTTGTAGAAATCTTCAACCGTGAAGCAAGAGATCTTACCCGAGAACAACAACAAGGAAGCCCACAAACATCCAAAGAAATCCTCCGTGCAGGCGTTAGGAATGATAAACGTCGCAAACCTTACTGAACAGGAGACAGCTGACCTGATCATGATTATGTGTCCAGCCGACTTTGCAGGCGTGAAATGCAATCAGACAGATTGCAAGTTTCTCAGGCGATGTGAGGTGAGTTCACTGTTGTCATTCCTTGACTGATACAGCTTGATATTCATCTAATAATGTCTGCGGGTTGACAGTCAATGCAAGAGCATGAATCGATCAGTTGTGCCATGGTGAGATGCACCTATATTCACGGTTTAAAGGTCTCGTGTCCGAAGATCCTCACGGATAGAGGATGTGTTACATTGTTTCTCTCCAGGCTTAGCCCGAGTTACTGTCAGTTCGGCCACGACCATCGTGCGGCGAGGTTATTCAACTACAAGGAAGGCTCTGCGTGTCACGGCGTGCTGAATTTGGAGACTAAAAAGAAACGCCGGCTGGCTGGTCCAGGACCAGCCGGCTTTGGGTTGGTACCTCGGGCTGGCGCAATTTGATGCATAAGGGGAAGCAAGGATCGCAAATATCTGGAGGAATAGTGAGGTTGATGATACTTGATACGCAGAAGCGATGCCGAGGGTCTCTTTCCTTCGCCTGGAATATAAGGCCCGTGGCTTCAATTCATCGTAGGTGATTGACGGGGAGTTGAGGATGTATTAGCATGTGGACACGATCGAAGGAGCGCCTTGTATCTGATGTCTTCAGGAACTGTCATCGTGCTACTATACCTTGATACCACGCCATTTGTACCTTGCTACAGTGTAGACATCGAGGGTCAATAGTCAATCAAGGCAATTCATACTATCGTCTTTGAAATGAGCACACGCACTTCATGATATAGCAAGAGCGTCATATAGTACCATAGAGATTATGGATCCCGTTTTCATCCCACTATTGAGATCCGTACATTATTGCTGTAGGTGATTTACTACTGACAGGAAATCCAATATCGGGAGTGGAACGGCTTTTTATTGTATTAGTTAGTACTAGATATAGTTCCTTTTAGATCCGCTGCGCTAAGAAGGGTCTTCGTGCAGCCAAGATCTCTTTTGGAGTACGACCAAGCACCCTACATGGCTAACACATCCTGAACTTTGGAGGCCAAAAGGCACAGGTAACGTCACAAGGAAGATTCATGAGGTGTCCAATGAATACAGCTTTTCTTGTTCTTTCCGTCCTTCCCACCGTTGCAACGCGTCCAGTCACATTCCATAATATCTGCAGAATCAGCAATTTTGCTGTCTGTTCATGAACGGAAACAAACGAGCATCAGGATCGCCGTCAGCCACCTGTGTGGTCTTTTCCTAGACGTCAACGCGAATGAACACGTCTTTCTTCTGAAAATCCTTTCAGTTCTCAATCAGCTTGTAGTTGCACATTCCCGGCTGTGGAGGTTGATAAGGAAACCAAACGAGATTGATCAGTGACAGTGAGAGTGAACAAGGTGTGCAATAAAGGCCACCCGATGGGAGCTGGGTAGCTAAAGAAAGTCGTTGTGTGGCCGGGAGCATAGGCTTCGTCCTACAAGAGGGCTGTTATTCCGAAGAACGCCCTGCTGTTGTCTTTCTCTTTTCTTTTGCCTCCTGCTCTCTTTTTCTCTTTGCTTTACGCCCTGCCTTTCTTTTAGCCACCGAATCCTCTAGAATTCTTTTGGCGAAATCCAGTAGTCCCATATGTCTCGCGTGGAGTGTCTGCCAACCTTCAGACAGCTGCCGTTTTCCAGACGCGATCTATTCGCTCTCGTCGAGGCAAAAGACGGCCTTTGAGACTATAGGCTGATTTGAAAACATGAAAGATACATTTCAAATTGCTATGTGTCACCCAGGGTCACTAATATTCGTGTACTGCCGGACATTGCTTCCTCATCTTGTCCACTAGGACCTGGCTCTGTATTCATCCTAGTCGCCTGCGAGTCTGTCTCCACATTCTTTGTCCGCCTCCGCTAGCTTTGGTGAGTGGCACATTAGCTGTATGCTTCAGAAAGCTAAGGTCTGAGCACCTCCCCGAGTTGGTGACTGTCCAGTGTATTGGTACAACATACGCTTCATGGCCTTGAGCCGTATCGGTTGTTAGGACCTTTGGGGGCTAATCGAATGCCACGCCATTTCTTCGGCAAAGCTTCTGCAGGGCCACAATGTACATGCTCCTTTGTGCCAGGTATGGCACGAGCAATGTGAGGGTATAGCCCTACACAGACAGACCACGTTCTGTAAGAGTCATGTCTCTGTACATGTTCTTCAAGTTATCCGTGACATGCTGTTCCCATCCCGGGTCACCGTACCAGTAATCGATACTCCGAGGAGATAACAGCTACTGCTGCGTATGTCCTGTTCGGAATAGCGTATCCAGATGCACTGTTTAAGGCCATTCAGACAGGCAGATACTATTGGTGGAGTGCCCATTCTTCATTTTGCTATCGTATGCGTACCTGCTGGGGAACTCCGAGAGCTCTGGCCTCATTCGATGTTGGATGTTCAACGATACCCTGTGTTCTGTGGACTGAAGAGCTTTTCGCATAACAGTCGTCTTATTTGCGAGGCGAACTCATTGAAAAATTCCCCTTCCGAGCTCAGTACGGTAGGCCCCAGCTGGAACCTGTCCCCAAAACTAAGGATTCCCTTGATATCTTGAGCCCTTTTGAGGACAGTGATAGGAATCCAGGCTTGAACCTCCAGACATTGACCATCCTGATCTGCAATAAGATGATGCCTCGGGATGTTCATCTTACATCCATACTTCCGGACGATATCTGAATGTACCAATTGGGGGTACAAAGCAGAATTCTCGCTGTATGGACAGCCTTTCGGACAGCATTTGCAGGGCTCCGGTGAATAGATCATTGTTTTCTTTTATTGCCTCAACTTCATCCTGCAAACACTTTCCCACATCCTCTTGCTGGGACTTACGAAGCAGATGTCGTTTCATACAGTCAGTGTATATGGCGATAGCATTCTCTGCTTGTCTTCGTTGGGATTAGCGACCTCGTCGCTTTAATACTGCGCATCGTCGAGCAAAGCTACATCCTGAAGATGATCACTTCGCCGTGAGAGTTTACCATTAGGACGCTTTAACGCGCCATTTCTTGAGTTACATGAGAACAGGAACTTCTCGTTTCTGCCTTCAAGTTCGTTGGCGACGCCCCGAATCCAGGTGTGAAAGTCATGAGCATTGAGACCGATCAATACAGTCTTCGAAAATGAGTCGAAAGGCGGCAGGTAAAGAAAGACAGCCTCACGTACCTCTCAAGGATTCGAGACTCAAGACAGATTTACTGATCGATGTCGTGGCATGACAGCTCAGTAACAGATATACCTTTGCTAGTCATCAGAGTGGCCAATAAACTTGCAACCATTTTAAAGATATTGCCGACGTGGTAATTGGAGTACCCTAACGGGACACTTGTGCGTTGTTGAGGCCTTGCATAAAGCCGACCCATGTACCAGGGGCCTCCTGGTCGCTCTCTGTATGTATCACCATCACCCTGTGGTTCTGAACGTAACGTTTTTCGCTTTTCCATTTGCGACTGAAGGAACTGCAGGGCTGGAACAGTGCTGTCTAGATCGGACAGCTGGCTCTCTAGGGCCAAAAAAGGAGCCTTATATGGGGCAATCATTAAAACCCGGTACATAAGTCTCTGGCAAAGTACGGCCATCACTGCTTGAACACTGGTCTTGCCACATCCGAAGATGTTTTCGATGGATGCAAATGCGGCCGGAAGTCTCTTCAGGAGATGAAAGGCTGCGATTTGCGAGTCTGTCCACGGATTCATTGACAGGATATAAGTATACGCTGCCGTAAGTTCTTCTTGCAAGACCCATGGAACATGTGACAGGGCTGCAGCATGGTGCATAGTTAACCCATTGTTCAAAAGCACCGGGTGCCACTGCGAAGTATCTGGTGAGCAGAGAGTATAGATTGCCTTGATCTGAACTATCACGTTTCGATCAGTGACAGGAAAGTCCAAGGAACAGCCGTAGAATTTCCGGCTATTGTGAGCCCCATACGGATTCAGATATAGGCACTTGTTCTTGTCTACTTTGCGGGTAGGTGATGCAATAAGGTGACTTGGGAATGGCAAATCCAGCGCCACGTCTCTTCAGTCCATGTTGCCAGTTAATGGTACACGGGGTTCCTTCGCATGCTAATGCATGAATGGCTTGGATGGCGTGTGGAGTCGTTGCTTCGTTCAGACGTTTTGAGAAACTAAGCGCAGCGACTAGGTTTTTGGTGCTATTGTCGAAGCTAAGAAACGTTATTGTATGCATCACACCGATTAAGCGTTTCACCTGGATCAATGAGAATTGATGTTCCAGGTAAGAGTCGTAGATTAGTTTGACTCTGGCTTCGCCCGTGTTATGGAAATACTTTTCGGCTGGTACAGAAATTATGCCGCCTTCGCCTTAATCACGCTGTACGTCGCTTGCGAAGCTGTCCATGTTGAGTAAGGAGAGACTTCCCCCTGTTTCTGTATGGAAGTCCATAGGGTGACCTAGTGGTCTCCGTATATTTTTTCAAACCAATCCCTAGGCCAGGTCTTCAAGCTCTACGCATCTGCTTCCTCCAATGTCAGATGCATACGACATGAAAAAGTCTGTCGCCTCATTGTTTGTGAATGACAGCAGGTGATCCAAAACCGTGACCGTTTCTGGTTTTTCGTCTCCAGACCATAAAATTTCCCTGGGCCATAATGAAGTCAGTGGCTCTACCGTTGGTCTGAAAACTCCGGCGTTGCTCGGCGGCCCGAGGCGTCTCCATGCTGGAAGACTTTGGTTGCAGAATCCAGCCTTCCTCCCTTCTCGCAAAACAAAAAACTGAACCCCAACATTTCCGCATGATTGCCGTTCAGTTGTAGCATGACAATGCTCCCGTTATGAGAGACCTCCTGATTAGAGGGTATGAATGAGCCCCCGCCTAGATCCACTGTAACGAGAATGGGTGTTGGTCCTGGATAGTCGGACCTTCTGCATGCCGTGATTGGAAGAAGGATATTTGGAGCATGGGACTCTCGGTTGGAAGCCTGCCTGGCTATATTATATTTACCAGATTGGGGAAGATATGACGTTACTTCTGGCTTCAGGTTCCTCTACCATATGTCCTGGACCACGACATTGGAGCACAGGGCTTCTCGGGCAGGCTGAACATGTCTTTACGTATGGACATAGTATAACACGCAGTTGCTGGCGGTCTGATTCGGCTAGATCGACCACCTCGATGCCTGGGCAGGTAGAGGTGACTGGTGCTTGCATTGCGATGCTGAGGCCGAGTTAGTACTTATAGTCTGAGGATCCCTTGTCATGCACCAGGTAGACTTACATGGCAGGTTGATTGGGTGGGGTCTTCTTGATTGATCATCTTGCTAGATCCTATGCACGCAGGGGTAGAGCTACCATAATAAGTCTGAAATGGGTACGGTTAATGCAAGGCACGGGGAGGTATACAAAGAAGAGGGGAAAAGGTGAGACCTGGGGATAAGATGGGGGATTTTATATTCGATGGTAGTCCTATCAGCCGAGGGAAGTTTGCTGTATGCACTAGAATTCTTTCACGGGCACAGTGACCGAGTCTTGGTGAAGGTATGGATTTAAGGAGATGGTTAATTGTCCACAGATCCTTTCAATCGAGACACGATACAGTGCAGTGCCCAGCGTGAAATTTCACCATCGAATATTCGCTCGCGTCGAATTCACTGTTGTCATTGTGTCCAAGTATACGACACATCAGCAGCGAGAGCTTGGTAACGTTCCCCGATACTGGACTGCGGTTCTTCAGCGATGTCTCATATGTCCCTAGGTATCGTGTTATCTCTGAGGTCAGGCTAATAAAAAGCTATAATGACCTGTGTGGAGATGCCTTTCAACGGCTACAGTATCCTAAAGGTGCTGTGAAGGTCGTTTTCCTTCTCAAACTCGTGGGCCCTCGTCCAGCCTGAAATCTCCAATGGACAACCGCCTTCGTATTAAGACGTTACCACCTTATCATACAATATCGTGACCAAGACTCTCTAGGACATTGCTTGATGGGAGGACCTGGTAAGAATTCATTTGTTGATTCATTTGCCGGTTCCCTTTCGCGGTCGTCTTTGTGTTCATGACGGGGGTATGAGAACTAATAAAATTATACGTATTTGGGACGTACCTTGGCTTATCTCAAAAGTCGAGAGATGCAAGATGGCCAACCTCTGTTGAAAGAGGCACGGACTATATCCCCGACCTCGATGTTAAACCAATGTATCAAACCTGCTCTGGAGACTATGCATCCAACTACGCTCATCCCACGAAACCCAACTCTCAAGATCACTTTGTTTTCATACCTGATTTACTTGTCTAATCTTCTATGACTAACGTATCACTTACATGTGCAATAGTAACCGGCGTCCTGCCGTTCCTACGTACGCCTAGAGGGGTGGTTCCACCATATGGAAGACAACCCTTCCCTAGGCCGAAACCCAGTCCTGCCCACTGGCAGCCGGGCCTTCTCGCCCCATTCGTACACACGAACGAGGGACGTCTTTTCCTTCGTTGCCCTCTTGGAGAGGATATGGAACTTATTCGTGGTAGGATATCTGCACGTAAGTTCCAGATGTATCACCCGTTGCACATTCATGCCCTGCTCATCCAAGCCTAGGTATCGTGTTATTTTGAGGTCGGACTCACACAGAGCTATAGTGACCTGCGTTGAGATGTATTTCAATGGTTAGAATGTTGCAAAATGCTATGAAGGTTGTTTCCATTATCCAGCTCGTGGACGATACTCACCCAGTCAGAAATCTCTAAAGCACCCCTAAGGCACTCCCTCTCCCGGTGGAAGAGTCCGACTCCTCGTGGTGCGGTTTTGCATCCTGGTCTAGCGGGGATGTCGCTCGCGAGTCGCCCCGTGCTTTTGTCGACCTGACCGGTCTGGTGAGGCCTTTCTCAGGTAATTATACCCCGGTAGTCCCCTTGTCGGGGTGGTTCGGTTATACCTTGTCTGTGTTACATTCTTCGAGACCCTTAACCTTCCCTCGCCCGTACTATATGTGCGAGTACTCTGAGGAGGAATGGAACATAAATCGAGCTGCCATCCTTCGGGACATGGGCAGGAAGTACCATCCGATTCGTCTTTCGGCTGAGACCTGGACGACCGTGCGCGTCTTCAAGTCCGTTCGTGACCTCGACTGGCCAGTTGACCATACCATGGTGCCCATCGGTAAATCCGTCAATCACGGATACAAGGCAGCATCTTGTCTGTTGCAGGAGCGTGGCGATGAGATAGACCGGAGCGCCTTGCCATCCAATGTGGAAACGAACAATGTAGGGAGCACTACTTGGCGGGTGGAGCTGATATCGAGGATTCGTCATCGGATTCGGTTCCCAATTCATTTCTCGATTCACGTTCCGACTCGTCTTTTGTTGATACGGTCGGTTTGAGAAGTGATGTAGTCACAAGTGACTGGGTTGGACCTCTTGCCATATGCAGTTTCCCAGAGCTCGCAATCCCGGATTCGTGATTATGCCTTCCGATTTACAGTATTTTATCGACTTCGAGCTCAAAGATAAAAAAGCAAAACAGAGACACTTGCAGGAACAAGAGGGAAAGGTTCCCCTCAGGTAGGCCCCTACAGGTGTCATGTACAGGGTCCATTTACGAGAGCAAGGAGGTATCTTGGACGAGTCAAACGGTGGCCTTTATTAACCTGTTTTCTTACAGAATGGGTTCTTTGGCGGGCGATTCTCCCTAGAGGAATTTGGCTGTACAGGGCCCAGAACCACACATGGAGCTCCATTAGCAACGCTCAGAAGAGCTATTATGTCCTTGGGAAGTGCTAGGGTGTGCCAGGTCGACTGGAAGATCACCACTCAACTAGAAACGCTACGCAACGTTTACTTTGGGGACACTCAAGATGACATTCCGGAAACCATGAATGAACAGAGTCAGCGATTTCATCAAAGTAAGCAAAGGGGTGCGAGTGATGATGACGACGAACACAGTGGACCAAAAAAGAGAATCAATACATCTGCGGCATCGACAGGGCGAATGGAACCTGGGACCTCAGTTCACTACAGAACAGATTGTTCAGCGCTACATCGGTAGTCTGATGCAAAACGTTATCCTTAAGTAGCAACTCCCTGTTGGTCGTCACCTGTCCAGGAAATGAACATATCCTCTCGTCCTGCGAATAGCCCTGGAAACTGTAGCAACAATTCTTTTTAGTGCAGGCTGGAGAGAGTACTACGTTCCTGCAATTGCTTGAAGTATTGCAACTATATTGTGCATATCCATTTTTGAATGTAACCACACTGAGCTATCATAGCTACATCCAACCAATAGGGCTCTTTGATCAACAATGACTTCTGTCAAGGATCGGGAGAGGATATTATCTCGACATTGGACTCCGCTTTAGAGCTTGCCCGAACAACAATTGCAGAGTTTACGGTCATCACAGGCACGGTGTTTCGCCCGTCACAACTCCCTTGGTCAAGATGAGGCGAGATAGGTCCGGCCAAATCGCTTATAACTTTACCAGTTCTGATAGACTCCAAAAGTGAATCTAGAAATGGATCCTCGTAAGCCCTTTCCATCAAGTAATATTCTAGAGAGTCTTGATTATAATATTGTCTGATAATGCGGTTACGTCTTGATACGAAGGCCGGTATCGCTCCTCTAGTCTGTACAGGTTTAGTATGTACTCCAATGCAGAGCGAGTATTAATTTACAGGTGGAGAATGAGCAGTGGGCCCTGTATAGTGCCCACGAAAGTGAGGTCAATTATCGTAGATAGTCTGCATAACGTCGACCACGACCTTGACAAAAATAGCAGCGTCGACGTTGATTCATACGTGTCTTCAATTGTAACGTGAAATTCTGAGGGTAATCCTAGGATAATTTTAGAAAGCTTCTCCAACGTGTCCGGTAGTGGCTCAGCCACCGAAACCTTCACCAGGACACTTGTGAAAGACAAGACTCCAGCCAGGTGTCATATTGTTCTGAATGGGTGGTTGGGGGTGGTGACTTTGTCTTGAACGGGAGAGAGATTGGCTGGGGGCTTTGGCCAAGGTGTACTAACTTGGCATCTGCTGCCTCGGGTGTTTTTGTCTCCTGAATTCTCTGCATGGAGTCATCAAGCGTGACATAAGGTCGCCAATCTGTCAGGCGTCTTGTGGCCACGGCCAACTGTTGCGTGAAGGTAATGTAATTAGCCGCACGCGACCTGGCTGTTCCTGTAGTGTCACAAGGAGAGAGGGATCCAGCCATCCGATTGGTGAATCTATGCGCTGCTCCTGCATAACAACAATCTAAAATGCCCAGTGTATCAAAGTCTGCGCCAGTGTCGTCTTCAGTAAAGAAGGGAATGCTGAGACATTGCCATGGAATTCAATTTGAGTGAAGGCCCATGACCAAGGACTCCTTGTCCTATGTAGGCGATGAATATAACCGACCGTAACTGCTCATATGGTGAGCTAAAGGATGCTGCAGGCACTGTAGATACTTTGTAAAAGTACTGCAGCAGGCCATATCTCACATCGTTCAATGACAAATACTTTTGTTCGGATGTCAAAGGTGTCTGGGACGCACTTTAGTGTTACTTCGTCGTCCGGACGACATGTGTCATTCTCAAAGTGAAAAATCACTGTGCGAGTTGGAAAGTGGGGTGCGCCTCTGGGTTCCACGACTTTCTTAATTTGTACCTCCAGGTCTGGCAAAGGCCCAGTACTCATGGCTTACTGTGCAGAAATAGTTAGAATCAGCATATGCAATGGTCCGCAGGACTTAGAATGAGGTAAAGAGTACTTGGACTTGAGGTTTGATATCAAAGATGGTATTGCCGAGGGCTGACTGGCAGGAATTCAAAGGAGGGATAGTTGTAAAAGGAGGACTTTATGGTGATGGACCAGGGGTGGAGAATGGAGAATGGTAATGTGGTATGAGATGTCGTGGGAAAGTGGGAAGGCGAGACCGTGATCTATACATGGGGCGGGTCAGGTGACGATGATATACAATGAAGCAGTGAAAGACTCCCCCATATACATATTCCAGACATGAGCTAATACATCCAAGCAGATTTGACCCTCGCAGAGGCTAATTGGACCGAGTGCTTTGCGTGAGATACGAGTACATTGTGCCATATAGTTACGGATGACTCTTTAAGGCAAGAGACAACAGAAATAAATACAATTCAGTATAAGAGAACTGAATGTTCCTGTTATTGCGCAATACATGATACAGTTTCGTTCGTATTTCACTACTGCCACAATAAACGCAGTCAGAGAAATCGCTGGGGTCCTAGTTGTCATTACTCAAGTACCTCTCCCTTAGACTCTACAACCACCAAGTCAAATTCGGGCTGGAACTCCAGATAGAAGTTGTTCTACGCAACCATTAGTCATAAAGTGTCACGGATGGCCATCTGAGGTCATACTGGTGTTTGAACAGAGTCGGCCGTGAATTGGGCGACATTATCGGGAATGATCTTCTTAGGAACTCCATTAGCAGCAGCAGCCTCTGCGAGCAACTGAGAGTGGCATGCCTTTTCCAGGCTGTAGAAAAGAAACCCAGCCTCATCAACTGTAGACCCAAGTGTGATTAAACTGTTCCCCTGCTCATTAGCTCCACTTTCACAATGATAAATCAGAGCATGGGTATCTAACCCGTGGTTCTGCAATATAGCAGCCATACTAGTCTTTCCCAGGGCGTTCGCAATGGCCCTGCCTTCATCTTGGGCCAGGGCAATCCCGCCGTGGTCCTCGTACACGCTGAGCTTGCCATAGAAGTTGCACGCATCTGTAACAGTAGACATTCAGCGACTGCAAGAAGTAGAGCAAACGTGTGTGTGTGTGTTTGGGGGGGAGGGGATATACGGACCTTGCGTAAGCATCTCGATGGGTTTACCAAAACTGCTCCACGTCTTCCCGTAAATACTGTGGGTGTGTGCGACAGCCATAACCTCCGGCCGCGCACGGTGGACTTCAGAATGGATCATAAAGCCCGCCTCGTTGATCATAGCTTGGTTGCCACCTTCCACCACGTATCCACGACTGTCAACCAGAACCAGATCAGATGCTTTGATCAGGCTGAAATGCATTGCGAATGGGTTCATCCAGAAGTGGTCCGGTAGAATCGGGTCTGTTCTCTTTTAGTCCACCTTCAATTGTCCTTTACTACAGCGCAGCCGTGTCGTACCTCGTACAGAGATATGGCCAGAAACCCCTTCTCCCCATCCTCGCTTTCCAAAAAAGCGAAACACTGCAGCCATGTGCTGACGAATCCATTGCCGCTTTGCGTGCAAATCGGTGAAGGTAGGGATACCTCGCAGTTTCATCACACCTTGCTGGTCACCTCGTGCAAGTGCCTGGAAGGCATGGTCGTTCTCAGCACTAGGTGCGCCATCCTGCCCAGTCCGAAGCACCGTTGGCTGTGGGGCAATAGTGGTTGCGGTTGTTGTAGACATTATTATGGGGCTGTGTTTAATGAAGAAGTAGTTGACGTGGGAAAGAACATCGTACGGGATAGTTGGAAGTATTTCAATACCACGCTGTCTTGGCAAACCTATGATGTCGACATAAATTTCTCCCCGTGCATTTAATGGTGGGAGTCATGTCCATGGAAGGCGCATTTCAAAGGTTGGCCAGTCTGATGGATTACCTGCCTTCCTCGGAGTTGCCTGCCTTGTTTATCAGATAAGTGGGTCAGCCCTAATGCATCTTTAAAGGAACCCCTCAATTGATGAGATCTGAGGGTAGGCAAGCCCTTAAGCTCTATGCTGCTATGTATTCCATTTTCCGATATTTATGGTCCAGGGGGCACATACCTACCGTTTTGAACGCTGGCTGACATTTAAGATAACCGTGTTTAGATATGTGATCTACTTCCAAGCCGTCAATAGCAGAGGAAATCTTTACTAGTCGCAAACCAGTAGTAGTATATTCAAGCTTCATTTCCCAGACTAACAAATAACTTATTATTGATGTTGTTTGACATAGCAACCCTAATCCTGTAGACATGTACGGAGCCATTTGAAAAAGCCGCAACTCAGAAGATAATGACGCAATGGATGCAAAGTAAACATCTTGTTCGCCTCTGCTAACAGGGGTGTCCTCATACACCGAAAGGGAACGATGTAACACTGTCCACGATGCTTGCTACCCTCGATAACCTAGAACACAAAGCTATTACAAATCACAGTATATCCCCAGAGTAGCTGCTATTGCACAAAGCGAGGAATATATTTAGACCACTTGATCCTCTCGCTAGCGGAAGCCTTATATTTCATGGCACATTTGAAGGCGTGCCAGCAGCATCCCGCCGAGGAAGTAGAAGAAGCAATAACGATCACAATGCGCACCCTTCCGCTGGAATTTTCGAACCACCAACGAGCACCCTCTTTTTGTTTCATGTAATGCCCACTGACCCTGGCCTCAATCACTAAGTCGGCCAACTGTGTAAAGGCATTCCTTTGTTTCCACAAGTCGGTTCGTAGGCAATATTATAGCCCCGGTAACTACTAATTGCTGACATGCCCTCCCGGGTAGCTGGTCATTTGTGTCTAGAGAAAGCTTGGTTTATTTAAAATGTTCGTGGTCATGTACCGGCATACTCTTCATTATGCCAATCGTCCCTTCCCATTGAAAGCGATAGGCGATATCCCGTGAACCATTATCGTGCTCTGCCAGCTTTTCGATGGCTTACTTGGCCAAGCCGAGTGCGTCGAGCCATAGCTCGCGATCTCTGTTATTAGCTTTCAGGCTTTCTAGAGTAGATTCAGCGTCGGCTTGTAGTCTCTTCATACGAGACCGGGTTCGGGCAACGGGGGCAAGTGGGAGGCCACCTAGTGGCCCGGAGAGAATGGGGGCAGCAAAAGATGTCAGGTTGCCTTCAGACGAGACGCCAGAGTGCATTGCTGCCATCATGGGAGTGATGTTATTCTCCATAACCACCACTCGGCCACAAATTACAGCTGATACATGGTTCGTGTCTTGGACTCAATATGCCCTACTAACAAGCGATAATGTGAGACAAATAGATATATGGTTCTCAGATATCTGAAGGAGAGGAAGACGTAAGATATAGGCATGGTACTGCGGAAGAAAATATCGTGCAGGGAAAAGTTCGAAGGCTATATCAACGATAAATTTCACCGGCAGAGCTAAGAGCATAAATGAAGGAATATATGGATGAAATGAGGCCAGGGGCCAAAGTGCAACGAGTAAGTGAAAGTCGACGATACGGGAAAGGGCGGACATGAGTAGGGAATAGGAAGGGTTCACTTGACATGGGACTATCTTTCAAAGCAGCAATGGCGCGTAGATCAGAATGAACTGGAAAAAAGAGGCTTGTTATATCAAGGTCTTCAAGAAAGAAAAAGTCGATTCCCAACTTGAGCCTTAGCTATTCCCATCGCTATACGCACCTTGCATGATTTCATAGGAAATACATGATATGTGGGCATTCTATTAAGCTACATGATCAGGGGCATTACTAGTGTTGGACATATCAACCCCAGGTTTGGCCAATTCAGCTATACTCTGGTATTCTACTACACAAATTCACAGCACGTATACACCAAGTCTAGACCCACCCTCGAGCTACAAAGTCAATTTTGAATAGCACCGATGCGACACACTAGCTCTCGACAAGTAAATGTAGGTGAACCGGTAGGCTGGAGGAACATGTGAATTAGTTGAATCTTATTACCAGGACGTGATGGACGTACTAGGCCTGTGAGATATTCTACTTGGAAATCGCCTTCACCTCTGACTCTTCGAGTTCCTTGGCTGGAACTGGGACTACGTGTGGTTTGTAGTAACAAGTGACATATGGGTGGGATTTGTAACTGAAAGTTATGAAGTGGTGAATTCCAGTGAGCTTGTCACCATCCAGGCTAAACATAGAGAATCATGTTAGTAAACAAGAAAATACATGAATCTTGGCTTGGGTCCGGCAAACGTACAATAGCGTCTCAAAGATGTGTCGATAGTCCCGTACGTCCATGCATTCATGGCGGGAAAAGAACTCCTGGAGTCCTTGGATGATACTCTCCTGGTCCTTGTTGTCAATTCCCACTGGAATATATACTTTCGGCTCAGGGACAGGGTTGTTGGGCCTCAATTCATAATTAACCTGCCAGCCCTGGTAAAGGTCGTCGGTCGCAGGTAAGTCTTGCGATTCGGGAAAGTCTGGAGGCAGATTGAGCACTTCATACCAAAACCTGCGTAGCTCCTTCACACCAGCCTGAATATTGGGGCTATTGAGGCGGCCACCCAAGGTAAACGCGTCCTGGACCTTCATGTACGCTGTCTGTGGCCCATGCAGGTAGACCTTGAGTCGCGCGTCTTTAGTGTTAGTAGCATCGAAGCTGAGGAAACAGGCCTTGGTTCCAAACTTCTTGGTTTGATCCGACTGGCAGTAGTCCTCCAGGACTTTCAGGGCCGGCTGGTATGAACCGAAAAGTTCAGCATTATTGTGAAACGTGTCGAAGAGTAGCTTGTCTAGGGATATGCCTGTTTCAACACTTTTCGCAAGCCCGCTAAAGATGGGCTTCACCCGAACGCCACTGTCCAGCAGATCGTACCCATTGATGCCCTGCATAATCATATGAACGAATTCCGGGGGCTGTCGTGTGAGCACCGTCTCAGTTGATGATTCGGGGATGAACATTTCTTGGACAAAATAGTCGAACCAGTCCCAATTAAAGTCGGGGAGTATGGCGGCCAGGGATTTGATCAACTCGACGGCCACGTTCTGACTAAAGGGGTCCTTTGGTGTGCCGCTCCACTGGCTGATAACGACGTGATCCATACGTGCAGTTTTCCTTGAGCCGTCAAAATTGAGGCTGACTTCGACTGATGTTCCGTCCGGTGAGTAGCAGGTCTTCCATAGCCAACCGTTTTCGACGGTCGGATATGGGCCAAAGTAAGGAATGATATGGTGATAGATGAATGATAGGTGCTGGTATTGCAGGGACACTGGGTAATCGCAGAGCGTCATGAGCTTCTCGAGGAGAGGTCCGAAGATAGCCCACCAAAGCTTCTCATGTTTGTTCTTGAACCCCATACCTCGAGCAAGGGCTTGGTGGGCTGGGCACGCCTCTGGCGTCGGATTGGACATGTTGCTTGCTGATCTTGTGTGCTGAAGCTGCACTAGGTAGTGTTGAAGTGCGGGTTTGTGAGATTGAATGGAGATGATGATGATGGGGATCTGGACAGGATCTAAGGAAAGTTCTATATAGCCCAAGGCCATGAGCAGTTTCGGAATCCCCCGGAAATATCCAAGAGGTCAGCGGATAGCACCCCGGTTATGCGGTCAACAACGCAATACGAAGTTCAGATTGAAAAAAGAAAGTTCTCAGTAAGCCGGTCTACGGGGACCACAAGTCGTGTGATGCCTTCCACGATAATCCAGCATCTCCTACATGTCATGAGAATGCATACATACGAGATTCTGCCCTTGCACTCAGCCGCCACGGTTTCACTAATGACGCCAGACATACCAATCTGAGGTCAATCATGTCAGCCTACTATTCTAAAAGCAGTTGCATTATTTCAGCGTAAAGCTTTGGATGCAAAGGGTCTCCGTGAAGCATAAGTGACTGCCTTATGCAGTAAATCATACGAGTGGGGTGTATTTATAGCAACTTGAACATGATGTATATCGAAGAGGCATTGAGGGTTGCTCTCACTCACAACTCGGATTATGTACAACGTAGGTAATTATTCAGGGTTATGTCCTGCCAGCAAATACTGGTTCTCTCTCAATTGAGAGTGCTAAAACGTCTCCGCTGGTGTGTTGTAGTTGAGCTTCGCCTAGTGAAAATCTGCTAATTGAGGACAGAGACCTATGATGCATATATTATTATTTTTAATGAATTGAGTTAGTAAATCCAGACAGAAGCGTTATCAGGTACGGGAATGCACTATATCATATTCTACTCGGGCTCTAAACACCCAAGAGTAACTAGTTAGGGTTGGATGCCGTAACGGATCGCCGCTTCAACTGCACCATTCCTTTCATGTCCGGGAACAAAATCTTCTTAAAGGTCCAATTAGGTGGGCGTTGACCATGATCTTTCGGTCTGATGTCGTAGTTCATAAGAATATGCGCCAGCAGAAGACGGATCTCGTCTGCCGCCATGAATCGACCAGGGCTGAAAAACAACATTTAAATCAGCACCGTTCCTGTGAACTGAGAGGCAGACTTTTCACTAACCATATATGTCTCCCGTCTCCGAATTGGAGATACTTGGTATTGGCAGCAATGAATTTGTAGTCGAGTGGTCGTCCTGTAACCCTACCCAACCGATAGAATCGATAGCCGTCAAATTGCTGGGCATCGGGGTAATGCTTCTCGTCGAAGAGAACCGGTGCATTTGGTGTGAACACGTACGTTCCTTCAGGAATGCGAAGCCCATTGCTGAAAGTGAAGTCTTTCGTAGCGCGTCGTGCAAGAGAACCTAAATGAAACGTCAGACAGTGGTCGCTGAGTGCTCTCTGCGATAATTCACTGACCAGCATCAAGAGGATTAAAGCGCTGACATTCCTTCACAAAACTATCCAGCTTCTCCATAGATTCAAGTCCTTCTTTAGTCCACTGATGGTTGTCCCTATTCCAGACGGTCTGCACTTCCTCCCGGAGTGGCTGCACGTATTCCGGCCGTATGGCCAGGTCCAACAGGCAATGGACCAACACCTAAGCACTAAGGTAAGCCGGACGGCTTCGAACAGGTTGGTTACCCCCGTGGAGCTCACCTGTGTAGTAGTATGGATAGCCCCAAACACGGCTGATGTTACGGACCGAGCAATATCTCGGTCGGTGTACGTCCCAGGGTATGTACGACTCCACGACGAAAGCCAATCCGTGATATCCTTAAGGACGATGTCAGTGTCTGCATCTGGACACAGTATAAGACCAGTACCTGTGGCTCGCTCCGGGGATTTTCTTTCCTCTTTTTTAATTCGTCCATCACAATGCTATCAAGGCGTGCTGATATCTTTGGGGCGCTACACATTTTTGCAGCGAAGCTATGAACGAATTAGCTTATGACGGAGAATTCGGTGCACTTTTCCTACGGTTTCAAAATCTCCGGAAACATTGCAATAAAGAAACCACTAGTTGGCACCGCATTGCCATACTCGGCGAATAGATCAATCAGTTCCTTATCTCGAGACAAAGGGTACCCTACCAGTGATTTGGCGGTTAGATGGGCCACGATCCTTGTTCCAGTAGCGAAACAGCAAAGATCGTTCCAATCATCGTCACCAAACATGGTCTCCACATCAAAAGCGTGCTCCAGTTCTTTCACAAACTCCTCAAAGTATGGGTCGCTTTTGGTTGCGGCGCGAGTGCGCTGCCAGGTCAGGGCCTTCGCCACGGTAGGAACAGGTACTTTATGCACACCCTCTGCCGCGCCTGGAACGGTATACTGCGCTTCGAATAACTGCGTATGATAATGTCAGTATCGACCTTTCCTGGACTTGGTTCTGTCAATCAAGGGCTTGCCTCAGCTGTAACAGCATTCGCCGAGAAGCGTTCGTCGGTAAAGTTACGATACTCGCGCACCATTTCGTCATTGCAGATAAAGACTTCCCATCGAGTTGGAGTTGATACCTGGAAGGCAAAGTCGCCGTGCTGTATGGAATGCGTCACAAATTACATTCCAGGTCAGAGTCGATAGATACACACCTTCCGATAGCCCTCATCCACTAAGGATCGCGCTCGCGCTGTCCACCGGAATGCCGCAATCCAAGACCCAACAACCCCATACCCTCCAACTACCGGGACGTCGACCTTTCTACCTCAGCTGGGCTGTCATTGTCGAGTATCAGGCTAGGCCACCTACCCATGATTTATAATATCTGTACCATCTGGTCACGGTCTGCTGGATAAGGAGAGCTCCCAACAAATACGCCCAAACAGGAGCGGCGAACGGATAGGTTACCTGGCGCTCTACCAGGTCCGTAGAAAAAGCCAACGTTCTCTGAAGGAGTTGAGACATTGACAATATCATGGTCGGCTTCTTGAGCAATTCGATGATTTCAAGTAGATCGCCTCAAATGCGACTCAATAAGCCCGACCACCCATGTGGTCATTGTGGTTGCTTGAAAGGGCCACGGGCTCAAGACATGTAGGTGGATGGAGGCGTCAACCTTTGAAATCGCCCGGGAATTAATTCTGACGCCTTGATCAGCGTTGGATTGGAAACCAGTCTCAGTAATGAGGATTATCCAGCAACAGATATGGCAGCTGATGGGGCTGGGTCGTATTCACCTGTGCATAATATCAACGCGGGGCTCAGATGGATTGACCCCCAGCCGCGTGTTAAGAGGGCTTCCCTACGTCCAGCGAGAAATAGTATAATACCAGAACCAAGCAGGGTCTATCCCTGTTATTGCGGGGGTTATGCGAGTCAGTGGCAAGAGGCCATAACCTTTCTTTCATCTTTTCTCTTTGTTTCTTTGTCCATCAACTGTTTCCATGGCTTTGCTGCGACTCATCGTCCAGTCATTCCAAGCTTCTCTGCGTAGAAACATCCATGTTTGAATCAAATGCCGTCTAGGGCTATCTTTCCAATATTACCGACTCTATCCCACAGGGTGAGAATAAAAATCTGTTTCTAAACAGCCAAGAAGTAGGTCTCACATTCAGAAAATAGTTATACTCAATACGAGCCAGACAGCAAACAAGTTACACAGCAGCTGAACAAGTGGCAGCCCAGAGGGAATCGTCCATCCGCCCCGGTCTAGACCGTCTTCCTGTCGGCACCTAAGCCCATCCTTCGCTCATACCGTTGGACATAATACAAACAAACCCCATATGAACTGTCGACAACAAGCCAGACAAAAAAGCACCACATTAACAAAGGTCTTCCCAGCCATGAAAATGCCTGTGGCCAGTATTTATAACGCAGCCAGGCAGAGATCACCACGGAGAAAGAGCCCAAGAACCGGGACAGCCTGGTAGCAAAGATCAGCAAGCGACGGAGTGTATTGCGACCGAAATAACCTGGGTAAAACTTACCAGAGCGTGTATGAGGCCCCTCGGGTGCTTCCGCGAGTGATCAACTGGCAGAGCCCTCCAATACTGAGAAGCAGCTGACAGAATGCAGCCCCCCAGTTATAGGCCAGTGCAGGGCCTAGCTCCGCTGCTAGGGCAAGGTGGCCGGTGAGAAAGCCGATTATACCAAGCATAAAAATAAGTGGCAGGTTGTGCATCACCAAAGGCGCGTGGGTCCATTCCTTAGGTCCAAATTTGATTGCTGTATATATGACGCCCAGGTTGATGGCAAGACCACATACAAAGACGCCTTGCTCAGCCACAGTCGTAGATGGGTAGACAAGGCCATATACTATTTCCCACGCAATATTGCAACAGAGGGGCATGATAGCCATTCCATATGTACGATCTTTGAGCGATCCGTAGACCATACCGACATAGTTAATAACCCAACCAATCCCCATTCCGACGACGAAAATATCCGCAATCCATGCAACTTCACGATACGCATCTGGGGCTTGTGGCGAGCCAAATCCTTCCATTGCGTAGATACGGCACAAGGCAGGGTATGGTGGCTGGTGTTTACCTCGGACTCTTCGCCGTGTAGAGCTGCAATAGAGAATGGGAGACACTGCGATTGTCGGATTCAAGGGCACATGAACCGGTTTAATACTTCTAAACCGTTGCAAATTCGCAGACACGCGGATGAATACCCAGTCATCCTCTGTGCTCCAGAAATATATATTCCTCGCTGCAACGCGCGGCTAGGAGGCCCAGACGGGAGCCCAACCCTGAAGCTCATGGACAGCGCATTGCTTATGGTCTTTCGGAAGCTCTGAACAATCATCAGGTCACATTGCTACACGGTCGAACTACGTCTACACTCTATCGAAGCGATTTTATATCATGATCTCGGCATTACGTTACTTGATCTGGCTGATGGCGGTGACCTCGTTCTATATGATGTACATCTCATTATTCAATAATGAATTCTTCGATCTTCTCTCGCAGCAGCTGGCGACTAGAATGGCTCCTGGGGAACCGCCTGTTGCTCTTCTATCGGAGTATACTGGGCTAAAAGCTCTCGACAGTATATTGGAAAATACAATCATCTTCTTTTGGCCGATTTCCCAGGGCCACCATGCTGGTTTGTCCCTACTGGGGCTGGGCTTTGCGGGGGGTATGGTTGGCATCTGGATGATCGTTGTGGTCCATATCTGCCGGACATTCTCATTCATACGTGGCATGGCAATGTAAGTCTCACACCAACGTCCTGGCCAATGGACAATGAGGCTGAGAACCTAACTATTGGAAGAACTCTCATCGTTGGGATTGCACAACAGGCAGTTGGTCCTGGAGTCGTGATACCATGCTTCTTTGCTGTGTCTTCTAGGGCTAGACCGGTCTGTGAGAGCCCGCGTCCTACAGGAGCAGCTCCCACACCCACCGACGGTCTAGTTGCTTCGATCATCATGAGCTACATCCTGCCCTTGGCGACAATGTCCCTCACAGCGCCTTCTATGATTTCCCCTGATGTCAAACAACAACTCATCGCGGCATGGCAAGGATGGCCAGTATACTTTGTCGTCCTATTGATCGTCCACCATCTTACCATGGGTTCTACATACTCGCAGGAAGCATCAGCACGCCGTCAGCTACGTTCCGTGTATCGCTTCGGATTTGTTTGCTCCTACATCTGTCATATGGCGTGGCTCTCAGCATTCGTGGCGTCCACAATCCAATCTTTTGCCCAATCACATGATCTCTACTCTCTGCGTCCATACGGTGTCACGTTTCCGCTCTTCAATCAGCCTGCAGACGGACTCGGAGCTCTTGAAGCTGGATTGTATACTTTCCTCCAATGGGACTATGGTATTGCTGCAGTGGCCACAGTGGTGTGGAGCACCGATCGTTACATCCAAGTGTGCCACCGGGCTGGATTGGAGATCAGCAAATCCCAACTGATCCGACGGTTGCTTGGATGGATGCTGATTGATGGACCCTCGGCTACGGCAGTTAGACTTGCGTGGGAATCGGAAGATATCTCGTATCTGCAGGATCGAGGTGTTAGGAGTCGGCTAACCTGACGTCGCATCCGGGTGTGATACGTTTCGAAATATTCCAATTAACCAACAGGATCATATTATGAAACGTGCAGGTGAATGAGATATTGCAAACCTGTCTGGAACATGGACGCAGAACGGTTAGAAATATAACTCTAGTAAACCGTGCTTTCAGTAGACATTGTCTATCTTGCTTCGCTACCAGTATTACGACCATGCAGGTATCATTCCTGCACTCGGACGTCAGCGTCGACATATCCGACGACCCTACCCTTGCTACGGACACATCAGTGCACGTAAGCTGCACAACCTTGTGGTCTTGGGACTGTGCCACCATGGCTCAGGATGGATGAGGGGTATTCACCGAGACCAACTCAGCAATAAGTAGGATATGTTTCACAATCCAGAGTGAGACCAGGGACACCGACTCCATCTTGACAAGAGCGCTTTGAATTATACTCAAAGACACCCATGAGCATGGACAGTCTCACTGCCACGGTGGCCAAGTATAGCTATTCGTTTGCAGCAGAGAATGGTTCTATTTTGTTTGTTATCTCGCTAGTCATCCTGTTTACGTGGTTCATAGTCCCCAACCCCGTGAAACGCAGCAATGTGTCTGTCCCAACTGTTACGCTCTTCAATCCTTATCTACCTGAATTCCTGAGTCGGGTGTGGTTCAACTCAACAGCCCCTACTGTTATCTACAAGGGATATCGACAGGTGAGTAAACTAGCACTAGAGGGAGTTGTGCCTGTTTCTCAAAGCGGATCATAGTATAAAGATCGAGCATTCCGCCTTCTCAAGCCCGATGGGGATATCATCGTGCTATCGAATAAGTACGTGGAGGAGCTGCGCCAGCTACCTCTCACAACGCTTAACGCTCTGGAAGCGGTGTTCGAGGTGAGGGATAGAATATCTCGCCACGTTGGAAGGACTGTAACTTACGATCAAGCTGCTCTAGGATCATGTGGGCAAATACACGACAATATTGAACGACAGTCACCTGCATACTGAGGTTATACAGAAGCGCCTAACTCCTGCGATCAGTGTGTTAATCCTACCACACTAGGCGTTCATATAGGGCAGAGCTAATGCAGCTTTCGATCAGGTCGATTGGTGCCCCGGATTATAGACGAATTAGGTCATGGCTTTCAAGTTGAGATGCCAGATTGCGAACGTGTGTTCAATTTCAATTATACTGCCTGCTCAAATGCTAAGAAGTGATAGATGAATGGGTTCCAATCAAGCCGTATGAGCTTTTCCTCCGCCTAGTCGCTCGATCTGGTGCCCGTGTGTTTGTCGGACCTGAAATCTGCCGTAGTGAGAAATGGTTGACTGCTTCGATCGACTTTACCAAAAATATCTTCATGACAATCGCACTGCTGCGTCCAATACCAAGCTTCATCCATCCCATCGTCGGGTCCATCTTACCTAGCAGTCGCAGCCTAGATACACAGCTACGATACGTGCAAGATGAGCTTCTCGGTCCAGAGATAGCGAGACGCCGACAGAAGGAAGCGTCGGGCGACCCTGACTACGAGAAACCGGATGACTTCCTCCAGTGGATGATGGACCTGGCCCAGAATGATAACGAGGGCGATCCAAGGAATATTGCGCACCGTCTGCTGGGTCTTACCAGTATGGCAGTCGTCCATACAAGTGCCATGTCGATCACCCATGGCTTGTATGATCTCATCACGATGCCTCGGTGGCTTGAGCCTCTCCGGCAGGAGATCCAAAAGGTCCTGCCCGACTGGAAGTCGACCACCTACAGTAATCTGGTTGCGCTCAGGCACCTGGATAGCTTTCTCAAGGAGTCACAGCGCTTTAATCCCCCAGGCGAGCGTATGTTGCCCCCATTTCCACCTTGTCCCGTATTAACTCACTAATTATGCATTTTATGCATTGCTTAGTATCCTTCCACCGGGTAGTCAAGAAAGACCTGGTCCTCTCCGATGGCCTCCGACTTCCAAAGGGCACCCATATCTGCATGGCGTCCGGGCCCATTGGCATGGATACTACGTACATCTCCAACCCCGACACATTCGACGCCTTCCGCTACGTCGACGGCGACAAGGCTCAGTCCCAGTTTGTCCACACGGGTGCCACCAGCATGCACTTCGGACTGGGCCGGTATGCATGTCCCGGTCGCTTCTTCGCCACGTTTGTTTTGAAGGCCATCCTCAGTCGGTTTCTCCTGGATTATGAGTTTAGATTTGGTTCCGATCAGGTCGGGAGGCCGAAGAATATGTTACTGGGGGATAAAATCGTCCCGAACACCTCTACTGATGTGTATGTGCGAAGGCGGACTGGACCACGGACGGCCTAAAATGAATACTTAATATTCGGTCAGAGGTTGGTGTGTCTTACGATTGTTGTGAATTGTAATCGGATAGTAGCACAAATGCCATACTGATGTGGTGCGAATTGTATGCCTCCATGTCGTGCAGTCATAGAATGTAGCTGCTTGGATTATGGGTGACCTCGGGCGTCTAAGCGTGGGCTCCCTTTGAGGGTGGCCTGTTATAGAAGAATCATACCATGGTTCATGGTAAGAAAAACCTTCCCTTTAGCTTTTGTCTTCTAGATATCATTTGTTACGGAAGTAGATCTATGAAGCTGTCAAGGTAGACTATTCGTGTCGTGCGGAATATATATAGAGAGAATCCATATCGAGAGAGAGAGAGACTGGCATTATACCCGAATACAGCTCCCATTCAGAGTGTAACGGCGGCTATGTAAGTCAGTCCTGGGCTTCTGGATCGTGGATCCAGAGTTATTCTGACCCTTTGGCCTTGTGGAATAGGGTGGCCTGGCCCTATCTCCTTCAATTAGATTATATAGTAGTGTTTTAGGGGATCAGGCCCCTATATGTCAACTAGTAGATATATTAGTGTATTAATATATTTATCTAGAATAATAAAAATAAAACTATATAGACAATTTTATCTTGTTTCTTCGAGTAGAGGATGAGGTGTGGCGATAAGGAGAATAGGGTGATTTAAGCGACTCGATAAGGCAGAGGATCAGACGATATGATGAGCCAGACTTGGGCGTGGGGATAAGGGGAATTGGGCGATATAGGCGATTTCTGCGGAATATATATATGGTCAGCCCCCACCAAGAAACCTAACTTCACCAACGACACGCACTTGCTTAAACCTACCTTAATCTTACTAGATCAGCGTTCTTGGTATGGAGGCAATTTCCTACTTCCAAAACCAGTCTTAAGCACCGCCCGTGGGCGAATTCAATCTCATACTAAGGCCAAGGAGTAGCCTAAAATAGAAATGATGAGCATGAAGCAGCATCTCGAACGGGATGGCCGCTGTTGGCCCACAGGGAAAGATAAGCAGCACCAATAAGGACCAGAGAAAGAGTCAACGTTGCTTTATCAGAGTCTGGCTAGTCTGACAGGGAATATACGAAGGCGTCAAACCGCCTGATTTACCACTAGAAGATGCCGGATGGACCATCTCTCCGTCAGAACCAAGACTCACCTCCACCACCACTCCTGCCCAAACGAGTGATTCCATAGTGGTATCTGACGATAGTTCTTTGTCCCAGGCTCCCGAACCCACCCGAGGAGTTAAGGTTGGCTCGCACGGTCAAGCCTTCCGCTGGTTCTTGAACAACGTTTTCCAAGACTTGCTTCGGTTCCGAAGCCTGTGTGCCAAGCGGCGCCACGAGGGGCTTCTTTCCGGATCTTCGGCGGGGGAAAAGTCTTGAGGCTCGCCCAGACACGCCAGATGAAGCCGACCCATTCCCCCGAAGTTGTTATCGGGGGGTTGAGAGCCATTTACTAGTTGGATTCTGAGATGCCGTGGTCGGAAGAATTCCGCGATGGGGACGCCGAGGTAGAAGTTTGACACAGGATGCGAATGCCTGCACTTCGACACGATGCGTCTCGAGGAATGCTCGGTTGCGATGTAAGGAGGTGGGCACACGCTGATCAGTCCACCCAAATAATTACTCAACCGATTCAGCGGCCAGAGTCACGAACGTGGCTGACAACAGCCCATTTGCAAACATCCCAAATGAGGCCATGTAGGATATTTCCCCGGAGAAAAGACACAAAACCCCCACAAGCGCATGGGGAAATAAGTTTAAAATTGACTCGAAACTAAACCTCTTGGCTGATACAATTTATCGCGCACGAGGTGCCCTTCTTTCCTGGACGGGAGGCCCACGGATCCTGTCTATGACCTTCTGACCCTCGCGCGCGAGTAATTCGCTGGCCTCCTTTGTGTGCCTCCGATGGGTCTATTGGTTCCGATTGTCGTCACACAAATTCACTCTGACCCCCCGCGTCCAGGATGGGATTGGGACAGCTAGCGCCTCTAGGCATCAAGGGCGGGCCGATTGCACAGGAGATACCACCCTGAACGGCAACTTTGGCTACTGTGGCTGCCACCGCTGGGCACGCTTGGATAACTCCTTCAGCCTTAGCTGCTTGGCGCCATCTTGGCTCAATGAGATTGGAAGCTTTTCGCGGGGAATGTTGGCCGGCAGCCTGGGGATTCGTGGGGATTGTTCTCAATGCATCAGGTGGGCTGGGCACATTACTTCCCAATCGTGACGGCGCCATGGACGGGAGTGAAATCGCTGCCATCATGTATAAAGAGGTGTCGCTGGGAGTGTAATCATGATGTCGTTGCGTGACTTAAATAGAGCATTATTTTCGTCCGCTTTCAAAACAGCCCATCTGACTTTTCCCTTTTTTTCTTTTTCTTTTTCGTTCTCTTTCATCGAGGAGTACCTGGCAACATGAGCACCACGAACGAGCCAGCAGAACCCATCCCCAATGGCATTCTAGCCACAGCGAAGCAAGCATGGGGCGATCTGTTCAAGTGGAAGCAACGGGTCGTGGTGACCAACGAGTACGGTGAGACTCGCACTGAATGGCAAGAGCCCGATCCCATCAAGAACCCGATCAGCCTGTTTGCTCAGCTCAGTGCCCGGGACTGGGTGTTCTTCCTGGTTGGCCTGACAGCCTGGACGGCAGATGCGTTCGACTTCCACGCACTGTCCATCCAACAAGTCAAACTGGCCAAGTATTACCACCGCACGAAAACCGAAATTTCCACGGCAATTACCCTGACGCTTCTTCTACGAAGCGTTGGTGCTGCCTTCTTTGGTCTAGCTGGCGACAAGTTCGGTCGGAAATGGCCCATGGTGTTGAACATGATTGTACTGGGAGTGCTGCAGATTGCGACCATCTACAGTAGCACGTTCCAGCAATTCCTGGCCGTACGGAGTCTATTTGGTCTCTTCATGGGCGGTGTCTATGGTAACGCCATCGCAATGGCGCTGGAGCATTGCCCGTAAGCGTCGCGACCAAATCGCAATCCGTCCCACTTTACTAACATCCCCCAGTGTCAATGCTCGTGGGCTTATGTCAGGCATTCTGCAACAGGGGTATTCCCTGGGATATGTTTTCGCCGCCTGTGCTAATCTCGGCGTTGGTGGAGCCACCGAGAGTTGGAAGACAGTATTCTGGGCTGCTGGTCAGTGCCTATCCATTCAACAAATGCTTACCCATGCTTACAACTATAGCTGGCATCTCGATTGGGGTGGGAATCATCCGCATCTTCTTCCCGGAGTCCAAACAGTTCCTCGAAGCAAAGAAGGCCGGCAAGAAGTCCATGAGCGCAGGGGCATTCTGGCAAGAAACCAGACACATGCTGGCACAAGAGTGGAAGATGTGTGTGTATGCCATCATTCTCATGACCTGGGTAAGTACTCCCCCAACCAACAACAGAGCCACCCCCAACTAACTGCCCCAGTTCAACTACTACTCCCACACCTCGCAAGACTCTTACACCACGTTCATGTTGACGCAAAAGGGAATGGAAAATACCGGTGCCTCCCGCGCATCCATTCTCATGAAGACCGGCGCCTGCGTCGGTGGCACCATCATCGGATACCTGTCCCAGTTCTTCGGCCGCCGACGCGCCATCATCGTCTCGGCCTTGATCTCCGGCATTCTCATCCCGGCCTGGATCCTGCCAGAGGGTGAACGCGCCTTGAGCGCAACTGGATTCTTCATGCAGTTTTTCGTCCAGGGCGCATGGGGCGTCATCCCAATTCACCTGAATGAGCTCTCCCCACCGGCCTTCCGGTCCTCCTTCCCTGGTATGTGCAGACTCCACCGTCTCCAATCCATTGCATACATTCCCTAACAAGACAAAGGAATCACCTACCAAGTCGGCAACATGATCTCGTCCCCCTCCGCCCAGATCGTCAATGCCATCGCCGAAAAGACCTTCATCATTGGTTCGAAGGGTACACCGGCGCCCGCCTACGGGCCAACCATGGGCGTCGCTACGGCCATTATCGCGACTGGAATCATGGTCACGACTGCGTTCGGTCCCGAGAAGCGCGGCCGCAGATTCGAGACTGCTGTTGCGGGCGTGGAGGAGTCTGCATCGCAGAAGGTCCTCGATGTGGAGAAGGCTGATGTGTCGGAACACAAGCCTACAGAGGAGACGGTCGAGCGGGTAGAGAAGGTCGAGAAGATTTGAACTTGATGTTTTACACTACGATGAGCGATACCCCATCTATGAGTAAAGGATAAATACGATGCTATAGCTTAGATGCATCGTTTACAATTCCTTTTACTGTCCTACTATAAACATTGCTCTATGGACTTAGTAGATGGTATGGCCTTGCAAAGTATAGGTTGAACACCGCACCCACGGCTGCGAAATAAAGATTACTACCGATTGAGAAGGACAGCCTCGGACCGATAAGCGCCTAAAAGAAAAAATATTAAATTAGCCGGTATGTATCGGCCTTGACACTGTTGCTGAGATAGCGGATTACCGCACTGGGAAGTCCTCCGAGCTCCATTTTTGATCGACAAGAATGCTGCGGGGAAGTCCGGAGTACATCTCATGCCAAGTAGATGGGCGTGGGATGTATTTCCTAACATTGGACACGTTGCATTAGGGTGCGAAACTCTTGATTGTGGATATGTTGTCCGTCTCTTGGTGTTGATAATGAATGAAGCAGTGGAGTCAGTCCCTGGTAGAATGCTAATCAATTGGAAATACTCCAGTTTTCGTACACGTGCAATCAATGCCATGGTATAGGCTACGCGCTCCTAATATAATCAGAAAAAGTCCTTCTGGGTCAAATTCATTGAATGAAATACACCATCCCAAACCCAAATCACCCGAACATAAAAATCCATACCAAAAAAAGAAAAATCCCCTCACGTAAACCCAAACCACTTCATATCCTCATCCCCATGAATCTGAATATTATGTCCAACACCCCCCGCCAAAATGCCCTGAAGATTCGGTCCCCAAGTAGTCGTCACCCAGTTTGCCTCCGGTGTATCCGAGGCCTTCGACTCGGGAGCATCATAGTTATACCCGAAGACGCCCGCCCACTGCTTGCACGTCTCCTGGTAGTTCTGGGGGTACAGCGTGGCATCGGCATCACCGTGGTAGATCTGCATCTTGGGCCGCGAGCCACTATATCCGGGGTACATTCCTTCGGCAATACTAGCCCAGTGCTCCGGAGTGGTGATAGACTGGCCCTGAGCGCAGGTTGAGTTCCAGGCGTCGGGCTGGTCGGCTGTGGAGAGGAAGCAGCCGGCCGGGACGCCGGCGTAGGCGATTCCTGCGGCGAAGAGCTCGGGGTATGTTGCTGCCATGACATTCTAGTAGTATTGGTTTAGTATTCTTGTATTCTTCATTGGGTGGTCTAGTTTCAGCGTACGGTCATCATGGCACCAGAGCTGGTACCCGTTACGAACACCTTACTGGCATCTGCGTTATACTGCTTCGTCGTCCATGTTACCATGTTGGCGATGGAGTTGCTGTTTCCGCCCCCGTTGTGGGTAAGTGTTGCTTGCGAGCTGACGTCCCAGCATGTTCCTTCGTAGGGGCTTTCCGGGTAGATGACGATGAAACCATGTTGTTCGGCTTGTCGGGCGTACGGGGAGCCTTGGTAGTATGCTTGCGCAGTTCCAGTACCTTGCCTACTGTTAGTATGGTGTGTAGGGTATAGAGGGAAGAGTACGTACAGTAGTGGATGGCCACTATTATTCCGGGATTGGAGGCGAGGTTGTTAGGTACGTAGATGTACATGCCAACGTTGGACGGGTTGTCACCGAAGTCGGTGACTTTCTCCAGAGATCCTGCTCTGGGAACTAGGGATCTGCCATTGTGTATAGCCCTGGCATTGCAGGTGAGGGCATGAAGGAGGCACGTGAGGAGATATAACACGATCATATTGGTTGGACCAGTGAGTAAAGGCCGAGCTTTGAGATCAGGATATGCTATTGCAGCTCTTGCTGGTATATTCCTCCATCAAGTCATAAGAGCGAGACGTAGCCCTTAAATATCTCTAGGATAGCCCTCCTGACACCCTCAATATCGCGGCAAGGCATCACACGGCCATTTGCATTGTAAAGCCACCATCATTCACTGGCAGGTCATTTGCCCCCGGACGAACGGAATTCTCCCCTCCAATCTTGACGCCCAAGTCCATCCCGCATTTACAGGGGTGTAGATCACCACTGTCGCAGAATCCCCTGTCGCAATGCTAATTCAGCAGACGGCATTGCGGGGGAAAATGCCGTTCGGCTAATTCTCCGTGACGAATTGTGCCAGATATACTTGCGCTCGGCTCATTGGTCGATCGCGTTTCAGGTACATCTTCCCCAGAGCGGGGGATCCCCGATTGCGTTTTTTGTTGTATAGCCGGCGATTTAGGCTGAAGAAAATGATTAAGCCTGTTTGATGGTTTGTTTAGTATCCTGCTTGAGTGTAGTCGTTATTGTGATTGCCTAAGACCGTGCAGAGTCATAGTAGGTTTGAACTGCGGACTTTACAACCTTACTAGTGATATAAAATTGACTGGTTCGAGGCAAATATTTCTCCGTTCATATATGGGTTCTACGCTAATTCCACTCATTAAGCCTTTGGGAGTCTTGTTTACCCAGTTATGAAAACATACACGAGCCATGTCCCAACCCCGGCCACATTTGGGCAACCCACCTAGCAAATCGTTCTTCTTGCGGTTGGGTGATGCCGCTCTTTTGCAGGATATAGGCTGAAGCTTGGTCGTCGTAACTAACTACCTTATCTACTCCTTTCCACAGTGACCAAGGGCCCAATTAATGTATTCCACAGGATTCAACAAGCGCAGTAGCGTACAGGACTCAACGCCGAGTCTGAAATTCGGAAAGCAGTTGCGAGCTTCGATGACATGTGGAATTTGTTCGCAGTCCCAGACGGACTAGGAAGTATTGGCAGAAAGAAGGAACATGTATCGAAATCATAGCAGAAACAAGCAATGCCCTGTCTAGAGTTGGCTAAGAATAATAGGATATACTTACCTGGTACGCGACAAGTCGCACTAGAGACAGCAGGACAAGGGTCCTCAAATTCTATAAGATATGATACCTGACCCCGAACGAGATTAGAAACATATGAGGAATCCAAAAGGCTGCTCTTGATGCTCTATGGAATGTGTGAAAGATGATAGTTAATTACTTTGGGTTCAGCGTTTGAGCGAAGCCCTCAAGCTGCGCGGTTAGTCTTTCTTTGTGCCACAGTTGGTGAAGCTTTCCCCACGACTGTCAGTTTATCGACATACCGAGGATGTGAATCAGTGACCCTAATTGGGATGACTATATCGATATCAATGTCGTGAAATGGAAGGATCTAAAACCCACAAAAAGCAAAAGGAAAGAGAGGAAGGGCTAGTATTTACGGCATGACTGGTCTTTCACTAGGAAGCCCGCCAAGTGATAGGGAAAGGTCCAAGTTAATAGTCCTTGGTACATACTGAAGTTCTAACTAGGCACCCATATCTGCTAACTTTTCATTCATACAGCAAATTACCTCATCGTGAGCAACAAATAGGGTAATGTAAGTGTTATGGTGATGTGTTTGATATTCACTTCCTTGCTAACACAAGTTAATAAATAGCTCAGTGAATATTTTCATATCTACCGATTTCATTACTCCTACTCTCGTTTATTTAGCTACCTACATCCTTGTACGCAAGATCCTGAACCAGTCAACTACACCTCACTTTACGTCTTGTATTTCTTCTCGCCTCTTTGATCGAACATCCTGGTGGTACACAGCAGAAGCTGGTACCAATCCTCTTGTTACAACACTCAAGTGGCATACAGCAGACGCTGGTGCCAATCCTCTTGTTACGACCCTCGTGTGGTACACAGCAGAAGCTGGTACCAATCTCCTCATTACGACACCTGAATGGTAAACGGCAGGATCCCACGCCCACCGTCTCTTTCTCCCCCCATCCCATCTCTACCTACCTTGGCCTTCATATCCTACGCGACCATGGCCTCCCTGAAGCCTCTACGTGCATACAACTTAAGGAGCGAACATCCGAAGCGGCTCCAGGACTTTGCATCCGACCTCAAAAAGGCCTTGGATGGTGTGACTCCGACTGCGCATGGATATTACCGCGACGTGTCGGTACTGGCCCTCCGTTGGCAGAACGATGATATGCGCGTTGGTCGCCTCGAATCTGAGCTCCTGAACATTTTCGCCGGGGTGTATAACTTCAGGACTGAGAGTTATCAGATTCCAGTTGCTGAGCCATACCCCTCTCTGAATTACAAGCTCCTTTCATGGTCTACTTCTAGAGGGGGGGAACATACACTCCGAATAGTGGTGTATTCCGGACACGCAGAATTTGCCGGTACAACGGACTTCCGATGGTTTCTAGCGTATGCGAAGCATCCCTCTCCCTCAGCTAATCGTTACCTAGCTAATAATATCGATAGGGGGCGAGCCAATGCAAATGGAAATCTCATGGGGCCTAGAATTGACTGGAGACGCGTAAGCGGCGCAATTGATAATATCAAAGGGGACATCCTTTACATCTTCGACTGCTGCTCCGCTGCTTCGTCGGCCATAGAAAGAGGTCCGGAGACTATTGCGGCTTCGGGATGGGGACAAATGGCAACAGGTAACCACGACTTTTCGTTCACACAAGTCCTCATTGACACCCTCAACGACTTGAAAGGGGCACCCGAGACTGCTGCCGGGATCTATGCTCGGCTTTTCCGAAACGCCTACCAAAATCAGATAGGTGCTTGCCCTGTACATATACCAAAGGAAGGGTCGCCAAGTATCACTCTCCAGAAACTGGAACCGAGAGAGGTGCAGAGACTAAAGGCCTTGAAGGCCCCGGGATCTAACAGGGTGCTCATCAGTGTGAAGACTCGTGATGAGATCTCGGAGCTGGATCTGAAATCATGGACCAAGTGGCTCACGACAAACATGCCGCCTGGAGTCTTGGCTGTAGATGTCAAGATCGAGGCCGCCTTCCAGGGCTCAGGTCTTATACTTGTCACAATGCCTGTAGAGCTATGGACGATGCTTCCAGCGGATGACAGTGCCTATCGCTTTATTGCCCATGTGACATCAAATAATACTCTTCCACGGTTGACCCAAGGTCTGCCTATACGCCCTGCGCCTCCCTCTGGGCCAGAGAACCAGCCCTTCCATCGTCAGGGAAAGTGAATAGGCTGGTCTACCTGTTTGATGGGCGGGCGGTGCGCTTCCCCCTTCTCTGCTCTGTGTCTTCTTTTGTTCTTCATTTCATTTTTGCTTTCGTCTGTTTTCCCTTTGTTCCTTCTGCTACCCGTTTTGATATTCTAAACTATGCCGCGATAGAGAGGAAATCTTCCATTAGCCAATGCCGCATGGATAATTCAATGATACTTAGATGATCAAAGCCTTTACTGGTGTGAAGTCCAATATTTGAATCTAGACACTTCCTGGTTGAAATATGTACAAACTAGATCTCTCCAAGAGTGTTTGATATCCAATAGGGGAGTCACAATTGTCCCCTTTGGATGAACACAGACTGACGATTCTCCGAAGGATTCTTATGGCCAATATATGTGTGTAATATGACAGTAGGTGGCACCGCATCTTAGGACTGTCTTGATACACTTCCTCAAAACGCAATGCGCCGGCCGAGGCATGAATGTCAAGCTATTGGGCACTAGTAAAACTTCTAGCCAGTTGGTAATACATTTTTTTTACAAAGCGATGAATAATAGATCTCTATTCTGAGTCGTGTATTTAGGTATTGTTTCCTTTGATACCATGATAGGATTGGAGGTAGGAATACCGTCAAAAAGAGACTTCCGCGAGAGTAGAACAGTCTTTGAATGTTATGAAAAACTAAATGCAGACCGCGAGATGATATAAGACTGATTCCAATATTATTTAACTGGCTGCCTTGCCGCTGTTCCTTAGCGGCTATACGCCTTATGCTTAGAGCTGATGTTCTCCCCGCCTTATCCTATGCCCTCCTGGACTTAATAAACTATCCACAGATATTCTACTGAAGTTAATCTATTCTTCCAAGCAATCAAAATGGACAGCAAACTTGAGCCCGTCCAGTTGACGCCGTCGATGATCCCTAATTTACCCAACTTCGACGTCGAAGATTCAACTTCAGCAAATGGAGCCAGCTGCCCTCACCAGAAGTGGTTCGCGCACAAGGCGACGCTCAGCATCTTTTGGGAATCAATCCGGACAAGAGAAAGGTCTACTACCCGGACCCCCCTTACGTATCACCCCCGCCTGTGATATTCGAGAATATGAGACTGTTTGTCAAATGGGGGAGCAGCGTGAGAGTCTCAGAGGCTCAGTGTCTGTATGCTATCCGCCGATTTCTTCGAGACAATGTTCCAGTCCCTGAGGTATATGGCTGGCGTACAGATGGAGACGAGAAGTTCATTTACATGGAATATACAGAGGGACAAACTCTGGAAAAGGTGTGGGATATGATGGAACCTGACGATCAGGTTTCGATTTGCCAGGAACTTCGAACAATCGTCGATAATTTACGCCGACTGGAACAGGACCCGTCTGATCCATTTATAGGTAAAACGTCTTCCCCAACCCTATATTCTTCTATTCTATACCTAACCTTCTGTACTCTAGGCAACGTAGTACGTGAGTCTCTCTATGACAGAGCATTCCACATAAGTTACATGTCAGAAGCCGGGCCAATCGCTACAGTCCGGGAGTTTCACGAATGGTTCACGTTTCTCCCCAGACGGCGAATGTCGGATCCATACTCGGTCCCGGTCGAACCATTTCGCCATGACTTGCCTGATAACAGTACAATCAAGTTTACTCATGGAGATCTCCACCGAAGCAATATCATTGTAACCCCGTTTGCCCCATATCGTATTCTAGCGATTGTCGACTGGGAGCAATCGGGCTGGCTACCTGCGTATTGGGAGGCCCGCAAGGCACAGTATACTGCCCACTGGCGTGAAGAATGGTCTGTTCGGTATTTACCCATGATTTTGGATCCGTATACCAGCACTTGGGAGCCGTGGGACTGGTATACGAGTTCTATGGGATGCTAGACCCCGCAGCTCATGGCATCAACAAGTATAATTTAAGAACCAAGTAGTGAATGACTGTTGCAGCTAAGAAAATGGACACTAATGGCAGCAAGGTGAGAAAGATAAGAGAGGAACAGCGAAGTAGGAAAACCAAGGCACACATTCATAGTGTACGCTGCTTTGCCAACATGGCATCAGAGTATGCTTGGGGCATTTTGAACGACCGAAAGAGCGCTGCTTCCAACGATACCGTGTTCGACAAGGGTTTGGACGTAATCAAAAATCCAGTTTTGACAATTAGAAGCCTGTACCAGAGCTTGGTTAGAATTGCTGTGATGGGTTTATTATTGGATATGCATACCGAAGGATCAAACGGGTTAGGGCTCCGAGCAGGAGGAGGCACCATAGTGGCGATTGGTTCTATTCGACCGCGGGCAGTTGTGTCAATCGATAATTGCCTATCGCCGACTGTATCAGCTACATACTGATCATCCACCTGCGCCAGGGGAACGATTTGGTATTCGCGTACTGTGTCAGCCATGCTGTAGTTGCGGTTGAATTCAAGAAAGAACCCTATGGCCGGACTCCCAGTAACATGGATCACTTTTCCCTCCTCACCCGAGTCATTCGTAGGAATAAACACAGAGAAATGAGCGGGTTTGGCAGCATTGGAGGAAATGGCCAAGTAAAATAGTACGAGTCATTTTTCCTTGTTGTAGTGATTGAAGGCAGGAGTTGCGAATAGCTTTGGTCAAAGAGAAGAACGAGGTATGATGTGAATATGAGACATGAACAGTGTACAAACAGGAGTGAGCACCTGGCACTCGCGCGCGCGACGGTCCCGCCTGGAGGTGACTGTATATCCAATCGTCCAAGAAGGAAGGCGCCACAATGGGAGTTTACAGCAGGTGCCGATACTCTATGGATATCTCGTGATCACAGCCGCGGATGCCTGGCACATGTATCCTTGTCAGGATGACGTGGGTTGCCGAGCCTCAGTCGAAAAGAGCCATTTCTAACAAACACGAGGCTGTAAATTGGTGTGATATGCAAAGGTTCTCCTAGCGCTACATGTACACGTACGTTGTCCAACTGTGTATATACATTCTTAGGCACTTAAAGAACCATTTAAGTAAACAGTCATCAGTCTGCCTCCAACTGTAACACCTGTATTAGTCCAGATTAACGAACGTTTTGATGACATGAGGGTTACGTCTACTCCAGCTATGCTTGTAGGCCTGAGGTGACCTATAAACACTAGTACGGCTGAATATATCTAGTGAATTTAAATGTAGGAACTAATCGCAAATACAAATAACTTTTTGAAACAACAATATATTCCCTCAAGTTTGAAAATATCTTCTAAAAGGGATCTGGCAATTTTAACAACTATTTCCACCGGCACGCTGCTGAACAAGATACCCATTGCGTAAAATACACTTTTAAGGCCTGCTGGTTTGCTGGTTCAGACACAGCTGGTTAACCGCGCAAAGGCTTGTATATACTCTGGCGTTATCTCTACAACCCTAATGCAACGCACGCTCATCTATTCTGCAATAGATTCCGAGAATCTCTCTTATAAATATTTGTATTGGATGGATATAACGTCTCTGATGACCTAGCGTACTTTACAAGAGGCATATCACTCCTACATGAGGTAACGGTACTCTAATCGGCAAAAGCCTGGTCTTATTTGCACCTGGATCATTCTTTCGCAGTGTTGCACAACCACTCATTGCATACGTAATACAGAAATCATACCAAAAAGCGACAAGTCCTACAAAGCAATTCTCCATGAAGTCAAACAGGAAGGAAACCAGTAAATTAGTAAATCGTCCCGAGGCTCTGAGCAAGTCAAAATAACTGCTTGCTCGCCCCAGCAGTCTTATATTCCCTCAGACATGATTCCCATCCGCATCATACTTGATCTCCTTTCCCGGATTAGGAGGAGAGACTAGTCCCAGCTGCTGCAGAGCAGTCAGAGCTTGCTCTTCACCAATCTCATCCACAATCTTGCCATCCTTCAAGGTAAAAATCGTTGTGCCTGAGAAATACACCTCCCTCCCCGTATTTGCCTTGTCGAGCGTGCCAACTGCAAGATCATCGAATGCCCGGCCGGTGTGCTTGCCGCCCCCGATCCAGCGACCAACTACATAATCCCCCTCTGCAATCAGAGGGAACTTGTAGGCGTGGAAGGAAATATCTGGAAACGCCTAGAGAGCATGAGGTATGAGGCCATGTTCCGTCTGCATCTATAGGATATGTCCGGTTTTCTTACCTCGCGAAATTCGAGCAGCATTTTCTTCGCCGCTTCTTTACCGTGCCGGGGTCCATGCATGGGATAATCGATAACAAAGTTGTCGGCACATACTTCGTCCACAATGGAAACGTTGCCCTTGCCCCAGTACTCTTCGAAGTACTTTTGCACCACGGCCTTGTTCTTCTCCTGGAGAGTGGACATGCTGCAGGTTGGATGTTTGTAGTTGTAGACTGAATGTATGACTGAAGAGTGGAAGTATGCTAGAGTGATGCAAAGTATACATGCTCAGGTGGTGACTGGGCGGCCTTCTTATAGCTAGGCGTGGGCCCTAAGTTGGGTTCTAGACCTGGCAAAACTTGCTACTGAACTACCCAATCGCTCCTGAAAATGATGTTGATTGTGCTCAGAGTATGATTTAGAATTGGAAAATAGGTGAAGACCTAGCTGCAAGGGCCGACTAGTACCAAAGATAACTGGTCGACGCCATAGGGTTCCGCTGAAGGGGGTGGAAAACATCTCCAGCGGAACCTGATGTGATTGGCTACTTCCAGGACAATGTCCACTCCATACTAACCGAATCAACTATGATTCGACATAACTGCACAACGCCTATGCTCTCATAGATATTCTAAAACTCCTTGAAGAGTTTCACCTATATGTATGCTCTCCATTCATCGACTTGTTTAACTCCGACAGTATTTCCATCAATTCACTTCAACATGCAGGCGTTCACCGTTTTCAAAGGCTCACCGAATGGAGAGGTCGTGGAAAGTCGTATTCAGCATCCTGACCCTCAGGAGAATGAAGTACTCGTCCAGATCACTCATTCCGGTCTTTGTGGAACCGATGAACACTACAAATGTGCCGACATTGTGCTGGGACATGAAGGGGCTGGGGTGGTCAAAGCAATCGGTCGCAAAGTCACTTTGCTGAAGATGTAGGCCTGCCGTGAACTTTCCTCTTTCCTATTCGCATTTATTTTGTTTTCACCTACCCCCTGCTTAGACCTTCACTAACCTTTCATGGAAACAGAGGAGACCGTGTAGGCTGGGGATACGGACACGGCAGCTGTCGCCACTGCAAGTACTGCCTGCGCGGCGAGGAGCTATACTGCAACCAACGGCAAATCTACGGCGAGTCCAACACCCACCAAGGATCTTTCGCTTCAGCAGCCATCTGGCCAGAAGACTTCCTTTCCAAAATCCCTGACGAACTAACCAACGCCGAAGCCGCTCCCCTAATGTGTGCAGGGAGCGCCGTCTTCTCGCCCTTACATAAATTCCGCGTTGCGCCGACCGAGCGCGTGGGCGTGATCGGGGTCGGCGGCCTAGGCCATCTTGCGATTCAGTTCGCGGCCAAAATGGGTTGTCAAGTGGTGGTGCTGTCCACGACTGAGTCTAAACGGGAAGAAGCGTTGGCCCTTGGGGCTACTGAGTTCCATGTTTTCGGAGATTCCCACCCCCCTGTGCTGGAGCCTCTGGATCATTTGCTTGTCACGTCGTCGAGGCAGCCGAACTGGGATGCTGTTTTCCAGGTTATGGCTCCTGGGGGAACTATCTATGCTCTTACGGTGGATATGGGCGACATGAAGGTCCCCTATCTGCCCTTGGTTATGAAGGCTCTGCGCATTCAGGGTAGTCTGCCTGCGACTCGGGGAAGCCAACGCGAGATGCTGGATTTCGCTGCTCGGCACCGCATAAAGCCTGTCGTGATGACGTTCCCGTTGAGTCGGGATGGAATTGAGGAGGCGATGGAGACACTTCGGGAGGGAAGAATGAGATATAGAGGTGTTTTGGTCCATGAGTGAATGTCGGATGGCGAAACTGTCGAACTAGATGATGAGTCGATGTTGTACTATGGGATAAATGATTGATACGTGAGTTCTAGATTTACAAGGCGTGGGGGCAACCTCCTGGAGGCATAATATGCCGACGAAGGGTCTAGTATAAGGACTACCTTGTAGCAGGAACTAATGCTGATAACACAAAAAACTCACTAATAATATGAAGCCAGGTTATCTGTGTTGCTTCACTTAGCCCACGCCTCATCATTACTGGTGAGTACTCGCGTTGTAGGCCCGGGGCGTTCCGGACCCTCCTCTAATCTGGCTTAGTCCTAGGGCTTCGTAACCAAACTGGAAGGCAGAGTAGAGTATACTGCGCAGTATTAATAGTAAATAGTAAGTATATTTTGAATTGAAGTGTTCTAAGAATGAAATAGCTTCTCTGTCAATTTTGAGCCGATAATATCATATATCTTTGGAGGACTATTAAAGCTAAAAATAAAATGAAAAACAACAGCCATTTGTCCGAGGTAGTGGATGAGTGCTGGTAGTGTTGCAACTTGACATTGGAACACTACTGTCAAAGTGGTTAGACCATCCAGGCCAACATCCAGGCAGCCACTAGGCATCGCTCACCTCATGACACTAAAAGACCCTAGCCTCTAGCATGGGAAATTTCAGGGGACGATGCAAAATTATAAGATTACCATTTCCCGACCATTGAAGAATGCCATGAGCATCATTCAAACCAGTTCCTCACAATGCCACGCGATATCCCATATCGACATATCCACAGTCCCGGCCACGCGATTACCAAAGTACATCGCGAGTCTCAGGAAGAGTTACAAATAGGTAAGCCGGCTATCCCGGCAATGCCAGAAAAAGATGAAACATGAAACTGATCTGCACAGTTGATCGACTCCTGGAGCCCCAGACGATCGTCCACTTTCTAGAATGCTGCCACGGAGCTCCACTCCACAATGGGAAGCAGTCCACGCTACCCAAACTAACAGCTGAGGAGATCCACAGCCTCTCTACCCGCCCGGACGCTGACCCCAACGGCGAGCCGTTTCTGGAACGCGTGATGAAAAGAATCGGGTCCAGGGAGGATGGCGATCGGCTTTGCATTGTGGGGAAGAATATCCACTCGGCCAAGAGCCGGGCCTGGGAGGGTATCATCCCGCTTTCGGAGCAGCGATGGCGCGAGAAGGGTCTTGACCATTTTGCGAATTTCCAGGTCGCGTGTCAGTATCTGTCTTCTGTGTTGGCAGTCTTTGAGTATCTTAATAAGCCGCGGGTGGCGCAGAATCTTCGGGACACGTTTAACCTGATCTATGCGCATTGGGAGGAGTGTGATGCGGTTTTGAATGGCCAGCGTCGCCAGCTGGAACAGGAGCCTGTCAGCGTGGCGAAGCGCTGGACGGAGTTTATCGCAGCTCATTATGAGATGATGACTGAGCGTGCGCATCGCTGGGTCATCTCGCATGTGAATACATTGCGCGCTCCCCTTCTGGAGGGCTTGTTGTCGCATCGTCCGATGGATGAGAGTATCGTGGATAGGGTGCAGTGGAAGATGACGGATGCCTTGCATGTGCTCATGGAGATCTCGGCCGTGGCGGATTATACAATCATGATACCCATGCATGGATACAAGGGGTATACTCCATCGCCGATTGAGACGAGTATTCCGCCAGGGCTAAGGTCACCCGATTATGAGAAGCGAGGTAAAGAACATCAGCAGAGGCTGAAGCTTGTCAGTCGCATGATCATGTTTCAGAATATACGCACCACATCTCGGGGTGTTGGTGAAGGTATGGGATCACCGGAATCACTCCACCGGACCGCTTTGCAGCAGATTGAGAGCCAGAACAAGGTCCGACGGGAAACAAGGGGCGAACCTATAGAGCCCGTACCGCGTGAACCGTGGATTGCGAAAAGCCTGGCTAGGCTAGAAACATCCGACAAGGATCCTGTTGGCGGATTTGGACTTGCCATCTACCGTCTGACCTATAAACAGAATGACACTGAATGGGCAGGGTTTTTGCAAAAGTTCGAGACGCATGTGGCCGATTGGGGTCGGGGTCAAACCGGTTCCAACGCCATTAAACCGCTTCTCAAGCTGCATTGGCTGGACGGAAAGGCGCTGGGGATCCCAGAGGGGGACCTTGATGCGGCAAAGAAGTGAGTATGGTGTTCAGTATCAACCTCAGGAATAGTAATATTGACCGGTCGAACTTTAGACATTTCAACGATCATGCGATTTCCTCGTTCGAGGACACGGACCGTGTCGATAATAGCACATTCCTAGTCATTGATGATGCCTGTGTCGCTTCCTACATGGGAGATTCATACTCGGCGGCCACCGAATTTATCCCTTCCGGCGATCACTCAGGGTTCGTTCTCGCAGTTGATGCTCACTATGATCCGAAGGAAGGCATTGAACGCCCGGACGAATCTCCCGGTTACTACGGACAAATGCGCATTCTTGGTAATCTAATCTGGGGAGATCTTTATGCAATGCTGTCATCCCAGTCTGCTTTATTAGAGGACCTCTGGCCTCTGGCCATTAACCACCCAAACGGGGTCTACACTGGTCCTACTGTCCCCATGCAGGTAAAGTGCTGGAAAGTCCAGAACGGGATGCGATTCACTTTACTGCGCAAAATTGTAGAATGCGTGGAGGCACAGATGAATGGAACAGCATCATCATCATCATCATCATCACCACCACCACCACCACGAGTCCCACCACGACGAAGTGAACAAAGTGCACGAAGCGAGCCGGATGCCACCCTTCGTGCTTACCTGCTGCGACAGTTCGCTCAGGATATGCGGCGCCAAGGTAACATACAACATGCAGTATTAGCCGAAGAAGCCATTGATTTGCAGCCTGATGAAGAGCCGGACTGGGAGAGAATTCAGCGGCGTCTGGACGCTGAGTCAGAAACAGGAAATGAGACACGGCCAAATATGCGGGATAGAGGAGGTCCCGATAATCAGTGTGCTCCTCAATAGTCTTTGTCAGAAATAAGTTGTATATAGACCTAATACACAGAGCTGCTTCCGACGTCAGTTGTACTCATATATCTTGTGTTGCTAATATATTTTTAGTTTCCATTGTTACTGAGCACTGAACCCTCTGGTAATCCCCACAGCATATCCCCTTAAACATGTCTAGTACCTTCTAGCCATCCTCCATATTCCTATTCAATACATCAACTGTGTTATAGCTGTGCTTCCAGAATAGCTGGACCTAAGGGGCTTTTGAACCCTTCGAAGGCTTTAGCCTTTATGTCAGCCAGGAAGGCCCTAAACGTTCCCAGACCACCAAAGTAAAACGATACCCCCACAGCCTTCCCAGTGACATTATTCCCTAACAACCAAGAAGGAACTTTCTCAAACACTGTTCCCGCTACTGAGGCCCTACTGCGTTCTGTCCATGCGCGCTCGGCGTCTTCTAAGGCCTCGATTTCGCACTGACGCCCCGTCTGCTTAGATACCTCCTCGGCCCGTCGGACCAAATCCATAATAAATTCGGTGTTAGTCTCCCCTGATATAGGAATATTGCTGAACGCCATGTGCGGCCCGTTGACTAGAAGGAGATTTGGGAACCCATGCACAGACATTCCTACGTAAGTGCTTGGGCCTTCAGCTTTCCAAACATCATATAAATTGTTCCCATCCCGGCCTCGGATGTCAACCATCGCATAGGTGCCATCCACGGCATCAAACCCGGTCGCAAAGACAATGACATCGAGCTCGTGAGTTGTGCCATCAGCCATGCGAATGCCGGTGGGTGTAACCTCCGTAATCGGATTCCCTTTGACGTCCACCGCAAAGACATTTTCCTTGTTGAACTTCTCGTAGAACCCACCATCACACAGAGGTCGACGGCCATAGAGCTCCTTCGGTGTCAGGACGTCTCGCTTCTTCGGATCCTTGACGATACTGGCAATCTTCTTGCGCAGAAATTGACAGACTTCCTCATTTACAGCGTCATCCGTGGCAATATCGGAAAACCCGCCAAACATGAACATGAAGCCGTTACCTGTCTGCCACAGCCGCTCGAGTAGTGCCTCGCGGTCTTCGGGTGACACCGACATGAATTTTCTCGTAGGCTCTGGCGTTCCCATGGCAAAGTTGGACGTGCGGACTTCTGTGATAATCCCTGGATAATCCTTGTTCACCCGTGCGCGTTCCTCCGGCGTCACATCCCGATTCCCGCTAGGAACGCTGTACTGCGGGCGTCGGACAAATACATGAAGCGATTTAACCTTGTCTGCGATGGCCGTCACGACCTGCACGCCCGATGATCCGACGCCGACAACACCAACACGCTTATTCTCGAGCTCCACTTCTGGATTCCACGCCGAGGTATGGTTAATTTCTCCCTTAAATGTGTCCATCCCGGGGATATCGGGGTAGTGGGCTTTAACCAGGACTCCAAGCGCGGTGAAGAGGTATCGTACATGGAAGACGTCGCCTGTTTCGCACTGCACCTTCCAGCTCTTGGTCGTGTCGTTCCATGTCGCGCTTTGCATCTTGGTATTGAACTGCATGTGTTTGCGGAGATCGTATCTTTCCACGACGTGACGTAGATACTCCAGGATCTCGGGCTGGGTGAGATACCATTTCTTCCAAGGGTAGTTTTGCAGGAGCTCGTGGTCGAATAAGAATCGATAAAGATGACTCCACGTATCGCTTAACGCACCAGGATAGCGATTCCAGTACCACGTACCACCGACATCACCAGCCGTATCAATGGCTTTCACATTCAGACCCTCCTTGATAAGGGAGTACAGTGTATAGATTCCACCAAAACCGGCACCCACGACGAGCGCATCCAAATGGTGTTCCTGGGCCATAATTCTATCGCGACGTGCCAGCAGTCAGCAAGGTTGAGAAAAGAATAAGCACGTACACAACAGGTGGTCCCTCCCTGTAATCTATCCAAGAGATATTCCCTACTCTGGCTCCCCATTGATATATAAGCAGTTCTACCGATATCCACTCTATTTGGCCGAATACGTTCTCATACAGCACAACCCGGCCAACGGCGACGAGTGATATTTCAAATCCTAACCAATACCGAGAAATATCCGCCCTCAAGACGCGCCATGCAGAAAATGGTTCCTTAGAGAGGCCAATAAGCAAGAGTGATGCGTACTTGCGTTGCTCTTGTCCAAGGTCTCGTTCTCATAATCCCGGTCTAATCCCTGTTCTTCAGCCTCGGTGGATATGTAGCGTTACATCCATGGGTCTAACCCCTCACTTACCTGCCCATTTTATCGGCCATTTTATGTTCGGGGGTCATACGAGGACTGTATGTATAGTACCTCTATTATGGACATGGCTTGGAATAGGGTTTGGGGGCTTTTGGTGGTGCTGCCAATTTGCCACGATGTGAAGGGGCGACACATTTGCCAAACGTGTCGATTCGCGTCTGATGAATACTTGATCGGTTTACCCTGCATGGGTTTAATATAGGTGACTATTTCAACACTGTAAGTCTTCTAAGTGTGCATTATGAATGCTCGAGGGTTTTACCAAGAGAGAATTTTTCATCTACGGCTACCCCGGAGTAGATCAGAAAGTAAAAAAAGTAAAGAAAAAAAAGGAGAAAAGGAGCAAGAGAGATGGAGAGCATGGCAAAACCAACTGGAAAAAGAAAGAACAAAATACAAAGGCAGGAAAATGATACAGTGAATGATAAGTTGTTTAGTGAAAAGACCTATACTACTAATCACTCTTTGGCTCCTCGGCGCCACCCGTCACCATGTGCTAAAAAGATGAGCTGGGCCGGGCCGCTAGCTAATCTAGTGAGGAAGCCCTACATAATGGTCACATCCTGAATGTTAGTTGTAGAATTCGCGACTACCTCCCACTTTGATTCCATTCTGAAAGGTTTATATGAAGCACGCAGCTCTTGCCAGCCTTTATACGTTAGTCTTCTTGTTGATAGTACAGTGCAACAGCGCTGGAGTGTTTGCCTCACACTTTCCCAGGTCATACTAGTTAAAGACTGAAGATACCGAGGCCGATCAGGCCATCTAAGCTCTATCACATTGGGCTGCAACTTTTGCCGACATGCACCATCGGAGCCTACTGGGTGCTGGGAGAGTGGGATTATTGAGATTATGAGTCATTGACTGTTACCTGCAATCGCTTTACCTGCTCCCTTCCGCCTAGAAAGTGTGTTGACGAACAAAACTTAAAAGGAAGAAAGGTTCATAGTGGGTCAAGATTTCGTCTGCCAAGAATAGGCTGTGGGTGCCCTTCATAGAGCCGATCAGTGCACTTGCTGCTTGGCATGACTGGATTAACGAGACTGAGCTGGCCAACAGATACACATCAAGCGCATAAAACATATCAATCGAATAGGACGGATCGAATACTCGACCGCCAATTCCTGCGAACGTCAGTTGCATATATGGCGCAGATGGACGCGTACCGCGTGGAGCTGACATCGCCCGCTTATTCCGAAGATACCGGTGAGCAGAAAGCTGATGAGATCATCTACTCTCTGGACGCTTGACAACCCCCGATGTACATATATTCAGCATCTATCATCACGCTTGGGTAGGTGTTTCATTGTAAATATGGTCAGACTTGGTTGGCGTTAGCAGCTTGTAATCCACCATGTTAGCCCCTACACTTTTTTCCCTCGGCCTCCTCGCGAGTAGAACCCTCTCATCGCCGGTCAATAAGACGGACAGTCACCCCACAGTGACTATTGATGCGGGTGTAGTCGCCGGAACTACGACATCCATTTCATCCTCCACTGTTACTGTGAACCAATTCCTTGGTATTCCCTTTGGTGCCCCTCCCGTGCGCTTCAGTCCCCCACAGCCTCCTGCGCCGTGGTCTTCGGTCTACGATGCATCACAGTATAGAGCCGACTGTATTCAGCAGTTCAAATTTCCAGAGGCCTCACGGAACCGAACAATTGCAGCATTCGACACGCCTCCGCCTCGGGGCGGCGAGGAAAGTGAAGACTGTCTCCACCTGAATATCTTCGCCCCCCAGCAAGCACCAGAGGGCTCTAAGGCTGTCCTCTTCTGGATCTACGGTGGTGGTTTTGCGATAGGAGCGAGTTCCCTGCCTATTTATGATGGCACCAGCCTTGCGGCGAACCAGGACGTGGTGGTAGTCACCAGCAACTATCGCACCAATGTCTTTGGTTTTCCGGGCTCTCCTGATCTACCTTTATCAGAGTGGAATCTCGGGTGAGCTGGGGGCTATTTACTATCAGCTAGTATATTCCAATGCTAACCAGATATAAGCTTACTCGACCAACGTCTTGCCCTAGACTGGGTCCAGCGAAACATTGCTGCTTTTGGCGGAGACCCAAACAAAGTCACCATTGTAGGCGAAAGCGCAGGGTCCATGAGCGTGGACGCTCTCATTACAACTCCTCCAGACCCTGTTCCGTTCCGCGCTGCTATCATGGAATCCGGTACGACAACGCTACTGGCTGCCATGGCCGGGAATGATTGGAAAGCCCTGGTGAATGCTACCAACTGCCAGAATACGAATGAGCTTGAATGCGTTCGCGCCATCCCCGCAAAGCGACTTAACGAGATCGCCGAACGGAAAATGCTCACCTTCGCCCCAATTCCCGATGGAATCACCTGGCCAAAGAACGCACATCAGAACCGTCTGAACTCTACAGATGACCCGTCTCAGGTCGCCCGTGTGCCTGTACTGATCGGGAGCAATGCTGACGAAGGCCAAACAGTTGTCGTTGGACAGAATGCGACCGAAGCCCGCGCCTTTCTCGGTGGAGTCCTGGGCAATAACACGGCACTACTTCACGCTATCCTGAAGGAATACCCGCTGGGCACTCCGGGGGTTAAGACTGAGCGCGACCGTATAGCGAAGATTCTTACTGAATTTGGGTTTCAGTGCCCAGCGCAGCGCGTCGCTAATGACAGCGCGTCTGCAGGCATTGATGCTTGGCTTTACTACTTTAATGCCACTTTTCCGAACACCGATCCACTAGCTGGTAGCGGGGCCTTTCACTCGGCGGAGGTTGATCTGGTCTTCGGCACATACGACGAGAAGGGGGCCACGAAGCTTCAGAAGGAACTGAGCCAGCTGATGCAGAAAACGTGGGCTGACTTCGCGAGAAATCCGTCTGCTGGGCCCGGCTGGGAGGCTGTCCCTCAGGTTGGAATCTTTGGTGATGGGCCCAAGACTGATGGAGATGGTCTGACCCAGGGATTGTTTCAAACTGTTGATGCTAAAGAGCTGGATCAGAGGTGCCAGCTGTATCGGGCATTGCATGATGCTATGGACTCTGGTAAGCATTAGAGGTCTGCATATTCGATCCATATGTTAGAATTTAAGGGCTTCTGTGGGGCCGGAGGTATACCGTATACAGTCTGGCTACATGATGTTGGAAGTGGGCCAGTGGTCTACACAGCATATGTTGTAAATATTGTTTTGCCCTGCCGCCCTTCAAAAACATAGTACGATGCGATATGGATGGATCGACCCACTCACTTTGTAAAAAAATAAGATTCATGGCGAGAGACTTGCTGTCCCCGGTGTTTCCGGCAAGGAAAAAAAAATCGTCAGCGACAGGATTCGAACCTGTGCCCACGAATGGAATTGATATCGAATATATTCCGTAGAAAGGAAAGTTCGAGTCAATCGCCTTAACCACTCGGCCACACTGACTTAGTTGCATACTTGGCCAGGCTTAAAGGAGTGGTGTTTCAATTAGGCCATTGCAGCATTTATCTAAGCTGATCGACCTTGATGGCCTCTCATATCGCTGCCTCAAACAACTCAGTAAGAGCAAACAATGTCGACTAAAACTAAACACGCCTGTTCGTCCTGCAGGAGCATGAAGCGCAAATGCGACGGTCAGCATCCGTGCTCTAATTGTGTAAAAACAGACCAAGACTGCGTATACAACAAACCTTCACGCAAGCGCCGGCGTTCGATTACCGCTCCGACTGAACAAGCACGCGATGATCTCCAGACGGGCCCAGCTGTACTTCGTACAGGGGTGCTCGCCGAAATAAACTCTGGGGCAATCCTCGCGAAGGGACTAGGCCTCTCAAGCAGTTCTTCCTCTATTGAAAGACCGCGCCTTTGCTCGTGGAACCTCAGCCTGCGAGACAATACCATAGGCTGCTACGCAGAGGCACCGCTCACTCAAGTCTTGAGTATCTCTCGTATGCAGCAGTTAGCAGCTGTATACTTTGTAGAAGTTCATCCCGTGTACAACTTCCTTGATCGTGCGATGGTTGAGCGTGCCATTCTTTCCATGTCGCCTGATCAGCCTTTATTTGACCCTGCCCACCACGTGCTTCTGGGAATCGCTGCTGTAGCATGCCTTTTCAGCGATCAACCAGTTGATTTGGAGCCTCGGATTGTGCAGTACGCTCGAGGCGCTCTGGAGCATTCGACTACGCTACAATTACCGACCGTGGATCACATAGTCGGGTGGCTACTCCGCGTCATCTACCTACGATTGACCGGCTCACCAAACGCGACATGGATCGCCAGCTGCACACTGATGCATATGATTGAGACAGCCAGGCTGCATCTCGAACCATCAAATGTCTGTGTACCTTCATCTGGGGATAGCTCCTACAGTCCACAACTCAAAAAACGAATCTACTATATCGCGCAACTCTTTAATACATGGATATCCTACGACTACGGACGATGTCGTATCATACCTCGCGGGGCATCCTGCTCCCTTCCCGCAGAAGACTGGACAGCAGACGACATCGCTATCTGGCGATTGACGGACTCCTTGGATCCCGATCGAAATCTTGACTCGACAGACCTAGAGAATCTACTGCTCCAAGCTTCCGAACTGACGCTATCCCATCCGGCCTTGGAACTCAAGCGGTGCAATATTGCATTGTGCATTTATCGCAGGCTTCGCGTATCCGGTCGTGTCGTTTCCAGTAAGGCATTATCTCGGGTCTTGCAGCTGACAGATACGGGCATTGACAAAGCAACTGAAATGGCTAGGAGACATTCCCCCTGGTGGCATATTGTGAATGTGCCTTTCCAGACCATTTGCGTCCTGCTTGCAATTGATACGAGAGCTTCGCTTGAGCGTGTAGGGAAGTCACTTTCTAGTTTGCGATTGATTGCAGGTATCTATGGCACGAGTGCCATCAATGAGACCTTTGTGGCTGCCCGTTCCCTTATACGGATTCATATGAAGCGGAAAAAGGAGGATTATGAGTTATTGAACAGGGTGGAGGAAGATATTATGGCGTGGGATGGTGACCCTAGTGCTCTGCAACCGAGTCTCCCAACTTCCTTCGTATCTCAGCCGGTCGAAATGCTGAACGATGGCATGGGAGAATCTTGGGGTCTAGATTGTTTATTATCATCGAGCCTTTTTACTCCTTGGGGATGATTAAAGGTATTTTTTCATATACAGAAAAATCAACTCCTCCACTTGACAGACATGATAATCCTGGTGATGAATCGTAGCTATTGTTTTCACTGTGCGTCGAAATATGTATGTCTTCACAAAATTCCCCCAGTCCATATAGGTTGGCTCCAGCAAGACTTTAATGTCATTCCTTTCTCCTGTATTATCTAGGATATTTACGGCGAGCTACACATAAGCAGTCTCTACCTTTCCATTGTTTGTTGCTTCGTCTAATGGTATTCAGTGCACTCGGTGAGGCAATCTAAGTCGCCCCAGGATACCAGATGGGACCGCCGTATGCAAACTCTGTCTTGGGCTACGAAATGTCGATCTAGTCCTTCCCCAATGACACAGTGTCAACTAAGATGCCGAATGGCGGCATTATGCGGGACACCATGAACTGCTTCCGATCCGATGCTCCGCCCCGCCCCGCTCCGCTCTGTATCTAGTCCGCTCAAAGTCCTGGTCTGTTATCACAAATCTAACATGTAGACGATCACAAATCACGCTGAGTATAGCTCCACAAGGATTGCTTTTTCGGGAGACAGGTTCCACAATTTCTATATGCTATCTTGCCTTCCAGAATCGTATTTAAACCTGGATTCCGCCAGTAGAGAATTCGTACCAGTCATCCCACAAACAACATTCAATATCCCTCTACCCAGCTATTCCCATAACAACAGAAACCATGACGTCCGAATCTACATACCACCCACGCGTTATTCTAGGGTTGATGACATTCGGCCCTGACGCCAACAAAGGTGCGCGAATTACATCTCTCGCTGAATTCGGCCAATGCCTCGATTACCTCACGTCGCAGGGATACAACGAGGTTGACACAGCGCGCATGTACCTCGATGAGAAACAAGAGGAATTCACAGCGGCGGTTGGATGGAAGGAGCGTGGCCTCAGCCTCGCGACCAAGGTGTATCCGACTCGGCCCGGACTGCACAAGCCGGCCTCGCTGCGCAGGAAGTTCCATGAGTCGTTATCCGCTCTTCAGACGGACCAGGTGGATATCTTCTACCTACATGCGGCGGACCGGTCGGTCCCGTTTACGGAGACACTCGAGGCTGTGGATGAGCTCTATCGGGAGGGGAGGTTCAAGCGCTTGGGGCTGAGTAACTATACCGCGTTCGAGGTTGCGGAGATTGTCATCCTGTGCGCGGAGAGAGGTTGGATACGGCCAACTGTCTATCAGGCTATGTATAATGCGATCAGTGAGTGGTTATCATGATTTACTGAGGGTATGATACTAACTGACTTGGAAAAGCCCGAAACATCGAACCGGAATTGATTCCCTGCTGCCGTCGCTATGGGCTCGAAATCGTCATCTACAACCCACTAGCCGGGGGAATACTCTCCGGGAAGTATCAAGCAGGCGCTGCAGTACCGGAGGAAGGCCGCTTCAGTGACAAGAACACGACCGGGGCTTTGTACCGTCAGCGATACCTCAATGACTCCGTGCTAAATGCACTGGATATCATCAGACCTATGGCTGAGAAGCATAGCCTGACGTTGCCCGATGTCGCCTTTCGATGGCTTTGTCATCATTCTCAGTTGCGCCTCGAGGGAGATGGCAAGGACGGTATCCTGATTGGTGTGAGCAGCTTTGGCCAGTTGCAGCAGAACTTGAGAGCGCTGCAGCAGGGCCCTCTTCCGGATGAGTTGGTTAACGCCTTGGATGAGGCGTGGATGTGTGTGAAGCCTGTCTCGGCGAATTACTGGCATCTTGATCTGCGGTATACTTATGATACTGAAGCTGCATTGTTCAAGAGATGAAGTCTCTTTAATGGGTTGTTTTTGGATATCTGCGGTCTTGTTGGTGCCGCTGCTGCAGGTGTGGACTCCTCGATGGGAATTTGGAATGTCTTCTGAAATGGAGGTTTTTTTTACATTGTTATAGAACATAGACTTTGGTATCCGGAACTTTATAGCATAAGACTCTCTTGATATCTGGCCTCTCCAATTAGCTTAGCCCAAGTATAAGATTCGGGTGCGTGCTTTATCAGTGATATATACCCAGCTACAATCGTCCAGCTAATAGCCGCGTATTGGTTACGACGTCACTGATAACTACGGCTTACGATAGAAACTCTGCTCTGAGCCCTGGACAAGACAGTATAACAGGAAATCTAGATCTCAATCTGAAGCTATGCTCAATCTTTGTAATACCAGGCAACCTTTTGCAAACCATATCCGAAGATGCACCCGAGAGAAAAAAAAATTAACATATGTACAATCTGAATATAACGCCACTAACCTCAATAACTCGGCCCCTCCAGAAGAGACGCCGAAGCTGGCCTCAGGGGTAGAGGCACCTCCTCTTCATAAACTGGACTCAGGGGCGTCGGCGGCCCAAAACCATACGACTCATCAGACGTAACGTGGCGAACCTCCGGCCACCTTTCCTTCGCGGCGTCCGCTCTGGGTTCAGCCTCCGGCTCGACAATCTTGAGCTTCTTGTTTTTCTTCTTCTTCTTATCTCGTTTGCGGAGCGGCGCCCAGGCGCCCCAGTTGTCATCTTTGCGCTCTTCGTCGGGCTCGGGGTGAGTTTGGGGCTCAGGTTTCGGAAAGGAAGGCTGCTCATCGACGGCGATGGTCTCGTCGGTAGGATGCGGCGAAGAAGCAGAGGGAGGCGGCGACGGTGTGAGCGGCCAGTCCTTGCTGACCGGCTCTGACTCTCGTTTACCACTGTACGCAGCAGTGCCTTCGTCCTCCGTCGACCCGTCATACGCATGGCTAGGCTCAACCTCCGGCACGACATCCTCAAACGCAGGCTCCTCCTCCGGCTCCTCGGGAATCGTCTCCTCGACAATCCGCACCGCATCCCCATTCGCCATCGAATGCACAATATGGCGTCCGTTCTCGAGTCGCCGGAAATTCACCGCCGCCAACTTCTCCGAGTAGATCTCCGCCATAATCTGCACGAGCAGCCGGTCAAATGACGCGTCCCGTCCAATGCCATTCAGAAACCACTCCCGCTTGAACACCGCGTCGTCCGCCTCGAACTCATCCTCCATCTTCACCCGGATGTAGTCCGGGAACCACGTCTCGTCCCGCGGCAGCTTGGAGTAGATGCTCCGCGCGATCCGCAGAATGTCGGGCGTGGGCACATCGCGGTCAAACACTTCGATGTAATGCTTCGCGTGCGCCTCCAGTCCACCGAGACCATATTTCCTCGCGGCCAGGTAGGCAAACGCGCTGCGTCTGTATTCTATCGTTCGCCGGGGGATGCTGGGGTCCGGGCCGTCGCGGAGAGTTTCGTATTCGCCTGTGTACAGGTAGTGGACGAGGGTGTGGCCGATGTCTTCGTCGACGTCGAGAGTGGAGACAAACTTCAGACTGGGGTTGTAGCCCTGCTCAAAGGCCTTGGGGCTTCTGCGTAGCTGGGGGAATTGCCGCAGGTAGAACTCCGGGATGATGTATTCGTCCCGGCCGATGATGAGAGTGACGACGGGGGCTTTGTAGGGGCTGGGGTTTTGAGTCGTCAGTTATTCGTGTTCGCAATAGCTTCTATTCTCATCAGACTAAGTAGGAATGAGGGTCTGGGTCGAACCTTGTTGTCGGCTGCGGATATTCCCGAACCTCGCCGTCCATGTACGACGTCTCTTCGATGGAATCTAGATGCATATTTTGTCCTTTACTCTTCTTCTTCTCTCTTTTACTCTTAAAATCAAACACTAAACAAATCCACACAGCACCAGTCCCAGAAACCAAAGCCAGAACCAAAAGCAAAACAAAAACAAACCGGAGAATTTACCCCACCCAGACAGAGAATCCCCTCTTTAAAAACCCCCCATGCAGTTCAACTCTTCGTTGTTTTTCTTCCAAGGCATGAAAGGCAACGTCTCGAATTCAAGTCAGGGATCAATGCAGGTGTGAGCTGTCCAGTCACGCTCTATGCATCGGGGCCATGCTAACCACGTCAGTCTTTTTGTTATGCATGCGAGGATACCTTTAGGGCTTGTGGGCCTCGCCGCTGGAGGGGCGCTGATTGGGCGGTGAGGAGTCTGGCGGAGTTGCAGGATTGGGTGTGTTTACTTTTTTTGTCGGTGGGTTCTTGGATCTTGAATTTAGGATTTACGATTTAGGGATTTAATCAGGTACGTATTTTGGGGGGGAGGTTGGCTTGCTTGGTTGGGGTTGAATTCTATGGATTTAGTGTGAGGGTTTGGGTTGTGGGAACGGAATTCCCCGCATTTTGCGTTAGGGTGTGTTTATTGTTTATGCATGTATTCAGAGAAGCTTGGGGGGAAAAAAAAATAAAAGAAAAATAAAATAAATTGAGGAGGAAGCCTGGAGGGGTTTGTCTTGAGTCATCTAGACCGCTTGTTTAGTTCTCGTTGCGCTCAGTTCGACGGCCATCTTTTCTCCAGACTTGGCTTTAATCAATCATCTATGTGTCACTTTGAGGCCAATCTAGCCTCTCACTACAAGGCTACAGGAATAACTTGTTTATAATTCGAATAATTAGTCGTAAAATAAAATTCAAAAAATTTATGGCTCAGACACGCCCAGTACCCTGCAGAAAACACCAGCAAATATCCTCCCACCGCCAAGTGCGAGAATGATTTATATAAATATGACCACCCATGCAAGAACATAACACCAAAAAGCAAAATAATAAATTCTCAGGTGAATATATAGCTCACACTGTTCGAGCGATGTCGCCTGCGTCTTCGGCGAGAATGCGATCGGGAACTGTGTGTCGATCCCGCCTCGCTGTCCTGGTACGTTTGTGCACGGCGAATAGATCCACGGATGGATTTCAGCGACGGTATCTCGCCCTTTTCTGGCTCGGGCGCTGTGATAGCTGCAACGGGTGCTGGCTCAGGGAGTTGAGGGGTCTGGGGCTGTTCGATCTTTTGGGTACTGGAGCCGAGGAAACGGGGAGGTGGGTTTTGGACAAGACCGACTGGTAGGTACTAGTTAGCTGATATGCTTCTGGCAGGTGAAGTAGACCATTCATCTTCGAATGACGCTGGATGTAGGCAGATTTACCTTGGAGCATGATGTTGTCCCATATCGAGCGCGGCGGTTGGAATACCCCGATATTCTGAACGGCTTTCTCGTCCACCCCTGGTAGATTCATCCACACTAGGTATGTTCCGCGGTGAATATCGCCCTCGATCCGGAATGGATGCAGTTTCTCCGGAATAAGCAGCGGTGTGGGTATAACAATTGGCTCGTAGGCCGGAATCACCAGGTGGAAGAAAGGTGCTCTCCGTCGTGGATGTCGCGAGGCGTAAACATCTCGAACAGACGACATGAAGGCGACCAGAGCATCGAGGTCATGCACAATGCCAATGAAATTCCGACCCAAAAGACCCTTTGTCCGCAGCTTCTCCTCGAAATGATACGTCCAGTCTGTGTCCGGATGATAGACGAAATACCAGTCGAGCTCGGGGTCCGACTTTTCGAGCTTCGATTTCAGCATCACATAGATATTTTCGGCGAAGGCCGTCCCCCCTGCAAGCGCAAGCTCGGCTCTTTGTGTCTCGCTCATACTTTTAAGGTGTCCTGCGATCGCCCGCAGCTCGCCCACCCCTTGATACGTTGCGATCATGTTGGCAGCGATGCCGACTGCCCCCACGGTGCCGGTGAAAGCGGATGCATAGACGGCTTTGTCGCCGAACGAGTTCGCGGCGATCTTGATCGTCTCGATGACCTTTTTGACGGTATCGCTGGTGACATTGAGTTTCTGGCCGACTTCTTGGATCGTTTTCAGAGCATCGTTGGCTTGCTCCGCTATCTCCAATACCTTCTTCTTCCGTTGCTCGAATAGCATCATGTTGGCGCTGTCTGTCCGCTACGTTGACGGACCGGTCGCAGTTTTCTCGCCCAGATACTTCCAGCGGTGAATGGATCGTCCGAGAATCGCTCAAATCACGGCTGATTCGTCCAGTGAACTAGTGCCCAGCTCGGGCTCTACTTACTTTATCTCGAAAGCTTTGGTCGCATCTAAGCAGGAAGGGTGTTAGTGAACGTGACCAGCATCCCAGGTTCTTTTAAGTAGAAACTCACCTGTAGCCATGGTGAGACGCACAACGAAAGCCAACTGGGATTATGTCATTTTTTAATTTCCCTTCTGCGTCCAGACAGAAGCTCCATAATATAGAGCCCAAATGAGCTATACTGGGAGTAATTGGGCGCCCCACCGCGCGATCATTGGTGATCCGCACCGACACGTATGTTGGCTCCGTTTTGCTTCGCTGTACCTCGATGGAGCCACTTTGATTGAATTGGGGACTGAATCATCTGACAGCGAATTTGTTAAGTCTGAGTGAAAAAGGTAAGAAATGACTTTACCCATTGTGAATGCCAGTTGTGGTTGTACTGATCAGAGCATTGGTCGGAAATTGGTTTTAGGGTTCTTCGGGGGGGCTGATTTATTGTCTTCCTCGGCAGCCCTGACGAGGCCAGGCAGTGTGGAGCATCCGGCAGTGTTTCATGAGATTCTACTTACTCTGTGGCTTGTTTCACCTCCGTAACTGCCGCTAGTCCATTCATTCGCTCTGTCGTCTTTACGCTTCCTACATTTTGATTTCAGTCTCCTGGTAGACGAACCGAGCTAAGAACATTAGGGGCCGAGCTAACTCAGCAATAAGCGACGTCCGTTGCCCGCACGGTAGCGCATACCCTGTCGCCTTCAAAGCTTGACAAGTGATCTCACTCGCACAGGTAGTCCACCCAGTGCAATGGCTTGAGGCAACTCGCACTGACTCTAGTAAAGCAAAACCGTGAAGTAAACGATATCGCTCCTATCGGGGTTCGGAGACTAGGAGGACCTGCAACTAATGTGCACGATTGCAGTGTCGCAGTAGCAATTGGGTTGCAACACATAGTCCGAGGTGGGATGACATTGTAGACAGAGAAGAGAGGTAATGTAGTGCAGTAATTGCGGTCTTTCGAGAATAGTTTCTTTACTCAAGAATGAAAATAAGGAAGAGACATGCCACAGGAAGCGGAAATTAATAGGCGTTAGACCATCATATCGGCGTACAGACGTCCTCGGAGAAGTGTCGCCATACCAACGTTTGAATCTGAAAATCACTACATTTCTGCCATGTATAGTGCAGCTTACTGAGCTTTGGTGTGAGCTCATTCGCATTTCAATATTGTTGTTTTCCAGCACTGGCGTCAGGTGAGGGGATATGGAAGACACCGGATATATACTTGGCGAAAAGTACCAAAATACCGGACAGAGCTTAATAATGCATAGTTTTAGCACATTATTCTGTTCGAGTATAAACTACAGTGCATATACGCAGTCCTCCACCGAAAACACCGGCATGCCCCACATTCGTCAAGCGCAAGGCAGATTGAGTCGCTTCACAGGAAGTTTTTCTACACAATCGGGACTTAGATCCGCACTGCTTCAGCGGATAAATCTTCCGAGGACATTCATTCATACGAGTATCTTGATCCCACTGTCCAGCAGCTGGGTAGCGAAATGTAAACATCCGAGTGCAATCATGTTTCTCCACCTTAGTTGCATATATTCCAGTCTTGCCAATATTTCTACCCCGCGGGGCTGTGCCAGAGATAACAGTAGACTAGTATGGCCCTAGGCCTACGTCCCCTCGATCCGGGCTTTGCGTCCAATGTCATCCTTGTCTAGAACTTTCTTAATATATATCATGGGTACAGTCTGCCCAATACTTCAGCCAATGCTCACAGCATCACATCGACTGTATCGAATCGAATCATGGCGTCTACGGCATTTCCCTCCTTAGCGAAGAAGGTCCAGCTCTCCGATGGCACAACGTACGGATATGTCGCTGTTCCTCCGTCGACTCCAGGCCAAGTCTCCTTCCTCCTTCTCCATGGATATCCGTCTTCGTCGTATGACTGGCGTCACCAGATAACCGGCTTACAGAATGCCGGATATGGTGTCATTGCGCCGGACCTTCTCGGATACGGCGATACCGACAAGCCCAGTGATCTAAACGCTTATCGCAACAAAACCATGAGCAAACATATCATTGAGATACTGGATAGAGAGGGTATAGATAAAGCAGTCATGGCGGGGCACGATTGGTACGAAGATCTGCGCTTCTATTGCGATTTCCCCCATGTTTCGTATATCCTTGTCTGCAAAAGGGACTACAACATCACTACTAGAGGCTGATATCTCGCGTCAATTGTTTTCGCATCGCCAACTGATGTAATATGAGCAGGGGAGTTGGCCTTGCATCCCGTCTAGCCATGTACCATCGCGATCGCTTCTACGGTCTAGTCACAATCGCCGTGGCATACATCCAGGCAGGCATGCACTGGGATGTCGGTCTGGTCCCTGATCCCCATCTCCATCAACCCCCAGCTAACAACAGCAGACGCTATCTGCGAGAAAACCAAAAGCATAATCGGCTACGAAACCTTCGGCTACTGGAAATGGCACGGCACCGAGGAGGCGGCGGAAGACTGCGCCAACCACGTACGCACCCTTCAACGCTCCACGAATATATAAATTCAACTCCAACTAACAAAATTAAGTAGCCCGCCTCCGTATTCAGCCTCCTCTACCCCAACGATCCCTCCCTTTGGAAATCAGACTTCGCCCCCACAGGCAAAGCAGCCGAGTTTGTCCGCTCTGGGCGCACAACCCCCCTCCCCTCGTGGTATTCCTCCGAGGAGTATGCCATTCACAGTGGTATTTTCGCTGAGGGCGGCTATGCCGGGCCCCTCTCGTGGTATAAGGCAGCTATGCGGGGTGTTAATCTTGATGATGAGGCTGCTATCCCGGTGGAAGAGAGGCTGTGCCCGGTGCCGAGTTTGTTCGTAGCGGCGAAGCAGGATTATGTCTGTCGGGCGGATTTGCAGAGCGCCTCTTCGCGGATGACGGCTCCAGGTGGCAGGATTGAGGAGATTGATGCTGGGCATTGGGTGCAGCTGGAGCAGCCGGAAGTGGTCAATCGTCTGCTAGTTGATTTTGCGGAGGAAGTGAAGGGGGCGAAGTGATGGCTTGATCAGGTGCTTATAATTTTTAGCCTCATTCATGGTGATATTGAATATTGTTTGTCTGGTTGGAGAGGTTGCTGTGTATAGGGAATGACCAGAGTAGATGATTTAATTTTGGCTAGAGCTATTCTTCACTGCATTGATTTTATTTGGAAATCAGGGGAATCCCATATCAATGAGATAATCACACGATGGGCACACACCGATAGGCATTGGAGGGCTATCCTGGCAGGGTCTATTCAATGGTCTTCTCCCACAATCACTCTATCATACTCCATGATGCGTGGCACAGTCCCTTGAGGAGGACAAGTCTGTGAACGTAGGTGAAATCTCAACCCCCTTTATAAACCATGGAATGAGCGCGCTCAGTTCAGCTTCCCCATCGTAGGACGACGTTGTAATCATCTAAGCCACTTATATGCCTAGGCAAGCTTCTGTCATAGCCTATAAACATTCAATGCATGCATGTGAAGCCTTTATGGAGGACGACAAGTGGAATTCAGGTAATGAAGGTAATATTATTAGATTACGTGAAGCCCAACATTATGGTTAGGGGATACAGTTAGTTCAATATTAAATCTCTTGAATGGCTTCCATACAGAGCTTGACCGGGCAATTTTCTAGTCTTATACTCGATATTAACATACTCCCTCACTCTGGGAGAGCCACGTTTCAAATCTCAAATTGCCCCCAGATAGTCTCCGCCATCACCTAGACTAGATGGAATATTCTATCGAGGCCTTGCTGTCAATGGATCTGGGTCGGTGACTAGTGGCCTTTACCAGCTGACTTTCTTAAGGAAGTACTTCCACAGCGAGGGGCTTTTCCTGCAGGACCTTGGCTGGGCCGAGCTTAAACCCTGGAATGGATCTCCATAGATCGCTACCAGGGTCAGTAGTACCAGCAGAAACACGGAAATGATGTAGCATTTAGCTTCAGGCTTTAGGAAAGGGAACCAAGATCGGTCGATCTGCAGCACCGGACTGTGATATTATCGACGCCGCACTATCTACCTACACCGAGTCAATCCTTTAGCATCCAAAGGTGCCAACAACGGGGCACACATACTGCGCACAAGCTCGTCGGTGATCACGGTATAGCCCCCTATTTCTACTGTATTGGCAGCATACAATAGTAATAGGAGGATCTATCCTCAGAAAGGCCGAGATGCACCACTGGAAACTGGATAGTGACTACTCTGACATGTATATTAGCTTCCTGAGGTAGTATTGGGCGATATTTACCCATTGGATGATGTTTACCTCCCTTGATTAGCCAGGGAAGGCTATAGTCTATCATATCGTTATAGCTGTTACCGGCTTGCAAGCATTCCTCTCAATTCAAGAAGGATATGAAGGGTGAAAGTTGGGACGACACAATCACTGGCGCCGTGATTCAGGCCGGCGGTCTTCATGCCGCGGAAAATCATCTTATGGGCCCTGAGTTGCTCGTTCCGGTCGAGAGTCTTGCGGTTGACGATGGCCCGTTATCTTTAACCGGCGACGCGAGATGAGACGTCTTTGGTGGCGACGACGCTCTCTCTTCCTGTGCTGCGTCCTCTTTTCTTCCTTCGGTTACTACAGTCCTGTTTCTATACGATTGCTCGGATCGCGCCTTTGCTTTTTCATTGCTTGGGTGGAATGTTGTCTTCTCCGCTATCCTTCGCAGATTCTGACGAGATATTTAAACGTCAAGACATGCTGTTGCTCTTGTCACTCCGGGCCTGGCCAAGGTATGCTACCAGGGGAATATGAGTGCAGAGATGGCATTTTTAGTGTTGCCCGTAATTCTGCAACTGATCTGGCTGACTGGCAACAAGATGGGCCCGGTGTATCCCACGCCTCCATCCAGCGATGCAGAATCGCCGGCTCCTTGGAGTTCAATGATCTGCTAGCTTGGATTGAGCATCATCACTTAACTATCCTATGAATACAGAACTATTGAATATCCAGGATCACTGCGGGAATTCTGCTAGCAGAAGTCGATACGAACTCGGAGCCGCTATAGTGGACTGTACACGGATAGATGATTTAATTGAACTTGTCAAATTATTGGCCTCTGTTATATCTCACTACTTCAAAATCAGGGAAACCCCCTAACAATGAGACAAGCATATGAGACGAGTATAATTCTATAGCCTAGTCAAGTATATTTAAACCATTCCTCACTTCCCCTTTAATAGCTTGGAAATATACTCTATCAGACAGCTCGGATAAAAGTCTCCAAACCATAAGGTGAAAGGTACTCTGAACTAAAGCTACCCTTTCTACGCGATTCCAGCCCCGTATCGATGATAAGTCTTTCCAGATAGCCAACCCAATCAAACAAAGCATCGGGATACCTCTCTCCAGCACTTGTATATCTCATGTGGGTCCAAGTCTAGAATCCACATATCTCCTGGACAACAGCCCTCTCGTCGGGAAGGTCAAGCTCACCTAGAATATACGATATCGTCCAGCTAACACGCATTAGCCATTGCCATTCCGTAAGAGAATAAACTTCCAGCGACTAGATCTCCGCAATAACAGGAGTCTGGGCCTGGCCCATGATTGTGACGGAGCGATCTTCTAAGCGCACAGTTATTCCCCCCCTAAACACTGCTAGGTTAGTATTCAGCTCCAAACCAAGGGACGTTCTGACCCCTTTAAGTCCAACTCATCCTTCCTGTGGATGAGACACTCGAAAGCAAGCTGTTACGCAGATGGTGTAACATACCCGCACCGATGATAGCGACATCGAGGGAGTTCTGTTGACGCTTCTGGCATCATGGCGACGGAATCGAAATACTCTGACTTTGCAACTGACACATTCGGAGCACACGAGGTCATCCGTCAGTGACTACCAGTGGGAGGTTATTATAAGGTCCGATCGTTATCTGTCCGACGGCGCCACAACTGTGCTATTATTCGGCTATTGGCCATGATCCCGGACACAACTGCATCTCGAAACCAACTGATCGGTAGATGTCAGGCTGGTCTTCATATGGTTGCGCCACTTGCTGCTTTATGGGTAAGCCCAGGTAATTTAGCTGCTATGTTTCGAGGCGCCAGTGAGCAGAATGAAGATGTGAATGAGGTTATTAAACGGATGAGCAAAATGATTTGGTACAAGCCCTTAGCCTGTCAGTCTGCTGAGTACCGTAGCAACAGGAATCAGAACTGAGACCGCTGGAGGATTCCTTGATGTATTCCTGAATGGGAGCCAGCAACTCGTGCTCGCCTTACAAAAGCTAAGTTGTATGGAGTACACTTAAGAGTTGATTACTTCCTTTGCGGATGCCTTCTAGTGTCTCAAATGGTGCGCTTGGCTAAAGCCGACAAGTCCATGATGAGAAAAAGGTTGGGCTTGGTGGTATGTGTGTGTATCTTTCATAGGACGTACTTATCCTCCAGTCTAAGTATACTTCTACCTGCCACTCTTCGCTCACTACACATAGATCAATAACACAAAAACGAGCAATAGGACTATAGAAAGCAAGTCTGCGAATATATAGCGTAATATTCCATCAGAACCACTCCAATAGCCCTAAGAGAAATAGCACAACCAAACACAAAGCACAGTCCTATCAAAGAGTAATCCATTCATCTGCACTCAAACTAAGACTTCAACGTTCAACCACATAGTGAACCCACACAGAGACCACTCATGAGCCTTATAAAAGAAAGTAATGTCCAAAATGATCCCCACAATCACCTGACAGATGCCCATCGAAGTGTCCCCTTTCCCTTTCCCTTTCCCTTTACCCCAAGACCAGCAAGCCTAAATAGGCCTGCACCTCATGCTCTCGATGATATTGTTCATACCATCGATATCAAGGTTCCGGTACTCGCCCTGCAGACCCTGTCTAAGCATCTGGTTGCAGTCGAACCCCATGTAGGCGTCACAGGTATACCCATCCCGGATATTCATGGAGGAGATGTTGTGGAACCTATTCTTCTCTTTAGAATGGAATTGAATCAGACTTCCGATGCAGATATGGACGGTACGTACCATGGAGTGTTTGCCGGGAAGGAGTAGCAGACGTTGGCCTCGCGGAGACCCTCGGAGTTGCCTCTGTACATCATGTCCTGGTAGATAGTGACCTGAAAGATTGTTTCGTTAGATGTGATGTGGCTCGGAGTCTTTTCAAGGGCAGTTTGGTATGGCTGGCTATCACTAGTGATTGTACTTACAGTAGGATTTTCCATCGTAGACACAGGTTCGGCGGGTGCTCCGCTCACTACCCCTGCCATCAGGAGACCAAGAGCAGTCACGATGGCGGTTCCAAGCTTGAACATTTTGCTTTCGAGTGTAGAATCTGTCTGTCTTTGAGATAGAAGGTCGAAGAAAAGAAGTATGGGCAAAGTAGACGTGATGATGCTCGAGTATGAGGACATTAACCAGACACTGAGGACGACTTTATATCTTTGAGATCCATATATCACTGACCCTGTTTTAGGACTAATCGGCCACCGAGCAGGGGCCTTTGTCAGGATTCAATCATCACCAAGGTCATAGGATCAGTGGACCAGACTCGTACTAAACCGCAGCTATGCAAGTTTCAGAGAGAGTCTACTCGGTGGCCGATCAGATTCCCAAATGCTAGGTTTTACATTATACCATGTCTCTATGCGTACGCACTTCATCCTTCCTGTGATGGTAGATTCAGGGAAGGCACCGTACAGATCATATACTCTTCACCCGTAGTCTCTAGCACTCTAGGTCTTCTTGTCCATGGCTAGATGAATTAGTATCCCTATTGCTCTAATTCTTTCAACATTGTAGAGAGAAACCAAGCCCTCGACTGCCCTCCATTCCTTGACAGAAACCGTTGCCATGGTTCTTCTCTTATCGCACGTATATACAATTTAGAGAACCATCTGACACACACACACACACACACACACGTACACTAACTATTGAATTGTGAAATTCTAATCTACTATCATACAACCCAACCCACATTTCGTAGTGCTTCCAAGAAATACCAAAGACGAGCAGGTTGCATTACTATCCATGCATAACACCAATCTCATGTATATGCAAGGTGAATCAGTATACAGTAATGCCCGCGTCCTTAGACATTATGTTGGAAACAGCACACATTGGACAAAGCTATATGCTGTCATCATCATCCATCTAAATACATCTACAAGAATACCGCACCGATGGTCCTGTTTATCAGACCATTCGTTCAATTTCAGAATATTCGCGACGAAGTTCCGCTTTTGTGGCTATTGATTTTGTTTGATGCAGAGCGTTGTCTAGTTCTCTGGGAAATTAAGTGTTCAGGGGTTTGGTTTATCTCCCTTAACTACACTTATAATAGTGTATAGCTAGTTACGGAACATACAACTAGTGGATCACAAAAGCTCCAGTCTACGCGGCAACAGTGGAAAGTGAAGTAAGTAAACTATGGTAAGTCTAAAGCAAATAGAATACTCCATGTGCGCGATCATAACCCGAAAAGAATCATTTAAGCTAAAGTTAAGTGTGCCAGCACGCAAATGTAAAAGACGACATAAAACAGAGATCATGCTGCAGGCTCACCTGCATTCTGCAGCTTCACCACCTCTGCCGATGTAGCTAGCTCAGACCATACATCGATACCGTCAAGAAGGGCCAACGCCATCCCGCCCTCCTGGTGCGTCGTGATATGGCAATGAAGCAGCGAGGGAAATGGCCCGCTGACATAGTACCGGATCGCTATCCATACTCCACCGTCCAAGGCTGCGGTGAGTGTGTTTGTCGTGAATGTGTCACGTAACGCGGGCTTATCGAGGTAGAACCGGTCAGGTCTCTCCAGCATTCCTTCGTAGACAGTCGACCAGTTGAAGACGCCCATTCCGTCCCCAACAATATAGGCGCGGCTGCCGTGCTTGTGGATGGGGTGGGGTGGGTGAATGGGGTCCATTTCTGGGTCGGATATGATCTGTATAATGATGTCCACCCAGGTGTTGTTGAGTGTTTGGAGCGTGTAATTCGATCCTATGACATCCAGTGGCTGTTTCTCGAATATGAGTGGTGTGTCTGCCGTGATTTCAGGCTCGTATAGGACTCCGTTCCCGATAGACCATTGATATGAACTATTGACACGTCTCATGTTGGTTTTCAGGGTAAGGTCCGCGAATGCCGGTGGCAGGGGAACATTGAACGCTGGGAGGTTCTCTGTGTAGTTCAGGTACCTTACGCTAGCAGACGTGTTCTGCCCGGCGTAGTCAATGTATCCCTTCGTTTCGGGGCCAATTTGTGCTTCTGGTCGAGTCACATTCTGCGTCGTGTTTGCTGCACGGTAGGAGAGGATAGCATATCCGCTGATGACCTGGTCACCCCCATTGTCCGTGATTCGAATCGCATAATCTCCTGGTGTTTGATCCAGCTTGACCAGAGCTGAGTATCGAGCTCCGTTGTACATCCCAACCATCTCATATTGACGCGGCTCCACAAACTGACCGTCTACCTCATATATCCACATTGGATGGTTGTCTACCGAGAAAGTAGTTCCTTTCTGCGCTTGTCCTCCAATGAAATTCAGACTCGCCCATCCGTCTTTAGCATCAACCTCAATTCTAGGCACCCCACCATCCGACGGGGTGCAGTTGTTGTGCATTGAAGATGGAACAGCACTAGGCTTCTGATTTGGCCAGCTACCCTGAACATTATGTAAGGGGGGCGCTAGGCATCTGTTCGCAAGTTAGCCATGAGCAGTATAGCAAACATATTCTTTGATTTCTGCAGTGCGTACCCTCTGTCGGTCAGATTTGTCCCTTCCAACACCAAGGCGATCTGGGGGCCAACCAGTGATTGCATCCACTGGGCGTCCGGGCAATAAACGGAACCTTTGCCGTTCACGAGGATACTGTCGACACAGCTACTCCATGAATCAGCTAGCTAATTTCAGACGTTTCCTGCCGCGTCTTCGGACTTACAAGAGATTCATGCCTGAATCAATCTCGGCTTGAAAGTACTCCTGAGCAGTAAAATGGGTCCAGTCGGTTATGAGCAGTAAGTTTGAGTTGGCTTCGGCATTCTGCATTTGTGCCACTTCAGTGGCATCTTTGGCTATCATCGAGTATGGCCGGGCAGCGTCGGGCTTATGGCTGTAAACGTGAGCTACGCTCGGCCAAGAGTGCGAAAGTCCTACCGAATATAAAGAGCTCCCACTTGGCCATCCTGCATCACATTTTTGAAGTGCGAATGGTACCTGCACTAGGTTAGGAGTGCAAGTAGAATATTACAAGACCACGAACCAGAATGTGCCTGCTGGGGAAGCTTTGAACTTGTATACGAAAGATGAATTCGGCTGAATGGGCGCTTGTGACAGCCCTGGGACACCGTCGGACCACGGAGCGGATTCCATTCTATACGAGATTCGAATTAGTCGAGATTTAGAAGGTGGATATAGCAGTATCTCACGATTGACCATGCCAGTGGACTGTCGTATTGAATGGCAAGTGATTGAAGACATGTACCTAGGCCAAGTCAACGACTACCGTATGCAGGTTTGCCGTGTTGGAGATACCTCGACATCGTCATCCTCATCGAATATTAAATCAGGCCCTGGGTACTTCCCATTCGTGAGAACCATTTGCCGCGGGACACCATTGGGAGAGCCAACCCCCCAGGTGAACTCCAGTGTCTCGCGGACTAGCTTGGCTTGCACTAAGCCGAGCCATATGAAGAAGGCTATAACGGCCGTAAGACTAGACATCTGTTAACTCAAGGCGTCATTTACTGAACAAGGTGATGCGAATTGGTAAATTTGATCTGACTAACCACTGCAGTGCGACCAGCTTTATCTTTTAAAGATTGTACAGGTGGGTTCGATGTTCCGAATGCGGAAGCCATCAATTGGCATTGTGGCTTTGGATTGCTCGCGTTAGTGCCAATCTTCGTGCTTAAAAACATTTTTACCTCGTCAGCTCTGTGGACTGATTGGTTAAAGTCACTTTAACTTCATTGGCTTCGTTCAGATAAGGTCTGCTTGGTATGAACCCTTTCTAGGGATGATCCATATCAGTTCGAACCCACAACACAACATCAAACAAATGAGTCGTCATTTTACATTTCGTGGTGTCTCATCTCACTCTACGGAGAATCAATCCTCATGCCGAGCACTCAGCAAACAGAGTGCATGAGACCTATCGTGAACGTATGAAAAAGCGGCCACAGCTGGTTGGACCAACACGTGGAGGAAACGCGCAACCCCTTGCGTTGAAGTGCCGAATGCGTCTCACAACCATTCAAAGAACCAAATACTTATCGGTAGCCACTCAGAGAGAGAGCCCAAAGAATGTAGAAGACAGGCGTCATATTCGCGGAGGAGGGAAGGCTAGTCCTATTCGTGAGAAGAAATGCCAATGCTCTCGCCAACCATATACTTCGTATCTAAGGAGCTATTAGAAATGTGTGAGCGAAAGTAAACTATCTCTAAGGACCCTTACCGCAAGACCAAAGCTCTATTAATTCTTCCCCATCCACGGATAACCCCTTGCATATCCCTACAGACGGGCCAGCCACTCGTCGGATCCGAGCACATCAGCCTGTTTTGCAATGACCTTATTCATGAGGACGTCGTGCACCTCCTGGTCTCGATCCAAACAGAGATCCTCGAGCACTGTCAACTGATAATCCAGATCGGCTGCCTGTCGAACCGTGGACAGCACTGCCCCGCTAGTGATCAGGCCAGCCACAACAAGATTCTCAATGCGGGAGCTGCGAAGGACCACATCAAGGTCGGAGCCTCCAAAGGCGGACACCCGTCGCTTAGTGATTACAATGTCGTTCTCATGAAGCGCCACTGCCGGGTGGAACTCCACGCTTTCGTCTCCCTCGATGTACTTCCCTGTTTGAATGACTCGTTGTGCCGAGGGATTGCGAGGATGTAGATCAGGGAAGCCACGACGAAAAGCTGTTTTCACATGAACAATCCAGACGGACTTCTCTCGGGCGGCTTTGACCACGAAAGCGAGGCGGCGGATGTTGGATTCTCGTTCCGGGGTCGAGTCGTCTAAGATCTGGCCCGTGACTCCTTGCTGGATATCTAGGATGAGGAAGGCGGTGGCCATTGTGTTATGTCGTTTACTTTTGTCTGAAGAATGCAACTCTGTGTTCTTGCCCATTGTTTGTCTTTAATGTTCGGCTGCATCCCGGTACCGTTGCCGTGGCCGGTCCCCGGGTGATTTATCATTATCATTATCCCCGGTTCCGCGTATGTCTACTGATATGTCGAAACCCTAGATCACAACAACAATAACAACAACAACAACAATACGTCGACTAGAATAACTTTCTATCTACCCGACACAGACCCCAAAATCTCTTCCCTCAAACCCTCCAACCCCTTCCTCTGTTTGCCCGTCTCATCAAAATTCCCCGGATGCAACCACCCCTCCAACCCCCCCTTCACCCCCTGCTCCCACTCCGGCCTCAGCAACGAATACCACGCCGTATCTCTATTCCTCCCCTTAACAACCATATGCTCCCTAAACACACCCTCAAACACAAACCCCAACCGTCTCGCCGCCCGCTTACTCCCCTCATTGAGATCATTACACTTCCATTCCACCCGTCGATACCCCAGCTCCTCGAATGCATACCGCAGCAACAGATACACAGCCTCGGTGGCGCCGGTCGTGCGCTGTAGTTCCGGGGCGAAGAGCACATTCCCGATCTCGATGCGGAGGTGCTCGGGCACAATGCTCATGAGCGTGATCCAGCCTTGGGGCTTTAGCGTGCGGTTGTCGAGGATCGTGTAGAAGAGGGGGTCTTTGCTGGTGGTTTTGCTGTGGATAGAGGCTTCGAATTCGGGGTATGTACTTTCCGGGTAGGGGCCTTCGGGCAGGTAGGTCCAGACTGAGGCTTTTCGGGGGTTGGTGGCGCCGCCAACAAGTTCCCAGAGGTCCCCGGCGTGGGATTCTTGGATGGGGTGTAGAGTTATGGTCCGGCCAGGGAGAGGGTGGGGGGTTGGTGGTTGTGCTCGGGGGGTGAGGACTTCTGGTCCTAGGGGCTGGTTGGTGGTCATCTTTTTTTTTTTTTTCTTTTTTCTGTTGTAGTTTGTAGTTGGGTATTGGTATGTGGGCGGTCGGGGGGGTTGTCGAGGTGAATTGTGTTTGAGAGGTGGTTATAGATACTGATCATATACTATTGTAGTTCTCTGAGTCATTGTTTCGGTATCTAACTAAAGTAGCTCAGGTGGATCGACACGAGAAATCGCCGAGATGCGTCATTCCCGTACCTTATTGTATTATCTATCGAGATCGTGATAGGAGCTTGCCCCCGAGCCTGATGTGGAGTATGGTCACTGTTGATCTTGCTGGGCTGGTCGACTGGTGTTTAAGCAAGTTAGGGTTGTTGGGTGATCCCCCGATAACCCAGTGAGACAACACTCATGGTTGTAGCGGAATCTTGCGTTCGATTTACTTCTTATAGAGCAAAGTCTGCCTCGTGGTGCTAACTACTAAAACCATCGTATTCATCATCATCATTACTGGATCAATCTAAAACGTTACAAAACCTGGTCGCCTCGACCTTTACACACATCTTCTTGAAACACTGCGTTGAGATCGGTCGGGATCACTCCCGCTTTGACTCCATCTACTATGGTCAGCTCGACGATTGCCAGGAGACAAACCGATACGTACCGCGGTAGGACCACCGATATTCGCCTAGCTGGGTCTTCCAGGTCCAGAAAATCCACCCCTGGTGCTGTTCATAGTTCCTCACCTGCGCGGCAAACCACGTCTTGTAAAAGTCCAGGTTGGAATATGGCGCCCATTCAGGTGTCTCCTGCACGTTATCGGGGACCCCTAAGCTCCACTCACCAACAATAGCGGGCCAGTTGATCGCCACGTTGTCGTTACATGAGGCCTTGATGTAGCTGTCTTTGGAGACCTCCACGTGAGGATCCCATTTGAGATAGCGGTGGTTGTCGTAGGCCGCGTAGTAGTCATCCGTCAGGTGCTCGTGCGGATCCCCGGCACCCCACGCACTGTCCATCATCTGGATATGTAGGTAGTCCTTTCTGTCGATGCCGAGTGCTCCTTCCACTCTGCGGATGGTCTGTTGTTCGGGGGTTTCTCAGTCTGACAGTGTATACACACAGGCCAATGAAGCCCACTCACATGGAAAGCATTAGGGTAATAGGTGGAGCGCACCGTAGCCGTGACCTCGGGGTTCTGCACCGGCTCGTTGACGACCTCCAACATCCCCACATTCCGGAAACTGGGCAAGGTATGGACCTTGATCGCCATCCACTCGAGGAACTCGAGCGCCCGTTGATATTGAAAATCCACATAGAACCCAGGCGTATCGGCGAACTGGCCCGTAAAGGCGTTCTTTGCAACCTGCGCGCCAGGGGCCCCGTGCAGGTCAATAATGATGTACAGACCAGCATCGCTAGCCCACCCACACAGCTTCTCGAGGTATGCAAATCCGCCCCGTGGAAAATGCTCGCTGTCGTTATAGATCAGATCTTCATCCATCCAGTAGCCGACAGGGATGCGAATCGTGTTCAGGCCGTAGCTACGGATCTCATAGATGTCCTCTTTGGTAATCCATGAGTTCCAATGCTGGGCGAAAGCTTTGTTGGCTGCATCCTGGCCCAGCTTCATCACACAGTCAAATTCGGATTGCTGCTCTTCACAGCCTAACTCAGACCAGGCTGTCGGAGCAATCCAAGGTTCAAACACGAACTGCGTGCCCAAGTTCACGCCCCGAATCTTTCCATGTGAGGTTGTGAAGAGATCAGTTCCATTGCTGGAGGTGATAGTCTTGTCGGTCGTGGGAAGCCAGGCGACAGCCAGGGTTGCTAGGTTATTGAGCACCGCTAGCCTGGTGAGTTTCATGGTTGTGACTTGAAACCTGCATGGGTCATTGATCAACTACGCCCAGAAAATAAACCGTACGCAATGCGGATATAAAATATCCCCCGTTCTACGGGAGGTGACCCCCGCGGCCAGCATCACTTCAACAGGCGGTAGGTCCAGATCCATATTTGATGAGCGATCTAAAAGGCAAAGAAAGTAAATCTTGGAATATCTGACTCTCGCAAAACATGATTGGGTCTCATGTTATCCTCGTTATGTAGGAGTTCCGCTGAGAATGTGCCTGACTCGCTACAAGCGATTCATAGACTTAGGGTTAAGTTTCAGTATGCGTCCTGTGCGACAGACAACTGCCGCAAAGGACGCGGGGGCTAGGTAGGGGGGTAAGAATGTGTCAGTCGAGTCCATTCCCTCGACGCCCGGTCCAAACAATAACACACTTGGCCCCGTGCATTTCCAATGCGAAAAGGGGGGCGATGGTGGATCGTCGTCGGAGAGTGCCGTGACACTAAGAGCCGAAAGGGCCCAACTAAGCCCTGTGCCTAGAGCTAAAAAGTATCGTCCACCGAGCGGTCTTTTCCGTAGCCAGTAATCCTAGGGGTCTTTATCCAGTGTCATTTCGCTTGTGAAGATCCAGCCAAAGCTTTTGGACAAATTTAGAAACCGGTGCAAACTCTGCGCAGCTTTCCTGAATGCTCGCTTCAACCCTGACACCCATTCACGGCATACCATTCTTATCGGCTGTAATTTCCGGAATGTCTCGACAACTTGTGGACGCGTCGTCGGTGAAGAATGGACAAGATCAGGATCCTCGGAATTCCGTAGGCAAGAAATAGTGCCATTCCGCATGGCTGATATCAATTCCCACGAACGCAATCCACGCTCCTTTCAATCGCGCGCGATTGAAGCGATAAAGTTCACCATCTTGCAAAGTATCAAACTACGCCACAAGGTAGCAATATGTCCCATTCCAAGCGCAGAGCTTGCTCGGATCGGATCCAGTTGAGCTCCCGCCTGAGGGACTTCACTTGTTTCGTGAAATGATATGGCGCTGCTCATCCGAATTCGACCCCTTGAATGAAGATCTGCGCAGACCATCCGAGAAAGTAACGGCTTCCTCCGTACTTCAAACTTATTCAAGAGAGCAATATCACCTTGTCTGCCTTCTCCGGCGATTGTAAATGAAGGGAGGCCCAAAGAACCGTATCATAGGATGAAGGAAAGTGGATATGGCGAGAGTGGGGGGGGTCAATTAGTGGACCAACAGGGTTCAGTAGCCCCCGGTACTCTTTTCCGACAAGTTTGAGATGAAGAATGCCCCTGTATGAATGATTGATCGACTCTTGGATCCTCCTGATACCAAAGATTGATTCAGATCCGTAGTATATAACAAAAAGAATACTGAGATATTAACTATAATGCGGAACGCCAACATCTGTCAGGATGGGTAGAAGTGACTTTGATCGACTACGATTACACACATGTCTACATGGGCCAAGCTCCGTCATCGAGGCAGTCGTGCGACGCCATATTCTTACTCTTTCTTCGTTGTCGCCGGCGTTATCTCGAAAGAGTACGTTTTGGGAACCCACGTACCTAGAGTAGTCAAGATTAGCCGCTCTTCCAGTTGCTCTATCACTAACTGCAAATTCATTCCATCCATGGCGAGATGATCATTGCTGGTGCTTATTCCAGTTGGGCTCTGGAAAATGGGTACACCTCCCGAGCGGAGATCAAGCATAGGACAGCTGTGGAAAGGCGCTTGCACTGAGGTGGCCATATGTCCGCAATACTAGTAGTAGTACCTGGACCGATTCCGTGGCTCATCTGCTGTGTTTTGTCCGTGTCGGTGTTTGACCAATTGGGCCCGACCAACAAAGCAGAATCATACCACCCATTGCTCAAGCCAAGCTCGTGTTTCCCTTATGTATCCGTGCGTCTGGTCCTCCCCATCATCCCCTGGAGCCATATAATCGTCGAGAGGAAACTGGAAGGGGTCGGTTTCAGCATCTGAGTCGATGTCTTGATTGCCTGATCAATCCTTCGCGGTCGGTGTTAGTATGCATATGGCTGGCGGATTTCCCGTCCAGCTCCCATGTGCGACCATTCGCGGGTACACTGACAGGAGGAACCGATCTCGGTCGTTGGGTTGAGCGGTAGTTTAGGGAAATGGGCGAAGTCCGGAAGCTGGAATAACCGGTTTTCATCATAGTTCAAAGCTATATTTTGTCGATCTCGGTTCCGAAACGAGGAACCCCACAAACTGTTCCTCATATTTGCTAACCCCGTCCAGGACAAAGCCTCATGATGAGTTCATGCGTTTCCCGCTCGGCTCCGAGACGGTTCGTATGGCTGTGGGGAGGAAATCTCCGAAACTGTCTCAATTGCCTTCCTATGCCAGGGATGGACCTTCGATGCGCTACAACGTAATTCTGTTTATTTTGATTATCTTGGCCCCGTTTTTGCCACGATCTCGGAATTCCAAACAGTGAAGTGGTGCCCTCGGCCGTAGAGGGAAAGTCTAAAGCGAGCTCAGATTCCCACTCATGATTATTAATTTATTGAAATAGATATATGTACGTACCCTCTCGACTGGGTAGCTGTCGCAATTTCAGGCGACCGTCACACGACAGAGGGTCAAAGAGAAAATAGATTGGACCCATATGAAATGAGGACTGCAGGTGGACAACATACGATGGGGAATACGAAGTAGTATTCATTTCACCAAAGGGGTGTGTGGATGAGTAGTGTTAGGGAGAGGGAGAGTGAATGCCCCGACACTGCATCGCTATAGGGCACGTCGACTGAAGGTGGATTTGCTTCAGCTACACCGATTGAGTTTCGACCTCAGGCCATAACCACGGACCGCCTTCGGCCGAATCGGCTTTCCTTCGGCCACGTGCGATTGGGGTCCGCCTCATCTCCATCCCAAAACATAGCCCCAAACATTTCCGTGAAAGAGGATCTCAATCTCCGACGTCCTAAGCGTCGGTCGCGCGCCGCCCAGTAAGCTACAAAATACCCCTCCTCCTCTATTCCTCCCCTCCCAGTCTCAGACGCCACTCGGTTTCCATGCCTATTGCGGTCCGACGGTCGCGAGGCTGTCCATCTCGCTCTCACCGTCAACCTCCAGATCACACGGGGAGGACCACCACAATGAAAAGCATGCCTCTTGTTCGCTGATCTCTCATGTGCAAAATGATTGTGGCGAACGTGTATGTTGCCCACACAGCCTTACTTCGAAATTTCCAGCTCTATCGAACGCGTTCCTCTGCAGCGGGTTATACAGAATGATCGATATTCACAGCGGCTCCGATGAGGCGCCCACGCGTTATAGCGGGCGGGAGCCCTCGTGTCAGATCCACAATGGAGGGGTTGGGGAACTATGTTGGTTACAATGGCTCATGAATTCCCCATGTTCAGAGTAGGGAACAACATCACATCCGACACCTGATTCAAAATGTTGTCAATATGCCCGTCCTCGGAGGAACTCACGCTGTATCCGGCAGCATAAGGCGACGAGGCGGTGACAGCTGGTGAAGTGAACACGGTTTTCGGCGAAATAGCTTCCGGGGCTAGGCCTAGTGCCTTCTTCTTCTTCTTCTTCCTAGAATAGAACGCAGCACTAACTTCCCGGAGAGCGCGGAGAGACGATGCCAAATGCCTGGCCGAATCTGTCCGGGTGTGGAGATTTACATTTTCATCCCCACTCACGTGCTCGGCGATGACTGCCTCTAATTTCTCAATCAACTCCCACGTCCGTGGGTGAATTTGGTCGTTATTGTTGGCAACCAGCAAGAACGCGGATGCGATGGTCCGCTGAAGACTGACCCAGCTACGCGAGCAGTGGGAATGAAGTGAGTGCAGCTCAATGAAAGCTTCGATCGTATTCATGAGATTGGTTATACAGTCCTCTCGGACCACCGCACGCCGCTGGTCATCCAGCGGGGCGTCTGGGTCCAAAGATACTCGACACATGACTGAGATATAGTAAGACGAGTGTAGCCGCAACTCGGTCCGCTCAATGTGTTCGGCCAAGGTGACGCAGCGTTCCCGATGACGCAAATGAGGGGTAGTATCTGCAAGAATGCGCTCTATTCGCTGTTTATACTCGCGGATTTCATGGTACCGCAGGTGAGAATGGTGCGACAACATAAGTCCCCGCAGCATCTCCAGCACCACCGAGATAATACGGCAGAGGCTTTCGAAGTAGGAGCGATGGCCAGGCATTGATTTCCTATCATAGGGAATTTCCGGCTGGCTTACCATAGTGATGGATGGTCGATCGTAAGCTAAGGAGAAATGGCTATTCTGGAAAGCCATCGCCCACCTGCGAGAGTTAGGATTTCGTGTATCTTCCAAACGGGGCCTTGCAGAGGATGCCATACCATACTCTTCTCCGAGACGCTGTGACGCTTTGCGAGAACCCCGGTGTTTCAACATGCAGCCCGAGACTCATACACATCCGCTCTGTCATCCCTGTTGGTAAGGATTGTCGTTAGCTTGGCACTCACGCAGTTCTGCACACCACTTCTCACTCACCGAGTAAGGTATAAGAAGCACCAGCGTTCATGTTATATGACAGCACATTGCTGATAATTAGCAGAATTTGGATTACTTCCACCGTTGGCTGCGAAACATAGTTCATCATCCGCAGGCACTGGTAGGAACACGAAACTAGGAAAGATGTGAGCCCCAAAAATTTTCGGTCGTCAGCAGAAGGTTGCACACACCATATACCCACGACGTCAACTCCCGTTCCTTCAACGGCAAGTCGGATAATTGGCAACCTGAAGCTAAAACGGCAAAGAGGAGGCTAAGGAAAGGTAAACTCATGCCAAACGGTTTCATCAGACCGTTCACATCCGGTCGATATGTACCTCCTGCCTTCAGCCTATTTTGCAAGAGTTCATTTGTGTTGTATTCTAATTTGGAAACGTCCGGGAGTACGGGATATAGTACTGCGCCGATGTCTTTGTAAAAACGAAGAAACCTGCGGAAGACCTCCATGATCAGCGAAGGGCGCACTCTACAGGAACGAGTCTAGCCAAAGACTCAGAGCCGGCTCCACCCACCTGCGACATTGTCCGTCATCCGGTAACACGCCACAGACCCCGGCGATGTTGAAGGTGTACGGATCAGACGACCAAAGGTCGACGAAAGGATACGAGGCAGCCTCGTTTTCCATCGCCAATTCTGCCAGCAAGTCTTCCTTCGGCAACGCGGCCGCCGTACCCTCCGAGCCTTTTGATCTATCCAGAATATCTATCAAAGCGGATTTTGCGCCGATGTGAATGGAGCTCGTTTTCATCGTATTCTCGTTATAGATCCCCTGAGGGGCCGGCGATTTGCCGTCTTCAGTCACCGACTGCTCGGAACGAGGGTTGCTGGATTTCCTCGCCGTATGAGTCTCAAAAAGCGAGTTCAGACTAGCCAATATTGACTCCATCGCGCGCATCTTCGAATTCACCTCATCCCATTCGAACTGAGAAATCGACACGGTTTCCGACAGACCATCATCCGAGGCCGGCTCTGCACTGTAGGTGGGAATCGGGGCATCGTCTCGACTAGAAGATATATAGGCTGAACCGGGAGGCAATTGGGGCGTAGACGCAGTTGAGGCGGTAGCTGAAATGGTAGGCTCTGGAATGAGCGGCGGTTTGGGTTGAGCTGGCGGCGGACGACCGTAAGAACAAGTAAAGTTACGTTTGACGCAGTTCCCACACGGGACGTTGCGATCGCAGCGAACCTTACTGGCGCGACATGGTAGACAAGTTTTGCACTCGCGAGGCCGGCGTCGGATCGGATATGTAGGCATTGCGATGGCGACCGAAACGTCCTCTTGTCGCCCCGCCTAATGGGGGATGGGGACGAAGTCGGGCGCGATGGAAGGGAAGGAGGACAGATCCCCGGGGGTTAGGGCGTAGGGCCACGGAGACAGCACGCGTAGCTGGGCATAAAAGATGCTATTATTATTATTACTGGATGGTCCAACCGAAATGGCAAGCGTCAGCTTCAGCCCTTCGAGATCCGATCGTTGAAGGTCAAGCGAGGCCACCGACGAGCCGCGACCGAAGGGAGCACGAATGAGGTGCACGAGAAACAAATCCACTTCTCAATCGATCATCGTTCAACCCCATGAAGATAGCGCCGGAATGTTCGCACCGAATCTGAGAGTCCAGAAGGAATATGCCACCTAATAATAGGTACCCGATTACAGTTTTCCCGGTATTTTTTTTTGGCCTTTTTTTTTCTCTTTTTGGTTGGTTCTTTTGCTTCAGATCACCAAAAGCAGAAAAAGAAAAGTCAACGGATCGATTTCCGGAGGGCTTTTCCGGTTCCGGTTTCTGATCTGTGATAGTAATAGTTCCTTGATATTAAGTCCCCAAGGTCAAGAACGACACAGCAATTGTACCCTACAGAGGTCCGTTGAGTGGATTATCATCGGAGCATTGGGGGCCCGTTAATGACAGCGGCCAAGAGCAACGGCGCACCGGCCAACCAGGACTCCCGAGATGGCGTGGTTGCAGTGCAGATCGTCTTGTTTTGTTCGCTTGTGTTGACCAAATTGGAAATTTTGGCTGAGATGTATACAGGCCAAAGGAATCAAATCAAATCATATTGCATTCCATTTAATCAAAGAGAGTTTGCGAGAATCGAATTCGTTTTCCCTTCATGCTGGCGATGAAGTCATATCCGGGAAGATAACGTCAGGATCAATAGGTTCCAGTTCTCCTCCCCTCTTCTCCCTCGTTAAGTTTGCCCGTTTCAGCCTCGGTTCCCAGCGTTTGGGAGAGGAAGAAAGACAAGGGAAAAACAAAAACAAAAAAAACAATGGGACGTTTGAAACCAACACAATAAGCTTGTTTGTTCCCCAACGGGATGGCATGTTGCCCATGTGCCGATCCTCTGCACGGGAATTGAGCTGCAGTTGCATATCAGGTGATTCCGAGGCTCTCATCGCATATGGCCTGATCCCCAAGGTTAATAAAAGTGGGTAAATGGAGAAATTCTATTTTTCTACCCCTCGGTAGTAGGTACGCCTCCCGATGACTTCGGGGAATTTCTAATACCATTACTCTATGTACATAACTTCATCATCCATCATACATGAGGAGGGCATTGCCAGAACGAACGACGGGTACATGACATTCATCATCACATCAAATCAAGTCGTTCATCAGAGTACAGTAAACACCAGGATGTATAGTTTCATGTCTGAGAGCCGCTCGGCCTCGGCGTTATTTGGGGTACAACCCACCAGTCATGCCAACGCGCTTTGGAACCCATGTCGGGAATACTCACCAGAAGGTTAACAACATCGGTGGATGCACGGAGCGCGGTCAATGCCTTCTTCACCGTTTCAATGGCAATGCTGGCCCCGATGCAGGCCCGCATCGTATTCTTAATATCCTTCTTCCAATCTTCTTCAATGGCCAGGGTCTGATTCGCCTGGCCTTGAGGATCCCGGATAAATGCACCGTTGGCGAGGGTCGCTTCCCAAGCTTTGCGGGCTTCAGAAATGGCTTTCGTGGCACGCTCCAGGACTGTCTCATCACTGTCCCCTTCTAAGATAGCCTCTCGCCGGAATTCGTCGAAGGGGACAAGTTCCGGCAAAGTAATCGATAGGAAGGGCTTCATGCGGAGTTCATACCGTAATCTTTCGCTGGAGTATGCCTGCGCGGCCGCTGCTGTGGGCAGAACTCCATGGCGAGCCAGCAAAACATATAGAGCGTGTAACGATATGGCAAAGGCATCCACGGCGACGATTTGCGTAGTAAGCCTTTCGAGAAGACGGAGCGTATTCTGTAAAGCGGCATGTCGCTCGACGGCATCGCGTTTCTTTCCCGCCAGAGCGGTCAGGTTGCGCTTCGCGGTAGCAACGGTAAATGTGCGGATTCGGTCAATGTGGCCGAGATGTGTGGAGCAGATGTGGGATAAGTACCAGTACATTCCTGGTAGTTCCTCGGGAGAATAGATAGAAAGTTCGAATCCGAGCTGGATAACGAGCCGGAACTGGTTCAGTTTCTGGTGGTAGGTCCAGCTACTGAGCGGGTATGAATAGGTAGCGTCGCCGTTTTGGAGCATAAGGGGAGGTTCGTTGTTCAGCGTGCGTAGTTGTTCATCGAGGTCTTCGGCCTACGAAGCAGTTAGTATCAGGGTACCGCATATGAGAGAGACCGCATAGATACCTCCATCTGTAGGTTGTCCCAGTCAACAATTGTATGACATACTGTCCGACGAATACGGCAGCGATTGAGACACGCACTTCGGAAAGTGTCCACAAATGGCTATTCCCCAGGTTAGCTCGCGGGAGAAACAAATTGAGGGAGATATATGCAGCATCGCACCTGAGCAAAGCGTTTAACAAAAGCATCCATGTGGTTGGCTATCTGAAAGCGAGGGTCGGTCGGCATTTCCGTCTCGTCTGTGTTGGCTTGCAGAAGCGTGCTTGAAGGTAGGACGATTTCCGCAAGCTCATCATATAAGAACTTCTTCACTGGTACGGCTCCCAGAACCATCATGTTACTCAGAATCATAGATTGAACCAGTGATCGAATATAAACTGACGGCTGGGGCTTCCGAGACAACAGGGTCCAAACGGCCACCTAGCAACGTTAGAGGATGAGTAGCCAGAAGAAAAGTATTCCTTTGGTTCCTTCAAGAGCATACCTTGAGGTTATGGGGTCCAGAGTAATCCAGGACCTCCAGCAGATCAATAGCATCTTGGCACAACCGTTTCAAATGCGCCAGCGCATCCTCAAAGCTTATCTTTACCATTGGTCGAGGGGGAACTGTGCTGGCCAGCTTTCGTTGGATCTTCCAACTAAACGCTTCAGGTACTGGTCTTCCCAGTGGCACCGATTCCGTTATGGGGCCCAATTGCGACAGACAAGATGAGAAGCGACTGGCTGACCGACTCTGTATGATATCGAGATCCTGGTTCAAACTAAGAAGAAAATCACGCCGAAAGACCAATCGGCACTTTATTGCTTCTTTCAGTTTTCCATCGACACTATCCCCTTGCTCATCTACCCATGAAATCGCCCGGTCCAAAAGATTGCGGAAATATTCATGGTCGAACTGCGACAGCAAACTGCGGTTGTACAATTGGGTGACAAAGTCTTCCTCCTATATGGCTTTAGCGATCGTATATGTACATGTGAAAGTCGTGTGACTTACCTCGTAGAAATACTCATTTATCACTCGCGCATGAACAAAATCGCAACATTTGATAAGCGCAAGACAATAGGCACGTAGCACGACATGTACCATCCCTGGCTCTTCCTTGTTCCTAGCGGATCCCGGACGACAAAAGTGTGCTTCTTCAAGCGTTTTCGGTATGGGCCAAAGGAGTTTATCAAGGTATAGAGAGGTAAAAAGTGTTTGCGAGAGTGGATGTCCCATATGCCATGCCATCTACCATCGCGCGGTTTGTCTCAGTATTTCTTCACCTAAGCGGATATTCGTCGCCGTCTGGGAAGGCAACCACCTACCTCATGACATGATAGTTCATCCATTATCCCTATCACCTGCTCCGGAGCCAGCTCCCGCGTGGTATCGTAGTCGTCCTCTAACGCTTGCACGTCGGTTTGCCCCGGTCCAAGATAGCCACTGTCCATTTTCGAGTCCATAATCTGCGATAACAACTTGTATAAGCTTCAGATCACGCAAAGTTAAATAGCCCTTGCTACGAGGAGTAAATAGCATGAGCTCACCTCCAGTGCGCCCACTGCCTCGAACAACGTAAAGTACTCATCTTTCACCAGCTGCCCAGTCTGCAATTCTATGACCAAGGGAAAGATTGTCAGAAAGCAATGTCACGTAGTAGCACATAACATGGGTAAGATAGCCACTGGACAAAGGTAAAGGGATCTCACTTGAGGCCGCTTTGGTAAACTCGTCCGTGATGTCTCGTGGGACAACGGACTGCGAAATGACTCGCATCATCGGGGTTCGTCCCTCGTTACTTGGCAACATATAAAGTATCGATAATCTGCAGCCAGCTGTCAGATTTACCCGTTCGAACCCTGGACAGAAAGTACTCTCGAAAGGAGGATGATGGGAGAAAGAAACAAGAGGACCGACGAAAGAGAGGCGGGGAGTCGGGCGGGCAGGGCAAAATTGCGGAAGCGTTGCCCGCGGTGTAAAGCTGCAAGACCGCAGGTTACGGTGACTACGCTCAGAGTACAAACGGCATTACAGTGCACGAAATCTACTTTAACCAGCCCCATTTGCAGGAAAGAAATGGTCTTTTCTTTCTATTTATACCAGGTCAACGGACGAATATGCTACAGAGCTCCAAATCATTCCTGCACCACACATCATCAACTGTAACCCCCTTCTCGTAGAAAATATCCCATATTATCGCATGCGGGTGTTTTCGAAAACCGTCTATTTCTCGGCCTGGGCAACGGCGGCCTCCTGGTTGGCCTCACCGAGGGAGCGAACCTCGCCCTGCTTGCCGTTCTATATTGGTGAAAAAGACATTTGTTAGCCCAAGTTCATAGCCCATGGATTCCAACAAAGCAAGCGGAGGCACCAAAACGAACCTCCCACTTAGCAAAACGCAGGTCCATCTGACCACGGCGCTCAGCAGCCAGACGAGGGGTCTCCTTGAGGGATCTGCGGACCGCGCGAGCAGCAACGGCCAGGTAGCGGTTGTAGCTGTAAAAGTCGAACGTCCAGTTAGTTCGGCGTCTAGGCAAGACGTGAAAAGATAAGGGATCATGCGTACGTCAGACCAGCGGCTTTCCAGTATGCCATCTTGACGGTGTGTGGAAGATGAGGTATTCAATTGGGGGTGGGAGAATCAATCAACCGATATGGGATGCTTTGCAAAGCGTCGAGTTTCGGAGCATCGGGATCTCGGGTCATGTGATACACGTGACTTCCCGGCCCATGACCAATCGAGCAAGCCTATTCCACCTGACCTTCTACCTTTAGTACTAGTAGTAGTAAATTCTAGACATAGCCTACAATATATTCCATTGGCAGACCAGTGAACCCTGGAACTGAGAGTATATTGCATCCGTGATATATATTCAATACTCTATTTGCTAGATTTCCTATATATGTCAAGTTTGTATAGTTTCTTTTCTTCTTCGGCATCCTCTGTACATAAATATATAGTATGTCCTAGATGCAAAAGTGGTAGAATAACTTATAATATATGCAGCACCTTTCAGATATAGAAAGCCCCACTTTGTACATCTAGGGGGATAACAACACATCTATCTAGTATTAATCTAATGTTGCTAGTTCTGGTATAGTGTATAGTGATTGCGGCTGCGCGGCTGAGTACCAGTCAACAGGCATACAAACAAACGATATCCCTTTGCAGTATACTGTCCTGGGTTGGAAGTTTCACTTACTATCTATGTATCTCAGATGATATGTTCATCTCTGGACATTTAGCAACATACTTTTATCAGATACTGTCTCTCACTTTATTTCACCCTTTTTCATATCCTGTTCCACTCAGTTATTTTCTATACCAGCTCGGCAAAACGTGCACTCTGACTCTACACATCACCCTTTCCAGTGACTGTATGTGAAGAAGAATTCCGACAAGGGTATTCACAGGTGCTAGCTATTCACTTTTTGATGTAATTTGCAGTCTCTCATGCTATCAGGGCACTATGAGTCCTTCCAAGAGAGCCTTGAACAGACCGAAGAAGCGCACCTTAGTCCGTTGGGACGGTACGTATCTCCTTGGTTGGGAGACACTGATTCTATTTGTTGATTGAGTTGACACCAATTTGTTAGATAACTTAAACGAGCTTCTTCTACTGACCGTGCAGTCAGTCTGCAATAACCAGTCTATCAGGATTCCTTGGTCCGAGGTTGCCAGTACAATGAAGAACAATGTCACTGAAGGGGCTATCGTCCAGCATCTAGCAAAGCTCCGGTCCCGTCGTGTCGATGCTGGCAAAGAAGTCCCTCCTCCCCTACGGCGCGGTGGTGTGGGGTCATCGAGCAAGCCTTCTGATAATGCGCCTGCCAGAGCTGCGTCTGGAGGCAAACGCTGTCTCAGTGCTCCTCATAGTTCAGGAAGCGAAGATGAAGGTCAAGAGATGAATTTCCAGGGCGATACTTCATCCGATGAAGACTATATCGACAAAAGTCGCCGCAGGAGTCGACCCAAGAAGCAATCACATAGACCTCAGCTACGTGAAGCCATTCCAATCAAGAGTGACGATGAGATAGACGGTAGTAATGATGGGCTTGGAGAGCTGTTGGTCCCTGGGGCTGATTTTCTCCAATATCCAAACGAGCAAGAATCACCGTCAGAGACAAGCTCCCCAGGTGCGTCAGAGAATACTAAAAGCAAATTGGTCACTCTGAGGTACAGACAGCCAGTTGGCAATGCGTCTAATGGCTTTCCTACGGCCTATGCGCATCCAGTAGCCACAACTGTCAACACATATGGCAATACGCCTTACCAAGCTCAGTATCAACAGCTACTAGAACCTAGTTTCGACATGGAGAACCATTACATGCTTGGATATAATCACATCATGGGCATGTCTGTAGGTGTTCCTGAAGACGCTGTCACTAACCTGACCTCACTTGGGGAACATCAAGACTTCCACAATGCAACATACGCTGGCTACCACCATCCAGCTTGTTACCACTCCACTGATGACTCGATTGGTGGTACCCTTTATAGTGAGAACTACCAGTACCTTCATGGCAACTATGTTGAATCAAATGAGGATGTGGCCATGGAGACTCAGGGTAATCTGGTGATGAAGATTGAATAAGCCTCAAACATGACTACACCGACTGGTTGTCGTTCCCCTCCGGTTGGGTTCGACTTTAGTGCAGTACATTGACTTGGGTTCAATATGAAGTCTTCTTGGATTGAGAGGTTGGTTTTGGTTTTGCTTCATCTAGTATTAGCGAGACTGAAGGCTCTGCTTTGGCCAGTCCGAGCTATCCACTGGGATATGGGAATCTTTCACTTTCCAAGCCGGCGTTTTGGTTTACATTCATTGGCCTCGATCAGTAACTATCGTTTGCTATTCTTTTGTGCACGCTGATTTTGCGTTTTATTCTATGGTATTTTTTGCATGCGCTTCGTTTTTTCTCAGAATGGTTGTCTTTCTATCAGTAGTGAGCAATATCAATGCCGATAAACGGCAATTAGTAATGTATACGAATTTCCGCTTCCGACGAGCCGAAGACATTCCCTCGGGAACGGGCCACGTGACCCTTTCTAGGAGCTTCTTTTGCCAAGACATCCGGGGATCGAGAATCGCCTGGAAAATTTTCGAGACTTTGGCTTCATCTCCATCCTCCTTCTCCATCTCTTTTTCTCTCATCTCTCCATCTCCATCTCCTTCTTCCCTTCTTTCTTCCTCTGCACCCGTCCTTGCTCTGGGAGTTCTGTTCGGGCAGACTTACTTCACTCATCAATTGACTCTCTGTTTCTGTAATTTCTTATTTACCTCCCTTCAAGATGCAAAGAGCTCTTTCCTCCAGGACATCTGTCCTCTCCGCCGCTTCTAAGCGCGCTCCCTTCAACAGATCCTCTGGCTTCAACCTCCAGCAGCAACGGTTTGCCCACAAGGTGCGTACTATCTAAGGCTGAATCTTTTCACGCCTCCCGACCGCGCCGGGACTGTTCTCCTCTTGAGTTCCCAGGTTGCTAATGCGGTGTAGGAGCTCAAATTCGGCGTCGAAGCCCGTGCCCAGCTCCTTAAGGGTGTCGACACTCTTGCCAAGGCTGTCACTTCCACTCTTGGTCCCAAGGGTCGTAATGTCTTGATTGACACTCCTTACGGCTCTCCCAAGATCACCAAGGGTATGTCGCTACATCCCGACCGATTCCTCCACACCAGACCGAAGCAAAATACTGACTGCATGCAGACGGTGTGACCGTTGCCAAGGCCGTTCAGCTCCAGGACAAGTTCGAGAACCTTGGTGCTCGTCTCCTTCAGGATGTTGCCTCCAAGACCAACGAACTCGCCGGTGACGGTACCACCACCGCTACCTGCCTTGCCCGTGCTATCTTCTCCGAAACCGTCAAGAACGTTGCCGCTGGCTGCAACCCCATGGATCTTCGCCGTGGTATCCAGGCTGCCGTCGAGGCTGCTGTCGACTACCTGCAGCAGAACAAGCGTGACATCACCACTGGAGAGGAGATTGCCCAGGTCGCTACCATCTCCGCTAACGGCGACACCCACGTTGGTAAGCTCATCTCTACCGCTATGGAGAGAGTCGGCAAGGAGGGTGTTATCACCGTTAAGGAGGGTAAGACCCTTGAGGATGAGCTTGAGGTCACTGAGGGTATGCGTTTCGACCGTGGTTACACCTCCCCCTACTTCATCACCGATGCCAAGTCCCAGAAGGTCGAGTTTGAGAAGCCTTTGATTCTCCTTTCCGAGAAGAAGATCTCCGCTGTTCAGGATATCATCCCCGCCCTTGAGGCCTCCACTACCCTCCGCCGTCCTCTCGTCATCATTGCCGAGGACATTGAGGGTGAGGCTCTCGCCGTCTGCATCCTTAACAAGCTCCGTGGACAGCTCCAGGTTGCTGCTGTCAAGGCTCCTGGCTTCGGTGACAACCGCAAGAGCATCCTTGGTGACCTTGGTGTCCTCACCAACGGTACTGTCTTCACTGATGAGCTCGACATCAAGCTCGAGAAGCTTACCCCTGACATGCTCGGTTCCACTGGCTCCATCACCATCACCAAGGAGGACACCATCATCCTGAACGGTGAGGGTACCAAGGACTCCATTGCTCAGCGCTGCGAACAGATCCGCGGTGTCATGGCTGACCCCACTACTTCTGAGTATGAGAAGGAGAAGCTCCAGGAGCGTCTGGCCAAGCTCTCCGGTGGTGTTGCTGTCATCAAGGTCGGTGGTTCCTCTGAGGTCGAGGTCGGTGAGAAGAAGGACCGTGTCGTTGACGCCCTTAACGCCACTCGTGCTGCTGTTGAGGAGGGTATCCTCCCTGGTGGTGGTACCGCTCTCCTCAAGGCCGCTGCCAACGGCCTTGACAACGTTAAGCCTGCCAACTTCGACCAGCAGCTCGGTGTCAGCATCATCAAGAATGCTATCACCCGGCCTGCCCGCACCATCGTTGAGAACGCTGGTCTTGAGGGCAGCGTCATTGTTGGCAAGCTTACTGAGGAGCACGCCAAGGACTTCAACCGCGGTTTTGACAGCTCCAAGGGCGAGTACGTTGACATGATCTCCAAGGGTATCGTCGACCCCCTTAAGGTCGTCCGTACTGCCCTGGTTGATGCTAGCGGTGTCGCATCTCTCCTTGGTACCACTGAGGTCGCTATTGTTGAGGCCCCTGAGGAGAAGGCCCCTGCCGCTCCTGGTGGTGGCATGGGTGGCATGGGTGGTATGGGCGGTATGGGCGGTGGCATGTTCTAAACTGCGCCGCGCCTGCTATAGCCTAAACTCTCCTTGTTTCTAACCTTTCCTCTTCCAGCGTGTCTTTACATACTGTTGCATATTCTGATATCTCTGTGTTTTTAATATCTCCTTTGTCCTAATGTGTTGCACGTCCTCACTACCCAATTCCTTACTTCCGATTATCCTTATCCTCATACCTCTCTATCGCATTACCCTATATATCATCTCCACTCCACTATGTCGGGATAAAAGCCTCAGGGAGTCCTGTGTATCATATCATGTACTTTACGTACACCACTGCTTTTGTAGTTGTGGTTCTGTTCTCAATTTACAATAATTGTTCATGATCAAATCTCCTTACGTAACCCAGACTCGTATAGAACTGTAGATCACCTCCATCTCATTTGCGATATGCCCTTGAACCAGTGCTGAATCCTTATGTGATACTACCTGAACCAGGTCAACTCAATGTCTTGATACTCCCAGTCAACAACTTCATTTCTCCCATCTCTACCCAAAGTCCGTCTAAACAGGAGTACCGGAAGTAACATCACCTTTGCGGTATCCAACACCCCGCAACATATGCACAAACCAACATGAACAAAAATTAGATTAGAAAACAAAAAAAAAAAAAAAAACAAAATCCCTACGCCCCATTAACACTCTGGTGCCATCTACCCCCCTTCTCAGAAACATCAAACCCCATCATCCCCTCCATATCAGAAACATGAACCGCCGGTAACGGGGAAATCACCCGATCCTCATGTCGTTTCCAAATATCATCCTCAAACTGTTTGTTATACCGTCTATTCCCCAAATACCTGTCAAGACGCGAGGTACTTTCCGATTGCCCTGGAGTCGGCTTTGCCGGGGACGCCGCGGTCCCTAATTTGAATACGCCTTTGACGGGGATCAAGAGGAAATCTGTGATTATACCGACGCCGATTATGTGGGCTTTTACGACGCTATCGCGCAGACGCTCACTGAAGGCCATGGAGAGGGCGATGAGGATTATTGCGGCGGATGTTGGGCCTTAGGTTGTTATTGGTTAGTGGTGCTGGATAGGGCTTGAGAGGGGATTATACTGGTTGACGCACCTGATATTGCCAGCATGTACGCCCAGTCGGGGTTTGTTTCTTCACCGCTCCATTCGCGGACATTCACGCCGAATAGGGAGGTAAAGAATGAGAGGGGGAGAAAGCTGTGGTTTTCTTTTAGTACGGGGATGTAGGTGGTGATTGATAGTATAGGGTAGGGTGGTGACTGACATGACGGTGAAGATCGTAAATACCATTACGGACTGCGATTGGTTTTGGGCTACTTCTGCCTGCCAGCGTGTTATACGGGACTCGTCAACGTTTGCTTGCTTTTGCTTGAGGTCGAGGAGGTTTTCGACCTAGAATACCTAGTGTTAGGCAAGCCGGATGGTTGAGGGTAGGGAATCGTACAGCTTTCTGTGCTAGATGTGCGTTCTCGCGCATGTCTGTGACCTGGGTGCGGTAGTCTTCGAGTCGGGAAAGAGCAGATTCTATAAAGATTTTTCCATATCCTTTGTCTTCGAAATATTGCGCCATTAATTTGATGGTGGCGGTTTGCTGTTCGAGTAGTTTTAGTATGGTCCCTAGTTCGTCTATTATGTCTCTTAGTTCTAATAGTGTAGAGAGATCTTCGCGATTTTGATGGGCTACTCGACGGTCTCTTTCATCACGTTCTGATGCGGTCATTGTCCTGCCCTCTAGCGTCCTGTTGTAATCGGCTGGTCTGGCGATGAATCCTCGGGTGCGGAAGCGTTTGAATGATTTAGTGGTTGATTCAGTCTACGAATATTAGCGTTCATATTGAAGTTGCCGATGGAAAATAGCGTACCAGGATGCTAATGGATTCCTCAAAGATCCGCAGTATCTGTAGATCATGGTCCAGCGTCCTGTCCAGAAGAATCGTGACTGCATGCAAGACTATCAATGCAGCGAGATCCCCGGCTGTTTCAAAGCGTCTTGCTAGGTCTCCGTTTAACTCGTTGTAAATGCTGCTATGCAGATTCGCCTGTTCGTATAGCTTATCTTCAGCAGTTGCTGCCTCCTGTTTAGGGAAAAAGGTAACGACGGTTTTCTCATCTACGACCCAGAGCCAGAGCTGATCAACCATGAGAACCTTTCCGTCGATGAACGTCTTGGAAGAGTCAGGGTTGTCTTGCAGAGGGATTGAGCTACCAATCTCGTTAAGATCGACGACTTTTCTAGTCCGCTTCCATAGCATCTGATCGTCGTCTCGTGCTACCGTTGACCGCAGATTTGGATACCCATACTGGTCCAATGTTCGTCGTATATGAATAGGGGGCTCGGCACCCAAGAACTTCCATATCAATCTCGATTCTATATGTGACTCTGAGATATACTCAGGGACTGGCTTGGATCTTCCCTGTTGTAGCCGCTTTTCGATAACTTTTCTTCGTTGAAGGAGATTCCAATATGTGTCCCAATGAAGCTGTGTTACCATACCTTAGTCAATGAAATCATACGCCTAGTAGACCGACTTACATAAGGAAGCTATTATATCGTCAGTACACTGTCCTAGCCAATATTGAATCGACTGGACTTACGTATAAGGCTAACTGAGGATCACGAGGCTCCTCTGGTGAATTCATTGGCAAAGAATCACCCAGCCTGGAATGAATACACGTGGGACGGACAAAACGCGCATGAGGCTCTAGGTGGCGGGCTCTGATAATTTGCGAGAACCAGTTTTTATCATTGATGAACTTGTTGAAGCTGATGCATTGACGGTTGTATCACGTTAGCCCGAGGAGGTAGCTCGTATAAAGGGACTGGACGTACAACTCTGGCCTCTGCTGGTCGTTGCAAGCTTTAGACAGAACTGGAGGCACCCATCCCGTATGAGTGTATGGGACATGAATCCATAAGAGCTTCTCGCTACCTGGCTCTGGTCGGTCAAATCGGGGAGCTCTCCGAGGCAGCTCTGCTCGAACTTCCTGGAGCCGCTCCCTTGTGGGCGGTGGTAACGGAAGGAAAGCTCTGTATTTCGATGATAAACTAGCTCTTTGTTGGTTTAGTCGGTCGATTCGGTACTCAAACTTTCATGTTATCGCAATACTCACAATACATTGGGCTGTGCCTGGTTGCTGGGACTGGAACTCCCAGCAGTGGTCTCTTTCCTTTCATCAGTTACGCTGTCTCTATGTCCTAGGTCTTCACTAGAGACAGTATCACTCTGAATGTCCGACGTTGCTTCTTCTTGTGGTACATCAATATAACTGTCCGCAGCGGCCTCCGTGACGTGAATCCTAGGGGAGGCCGGGGCTACAAAACTGCGACTTCTTCTAATTGATGGCCTTGATGGGATTGTCTGAGGCTGGATGGTGCTAGCCTCCTCCAATACCCCATCCCGTATAGCAAACGGTGTATCTGCCATAGCGGCAGAGGATGGTCTGCTATCAAAATCACTTATCGAGGAGTCATCGATTGAGCCGGACGATACTCTACCGGTCTGTTTCAGTCGATCCGTGAGACAGATTGCAGGACCGTCTTTTAGGTACTCCCGTAGCGATGTTTTCGTCGACCAGAGCTTGAGAGGCGTTTCATCGCTGACTCCCCGCGCCGTGTCTTCGAAGAAGCCATTAACTTGCACCATAACCTCTCGACTAACGCGCAACGGAGCATCTGGTAACTTGGAAAGCTGCGCAGCCATGGTGATGATCGGCTGAAGCTCTTTAATAAAGCTTTTTCTGGTTGTGAGTTCTTGTCCTTTGAAGGATGCTACACCAACGTGATCCGTAGCTAACGGGATCACCTTTTCGTGCTCCAGATCTAGTACCCCCGACCGAATAGAAGTAATTGGGACATGCATTTCCACACAACTTACAGTACCCGAATCCGCGACGGTAAGTGTAGAGTCGACTGTCTCTAAGAATGTCCATATCTTGATATCTGCAGATATGGACCTGAATTGGTTGGATAGTTGCAACAGCCGTGGATGTCTGGGTTTCAGCACCTCTCGTATGCAGTGGGGAACATGATGTTTGAGTTGCATTAGGCGGCGGATACTCTTAGCATATTCAGGAGCTGAAAGATAGCTCGAGCCTTGGTGGGGGGTTGCCATGAAAGCAATCCCATAGCAGCTTGTCAGTATCGACGCGAGGTTCGACGTTGAATGTGCGGCAATGGCAAGCGCTGCTTTGGCGACAAGACCGCCTGTTCCATGGCAGATGAAAAAAATGGGCCTCCTTCCGGTCTGTAGATTGTCACTAATCTCATTCATTTGTGCAGTAATAGAGAAGCGCTGCATACAGTGTGTTGTCTTTCTGAGTGTATCTGCTTCAAGAGATGATGGGCCAAAGAGTCCAGATCATCTTGACGGTCAAGCGGCCCATGGTCGAACAGTAACACCCGCGCATTGGGGACATATCGTGTCAGTTCTGAAATGAGCCATGGCTTCTGAAAATCATCACCGACCCACGCTCTCTGCGGATCTGCTCCAATCGCAGGAACTGCCACAACACTATAATAGTTCAGACAAAAATACCAAATAAGGTGGATAGTTATAGCCACGATACTTACTCTACCTCAGTCTCGAGTTTAATAGATCGCTCACTGTTCGTATCACTGTTGGTCGCCATGGTTGTTGTTTTCCTCGAGAGGGAATATAGTGAATCATACTTTCAACTTTCAGAGGTGGAGAAGATATGATTATGGGTAGATGACAGCCATCATCTGATCCCGCCTCTGTTTCTCGATTTAAATCCATGGCAGCTGATGCTTCCCGGGGCCCTTCAGAAGCCTTGGCAGTTCAGCCTCATCAGAAAGCGTACTAAAGGTGACTAGAGCAATCGAGACGCCAATCATGAGGCCGAAGTGTTGGAAAGAACGATTGTTCGGATCCACGGGGGGTCAATGCCACCTCGTGACTTACCCTGCACATGACAGTCTACAACCCTCATATCAACTAAAAACACCTCCTAGTAAGACTTTGACCGTATATTAAAAGTTCGTCTCCTTACAACAATGGTTAGGTTGGTTTCATCGTAAAATGACCCCTGAGTATAATGGAACCAAAAAGACCTTATCCATAACGGAGATGTTGACGATCGTTTAATCAATATAATACACTAAAGAGGGGGGTTTGTTAGCTCTATTGCGAGATGTAAGTATGTACACGATAACCAGAATGCAACGCTTTTGGAGTGTAGTGACCAGGACCACCATTTCCGACCCCAATAAAGTACAAATAAATGCTCTATAACTTAACTCATGCGGTATCGTCAGAAGAAAAACAATAACAAAGAGCAGAATTTCTGCTACAGAATTAAACAATAATGAATATTGCCGAGGGTATTCAAGGCCCTACACGTACACATGTAGGGCATGCTGAAGAGTTCGAATAGAAACGCAAAGTGTTGGGCACGGTTGCGGCGTGCTTCGATCCCAGCAGCAAGTCAGGCTGGCTGAGTAATTGCTCATACAGAGTCCGAATGTTCCTCCGGGTGACGTCTCTCATTGACGCCCTTTGCCATCTTCTTTCCAACTTCATATGTGGAAATCATGATGGCGCAAGCAGGTGCTACTTTCAAGCACCTTGCTACCCAGCCTCGAAAGAGCCCGGCCGTACCCTCCTCATGGAAGATATGCATGAGGAACCTAGGCAAGGAAAGCTGTTCTGGATGAAGAGACCCCCGCGGTACGCTACTCTTCTCATCCCCCAGGTGTCGAAAAACTTGCTGGCGTGTTTTCCCTACATCAAAAGGAGTTGTGACAAACGCTGCTACTGAGCCTGACGCAGCACCCGCGATGAAGCTTTCAAAAAACGTTGGCGTATGCATGTCGTCCTCATGTTGGTGTCCCACAGGGGATAGCCCAGCCGGCAACAGGCTGTCATGGGATTTATGCCGTGCCTCAATGAGGTGCTTTTTGACTTCCTCATATCCCCACCAATACAGACCTGAAAAGGGCACATCACGCCACATAGTGAGCGTTAACCCTCGCCAGAGCGAACTATAGCCCTGAGTTTTGGTCATATGGTGTAATCCTTCGAAAGTGGCCTTAAAATGTCCTGCACCGGTGCCCGGGGTAGCCTGTAGGCGCGTTCGGAACATCTCGATCGGGCTAATGGCCGATGCCGCAGCAACCCTTGCAACAGAACCTGATATAAATGCAACATAGGCGTCTGGCAAAAATTTCTTTATTGGGCTTCTCTCATCACTTCGCAACCAATCGTATCCCGCAAAGTAGATGATGTTTGCCGGTATACTCATCATCATGGTCGGACTAAGCCCACGCCAAAGAGTCCACACGCCTTCATTTCGAGCAATCTTCCGTAGGCCATCAAGTGTGGATGTAAACGTTTTCCGCTGAACTTCCTCCACGGCACAATCCGCGATAGCAGGCGAAGGGGCTCCAATAGCTCCTGCGCCGGGCCCAACCATACACACTTGAGTATTCTGACCGATCCAAAAGACTTCACGACAACAGGCAGTCACGCCTAGATTCGGGGGTATATTCTTCAACGTTTGCGCCGTGTGGTGGTGAAAAGGGGACGTATTCTTAATTGCAGATTGAGACTGTAGGCGGACTCGAACGACGTCAAGAGGGGTCACTATACAATACTGTAAGTATATATGGCATTCATCTCCCAGCGTATTTGGGAGCGAGATCGGGCTCAAATTCAGTAACTGACATACCTAGTAGATTTGTCAAAACGCTGCCACAGGTGGCGGAAACCATCTTCTGGATGATCGAGACATGTTCATTGTTCCCACTGGCGTCCGGAGCAGGAGTGTTTCCTGTTCCAGATGTAACCGCCATTGCCTTGTCTTCAATCCAAGGCCATGACTCTGCCGTGTTCCCCTCCAATCCAGCGGTGGTCAAGAGGTCAGAGCGATATCGGTCCCCGCGAGTGATGTCAGACCTATAGTCAGACATTCATCCGGCTAGGAAGATAGAGCAAGGAGTATCCTATAGCCGCTTTTCCGCGTCCTTTCTGATAAGAGGTATTGGCAGAATGGTCTTTCGTTAGACAGTATGGTGGGGAGCAATAACGACGGGAGCAATGCGTCAGTCAAAGAAAAAGAACGGTCCGGCTCGGTTGTTAGCGGTGGCGCTCGGGCCAGAGCAAGATTGGATCGGCGATAAGATAGCGCCGAACTGCCGCTTGACCTGAACTTTCTCCAATTTATCGATAACATAGTACTATCAACCAGGCATTTTCACGATCGCTGTTCGGTTGCTGTTCGGGAAATAGCTCTGTGAATACCTGCAAGTTTCCGATCATTGCGGTATATATTACTCTCCGCCTCCCGCAGGTGTGATCGAGTGTCGGTGCTCGTCGGACACTGCCGTGCTTATCAATCAGGAACCCGCCTCAGTCCGCCATTGTACCGTGCCCTGCCGTCGTGATAATGGAAGACAACGCTGAACTAGAGTCGTTTCGACGGCAGTGGCGGGAGGAAGTCGCCCGTCGGACGAAGCATACCAAACCTACCACGCCACGGCCAAAACGCGTCACAAGCCCCTCTTCTAGGGCACGACCGAGTCAATTCCCGCCAACTCGCCACGAGGCATGGCTACGCAAAGAAGAAGACGAGGAAAGGACAACATCATTTGGTAGCGCTGAAATCGTCCAAGGTGTTAGCAATCTAAACATTACCAATGATGAGGATGTTTTTCATTCACAAGAAACACGAAAGGAGCCTAAATCAGCTCTAGAGCACTTTGAACGAGCGGTGGAGAGGGAGGCCGAGGGGAAGTTGGGGGATAGTCTACAACATTACCGCAAAGCATATAAGGTAATCATTACTATTTCCTCCAATTTATGTCGATTTTGGCTAACCGCTATGTTTTTCCCGTCTTATAGTTGGACTCGGCTGTCGACAAGACTTACCGTGACAAGCACTTTGCCTGGGCGTGGAAAAAGCCAGCCAAAGCCCCAGCTCCTGCCGCGCACATAACTTCGAAAGATCAACCAACTCAAGATGAATCAGAGACTTTAACAACGCCCGAGCTTATTGCATCTTTTGCCCACCTGCCCATTGCTCAACCAAAGCCTCTCTTCGAGGGCGACCCCGCACCCCCATGTCCCATCGCTCACGTTCCTTCGGAGGTGATAGTCGAGATTTTGAGGCATGTGGCATTAATGGACCCAGCGGCATTCTCTCGGATGTCACTGGTCTGCAAACGATTTGCATGGCATTTTGCTCACGAACAGCACATATGGAAACGACTTTGCCAGGGTCCTGAATTTGGCTTCAAGTCTATGCATTATGCTTTCGATTGCGACCTTCACGGTAACCCAGAGAACACACTAAGCCCTCGTTCTCGCTACACTCCGTTTCCTGTTGGCACTGCTGTGCAGGTTCCCAAGCCGCTCTCCTCATGGAGTGACGTATTTCAAATGTTCCCTCGTATTCGATTTACAGGAATCTACATTAGCACAGTCAACTATACTCGCGCCGGTGCTGCCTCATTTTACCAAAATATATCGTGGAACTCTCCGATCCACATAGTCACATACTATCGATATCTACGATTTTACCCGGATGGCACAGTCATCGCCCTACTCAGTACCGTGGAACCTCTGGACCTGGTCCCACATATTAGCATTGAAAACGTTATAGAAGCCCAGGCATCTCACAAGCACCACCGACGTCCGCCTTTGGACGCAGGTAAGACTGTAGCGGGAGGCGCGGAACCAACACCTGCGATCGCAATGGGAGCCTTAAAAGACGCTCGCCAGGGTCGTTGGCGCTTGGCCGATCCTTTCCCAGCCTCCGAGACGGGCGCGCAGGTAGAGACGGGCCTTCCTTCGGTTCATGGCGGTAAAGACCTGTCGGCCGATGCCTTCGATCCCAGAGACGTCATTATCGAGACAGAAAGTGTTAGCCGGTCGAGCATCAATGTTCTCCACATGTCACTGCGGTCATCTGCGGCGCATAAGTCCACCAATGCGCCCAAAAACACGAAATTGATATGGAAGGGCTATTGGAGCTACAACAAACTCAATGATGATTGGTCTGAATACGGTCTTCGCAATGACCGCGTCTTCGTCTTTCGACGTGTTCGTGGATGGGGTATGAATTAACGAATCATGGAATTTTAATCTGGCGCTTTATACATAGATGGAAATGTATAGACAACGGGAAAACATCGAGCAAATTCTTGGGTACACAAATTATGACATGGGAAAACGAAGTCTGTGAATTTATAGACTGGGTTATAATATATACAATGGAAACGCACCAGTATGAATAAACCACCGAATATGAGCATGACATTTAGCGTCCTTCGCTAGTATATTTGCGACTGTAGGAATATATAGTTGAACTGTTGGTTAAATGTCTCCGCGCCAAGGGTTCTTATCGATAAGCTTCACCTAAAAAATTTCGGGAATTTGGCACTCCGACAAAAGCACTTTAACAACACGATACGACGACATGAAGAGTACCTAATTAGACTAATCTATACCGTCTTTTGAGTCTTTTAGCCTTGACATTATCATTTTCTCACCTAGACTGTCTTTCTCGGGACTACAGGACTACTCGCGATGCCCGAACGCGTGAAAACGGTCTTCTTCGAAGACCCGGACGAGACACCCGCCAGTGGAAAAGACAAGGCCACAATAGCGAAAGAAAACCTCGAAACAGGATCCATCAAAAGGAAACATCCCAGCAAAGAAGAAGATAAGAAAAAGAAGAAAAAACGGAAACATGGCGAGTCGATCGATAGTTCGCAACAACCCACACCGGCAGCCGCAGAAAACAAACCCGAGCCACCTGCGCAGAACTCCGAAAAAGATATGCCCACGAGCAAGAACAACGTGAGCGTCGCATCCGACAGGCCGAGACACAAGAAGAAAGATCAGAAACAGAAGCCGCTGAGGGATACAAAGACCAATTTCAACTCATTGAAGGAAAAGGCGAAAACGTTGTATGAAATTCGCAAGAACCTTCCTATCTTCCCCCATGCCGACGAGATCCGACAAGACCTGCGCAAGAACGATGTGATGCTCCTTATTGGTGAGACGGGTAGCGGAAAGAGTACGCAGATTCCCCAGTTTCTGTTCAATGAGCAATGGTGTCGGCCAACAAAGACAAAGGTGGCCCAGGAGGATGGTTCACAAAAGGAGATAGAGGTTGGCGGCTGTATCGCTATTACTCAACCCCGGCGAGTTGCTGCGATCTCGCTGGCTAGGCGTGTTGCGGAGGAAATGGGCACACCACTTGGGTCGTCGTCTCCCGCGAGTAAAGTCGGCTACTCCGTTCGTTTTGATACGTCTACATCTCCTAGCACGCGGGTCAAATTCCTGACGGAGGGAATGCTGCTACAGGAGATGCTGCGCGACCCCTCGTTGACCAAATACAGCGCGATTGTCGTTGATGAAGTGCACGAGCGCGGTGTCAATGTTGATCTGCTGCTAGGATTCCTCAGGAATCTAGTGTCGGGGAAGAGAGAAGGGCGTGGCGGAGTGCCGTTGAAAGTTGTGGTGATGAGTGCCACGGCAGATATGGAGAGTCTACTCGGCTTCTTCCAGGAAGGATATCAGAGCTCACGATCGGAGAAGGAAGCACAGAACAGCACCAAGGCTATCACGAACGGCTCTGGCAAGAAAGATGATGAAATTTCTGTCTGCCATATCAAGGGTCGGCAGTTTCCAGTCAAAACTATTTACTCGCCTGAACCAGTACACGATTTTGTTGATGCAGCCCTCAAAGTTATCTTCAATATCCATTACAAGGAGCCATTGCCTGGAGACATTCTAGTTTTCTTGACTGGACAGGAGACTGTGGAAAACTTGGAGAAGTTGGTGAACGAGTATGCCGTTGGAATGGACCCTGCGTTGCCGAAGATCCAAGTTCTACCACTGTTTGCTGCCCTTCCGCAGGCAGCACAACAGCGCGTGTTTGTCCCTGCACCGCCTCGGACTCGCAAAATCATTCTAGCTACGAACATTGCTGAAACCTCGGTGACTGTCTCTGGAGTACGGTATGTGGTCGATTGTGGAAAAGCCAAAGTGAAGCAATTCCGCTCACGTCTGGGATTGGATTCTCTCCTGGTCAAGCCTATCTCTAAATCCGCTGCTATCCAACGTAAAGGTCGTGCAGGACGAGAGGCACCCGGCCAGTGTTATCGTCTGTTTACTGAAAAAGACTACCTAGAGTTGGATGAAGTTAACACCCCAGAGATCCTACGATGCGATCTGAGTCAAGCTTTGCTCAACATGAAGGCGCGTGGTGTCGACGATGTCATGGGCTTCCCCTTCCTGACACGTCCCCCGCGGGAGTCCTTGGAGAAGGCGCTTCTCCAGCTGCTGAGCATTGATGCGCTCGAAGAATCTGGCAAAGTTAGTCCGATCGGCCTGCATATTGCCAAGCTTCCTCTCACTCCGACTCTCGGTCGGGTCTTACTTGCGGCATCGGAGTATGGGGAAGACTGTCTGTCCGATGTGATCGACATCATCTCGTGCCTCAGTGTGGAGACCATCTTCTTAAACACGACATCGGAGGAAAAGAAGGAGGAGGCGGAGAAAGCGCGGCGGGATCTGTATCGGAGAGAAGGCGATCATCTTACCATGCTCGCCACCGTGCAATCCTACGCCGCCGAGAACACCGATCGCAAGGCGTGGGCTGAGAGACATATGGTCTCTCATCGGGCGATGCAAGCCGTAATGGTAAGACTCCGTTGACTCAACTGAAACACGCATTCAATTAACCAAGTTATCTATAGGATGTCCGTAAGCAGCTTACTACTCAATGCCGTCAAGCTAAACTTCTTTCCCCGAATGATAATCGGGGTCCCTCGACTAGTTCTATCACCCGAGAACCATCGCCCATTCACATACTGCAAAGTTTCCTACAGGGGTTTGCTACCAATACCGCCCGTCTGGTGCCGGACGGCAGCTATCGGACCGTTGTCGGGAATCAAACCGTGGCGATTCACCCGTCCAGTGTGTTGTTTGGCAAGAAAGTCGAGGCTATTATGTACAACGAGTACGTCTTCACGAATCGGAGTTACGCCCGAGGAGTGAGTGCAGTGCAGATGGACTGGGTTGGAGAGGCGCTTGCTGGGCAGTAGACCTCATTTTCCATTTTCACGTTCTTTTTTCTCTTTACTATGGGGGCCTTTGTACAGTTCAGCCCACTCGACAGTTTACCAGTGTAGAATTTATACCCAATGAACAGTATACACCACACAGATTGTCCGCTTCAATGATCCATTTCCAAACCGGTTACTTGACTTTCGACCATGCACTTTACTTCGGAATGGCCTCTGCCATGAAGTTATATCCTTCCCCTCTTCCAATTTCCGCACCATGCGGATCCACACCAGAAACTCAGAATGAAAGAACAGGGAAGGTAAAGAAAGCCTCTGCACAGTTGGCCAAATTCAAGTTCTAGAGTAGTGTAGGAACGAGTGTGAAACCAGAAGATGGGCCAAAGGATCCAACCATAGAATGATGGTACTGTCCTTATTATCCCCATGCCATTACAGCCTAGTGCTTTTTCTGATAGAGCCCATACCCAGATCGCTAGTGTGATATTCCTGGCAGATTTACATAATTGGCGCCAAAAGCTGTAGATCCATCTTGGACCGAATCCGCTCCATACATGAGTCACAAATCCCTTCCGACAGCAGTACTTTCCACTTACAGAAGGTGACTGTGGTCGAATAGTATGATTGTGGAGTTTGGCTCAAATCATATCAACATTGCTTGGCGAGCCCTACTTTTGCAACATGCTGTTGCTGTAATGGAGAGGACGGCACTCTTATCTTATGCGATACAGCTGACAAGAATATAATCAGTAAGGAATTATCGGACTGTAGCAGAAAATCTCTTGCGGTGGATATTGTGCATCCAAACATGTAATTACTCCGTGTGTTCGCACATTCAGGTCAGGCATCCAAAAGCGGCGAGGGGTAAGCACTAAAGCGGAAAGAGAAGATCAATCGACTATCTAATGATGGATGGACGAGTCGTATGGAACTAGCGAGTCTAATCTCGTCGCATTGCATCTGATCCATGGAAAGTACAGAGGTCCCACTGGAGGTACGGAGGTACCACCCCTGACAGTTGTCCGCCTCAAATTGGGCGATGCAGACCATTGCTGTGAGGATGACATGTCACTGCGATCAGCCCGCTGAGGGTCGATCATATCATCTGGCGTTCGGTGGGACTTGTACGGTGCAGGTCTGTCATGGAGGACGACAAATCAAGTCATGATAAATGATTCAAACTCAAAAAGGGGTAAAAGCAGGCCAAAAGGACTTTTTGCAATTCAAGAATCAGAGTAAGTAAAGCCGGGTAGAGTGCGTTCGCAATCCAGACACATTGCACGTTTGGCAATTATAAAAGCATCATCCTTATCTCATCAGCGATAAATTAGCAGATGGTCGATCACCCGATCCATCAATACGGGAACGCATACGGTACGGGACGAGTCGGTATTGACCATCGTCCAGTGGTGGGAATTCCTGCAGTGACACCATTTGGCGGTCAGATGACCCCAGTATCATACGGAACGACTAACGACTTAGTCCAAAGTATATGATTTCATGTACTTTGTCCATAGGGAATATAAACTCATCAAGTACGTACTCGATACTTGGGACTGGGAGCCACTTCCATGCACCACCAAAGTATATGGAACTTTTGCCTGTTCCAAGTGGACCCCCGAAACCCACTTGCGCCCATCCTCCGGTCTCGTCTCGTCTGATGACTTGCCGTTTTCTTGCATCATCATCTTTTTCTTCCGCTGCGTCTCGTTTGTTGACCATCTTGGGGGTTATTGTTCACCCTCTCTCTCATTCCCTCCGTTGGATGCACTGAGTGAAGGGGAAAACAAAGACGGTGTCTGATTGTTTCTTCATTTCTGGTCTTTGTCATTTCTTTTCCGGACTTTAATCTACACAGTACATTCAGACCCTCAGCCACCAGCCGCCTGGTTGGGTCGCGTCGGATCACCGCATCTTGAGCCAATCCACTCACCAAGGGGCTCCTGGATCCGTCCTTGTTATCTGTCCAATATTTTTTTTACTTTTTCTTATCATTTATTTTAAGACTGATCTCACGCATACATCTTTTTCGCCTTTCACCTCCCCCTTTTGTATATTGCTACGCTCCTCCGTACGTTTTTGAGAAACAGCATACATCGCGGGGAACAGATCCACCGCGATCGATAAAACCCCCTCTTATCTCGCCCCCTCCAACCGTCTCCGATCAACGATGGCCTTACGGCTACCACCACAAGCTCCCCGCCGTCAACATTCCTACTCAACTTCGCAACCCCCTCAGCCTCCCACCCTTGAGGCCCCTCCCAGACTGTCTCAGCTCCCCGATAATGAATCCACCGAGTGGGTGCTCTTCTCTCCCTCTCAACCATCAGCCGACGCCCGCACGCACACGACCTCCACAGAACGCACCCCAAGAACCGTTGCGCCTTCCCGCCTGAGCGATTTTGGCTCGTTTGGTACCCCGACACGGTCAGCCTGGGGACCGGACAATGATGATGCTGACGAGCCCCTCGAAGAGTCCTTGGATGAGGACGGCACAGAGTTAGACAGTCTGGACGACGGCCTGCATGCCTTTCGGGCACCTTCATTGAACGAAGACCCTTCCGCAAAATGGGACCAAGGGACACCAGCTGTCCTCCCAGCTCACGATGGACTAGGCAGTTTCGAGGCTTCTGCCCAACCGGTGCAAGACCAGTTGTGGCAGCACGAGCAGTATAATCCTCACCGGCGGCCCACGCTAGGATCCCGGCGGTTCTCGAATGTCCAACGTCAGTTGGACTCAGTAGAAGACCATGAAGCTCCAGACATGGACCGCGAGCGATGGCAACGTATCGAAAAGTGGAGGATGGATCAGAGCCGAGTGCTATTGCAGGAAATTGAAAGAGAGACACGAAAACGCCGCCATAGCCGTGCCAGCAGGCTGGGTGATCCCGTGGGTTCGCAAACCGGAGTGGCAGGTATTGACAGGACCCTGGAGATGTCCAGGGAAGATGCGTCACCCCCCTCGACAGTATCAGAAGGGGACGCAAACGAGCCTTTATGGCGGAAGATCACCCGAAAAGTCATCCGGGATCTCATTGGAATCGACGACTCTTTGTTATTTGCCCTTTTCGGGGATTCCCTATCAGAGAATGAGAGAGGTGCATCTGCTGGGACAGATGATGCCCTTCGTATGAACGAAACTCTTAACTCGGAGCTGGACTCTGTTCCCGACGATCACAACAATTGGCAGACCAAGCTGCTTCAACGCATTGCTCATGAATTGGGAATACTTGTTAATCAACTGTGTGAACACCCGGGTGCCTTTACATCCTATCTCAGCCTGTCGGACGATATCCCCAACCAATACGCTGGCATACCTCTCGGGCCATTACCAGAAGAGAGTGACGCGCAAGCTCAATCAGTATCTGCTGCTCCCACAGCCTCACAGGTACCAACGAGTAATGCCGATTCAGTGTTATCTCCACAGTTCTCTCCTACGCTTCGGGATCCCACCGGCCGAGAGCATGCCGCACAATGGGGCATTGAAGATGATGACTTGAATCGGGATTCTCCTGCAGATTCGTTACCCGAGTCCGTGCGCCTCCAGCAGGAGAAGGAGTACTGGGAACGGGAACTGGATGTGATGATGGTCTTCCGCTATCTTCGCAATCGCTTCAGTCGACGAGGCAGTAACGCCGATGCCTACCAGCCCCCTGCGCGCCGACCCCCGCAAGATGCGTCCCGACGCGCCGCGATTATCCGCCAGCACCACCCGCTGGTGGCACGAGCACACTCCCGCTCTCAGGCGCAAGTTCGACGCCAGTCCCAGCACTCCGCCAATCAACCCGGCCCCGCAGGTATATCATCCCCTCTTCTGCGCCAGCACTTCCGCCGTCCCAGTTCTAGCTGCGGTCAGAGTGCGAAGCTGTCTGCTATCTCCAGCCGCCGAACCCTTACCGGTTCCAGCCGGAACTATTGGGACATTGGCGGCAGTGTAGACAGTGGAAGTGCTATTGCCCCCGTCGGTGGTGTTGGGTCTTGGGGTGATGTCTAATCATCCGCTATCCAGCCCGGGCGTATCTACAATCTACGGCTCGTGACAATCTTTAGAAACTTCTTCAATTCAACTCATCTATATTGCATGCTGGCCATCAATGTTTAACTTAATCAGGCTGCGTCATCTTCAGACCAGGAGTTTCTCGGGGCGTTGTCATGATGAATGATAGCTATACTTCTCTTTCTGGGCTTGGCTGTCTGTCTCTTTTCGGTGTTCTGTTTTCTTCGGTGTTGTTCTCTTTTTCCTTTCCATATACATATACTGCTCTAAATCATCTCACATATCATCCGCGGTAATGCATCGGTGTGGTCTTCTATGCATTTTACATATCACGAGGCGCGGCAAAGGCTTAGACATATATTTCAACCGGAACAGGTGCATGTCAACGGTGTACAGTACGTAAAGGGGCGGCTCGGTCTGGGGTCATATACACATCGAACGGTGACTGTCTATATTCTCTCTCAATACATATCAATCATACCATATCGCATCCAAACTGTCCCATTCTTCCTACAAGAAAATACTCAGAATACTTCCAATAAACCCCATATTCTCTCGATATAATTACATGAGTTCATTGAAAAATAATATATCAGGGAGTGCCTCTCGGATGAATATATAGTTTGGCAACCTTGGTACACGTATCTATTGCATGAACATATATATGTGTAAGTATCCGTAAATATATATCTAGCGAAAGCCTTTCATACATGTTTATTGAGTATTTAGAAATCTCTCTTTTTTTCTTTCTTTTTTTTTTTTTCTGGGTTTAGACCGATATCCATGCCAGTTGGAAGATTTGGGAGATTTGTTCGGCTGACTTGGTCTTATGATGTCACATCTAGAAATTGGCTATGATTGCTTGGGTCTAGAATCATGGCCTGGTGTCGTCTATAGTATTGGGGTGCTCTGGTAGGGCTCTGAGCTTGGTGGAGATATAGCCAATACGAGAGATGCACACTACGATGGCCAGTCAGATGACTGGATCAAGAATCTACTAGGTATAACAACCGAGTACGCAGAGGAAGAAGCCCGAGGAATCCATGATTAAAATCAACTCCGCCGTGCGTGAGGACACTTAAAATGACATCACAAAATAACAGAACATGTATTGGTAACCGGAGGAATATAATAAAAATTCATGTCTTTTTATGGGTCCTAACGCTAAAGCTCATTCCATTTAAGCCTGGGACTCGTAGGCGTCGGGGAAGCGCTTCATGTTGTTCTCAACGAGACCGTGGCCACGGAGGAACTGAACGTAGGCACCGTCCTGCTTGAGCTTGCCCTCCTGGCGGAGCTTGACGTACTCCTCGCGACGGACGGGGGTGAAACCCCAGTTCTTGGAGACGACGATCTTTTGGCGACCAGGGAACTTGTACATGGAACGGCGGAGAGCCTCGATGGCGGCGGCACGGTTGGAGTCACGGGTGCGGACGGACAGGATGATCTGGCCGATGTTCACACGGGCAACGGTACCCTGGGGCTTACCGAAGGCACCACGCATACCGGTCTGAAGACGATCGGCACCAGCGCACGACAACATCTTGTTGATACGGATGACGTGGAAGGGGTGCACACGGATACGCATGTGGAAACCTTCCTTACCGGTGATCTTCACGAGGTACCTGGAGAAGGGGACCTGTTAGTTTCTTTCCTTCATGTCTCGCGACGGATGGGTCTTTTCGTCTGGTCTTGGGTTCGAGGAGCGACATACTTGTTGGCACAGATACGGGCGGCTTCGAGAGCCTCAGAGGAAAGCTGCTCATATTCGTTGGAGACCATGTGCACACAGAGAGGGAAGTCATCGACGTTGGCCTTCTTACGTCCCAGATCGAAGATACGGATCTTGGGGTCGGGAACACCACGGTTGAACCGGGACTTGGGGTAGGGCTATGAAGCGACCATCATGTTAGTGAAAGATCCTTGATAGACCGATGATGTAAACTAGTGTTCTTCCATCCGCAGCAATATCGCGATGACAATCTTCATTTCCCTTCTATCCTTCGACGTGGTTGACGTCTTTGCTTTCCCCCCCACAAGCGAGAATTTCCGAGCCAAAAATCCACAGAACACACAAATATGGGAAAAATCCATCAAACCGTCAACGCACCTTGTTCTTGCAGTAGCGGTAGCAACGAGCGGGACGGCGGGCCATTTTGAGAGTTGGAGGTGACCTTGCTGCACTTCCTGCGAACGGTGAGGTTGTCGAAAAGGGTGGTGTCGAAGGGCAAAAGGGAAGGGGAGGCTTTTGGGCGCTGGCACTTCCGACGTTGATTTCCAAGCAGCGTCCACTAACGAGTGGCGAAACCCTAAACCCTACCGTCTCCACCAATCAGCGGCTCCCGCGACCAGACCGCATTTGTCAGACTTCGGCGACATTTCAAACTTACAGATTGACGATCGAGATACAGAGATACAGATAGAGATGATAGATCAATACCAAAGGTCTAAGTATATTGATTGCTAATTCAGGTCGCCACACACTGAGCGTTCCACTACTTTCTACCAAGCTCATCCTACATATACCAATATACGAAGAATGGATCAAGTCAAAACAGTTAAAAAGTGTAAAGGTTCTTGTCATTATCTATCACGTGCCTCCTCGTTTCAAAAGGCTTGTACATCGTCCAGACATAACACGAAGACATTGTCCGCGCTTTACACTTACTGGCTGGACAGGATGTCGGAGTCACCGGCATCGAGGACAGTCATGGTGCTGGTGCGGAAGAGCTTACCGCAAGCAGTACCAAGCTCGATCTGTAGTTACGCGCAAACGTCAGTGATCTAGTACCCTCCACAGCCAAAGATTGCGGTTTCTCAGGGCGGCTCCAATACGACCTTCCTTCCCGACAGGGGGTTGGCAGTGTCGGAGCAAAGAAACATATGCGACAAAGGGATACTTACGTTGTTACCAGAGAAGTGGTGAACAGGGGCCTTGGCGAGCATAGCGTAGTACTCGAGCTCACTCTTGCGGAGAGGAGGAGTGTTGGCAGCGATGATGACCAGCTTGGCCTTGCCGGACTTTATTTAATAGTTAGATAACCATCTCATGTGTCGAAAGCCTCCAATTGTGTGCGAGAAAAGCTTACGCGAAGGGTCTTGATGGTCGACTTGTAGCCAAGGGTGACTGCACCAGAAGTTAGCAACCGAGTCCAAATCCACAATAACGATGAAAATTAAAGATTGACATACCCTTTCCAGACTTCATCACCAAAGCCAGACGGCTGTTGATGGAGTCGGCGTTCTTCTTGCTCTTGGGGGCCATCGTTACGCTGTTGAACTGAGTCGTTCGGTATGCTGGGAGAGTAGTCTGAAAAGGTGCGCTCCGGCCTTATCGTGAAGTTGAGTTTTTTTCTTTCCTTTGTGGGGTTTGGCGGTAGAGCGTTATATTCGCTCGGACTATTCCTGATCCGTTCCGTCATTGCTGAGTCATCCCGCCTTTTTTCCTCAACCACTTTCGGCGACCCTCACTTTCACTCTGTATCAGGTCTGTATCTACTCCCGACAATCCAACCCGTACCTTACGAAAAATACAGCCCTACTTCCATGGGCGGATTGGACGTGGCTAATGTGCTGTCAGCATTCACTGCCTTCAGACGAACCCTATTTCTTCGTAGCTTGAGGTCAATTCTCCCAATGGAGGGTCGGATAGAACAGTTGGGCGTCGGTTATCTTTTATTCAAACGTGGCGCAGATTCCCTCCATTCACCTCCTTATTGGGTGGCAGGTGAACGAAATTCTATTCTTGTTCCTCTTCAAAGATGGACAGATGGCGAGACCCTGTACGCAGCAAGGAACTCTGTTGATTTACGGTATGACTACTGTACTATCTTTATCCCGCCATGTGTCGAGGTTAAGTTGTCTCCCCGGTGAAAGGGCCCCTTCTGCATATGCTGTTCACTTCAGTAACCACAGTAATCGTGGTGGTAATAGCAAACAATAGAATGGAGTATTATACTTGGCTCTTGGTAGTCTCTCGGGCAGCCCAAGTCATGCATGGGAGTAGTTCATGTTCATGCATACTTACAAGCAAGTGAACCTCTAACAGACAAGAGAGTAGGAAAGCACCTACTCCGGAATAGCAAATTGTTGTTGTCTACCGTTGCGCTATTAATTAAAAGTTGAACTAAATTCCCTGAGCAACCACCAGAGACAGACGTATTATCGCTGTATGGAGCGTTTCTTACCCACTTTAATACTGCCTTGGTGCCCGTTTTCATACGGGATCATCAACACCCCCCCTAATGTCTGTAATAAACAGCCATCCACCTTTTCCCATCCCCAGAATTTCCTCGACTCTGGAATTTATCCCTAACGTGATACACCTTTTTTTGTCTTTCCCTGATAGATATTTATACCTTCCTCTTGCTTATAAATTTCTTTCCTTCCCGTCTGTATTTTTTTTTTTTATTGTTTTGGACCTAGGGGGCTAGTTTTTGAACCAGCCATAAATTCTACGACTACTACTTACTACTTAACAAACTAGACTTCCCCCACTACGGCATAGTGTCCACTGTGTTTTGACCGCTACTACTATATACCTTCCCCGACCCTTAAATTTATCACTTAATTTCCCGGTCGTTTCATCACTGCTTCCAATTCTTTAGAATTGCCCCTTTCTGGGTTGTCTTTTCTTCTTACAATCCACCGCTCGTTGGGAGCATCGTCATTGCCGGTGACAATGTCTACAACACCCCGGAAGCCTGGAACGCCAGGCAGTTCGACCAAATCTTCGCCCGCGGAGAATCATACGGTGAATGGTACTCCGTCGCGAAGCCATACCCGATCTCCCAGCACGACCACGAATGGTATATCCCGATCTCCCTCTCTCCGTGGCTCGGCCCCAGTGTCAGCGCGGGCTGCGGCCAGAAAACCCGGTCGGTCCAACCTCAGCACTTCGAGCGTTCCAAAAATGAACCGCGATCCCTCCGAGGAAGAAGCAAGGGCTCAGAATGCTGCCCTCATCGAAGAGTTGAAGGAACAGCTGCAGAAAGCCGAGACGGCCTCTGAGCAATACCAGAAGCAGTTGGGTGTCCTGCAGATGCGACTCGATGAGGCCGTCAGTGAGCAAGGAAAACTAGAGGACCAGGCTCATGAGAGGGACAGCAAGATAGAATCCCTCAATGGTGAGATCCGTGACCATGTCCGGCAGATACGTGACCTGGAACAGGCGCATGAGTTGGAACGGAACGCTATGCTTCAGGAGAAGGAGCAGCAGGCGAGCCGGGAAGAAGAGATGCAGGCGACCATCCAGCGTCTTAAGGATTCCCTGGCCCAGAAGGAGCGAATCAACTCTGATGCAGATAAGAATGTTTCTCGTTCTTGTATGGTTCTCCCCTCGTTCTCCACATTCGCCCGGCCTTTGTTTCTAACTTTCGCTTTTAGCCAGTTTCCGTAATCGGTCCTCCCCCGATGTCGATGGACAGTTTGCGCCCTCGTCTCAGATTGAGCGGAGCCCGTCCCGAAGCAACTCGACACTGCTTTTGCAGAAGGATAAATTGATCGAGTCCCTCCGCCTCGAACTGGCCGAGTCCCAAATTAAACTCGTGGAGATGGAAAATAAAGGTGGCGGCCGTCAACGGGAGCTAGAGAAGGAACTTTTGGAGGCTCGTATGGCCAACGCTCGTCTCATGGAGGACAACGAGAGCTACCAGCTACTCCTTAGTGAGAAAACGCTGAATGGTGACTTCACCAAGGGCGACTTCATGCGAGAAGCCCACCCCGAAGCTGAAGACACTAAGGAGTCTGGCAGCGGTTTGGGTTCGCTGGCTGATGAACTTGAGTCTGTAGACGCAAGAGCGGATAACGATAACAACCGCAAGCTCGAGGCAGAGGTCAAGGCGCTGAAAGACCAGAACAAAGCCCTCACCCTCTATATCGAGCGCATCATCAGCCGTCTCTTGCAACATGACGGGTTCGAGACCATTTTGGACAAGAACGAGAATGACCCTCCTAAGCGGGCAAGTACTGACAAGGAACTTCCACCAACACCCACCGACAAGGAGGATGCCCAGTCTTTCTTGCAGAGAGCCAGATCCGTTGTGGCGGGCCCGACGCAACGACCTCAACGGTCACGTCCTTCCAGCATGATGCCGCCGCCAACGAGCGCGGCCTCTGTCCCGGTGACAGCTCATGAGAACCCAGAAACGGCTCCTAGCATCCCCATGAACCGTGTCCAGGCGAGAGGCCATCGCAGAACGAGATCAGAGCAGACTGATGTTGCCGCCGCTGCTGTGGTAGGTCAGATTTATCGCGGACGCAACTCTGGAGGCCCAATGAGCCCTACGCTCATGGGACCTGGATCCCGGACAAGCGTCTTATCTGGAGCGAGCTATATGTCTGGCATGAGCGGCAGTAACCGCGCCCCATCGCTATCCAGTCAACACGATCGCAGCCAAATGAGCAGCTCCAACAGTATTACGAGCGAGCCCCCTGGCGATACGGCTTCCACAGGTGCCACCTCGAGCTCTCCTCGCTCTAGCAACGGAATGACCAACTATACCGGAGCGGTGATGACCCAGAGCAAGCTGCGTCCCTTGCGCCTTGTCAGTGAAACCAAGGCAGCAGACGACGAAGAAGCTCGGAAAAAGGCGAACCGTGGCAGTTGGATACCTTGGTTTAACCGGCCAAACACAGGTGATTCCGCATAAGCTTGCATGATGTCTTTGGCTGTAACTATTAGTTCTCGACAATTGCTCTTCTGTATTCCTTTTAGTTTTCCTCTTCCATTTTCTTTTTTTATTGGCGTTTGTCCTTCCAAGGCCCCCTGTCTACTCCTTTTTATGGTCTTGTGCGTTTAGAACTCCCAGAATGTCGTCATGTTTCAATCCCTGTTTTACCTTATGGACTTTATGATGGCGATGAATCTGTTGTTGGATAACTTACTATATATGTTTCTTTGACATTTCATGGCCACGCCATCGGGGATTTTTGTCATGTTACCCATGTTTATGCTTGGACGCTCGTTGGAACTTCTACTGTTGGATATTTGCTGAGGATTGATTATGACGATATTCCGGCCTTGCTTATGTCTCCCTCTCCTTGATGAACATATGATTGAGATACTCTGTTTATAGAGTGATAATTTTCTGTGAAACTACTTTGTCTCTGATGGTCCTGTCTACGTCCCAATTGAGGACATGTTGTGTATATCAATTAAATAGGTACAATGTCTCAATACGATCTACAAACGATTCTTCTCAGAAGCTCATCCAACTCTAGAGCATACCTCACTCCATTTTTCCTTTTCTCCTTCTTTTTTTCTTAGCAAAGAAAAGCCCGTTTAACATACTCACGGTTAATACGAAAGGTGTCCTCCATCCTATACTCCGGAACAACATTAATACGACCTCCGGACACCGGCCAGCGTGACAGTAAATAGATAATACCAACTACACCAGCACACAAAGGCTGAAAACCACACACGCAATTCAGAAACAAAAAACAAGGATACCCCAATTAAAAATGCCCGGCTCTCTGTCTCTCTTCTCCGTCAATGCCGTCCTCCTAATGTCGGCCGACGACGGCTCTCGCATCTTCGCCAAATACTATTCTCCGCCTCACCCCCCGGCCGGTGCTGCCCCCAATGCCACCGATTACCCTGGCGCAAACCCCTATCCCACGCTCAAAGAACAGAAGGCCTTCGAACAGGGTCTCCTCGAGAAGACCAACAAGCAGACCAGCGATGTTATCCTATACGACAACCGGATCGTTGTCTTCAAGATGGAGAGCGATGTCATGCTCTACGTTGTCGGGGGTGCTGAGGAGAACGAAGTCCTGCTTTATAATGTCGTGCTGTCGTTGAGGGATGCTTTGGGTATCTTGTTCAAGTATGTTGTCTTCCCCCCTGTTTCTTGGTCTCGGTGTTGCGGGATACGGCATGGTGGAAACTAACGTTTGCCTTTTCGGGATAGGGGTGCTACTGACAAGCGTACGATTGTCGAGAACTATGATCTTGTTGCGTTGGCTATCGATGAGATCATTGATGATGGTATTATTCTCGAGACGGACCCAGTTCTTATCTCCTCGCGTGTGAGCCGTGCCCCCCAGGCCGATGCGCCGAATCTGAAGAGCATCGATCTGTCCGAACAAGGCCTGCTCAATGCCTGGGAGCTTGGAAAGCGGCGCTTGGCCGAAGGCTTGCGGCAGATGTAGAGGGGCTTACATACCACTTGGGCGTGTTTAAATTGGGTTGATTTCTCGCATGGTCATGCATTTGATGTCTTATTTTATCATTCTTCGTTTAATACTATGTGGCTGGTCCCGGCGTGGTACTGTGCGTGTTGCTTATTTATTTCACGATGTTGATTGATTTATTTGATTGCCTCGTTCTTGTTCTTCCGGGGACACCTGAAGATTCTATAGAGATACTCCTTCATGATCAGACGCGGGTTTACACTTGTCATTTAGCGGCAGGGGAGGATAATTCCTTGTCTCAAGCAGTCTCGAGATATCGCAAAAGAAACAAAGCAACAGAAGATCAGACAAACAGCATTCAAGCCCATGTAGAAATACCCGAATTCGAGCATGATATTCTCCACAATTTTGTGGGCTGGGCTTATGCGGTTAAAAACACTATCGAATGGCATGGAAAAGCGATCGATAAATAGTGAAAAACTGCCCCGCATACGTCACGCTCTTTGCCTACGCTGGTGCTTTTTGGTCTTTGCAAACTTCTTGCCCACCAGCCACTTTTCGCCATACTGGCTCATTTTCCTAGAGTCCCAAGCTACAACTAGAAAAAAAGATGAAGCAGCGATTCTCGTCATTGGACGTTAAGGTATGCTTTGGCGGATGCTTGTAACTTTGAACGGAGCTCGGCTGGACTCACACGAACCTCCCAGGTCATCTCCCAGGAACTCGCCTCGGAGATCGTCAATTTGCGAGTGTCGAACATATATGATCTCTCGTCGGTAGGTCCTTGATTTTCCAGCAAGAATCAATATCCAACTAACGCAGGTCGCGGTCCAAAGAGGATCTTCTTGTTCAAACTTGCAAAACCAGACCATCGCAAGCAGCTCATCGTCGACTCAGGCTTCCGATGCCATGTCACCCAATACTCGCGGGCGACGGCTTCCATGCCATCCCCCTTCGTGACTCGCATGCGCAAATTCCTTAAATCACGACGTATCACTTCGGTTAAGCAGATCGGCACCGATCGTGTTATTGATATCTCGTTCAGCGATGGCATGTACCACATGTTCTTGGAATTCTTTGCGGGGGGAAACATCATAATCACCGACCGCGAACATAATATTCTGGCTCTATTCCGTCAAGTCTCTATTAGCGAGGGAGAGGAGGCGAGGGTTGGAATTCAATACACAGTAACGAACAAACAGAACTACCATGGGATCCCGAAAATTACATTAGAGAGGATCAAGGAGACACTGGAGAAGGCGAAGGCACTATTTGCAAATGAGGACGGAGCACCGAAAAAGTCAAAGAAGAAAAATGCGGATGTGTTAAGGAAGGCTCTCTCTCAAGGCTTCCCAGAATACCCTCCCCTTTTGCTGGATCATGCTTTCGCGACAAAGGGGGTTGATCCAACAACACCATTGGATAAGGTATTACAGGACGAAAGCCTGCTTCAGGAAGTTAACGGAGTTTTGCAAGAAGCCCAGAATGAGAACACGAGACTTTCAACGCAAGAGAATCATCCTGGTTACATTGTTGCAAAAGAAGACAATCGCAGCGTTTCTCAGCCAACTAGTGAGAATGAGAAGTCTTCGGAGACAGCCAACCTTCTCTACGAGGATTTCCACCCTTTCAAGCCTCGACAGTTTGAAGGGAAACCGGGCATTAGCATCTTAGAATTCCCCTCGTTGAATGCCACGGTTGACGAATATTTCTCATCGATCGAGACCCAGAAGCTGGAGTCACGGCTTACAGAGCGCGAGGAGGCAGCGAAGAGAAAGCTTGATGCAGTGAGACAAGAGCACGAGAAAAAGATCGGTGCTCTCAAAGAACAACAAGAGCTACATATTCGCAAAGCAGGCGCGATCGAGGATAATGTCTACCGAGTCCAAGAAGCCATGGATGCAGTTAATGGCCTGATAGCTCAGGGCATGGACTGGGTAGAAATCGCACGTCTTATCGAAATGGAGCAGAGCCGAGGAAACCCTGTGGCCAGAATTATCAAACTCCCCTTGAAACTCCATGAAAACACGATCACACTGCTTCTTGGAGAAGCTGGTGACGAACAAGATGAGGGAGACGAGCTATTTTCGAGCGACGAATCTGAAGAATCCGACGACGAGCAGGATAATGGCGAAAGCCAACAACCCCCATCGGTATTGACTATTGACATCGACCTCGGTATCTCTCCATGGGCGAATGCGAAGCAGTACTATGAGCAGAAGAAACAGGCTGCGGTTAAGGAACAAAGGACGGCCCAGTCATCTACCAAAGCACTCAAAAGTCACGAAAAGAAAGTAACGGAAGACCTCAAACGGGGCTTGAAAAAGGAGAAACAAACTCTCCGGCAAACCCGACAGCCCTTCTGGTTTGAGAAGTTCCTCTTCTTCATCTCTTCGGAGGGATACCTCGTCTTGGGGTAAGTTTTGTCACTATCCCCCTCATATGGATATCTGCTAACCATTGCAGTGGCCGAGACGCTATGCAGAGCGAGTTGCTCTACCGCCGTCATCTTAAGAAAGGGGATATCTTCGTGCATGCGGATTTGGAAGGAGCTAGACCCATGATTGTCAAGAATAGATCGAAAAACCCTGACGCGCCTATACCACCAAGCACCCTTTCACAGGCTGGCAATTTATGCGTTGCTACATCGAGTGCTTGGGATTCGAAAGCTGTCATGTCTGCATGGTGGGCCCAGGCCAGTCAAATATCAAAAACTGCTGATGCGGGAGGGCTTCTTCCTATGGGAGATTTCTTGGTCAAGGGAGAGAAGAATTTCCTTGCCCCGTCGCAACTCGTTCTAGGGTTTGGAGTGACATTCCAAATTAGCAAAGACAGCCTGAAAAACCACAAAACTCACTTTATTGACGAGCCTGCGGCGGCCGAGTCACCCGCAGCAGGTAGTCACGAGCAAGCCGGGGGAAGCACACAGCGCTCTGAGCAACAACAGGAAACAGGCGAAGCTCATAAGCCTTCCGAGGAGCCTAAAAAACAAGCTGAAGAGCAAATTTCGGACTCAGAGAATGAACAAGACAATGCCGATTCACTTCCCGCTCGAAACCCATTACAGCGTGGACCATCGGACTCTCCTCATACTGAGGTCGCGCAGAAGGGAGAAAAGGATACCGGATCGGATGCTGAAGATGTGGCCGATAAGCCAGAAGAGCAGGCGGATGCGTTGGATGAGGAAGAAGTAGAGGCAGCTTCGGATGATGCGCCAGCGGAAGATGGAAGCGCTCCGGTAGAAGAGGAAAGCGAACACCAGCTCTCCACAACGGCCAGGCAATCGCCTCGGAAGGGGAAGTCCCCTGATTCGTCCGAGGCTGGCCAACAAGCACCCGGCAAGAACTCAACTGCCAAAGCAACGAACGCCAAACATGCACCGGCACCTACCCGAGGCAAGAAAGGGAAAGCCAAGAAAGCGGCCGCTAAGTACGCTGAGCAGGATGATGAAGATCGTGAACTGGCTCTCCGCTTACTTGGGGCCAACAAGGGCAAAGCTAGCAAGGCTGCTGCCGCCGCCGAAGCTAAGGAGAATCGCGAGAAAGAAGCCGAGGCACAGAGGAAGCGTCGCCAGGCGCAGCATGAGCGTGCTGCAGAAGCCGAACGCAGACGACAGGCCCTATTTGAGGAAGGTGGTGATGATTACGACGAAGAGACGGCTGCCGCAGAGGCAGCAGACCTTGAGTGGATCCCAGCATTGATTGGAACGCCTCGTCCGGAGGACGAGATCCTTGCAGCCATTCCAGTCTGTGCTCCCTGGGCATCATTGAGTCGGTACAGATACAAGGTCAAACTGCAGCCAGGTACGGTGAAGAAGGGTAAGGCTGTCAAGGAGATACTCGGACGATGGGTGGCTGAGACCACCACCGGCAAGGTTAAGAAGGAATATGCCGAGGAAGCTGGCATCAGTCTCGCTGATGCAGAGAAACTCCGGGCCCGGGAAGGTGATGTGATCAAGGCATGGAAAGAGACTGAGATCATCAACAGCGTTCCTGTTGGGAAAGTGCGAATTATGCTTGGAGCCGGCGGAGGCGATGGTAAAGGTAAAGGTAAAGGTGGTGGCAGCGGTAACAAAGGCGGAAAGGGTGGAAAGAAGAAATAAATCTAGACTACGATCTTGTACATAGCCTTTGGCATGTTGTATTATTACTAGTCTTCTACTGACTATCTATACACTTTGGATGGTCGTAAAGTCCACCATCCTGAATCAACGTTCGGGTCACAATGAAGATCCGCGAACGAAATCTTTTCACTCTGAGCCTCCCCGAAGGCACTTTTTCATACAGACTTCCATCTTCATTTGGAGAGTAAGTGCTTTAGTACTGCTAGGTATGCTATATCAGAGTTGAATCGTTACACATTGCATACACAGTCAAACAGCTTAGTCATACATGCAAAACGACGTCATCGGCAAGATCAAATTTTCGGCTGGTTCAAAGGCCGCAATTGGCGACTATCAGACATTTCGCAAAATCTCTATCTAGTTTGGTAAGTCCCTTAAGGAGGGGCGTCTGGTCTGGACGGACTCCACTTGGAATTTACCTAACAAATAAGGCTTTATAGGGCCGAAAACGCTTTCCCCCACCACCCAATCTATTCGCGCTTTGAGTCACCCCGCGACAACTCGTCCGTACTTCTGAAGTTTCGCCTACTATATCAGCGAAGCTGGTGTCCTTCGTCTCTCGCCTTGTCGCTGGCGGCCGTCCGCGCAGCTTTACGAGGTTTTTGAGCACTACCACCATCATGTCGTCAAAGGAGAACACTCGAATCTTGTCGGTCCGTCGATTGAATAAAGAAGGCCCTGGGGCCAAGTCCCTTTCAGAATGGTGGGATAGTGAGCGCAGCAACAAAACACCAGAAGCTACCGCGATCGAGGAGGCTGCTCAACTTCTCCGGACGAGCAATATCCCTGTTGCGTTTCCTACAGAGACAGTGTACGGGTTGGGCGCCGATGCGACACGAAGCGATGCGGTGCAAGGGATCTACAAGGCCAAGCAGAGACCGTCGGACAATCCGTTAATTGTGCATATCGACTCACTCGAAATGTTGGAGCGGCTACTCAACCCGCAGGAATCGGGTTCTACGAGCGCATCCGATAGCCCAAGAAACTCAATTCCTTCCGTCTATCAATCTTTGATTGCCCGTTTCTGGCCAGGTCCTCTTACGATTCTTCTTCCGAACCCATCTGGGTCGCTTCTGGCGAAGGAAGTTACTTCTAAATTGACGACGTTTGGGGTGCGCATGCCTTCTTCGCCGCTTGCACGGCTGTTGATCCATGTTGCGGACCGGCCGCTGGCGGCACCCTCGGCGAACGCATCGACCAAACCATCCCCGACAGCGGCGGAGCATGTGTATCATGACCTTGAGGGCCGTATCGAGCTAATCCTTGATGGTGGCTTATGCGGCGTCGGTGTTGAAAGTACTGTGGTTGATGGCCTGTGTGATCCACCAGCAATCTTGCGACCAGGCGGTATTGGCATTGAAGAGATCCGGGCATGCGCGGGATGGGAAAATGTACAACTTGGATACCATGATGGTACTCTCGACGTCAAAGAGATCCCTCGGGCACCGGGTATGAAATACCGACACTATTCTCCCAAGGCACGTGTGGTACTTTTCGAGGCTGGCTCCAAGGAGCAGTCTGTGACCAAGCATATCCGCAAGGACTTGGAAGACACGGCGATTGGGGCACATATGATCGGTATTGTACGAACGAAGCACTGGAAGCGGGGTCTCGGATTATTGTCTGATGAAGAAATCGAGAAAACCCTCAAACCCCTTCCGTCATTGATTGACGGCCTTGCAGGCTTCTCTGTTCCAATCAGGGGCAACTCTGGCCGTAGTCCTGCATTCAAGGAGGCCTTTGATTGCCATCTCGGACCCGACGTCGAGTCCATTGCGCGCGGGCTCTTTGCAGCACTGCGGGCCATGGATGAAATGGAAGTGGATGTCATCTATGTAGAGGGGATCTCAGATCAACAAGGCGACCGCGCAGCTGCCGTCATGAACCGTCTCCGTAAAGCTGCGGGGGCAGAATTGCGAGTCTAAATGTATAGACTTTATGCTAAAAGGGTAGACGATGCTCTGGTTACATTTCTTTTTCTCCTTCTCCCTGGTACCTGGTTATAGATAGAGCTTACTATTGTGTTTATAATTCAACTACGAATTGAGATGATCCCCACGAAGATAACAGTAGTTTATTCTCTTATGTCTCCGCTCTCCGGCGCTCAGAAATCGGAAGTCTCCGACCCCTCATGCGATTATACTAGGGCTAAGGTCGGCTTATCAGATTGCGTCTTATCTGGACTGAAGAGTTCGTGAAAGTCATGTGGGTCTTAAAAGATATATAGATTGAATTTAAATTTCACAGATTTGAAACAAGCCGTACCTCCGCTGTATGCAAAAATTTTGCCCTTTTCTGAGATCCAATACTGTCACGCCATGGCCCAAAATTGGCTTCTGATTAGCTCAGTGAACCCACTTAACTACTGTATTTCTTGAAATTTGAATCCAGCAGGAGATAAATTTTGATTCTTCGTCCGTTTGTATGCGTGATCCGTTTAATTAGTAGTTGAGTCAAACTTCAGATCGGCATATTGAAGGTCACAGGCCACTATATTCTTCCTCTTTATATACTCTCTTGCATAGGACCCTCGTTCTGTACATAGCCATCCTTCCCATATTTTAGATTATTATTGCCATATCATATTCCGCGATCAACCCGTACAGTCTCAAGACAAGAATGTGTAAATCCGATCTCCACGACTTCCTGCACGGTCTCCCCAAATGCGAGCATCACGTCCATCTCGAAGGCTGTCTAGCCCCCGACCTAATCTTCGAACTAGCCCGGAGAAACAATGTCTCACTCCCCGATGAACCAGCCTACGAGTCCATCGAGACTCTCAGCCACCGCTACGGCCATTTTACATCTCTCGACGACTTCCTCCGCTTCTACTTCATCGGCATGTCAGTGCTGCACCATGAGTCCGACTTTGCAGACCTCGCCTGGGCCTACTTCCAAAAAGCCCACGCCGACGGCGTCCACCACGCAGAAGTCTTCTTCGACCCGCAAGTCCACCGAGACCGCGGCATCCCCTACGAGACCATCGTCTCAGGCTTCGTGGCTGGCTGCCAGCGCGCCGAGAGGGAATTAGGGCTAACGACCCGTCTCATCCTATGCTTCGTGCGCCATCTCCCCGTCGACAACGCCGCACGGGTGTACCAGGAAGCCCTGGATCAGCAACACTTCGAAAACGAGGTCGTCCATGGACTTGGCTGGTCGTCGACGGAAGTCGGGCCCCCCAAGGACATGTTCCGGGAGCTGTACTCGTCGGCCTCAGCGAAGGGGATCAGGCTCACGGCTCATGCCGGTGAGGAGGGTGATCCGTCGTATATCAGGGCTGCGCTGGAGCTGGGCGCGCAGCGTATCGACCACGGTATTCGGCTTGTGGAGGACCCTGTGCTTTTGGAACAGGTGGCGAGGGATCAGGTTATGTTAACGGTTTGCCCGATTTCGAATCTGCAGTTGCGGTGCGTCGAGTCTATTGCGCAGGTCCCTATTCGCAAGTTCTTGGATACGGGTGTTATGTTCTCTATCAATAGTGATGATCCGGCGTACTTCGGAGGGTATATCCTAGATAATTATTGTGCTGTGCAGGAGGCGTTCCAGCTTACGGTGGATGAGTGGAGGGTGATTGCTGAGAATAGTATCAAGGGCAGCTGGATTGGGGAGGAGAGGAAGGCTGAGCTGTTGAAGCGTATTGACGATCATGTGCAGAGACATGTTACTGGTGTTTGAGCGTGTGGATTTTTCTCCTGGTGTACGATACTTGGCGCATGAAATGAAGATTTCTATCACAAATATATATACTGGCTTTTTGGACAGACGTCAGTATAACTTCGACAAGAAGGACTCGCGCCCGGTGCATGCTATTCACACCTACTCTCAAAAGAGGTTCTGCGGGGCTCTTTTTGTCTAGTATTACTTAGTGTTGGTGATTGCACGCATATGCTTTGGGCATGCTGCGGGAGTATTTAGTATATTGTGATGTATTTGGACTTTGTAGCTCATTTGAACCTGTTGTGCTTTATAGTGATTCTCCTTCCTGTTATCATATAGCAGTAGGCGTAGATGGGAAGCAAAATCTGTTAAATGGCTATACCAGCCTATATATCTCTGTGTAGGATTGCGTCCTAAAGTTCGGTATGTATGATGCGTACGATACATTGGCATAGAATACCCTAATTGCAAAAGGGACCCATTTAATTAGTGAATAACAAATAAGATGGAAATACAGCTTTCAAGAGAAAGATAAGATCAACTAAATAGGAGAAATCGTGGGCTCCTTACCTTGCTTTGCAGACTGAACTCCACATTTTGAAGACGTCTACGCAAAGATTACTAACATTCAACACCAGTTGCCAAGAACAAGGATGAATAAATGCAGGAATACCCAACAAAGATACGGTACTTCTTAATTCATGAGCAATATTGACCGGATCATAGGCAAATGCGCCCAACCATCCCCTCCGCTCTCATCCTGATAGGTTGCAGAGCCGTCTTGCGACCCCTACACAACCCCATCCGTTGCGTCCGTCAGCTACCAGCCACTACTGTTCTCCATTCCTCTCCACGCTCTACAACCGCCGCAAAAGTCACCAACTACACTCATCAACGAAGAACCATGTCCTCAGCCTCAGCCTCAGGCCGCTACAAACTCGTTTTCTTCGTCCCACATTCCCATCTCGAAGCGTGTAAAGAGGCCATCTTTGCGACCGGGGCAGGGACCTTCCCGGGCGGCAAATATACCAAGTGCTGCTTCCAGATGCCGGGTCAAGGCCAATTCCTGCCGTCTGATGAGGCTAATCCTGCGATCGGAGCTGCAGGAGCGCTAGAGACGGTGGAGGAGATGAAGGTCGAAGTGATGTGTTTCGGTCGGAGCATCATGTTGCAGGCGGTAGATGCACTGATCAAGGCACATCCGTATGAGGAGGTCGCTTATGAGGTCTATAAACTTGAGGACGTATGAAGGGGTCGTCGTCACTACAGGATTAGTACTCAGGACCGAGGGAAGTTGAGTTGATGGTCAATAATGATGACGATGTTATATGCATGACGGGCGTTTACAGTTGTGATTGATTGGGGGTCTCAATGAAGACAGACTAAGTTAGCCACGCATCGGTACCAATGGGTTTCTTGGTGGTAATTCCGATCCAGATTGTGAAATCAGTCTCATGTAGTGGTAGTAGTTGTAGTTGATATCCAACATGGCCCCTGGTTAGTAATGAATGATTGGCACACAAGGCGGGAGTAATCTGTCGCCGCTGATTGGCTGACCGCAGCTCCCGCAAAACGACTCTTCGACTCCAAATCGATCGTCCACCTTCAATAATCAATCCATCAGTGTCGCTCTCCTCCTCCCCCGTCCACTCATATCCCCTGTCTCCCGCCAGCAATGGCTTCCAAATTCTTCCCCGCCGTCCCTCGGGTCGGCCGCCAGTTCTTCCAGCGCGCCCCCAAGACTCAATGCAGACCGTTCTCGGCTGGTCCGCAACGTTGCAGCGACGCCCTTTCCGTGGTATGTTCACGTTATCTTTGCGATAGCACATTGAAAAATATTGGCGGTCGCAGCCTCCTCGGACGCCTTATCTCTCCTCAATAGGTGCAAAGAGAAGGGGAGGGCTTTTTGTGAACGTGTCTTTGCTGATCGATAGGATCCCAGCACCGCAACAAGCCGAACAACAACCCGAGCATCCCGTTCACGTTCAACGAGCAGAACCAACGATTGATCGATGAGATCCTTAAGCGCTATCCTCTCCAGTACAAGAAGGCCGCCGTCATGCCTCTCTTGGATCTAGGCCAGCGCCAGCACGGCTTCACCAGCATTAGCGTCATGAACGAGGTCGCCCGCCTCCTGGAGATGCCCCCCATGCGTGTTTACGAAGTCGCTACTTTCTATACCATGTACAACCGTGAGCCTGTTGGCAAATACTTTGTTCAGCTCTGCACAACGGTATGAGAACCATTGTCTTTTACGGGGGTGGTTTAATAAGTGTACATCTGCTGACATTTTCGGGACCAGACGCCATGCCAGCTCGGAGGCTGCGGCAGCACCAAGATCCTTGAAGCCATTACGGAACACCTCGGCATCACCTCTGGACACACCACCGAGGATGGACTCTTCACCTTGCTCGAGGTCGAGTGTCTGGGCGCCTGTGTCAACGCCCCTATGGTCCAGATCAACGACGACTACTACGAGGATCTTACTCCCGAGTCCATCAAGACTCTCCTCACCGCACTCAAGGAGTCCTCCGCCGGAAAGTCCGTCCAGGTTCCTGCCCCTGGCCCAATGAGTGGAAGAGACACCTGTGAGAACAGCGCCGGTCTGACAAACCTGAAGAACCCTGTGTGGGATCCGGAGACAATGATGAGAAAGGACGGTGCCTTGGATCAGCCTCAGCAGCAATAAATATATGACAAACCATAATTTCATCTCAAGAAGCTCCCCCTGACTCAATGCGTTGGAGTCAGGAATATCCTTTCGCGTTTCTAGTTTATTTCCCCTGGCCGGTAGACACGGGACAGGACCGCCAGATGTCGATTATGTACAGTATGCTTGTTTGATGTTTTTCTTCTGGGGAAAAAGTCAAACATGGATGGTAGAGACTACCATAGAAGTTCTTTTTAGCAGTACCCAATGCAGTTTTCGTTTTTCGAATCCTTGATATTCCCCTTACAAGGAATGTTCGCAACAACCTATGTGGTATGTCAGTTCCCGAACAGACCCAGGGAACAGTCCATGATACGTACAATAGATGTAAGATTAAACGTAAGGATCCCCAGCCCTAACAAATCAAAAAAGTACACGCCCCTCCCCGAGATCGTCAACCATGCTATCTACCGAGACAACTGAGCAAGCAGTAACCTGACCCACGGGTGAAGTCGGATAGGGTTAGAGTCCAGACCGGGTTGTACATGCCTCAGAAGCCTAGATTCTGCAGGAGACGAAATACAGTATATGGCATCCTGTGGCAATTGCGTAGGCCAATTGCTATTTGCCAATCGCCCGATGATCGTTCTGTACGGCGTAACGTGAAGGCTTATATCACACTGTGTTATACATGCCATGCCCCACAAATACACCGAGACAGCGTAGAACACTCAGGGGATGATGAGAATCCAAAGCCATGCTGGAGGGCTACTCTAAGCAAACTGATCTACCAGAACGATGGATAATAGCTGATTGCACTGCGTGCACTGTTGTGGTGGTGGAGTTGCTGAAATGTTTGGAAAGAGGAAAATTCTATTTTTGAACCAGCGATCGCTTCCCAGGGAATCAATAAAACCATATTCATGCATAACTATGGTCTGACATGATGTGGGTTGATAAGGATACCTGTTTGCGAGCACAAGAAGTGCTTTTAAAAAAGCAAACCGTGTCTCCTAATCTGTACACTTGGTGTAAAGTATAGAGACCAAGAGCCATTTCTCTCTAATCTGCCCTTCAATTCAAGCATTTCTTCCTCCAATGGCTACAAGAATCACCCTCAAGGCCAACCCAGGCTATCCGGAAGAGCTAACGCTCTCCACAACCTCAGAGACACCAGAAATCCCCAAGAAAGTGCAAAACCGCTCCAAGCATGTTCTTGTCATTGGAGGTGGCGTTAGCGGCCTGATGACGGCGTGGATCCTTCTTGACAAGGGTTACCGCGTCACCATTGTGTCTAAGGAATGGGCAAGTCTTGCGAAGCCGTTGACTTCGCAGATTGCTGGCGCTCTGTGGGAGTATCCTCCCGGTGGGTGTGGGATCACTGAGATTGAAACCCCGTTGTTCGGGTACTCGACTCTGGAGCAGTATCGGGAGTGGACTATGCAGAGTTTTGAGTTCTATCAGATGATGGCGGATCGAGATGAGCTTATGGGTGATGGTCTGGAACGGACTTCTGGAGCTGGTAAGTTTGGGGTGAAGATGAAGACCTTGTTTCAGTTCTTTCAACGGCCGATTGAGGACGAGTCCCGTGTCCATGGCCGTGATGACAGGCATTATGACAAGTATTTTGAGATGAAAACACTGGATGAGAGCGTGGATTCACCTTTCAGAGGTCAATTGAAAGTCAAGTATCATTGCATGGCTGATGTCAATGGAAGAAGGAATGTCAAATCCCAAGGGTTGGCAGATTTAGTGGACCCGAAGAGACAGTTTAGTGTTTCTTGTGCATATCAGCATGCAGCTCCCATGATTGATACCGATGTTGCCATGGCGTTTCTGATGAGACTTGTTCAAAGCAAAGGGGCAGTTCTAGAGACTAGACAAATCAGGGGTGATCTCCACCTCCACGAGCAAGAGCTGCTGAGCGAATATAATGCCGATATCATCGTCAATGCAAGCGGCATAGGAGCTCGTGAGCTTGCAACCGATCCTCAGATCTTCCCCATCCGTGGAGCAGTCAGAAAAATCAAGAGGCCGGAGGGATATCCAGTGGACCATGCGTTCCTTCTTCCGGCTCAAATGAACCAGGATGGCTCGGTGAGCAAGACAGTCTTCATTGTTCCTCGTAACGATGATACGCTTGTGATTGGCTCAATCACTCAACGCAACAACTGGCAGCTGAATCTCTCCCTTGACTCTCCTGAAGTCAAGGCGATGTGGGAACGGGCGACTGAGTTCCTACCGGTCCTCAAGGATGCAGACCACGAGGCACAGTCTCTTGCACAAGGCTTGCGCCCATTTTCATACTTGAATATCAGAGTCTCCGCTGATAGTAGAGCGAATACATGCCGGATCGTTCATAACTATGGCCACGGTGGGTCGGGATGGACTCTTGCGGTTGGTTGTGCGAGGACTTGCGTACGTTTGGTCGAGGAGATTCTGGACACAGCCAGGTCAGCGAATGCAGGAGTATGCAGGTTGCAGGAGACTGGGAAATACATACATACATAAGTACATACCTGAGTGTGATCTGGAATATATGATCTCCGCATGGATGATAATGAGAGTGGCTGGTTTGAGGAATGGGTGGTTGATATGCCCTTTCTTGTTTCCATCTTCTAATGATTTCCTTATAGTTGTCTTAACCAACGTCTATAACTTTTCACACCCGCTCTATTTCCTCATATCCGTGCATGGGTGAAATGCTTATAGTATCGGGATCTCGGTCTCCGGCAGCCTCTTGGACACCCCCATTCACCAATTTACCAACTCAACCAGCCAACAACTGTTCTGCCCGCACAACTCAAACAGGTTTCTTTTAGAAGCAAGTACATGCATGCACGCAAAAACACAAAAGAAAGAATCACGTGTATCCTAAGCGAGATTTGTCTCACACATTAGAACGCGTTGTCTACCACAACAGACATCACTTCTCCTTTCACCACCTCCCACTCCTCAACTTCCTCCCTCGCAGCGAGGGTGACCTCGCCATCCCTCTCGACCAGCACTTTCCCATGACAGTCTTGGAAGAGGGTAGTGTCGATTGTCATCCTTGCCAACAGATGATATATGTAGACGTGCTTGGTCTGACCATATCGTCTGGCTCGTCCGATAGCTTGGGTCATCGACGAATCATAGTCGTACTGGGTCTGAGCAAACATAGGTGAGAGAAATATAACGTGGTTTGCACACTGAAGGTTTCTAATATCTGTTAGTAAAGACTGAGACACAAGTTGACAGTCAACTCACAACCCAGCGGCCATCTCGCTGCCCAAGTTCAGAATCAACACTTGGTTTTCACCAAAGCCGCCGGCTTCCTGAAAGTTCTGGACCTTCTGTGCTGCCCTGCGGTCAGTTGCTATGATTGAAGTGTACTTGATCTTTGCCAGTTCTAGAGCTTTGGATGCGATATCTATAAGCTCAGGGAACTGGATGAAGAGGAGGACTCGATCGCCTGTGGGCACTACCTGGATGATTTCGATCATCTTGTCCAGTTTGCTGCCGCCGTATCTGGTGATTCTGTCCTTCTCATCGCGCATAAGAGTAGACGCGTCCATGATATTGAATTCTTTTCCTGAGCCCCGGCAGCCTTCCACGTTGCACTCTTCTTTCTGAACCGTCTTCAGGGTGCATTGTGAGCATAGGGCATGACCGCATGAGCCCAGTATGTTTATGTGGTTCGCTTTTTCCGTTTTCGTATGACAGGAACTGCATACAGCAATCTCTGACCCTGTCTGAACAAGGTGTAGTGCCTCTAAGAACCTGAGCGCTCTTTCCCGTGCCACCCACTCAAGGATCAGCTTTCGAAGATTACTCGTGACTGTTCGCAGCGTGAGCTTGAACTCGCTGATGTAGGTTGGTTTGACTGGGAGTTCTGGTGCTTTTTCTTTCTTCCCACCTTGCTTAACAGTCCTTGCACCCTTTGTACTATGCTTTGAAGCTTGTCCGCTAGCCTGTTTGCCATTCTTTGTTAGCTTCAATCTTTAATTGAATCCTTGTGAAGCCTTGTCAGAGCTTACCTCTTCTCCGGCATCGTCATTATCCTCTTTCAGCCCAGTCTCATTCTGTATTTCTGCATCAGATAAGTCCTCAGCGACTTGTGCTGGATCAGAAAAGAATAGCCTCCAGTCATCTGTCTTTGAAGTGAGCATTGCACTCTTAATGAGTGGATATATCTTTTCCGTCACAGTCTTGTCACCAAAGTCGTGCGCCTTTATGCTCTCAATGAATTCGTGGAACTTTTCATGTCTCAAGTCGCAAGCACAGTATACCCACGCAGCTTGCTTGAACTTCTGCATGAGTTCTTCCTTGAGGCACTCGAGCTGTTTCAATCGAGTCTCAATCAGGGAGCTGCAGGTGAGAGCTTCAGGTACACCATTGTGCCAGCGACCCTGCAAAGCGAGAGATGAACACCGTTTGAGAAGGGCTTCTTCACTTGTTTTGCTGCTTCCAATCACTTCATCCAGTCTATCTTCTTTATCACCCCTGATACCCTTTCTGCCACCTCGACGACCCAAACGGTTGTATGTCATCAACTGCTTGCACAACTCAAGATAGATCGCTGTCTCGACAGGTGATTGCTGGATGAGAATTATATGTTCTGATGACGGAATCTCATCAATCTCTGCGACATTCTTACGAGTGAACTCGTCCAAGAATCTCTGTGCAATATCGTGTCGTCGACGATGCCATTCCTCACTCCGAGGGGCCCGGAGCGCCTGGAAAGATTCTGCTTCTGATCGCTGCTTACGGATCATCTTAAGTCGTGCGTTTTGTGACTGAATATCGTCGTCGTCGATACCGAGATGGATGCCCAAGAAGGGTGCAATCGTATTGACATCAGCAAAGTCGTTCAGCGGCGGTGTGCCAGATAGAACCCATTTCGAACGAGCCTGAAGCTTGAGAAGAGGCACCAGTCGTTCGGGGTTCGCAAAAGTGAACTCATCAATAACAAGTCGATTGAATGAGAATGCATGGAGAAGGGGAAGCTTGACCATCGTCCAATTTTGTTGAGTGGTGTTATTTATGCCGAACTCTTTTCTATCATCCCAGACTTTGGCCATCTTAACGAGTGTACGTTTGCGCTTCACACCTTGGCCCCTTTTACCAGAGCCTTGTGTTTTCCCAGAGCGTAATGCCGTCGGAGGTTCTTCATCCTCGCTATCTCCTGAATCACTATCGTCATCCTGTTCCTTTTTCAAGGTCGTGGGGTCGATTGTCCTAGGCTGGAGTTTCAGGAGTCTATCGACCCTGGCCCGAATTTCTTCGGGATCTTCCTCCTCTTCGCTAGAATCCGACTGCTCATCCTCACATGATGACTCGGCGTGATGTGTTCCCGCTTCGGTGCTAGAATCTTGGCCTTTGCGAATGTCTGCATATTGGTCTCCCTTAAGCCTCTTGGACGGGATATATGTGGAATTAGCTTCATTGTCCTTGACTTCCTGGCGTCTAAGTTGGATCGACTCAAGCACTGCGCTGGGGCCGTGATCCACCAGGAGCTGTATCTGTTCCATCATCACCGCGTGTGCTTTAACAAACCAATCGTCAAAATTGCGGCCTGCCTTTGGCGGGACTCGCGGCATGCCGGTGAACTGCTGCAATTTCTCATAATGATTCAAGCTGTTAAAGACAGCCCAAGAGGCTAGCACGATATCTGCCTGCTGAATATCTCGAACAGTCTTTCTTCCCAATGCCGCTAGTCCGTCGATCACCAGCACACCATACGTATCCTTGAGGAACTTCGTGATCTCGGACTGCCACTGTTTGATCATGATCTTGGGCACGACGATGAGAGTGGCATTTGTGGGGATGAGGCCATCTACGGGCTCTATTTCGGTCTGCTGGCTGTGCTGGGTATCGATCAGTCCAAGAGTGATAGCTGTTTTTCCATACCCAACGTCGTCCGCTAGGACACCGCCGCGGACGGTTTTCTCGACGCATACTTTGCCTTCTGCTCGCCACATCAGCATAGGAAGGAGGGCCTCCTCTACCTCTTCTTCGATGAAAGGCTCAATATCAGCACTCTCGCGGTGAACCATCCACGAGAGGGAGCGCAGCTGCTCAGGCCGCAGATCGAGTTGGAAGTTAGGCGGTTGAGCACTTTGAGCATCGTTTCTGTTACTGACGAGATTGAAATCGGGGAACACGAGATGTCTCGAGTCGTAAGAGTTGGGCACGACGCGCCAGAAGAAAGAAGCGTTGTCAGAGACATTTGTGTTCAAGAGCTTCTCGTAGGCTTGATGCAGCAGAGTCTGGACGTTGAGCGTGACGCGCATATGTCCAGTATCATACTCGTCGACTTGACGAAATACCAAAAAAGGTGGAGGTCTGAACTTGATCTGTCGTTCGTACAGAGCTGCGTCGTGTGGATCCTCGTATGCCTTGATTTGTCCTCTCGGGTTGCGACCCCATATGATCCGGGGCTTCGCTGGTACACACACTCCACATACAGGGCTGCCTAACTTGCCCGGTGATTTGTCTTCGTTGACTGAGATCCAATCCTTGAACGCTGAAAAACCAACGGCTTTTTGGAGTAACCAAGAAACATCTCCAAGTAGTGCGGGGGATTCCACGGGATTAGCCACCTCCCATGGCCCCTTTTTCCAGAAAGAATCGACAGTGGTGGCTTGTGCTTCAAAAGAGAGAAGGGTGATATTCGCACTACGACAATCCCGATTACTGATCACCATTGAAGTGAGCGGCTTCAGATTGGAGCAAATGATGGGAACATCGGGAACACAGGAAGCCAACGTGACCGCTTGAAGCTTGATAGACTTACGATAGTACACGTTGGTATACTCTGGCTCCGGACCCAGACCTGAAGACCGCCACTTATGAGAAACTTCTGCGATAGTCGAACGAGGTGCATATCCAAGAGTCCGTTCATGCTCCAAAGAAAAGACAAATGAGTCGTACATTGGCTCATCAAGCTTTGAGGGATCCAAAAAGAAGTAGACTGCAGGAGAATTTCCAACGGCCGGTTTCTTATGCAAACAACCATTCGCCGTTCCGCAGTGAGGAAGAAGATCATATGTTCCTCGGATGGCTATTCCAAAACTTTCGATATCATCACCAGAGCCATCGACCGCGATTTGTGTCCATACTTTGGATTCAGGGAAGCCTTTCACTTGAATGCCACATTTAGCTTCAAAAGATTCCACGCGATGTCCAGTTCCCGAAAAAGTGAGCGCACACTTTGAACTGATAGGCGAGAGAATCTCCCATTCGCCTTCCAAAAGGGAATTGGGCTCGGGAGTCATGCGTGCAATCGGTTTTGAGAAAATTTCGCGAATGAGACAGACGACAGGTTCATCCTCTGAGGGCTTTGCATGGAGCGACCAAGACGACCAAGAATCACTGACAACAAGACTTATAACTCCATGCTTACCCTCATAGGTGACCGTCCACACTGAACTTCTTTTGATGTCGACAAAACGGAACTCGTCGCTCATTAATAGAGCTACAGCGTCTAAGAATTTCTTCCAGACACTAGAGGGACAATCGATCGATATGTCCGCCTTGAAGACATTATAACATTCTTGTGAAATGCCAGATATAATCAGTCGAGCGGGGAGAGAGCTTCGGAGTCGGCTGACGAAATCTAACGGCTGGGTACGCACCAGTTCAGAAGCACGCTGATAATCATGAGTCGGGTTACCGGCACAGTCTGAGCAAGCGGTGTGACCACAGAGCTTGCATCGAAATATATCGCGCTTTATGGCAGTTTGACGTTCGCACACACAGTATCTCGCACTACTTGCGGCTTGAGCTTGGATATCAGAGATGGTTACATCGGCCGTTTCGTCGACATTAATACTGCCGGAAACGAGTTCATGATCGTGACACAGCTCAAACCGTTTGTGCTTCGGAACTTCTTTCTTCGGACGAGGCTGCTGGCTACCTTTATCGAGTACTTTGTGGCCCACAATAAGGGCAGAGAGGATAGCAGCGCCGACGACAGTCGAACTCATCGCATTTCCAGCGAGTTGTTGAAGTTCCGCTTGGGTTTCGCGGGCAAGTATCAACCTATCCAACGGTAATCCCTGAAGAGAAAGGGACTCAAGTCCACAGAGAGGGCCACCTCTGGTGGTCAAATATGGAATGCCGGAGGGAGTGATACAGCCCACTATACCGTACGCCCGAGTGTCAACCTCTCGGTCGATGCCCTGAGATAACTCGATGCAACGCCTGGAAAATGAATGTTAACAAAATATACTTCAATTTCCCCCGCCGTGGGAGGGAGGGTGGGAGGCGGGGGAGAAAGGAAGAAGATTGAGTTGGAGTAGAGGAGACGTGGGGGGTAGAAGAGTGCTTACTCTTTGTGGTTCATGTCATAGCCTTCCACGAGCTTGCGAAGGAAATTGGCGTCAAGCGTATCCCAGACTCGCTCTGGCATACTCCGGAGCCAAGGTTGCCAGGTGAAATCCGGCATCTGAGAAGATCCGTCCTCCTGCGAGCGAGTGAACGGGCGACGGTGTCCCAGGCCCATGTTCATGCGGTAGTTCTGGTGCCTGACTTGGTATCGCTCCCAGCTGTAGACGGTATGCGACGCTAGCCGCGTCGCCATATCGTTCTCTATCTGCTCCAGTCTACGATCGTCAGGGTCCATCAGGAACATACCGGCCGGTGAGCTCGCAGGGCGCTTGAACTGAGACAGGATCTTGACCCAGTCCGCCATGGCCGTTTCCTCCAGACCGTGCTCTCGCATCCGCTGCCTGTCAATGCAGAGCATGTACCCTCTCTCGCGGGTTTGTGGGAGGTAGTATGCTTTGGTGTCTACCTCTGCATGGCACGCGAAGTAGTCGATGCCGCCCCATGCCTCGGCGATCTTTCCCCATGGGGCCGTCCGTACGTTTTCCAGAACGACGATTCGCGGCCTGTACCTCTTTGCGTAGCCGAGGATCCCCCAGAATGTCCCGCCGGATTCTCCGCTGTCGTCGAGGGTCTTGCGCTTGTTGTTCAGTGAAGAGAAGTCAACGCAAGAGAATCCGGCGATTAACAAGTCTGGGTTCCTGGGAACCTTCTCGAGAGAGCCATAAGCGGTTTGACTTTTCAACGACAGTTAGCGGAGATCTTGTCAAGCACGGCGTCTCGGACTAAGGGGGTGAGGCTAATGCAACAAGAGCTAAAGCAATAAAAAAGAGTTTGAAAACAACAGCAAATCCCAAAAAAAAAGCATAAAAATAAACACAGCCAGAGGGAAGGGAGGGCGGCACCAAAAAAGAATAAAAAGAGAGGAATCGAGCGAACTTACGCAACACGGTCCTTCAGTTGAGTCACATCACGAAAGAGCAGACGCGGATGAAAGTTATTATCGATATAGCGCTGCTTGTAAGGCACAATCTCTGCACTGAAAAGATGACGAAAACTGAAGTCTCGATCGAAGTGCTTCCTCAGATCTATCAGACACGCCAGTCAGGTAAGTCTCACCCTCATGAAACAAGAAAGACTAAGATGAGGGAAAAACTCACTGTCTTGTACCAACTCCAGGGCCAACAACGGACTCTCAGTCCCCGAGCAAGCAGTTACGACCCTCAGAGGCTTCGATCCAATATGCTGAAGGAACTCTCCAAGGTTAAGCTCCAGTGCTCGAGCAGTGATAGAACGATAGATGTCACTCAGTTTATGAAGAGGAGGGAGATTCAGAGCCAGCTGTGTGCTAAGCCGTCTTTTGCCAAAATGCGGTTCTGATCTGATGACTTCTGGCAGCTCAGGGTCCATGCCGACAGTCTGGGATTCGATGAGAGGAGTAGAGCTTGGACTGGCCTGTCCAGCATCGGTGGTTTGGGTGCGTCTATGCTTGGCTGCCCTCGCGGAGGGAGTAGAGGAGGCGGGTCTCTTGCCACGAGCCATTTCGAATGTATGTAGGAAGATGAAGCGTCTAAAAGAAGAGATAAATGAGGCCTTGCTGATCCAGAAAATATTCCTCTGTAAGAACAAGCTGTATGAGCCAGGGTGTATGCAAATGAGTGCTGTAGGGCACGATGCTGTCACGTGGATGAGGATAGTGAGTGTGCTTGGGAGATGAAGACATAAGAGAAGAAAACAGATTTGTGGGCGTGTGTGACTGTGCCCTAGGTGAGAAAATGAGAAATTCACTGGCTACAAGGGGTAATCGCATCGTTTAGTGAATGTGCATCGTTGCCTCCACAGCCAACTATTTGCTGTGTTGTGTTTCATGTCTGGCAGTGAATGGGATAACATATTCCCAAAGGGGGGCATGTCTACCCCGACAACGTTGCTCTCGTTGGGATACTACAACAGATGGAAGAGATGAAGACTGTGAGCTACAGGCTTTGCTTGATTTCTCCTTTATGGCTGAGTTATATCTACACAGTAGCTATATATGAATAAGAAGCATCCAAAACGCTCACGCCCCCCAAAAGCACAACAACCAAGCCCACCACAGAAAGGTCGCTGGCTCAAAACCACTCTTTCTTCTAGGATAGAGCAGCACTTTGTACCTGGTCAGTAGTACCTGGCATTACCCCGGCCTTTGGTACCCACAGATCATGGAATCTTATGATCTCTAACGTCCATCAAGACGGAAAATTTCCAACTGTCAAAAGGATCAACCGTTCAGACAGAAATAAAAGGATACTAAACTGTAAGTACTGCAAGCATTATAACCGGGCTAAACGGTTGATGTGCTTTATATATCCGCTATCTTGTTGGCCCACTTTTATCACTTGCACCCTTGAGGCGACCTGAGAGAAGTTGGAGAATGTTAGCTCTATACGTATGCTGAAATTTTACCCCTGGTTATGTACCTTGTGACACTTGAGTGAGGATATACATGAGATTTTCAACAAACTCTTTGATTGGGTAGGAGCAGTTATCCAATTTTGCAAGACATCTTAACATAATTACCTGGCCGTGGGGCCGATTAGCAAGATACGGAAACCTGAGGTTGGTTGTGCTTTTACTTTCCGGAGATCATGAGTTGGCTTCAAGAGTCAAGTCATAAATAATATGCTAAGGTTCATCTATGTAACAACTATGAATCGCAATCCAGGCACAGTAATGATAAGGGGGGATGATGTGTGAGTACAGCAGAAGCTGAAAGTAAGCTAAGTAATTCTTTTGATGAAATTATCCGCCAGGGTGATTCAAGCAATTATGCAAAGTCTATACTTGCAGAATCTGGATCATTAATTTAAAGTCGGGACATCCGTAGACTTCTTATCTTTGTCAAAGAGTCATCCGTACTAGAGCTCTTTGAAGCAAGAGATTCCATAAAAGGGCCCATTAAGCTGCCGTCGCGAATGGCCTCATAGATGATTGATATCCAAGATCCAATGGTCTTTTTCGAGCGACCGTTGAGGGTATCATTGTTAGCTGTCGGGTGCTCCACGAAGCCCAAGTGGAAAGGAACGTTGAGATCTCGGCGAACAGTGCGGTAAAGAATCTTAGCACCAGCGCCCAAGAACTCTTCGGTATTTTGCTGATTGAAGAATGCGTCTGCCGTATCCTGGTACGTCTTGTTGAGAAGGGCGGCAGCTTGGGTTTCCCATCGATTCAGATCCGAAAGGCCTGGGCCGCGCTTCTCTTTCAGAATATCTAGTAGTGTAGGAATAACGTCTTTAACGGCTGCTTGCACTCGCTCAGGTATACCCTGACGAGTTGTTGTCGACCAGCTTTTTGCGATATTTTCCCATAGGGATTCGGTCAGATTTGCAAGCTCTGAGTTTGATAGGTATGAGGAGAAGAGATCCGATGTAAGCAGATGGAGTTGGGGTTTGACGTTATCGAGGTAGGTCAAATGTAGTACTCGGAGATCCAAGGCCTGGCATCCAATGTACAGACTACAAGCGCACATGAGCGACACTATTTCGACTGCTTGCATGGTGTACCGACTTGATACAAAAGCCATGGAGTTGATAGATTGGTTGCGCATTTCCGCTGCTTGTACGTGCGAGCTCACTGGGTTGGCCAGATAAGCCAACTCTGCCATGTATGAGGCCATGCTGATATCGACGCCTTTCATAGTGAAGGAGAGACTTGGGTCATCGGCGACAAGATTAGTAGGAAGCCCGTTGCTAAGACTTGGGTCGACCAGTTCAGTAGACTGAGAGAAGAGGAGCCTGCCAAACATCTGAAGGCACGATCTTGTCTTTTCCATGGCAGAAGTAATGGAAACTGCTTGGAAGTTGCCTCCGTGGAGAATATCCCCGGTCTCCGGGTCTATTAGCGGGTTATCTGTTGTTGAGTTAAGTTCAACGGTGACTTGCTTATGCGCAAGCAGGAGGTCTTCTAGCTGAGGCCCGATCCACTGAGGCACACATCGAAGCGCATATCTATCCTGCATCAAACCTTGGCGAGTATGAGCCTTCACACCTTGAATACCCTGGGCAAGACGAGATCCCTGGAGGAAAGAAAGGATATTCCTCGCACATTCCATTTGGCCGTCATGAGGACGAATAGCAGAGATGAAGGGATGGAAGCTCTCAGCATTACCCATGAGGGCTTCTAAAGCCACAGCTGAGATCGCCTGCACTAGCACGACCAGTTGATGAGTCTCGTACATAACGAGACTCGACAGTGCTGCAGAGAATGAAGTGCCGTTGACCAGACCTAACCCCTCCTTAGGACCTAGCACTTGAGGCTCCATACCGGCAGACAAAAGTGCATCTCTAGAAGACATTATCTGGGGTTTATGAGAATTCTGTACGTGAACATGCACATCGGGATTGCCTTCGATCGCGCCTGCAATGTAAGAAAGTGGAATGAGATCTCCAGAAGCAGATATGGAGCCTCGTAAAGGAACAACTGGTGTGATGCGACTCTCTAAAAGCTGCAAAATGGACTTCATCACTGAAAGTGTAACTGCAGAGTGGCCGCGGGCGTTCGAATTGCACCGAACCAACATGGCTGCTCGCACCCAGGGAACGGGCACAGCATGTGAATCCAGGCGACCTTGTCGCTCGAGATCCACATTGGTATCTTTATCTGAGGCGACTAGCACACCTGCTTGCAGAAGCTGGGAGAGTCCAGATTGCAATGCGACCACTCGATCCGTTCGAGAATCAGCACTGCCGCCGAAGCCAGTATTAACACCTTCAAAGAGTATCAGTACGCCCCGTTCCAAAACACTTCCAATCAAAAAGAGGCACTGACCGTAAACGTGATAGCCCTTGTCCAAATGGTCTTTCAGCACCTGCACGCTTGCTTCAATCTTTTCAAGGACACCAGGATCCGTAGTGATCTTGGGTATGCAGCCATAACTGTTCAGTGTCAGAATCACCCAACTAATTGTCACAAGGTTTAGAGGATGTACTACTTACTATGCTACTGCTACTATAGCAGAGATATCAAGGCTAGATCCGTCAACGTCAAATGTACCATCTTTCAGCAAATTCTGTAGGCGTTGACGTGCCTGATATGCAGTCTGCAGGTGGGTCTGGAAGTCACTCAAGTTTCCCATGTTCAACAAGTCCATTGTTTCCTCAGAATAAAGTTTCCTTTGTTTGATGTGACAACAGCAACTTCAGGTTCAGGAGGGCTTTAAGTAGTTGTTTGTCACAGTATTTCACCGGGAGTGTAATCCGAATCAGTTGTCACGCAGCCTATAACCATGGAAGACAGTCTCACAGCGTGCTGATGACACGGGTCGATCGTGAGCTAATGCGAGACTATTCCCTTGTCGCATCTGATCGGCATCCTTGGATGCGGGAATTCCAGTCGAGAGCTGAAACAATCGACTATCTCTAGAGCGTGGTTGGTCCTTCCTTCTAGTCTTGGCTTGTCACTAGTGGCTCGCGTACTCTCTAGCTGCATAAGCGCTATGAGGTATATGATACATATTCTGTACTCTTGATGGAATGCTCAGCCAACTGAAATGTCAGTGGGAGGGTATGCGACCCCAGCCTAAACGATAGGGTTCAGGGGATGTTGATCTTCACGCGCTAGGATCTCTAGCTGAACCAGACTTTCTGTCACCACAAAGATAGACTTCCAGGAATGACCAAAGTTTAAACCTGCAGAACGTGGCTGGGGTGAATGAATCTGGAAATGGCCAGAGACAGAGAGAGAGAGAGAGAAAGAGAAACCTCGCATTGGGGAATGTCGGTCAGCAAGGCAGGAAATAATCGAGTAAAGTGGAGGATCTTCCATTTTCGGACGAAGTTGCATTGGAAGAATCCGCTTGACTCCGTTGTGTGACACTCGAATCCTTCAGCCTAGCTCCTTTTTTTTGTGTGTATCTTTTCTTTATCTAGATTTGGATCTCGATAATACTCTTCTCATACTGCGCAGTACATTAAATTTACGTGAAATCTGTGTGGGTGAATTAATTTACGTGGTGGCGTAGGGAGTGGAGCGAAAAGGGAACAACCGAAAACAATCAAGATATGGGATATCTACTACTATCAATAGCCTGTACTAAAACGAAGTATACATTCCCTTGCCAAATCACATGAACCATCTTGCGCCTTCCCATTTGTCATTGGAACATAGAAAGAGGCCAAAAAAAAAAAAAAAAGGGACAAAAGAGGAAAGAGTAAATCAAGTATGGAAGTTTCAAAAGTACCAAAATCATACAAGTCCGTTGATCTAGATCGATCTCGCTATGTCATCACCGCATGGCACCTTGCATTAACTGCTGTCGTAGTAGCATGATTTGATTCCGTTCCATCGGAGGTAGTGCGTCGATAGCCGACTGTGGCATACTGAGTACTTGCTGCAAGAGTTCGTCTTGCCCTGGCATTTGCTGCTGAGGCTGAGGTGGTGTGGAGACCGGACCGGGTACGGCTGAGAATGGCTGAAAAGACTGCGCTGCGGGGGGAGCGGCAGCTGCCGCTTGGGGCTGGGCGGCCTGTTCCACCACTGTTCCTAACGTGCCGTAGTCGACAAGGTTCATCAGGAGCAGGGCCTGGAATATAGCGTACGCAAGTTGAGGGGCTTGCCGCAAAAGTTCCGTAGCGCGTGCCGGGTCAGCCATGACCAATGACTTCATCTGAGAGAGTACATCGAGGAGTTGATTCGGAGGGAGAGAGGAGAGTGTTTGGGAGATTGCGTTCGGGCAGTCTAGGTGCGGAGGAAGGTCCACGCCCGGGGGAAGAGGCGGCAGAGGAGCAGATGACTGCTGTGCACCCATCTGTCCATCCTGTCCCGGTACCTGAGACGTCTGTGAATAATCTGGGGGTATCGAATCCTTCTCGTTGTTGTGAGGCCAATCCACGCGAATCTTCCGTCCCATGACCTCATAGTCATTCAAGTTGCGAACTGCGGAGGCGGCTGCATCGGCATCGGCGAAGTCTGCAAACCCATATCCTTTAGGTTTTCCGGTCTCGGGGTTCATCATCAAACGAAATTTGGTTACTGTGCCCGCGGAGCTAAGAATGTCTTTAACTTGCTCCTCCGTGAGATCTGACATTGGGCGTTAGCGTCAAGTGTATGAGGACCTTTGTCACATGGAAGCACCTACTGTATGGGATGTTTCCCAAAAAGACACTCTTTCCGGCTCTTTCAGGAGGCGCCATCTTTGCCGGAGTATAGACAATCTGCAGGCTCTTTCTACCGATGGGGTGTTAAGACGTAAAGACCCAGAGTGCAAATGGCTCGAGGGCGGTTTTAGCAGGAGGCGGAGGTTCCCACACACTTCCGACTCAAGCGTAAGGAATATCTTGTATCACAAAAAAAAATTCGCGGCCTACTCTTAAACCCCAGTAGACAATTTGGTGTAGATGGATTAAGTTGACGGGCAGCTTTACTGGAAGCTTGAGCTTTACTTGAAGGCGGTGACCCAAACGGACGATTTGCCGGAACATCGAAAGAACCTCAACGCCGGCTCCGTCACATCATCTTCTCTCATATTATTCTACTAATCTCTCAAACCACCATCATGGCTCGGAACCCAAGGGAACAGTGGGAGAGACTCCAAGTGATTCTACAGAACCGCGGAAGCCGTGGAGGGTTTGGCTTCGGCGGTTTCCCCTCCGGTGGGGGTCGTGGTGGCCTGGGGCTGTCGGGAGCTTTGATCTTGCTCGGTGTTGGTGGATGGGCTATATCAAACTCCCTCTTCAACGGTGAGCATGTCGGAATCCATTTATTTGTTCCGGTAATATAAACAAAATGGCTGACTGAGGCGGTTTCCAGTCGACGGTGGTCACCGTGCAATCAAGTACTCGAGAATAGGTGGTGTTCAGAAAGAGATCTACAGTGAAGGTATGCCGGCGCAAATCTTCTCTTTTCGTCTTCCTTCCATCTCTTCGATCCCGTGCTAACTATTTATCTTCACGTCAGGTACTCACATCAGGATTCCATGGATCGAAACGCCGGTTATCTATGACGTGCGCGCGAAGCCGCGGAACATCGCTTCCCTCACGGGTACCAAGGACTTGCAGATGGTGAACATCACCTGCCGTGTTCTATCAAGGCCCCGGGTGGATGCTCTTCCACAGATCTACCGTACCCTCGGACAGGACTTCGATGAGCGAGTCCTCCCTTCGATTGTCAACGAGGTCCTGAAGAGCGTTGTTGCGCAGTTCAACGCTAGTCAGCTTATCACCCAGCGTGAGAATGTCGCCAGGATGGTTCGGGATAGCCTCGCTCGCCGAGCTGCTCGCTTCAACATTGCTCTGGATGATGTGTCGCTTACGGTATGGTTCCCAAACCTTGTAGGGATCTGAAATGTCCAAAAACACTGACGTACTCTTTGACAGCACCTGACCTTCTCCCCTGAATTCACCGCCGCTGTCGAGGCCAAGCAAGTCGCCCAACAAGAAGCCCAGCGTGCTGCTTTCCTGGTTGACAAGGCCCGCCAAGAGAAGCAAGCCTTCATTGTCCGCGCCCAGGGTGAGGCCCGTTCCGCCGAACTCATTGGTGATGCCATCAAGAAGAGCAAGAGTTACATCGAGCTGCGTAAGATCGAGAATGCTCGTCAAATTGCCCAGATTCTGCAGGAGAACGGTGGCAAGAACAAGCTGTACCTGGATTCCCAGGGTCTGGGTCTGAACGTTAACGCCAACGTCGAAGACTCGAAATGAGAAATTCTCTCTGGAAAGGAATAATGACAAAGACGGCTCCCCGCAGATGAAGTTCCTGGGGAAGCCTAGCTTCGCTATTATATTCAGTTGGTTGCATCGGCCCTCATTCTCACTGGCGCTACTGATGTCGCTTTGGAATGGACGATTGGGGGTGTGGGATAAGGTATCTGTACAAATAGTTTCGAGTGATTTTTAGGATTCTCAAAGCAATCGGGCGAAATGTTTCTCTTCTCTTTCAATATGATTTGACTACGAAATACAATAATCATCCTGGCCATATTCTCTTGGTAGATGACCTGGCGTTGAGTCTCTGTCTATGCTCCGCGGAATGCGATTGGCTCCGCGCGCGGAGTTGAACGCGGCGGGCGGAAATTTTATATCAACGGCGGGGAAAAGAAATATTTCACTCCTACACTTCAAAGCCGACTCCAACTCAGTCGCTCCAATACAAGGAAACCACTGGTACCTCCCAATTGCCCACCTAAATTCCCTATACAAATAAACCCCTCCCTCAACCAGCAAAAGGTAAGCCCAGCCTCAATCATCCTACCACTGCCCCGCACCAACCCCAAAAACCCAATTCAAGCACATACTTAAACCTTAGAGAGTCAGGATAATCTAACAAGCAATCTAGATTAAACCCACAGAGAAGGAAAACAAAACAAAAGAGAAAAATAAAATGACCGACCCAACGACAGAAATCAACGTCGACCTCGACGTCCAAGAAATCCTCCTCGCCGCCTCCCAACACGACATCCCCAAGCTCCGCCAACTAATCCGCTCCAACCAAACAATCGCAAACCCCGTCAATGTCCGAGACCCCGAAACCGGGTACGCGCCGCTGCATGCGGCCATTTCAGCCTGCGAGCCTGACGACGACGAGCCGAACGGCGTCCAGACCAATGGGGCGCAGACAGATGAGCAGAAGAGCGTTGTGGAGAAGGGCTCGGCGACTGTGAGGTTTTTGCTGCAGGAGGGTGCGATTTGGAATGATCTTGATAATAACAATGAGACGCCTGGGTGTGTTGCTAGGCGGTTGGGGTTGGGCGAGTTGTATGAGCAGATGGTTGATGCCGGTGTGCGGGCTGAGTTGCTTTTGAATCGGTTGGATGGGTATGAGGAGCTTGAGGATGATGATGAGGAAGAAGAGGAGGAGGGAGAGATGGCTGAAGCTGGGGCTGCAGAGGTGGAAGTGGAGAGTGAATCTGTTCCTCAGTTGGTCGAGGCGGCTACAACTACTACTGAGACGGGTCCCGATGTCACCAATTCCCGATATCTTGATTCGAATTTGACATTCCAGAATGACCGCTTGCTGGACCAGGATCAGAACGGTGTGATGATGGCTTGGGAGTCGGATATTATGGCCAAGTCGGCGAAGAAGCTTCTGCCTACACCTGGACTGCGTGTTCTGAATGTCGGACATGGTATGGGTATTGTGGATGGCTTCATCCAGGAGCAGTCGCCTGCAGAGCACCATATCATTGAAGCGCACCCGGAGGTTGTCGCTGAGATGAAGCGGAAGGGCTGGGGTGAGAAGCCGGGTGTTACGATCCACGAGGGCCGATGGCAGGATATTCTCCCTGACTTGGTCGGACAGGGAGTTATGTTTGATGCCATTTACTACGATACATTTGCCGAGTCGTATGGCGACTTCCGGGAGTTCTTCAGTGAGCAGGTCATTGGACTGCTTGAACAAGAAGGGAAGTGGAGTTTCTTTAACGGTATGGGAGCAGACCGACAAATCAGCTACGATGTCTATCAGAAGGTGGTCGAGATGGACCTGATGGATGCTGGATTCGATGTTGAATGGGAGGAGATTGCGCTACCTAAGCTGGACAACGAGTGGGATGGCGTGCGCAGAGCATACTGGCAGATTGAAAGCTACCGTCTGCCTCTCTGCAAGTATATGGATTAGAAAGAGATAGAAACGATTTATGTTAGAGACATGCCAAAATTGAAAATAATAGTTGAACATAGTTATATCTAGTGCATATAATGCTTTATATTATCCTGTGTATGATACGGAGTAGAGAGAAACCACACTCAAACACGCTCTTCATCAAGAGACACCGCTCCTTCCTATGTTGACCATCTTATAGACGACAACCAGTGGAGACCTTGCTCCTGAATTCACTCTCAACATTTCATACTATTTTCCCGAAGACTCACCGCAGCTAACTGCGTACTTTATAATACAGGATAGAATCCCGTCTACGCAGAACCCCCAATATCACTGTCTACCAAATAGCATAAATCCTCTTGATAATTGGCTAGACAAAGAAAGCAGCTTACTCCAGTCCGTACCAATACCTGAGACTCCCCCATCACTTCAACTCCACCAGCCTCTTGCAAACGGGCTCTATCTCAACACCCCTAAAGAAAAGAAGCAATGTCCACCTCCCCAATCCACTACATCCCCCCAAGCAGGGCCCCCCAAATCCTGTCCACGAAAATCCTCCGCATAATAGCAAGCCCCCACGCCCAAGTCCCCGTCGAAACAACCAAGAGAACAAACCACTGGTCCTTCTACTTCTGCACGTCAGAGACGACGTGCGTCGCCCTGGACTGTCAGCCTAGTCATACCGTGCCCAGTAGTGTTTTGCCTGGTGGGTCGAAGGCGTATGTTATTTTATCTGAGTTGAGGGCGCCTGCGGGCCCGGATGCGTTGCTTGAGTTTGCGGTCGGGGTGAATGTTAGGGCTGGGTTGACTGTGGGGGACGTGGTGGATGTTTTGGTGGAGAGTGGGAGGGAGAGGTATGAGTTTGATGCGGATGGGGTGGGGTGTCGGTTTTGGGTGACGGAGGTGTTGGAGTTGTTGCTTAGGGTTGGGGTTCTGGTGGATGCGCAGCAGGTTGAACGTGGGAAGGGGATGGTGAAAAGGCTGTGGCCTGAGGGGATGGGTTTAGATCTGGATCGCGGGGCGTATTACTAGGGAAGAGGAATTCTTTGGTTATGTTATGTGATATAATTTCAATTATCTATTGTTTCGTTCGTGAAAGCCGATTAAATGAATATCGAACTGGACAAAAAAACACCAGACACCGTCCCTGCCCTGGTACCCTCGAATCCATGCGACTGACTCAATATACGCTTTCCCAGATTACATACAAACTGTTCCGTGGCATCATGATCCCATCATTTGATTACAGAAGTCGACCTCCAATACGCCGGATGCTCCGTCGTGCACCCTCCCCTAGAACGTTCACGTAACCCTCCGTCTCCAGCGTGCGGACTGCCTCTGTGAATTGACCGCCATCCACCTCGCCGCTGCTCTGCTCAGTCAAAGCACGATAGACATCGCCCCAGCGAGGAGTGGCGCCTCTGCTGCTGAGCTCGTCGATCACCGCGAGGAGACCACGCTTCAGGGCCTCCCGCTGGCGTCTCTCGCTCGCGCTAGTGCCCTCAGTGAGCAGACCCATGTCAATCAAACCTGTCCGCGAGTCCGTAGCCGCCTGCTTAATGGCGGATCGGATCAAACGCACCGCCTCCTCAACATCTTTTGCGGTCACCTCAAGCGACAATCGCATGCGTGCATGGGCTTCTGACAGTCGGATCATAGACTCCAGTTGACGAGTGGTCGCCGTAATTCTCCGATCAGATGAGCGGATGTCGTCTCCGAGCTTGCGCATGTTCACATATGCATCCGAGAGAGCTTTACCAGCAGCCGGGGTAAGAACGGGGTGAACCTTGGTCTTGGCGTAAGTGATATATGCTGTCAGGAATTCAATGGGCTGCAAGTTTGCAAGTTTGATTAGCACAGTGTCGGAACCACTGGGTTCGAAATTCATTACTTACCAAGACTTCTTCGTCGCTTGCATTTTCTGGCTTGTCTTCCAGATACATATTGACCAGATGCTTGGCCAACCGACGATCTTCTTGCTCATCCACGCGATCCAAAACCAAGTATACCAAATCAAAACGGGACAGCAAGGTAGGTGGAAGGTCAATGTTCTGAGGAACGGGCAGATTGGGGTTGTATCGACTACCAATAGGGTTCGCGGATGCAAGGATACTGGTTCGAGCATTCAACGTGGTGATGATACCTGCCTTAGCGATGGACACCGTCTGCTGCTCCATGACTTCATGAAGGACAGACCGTGTAGATTCGTTCATCTTGTCGAATTCGTCAATACAGCAAATACCACCATCCGAAAGTACCAGGGCACCAGACTCGAGCACCATCTGACGCGTGTCAGGATCCCTAGTCACGTAGGCTGTGAGACCGACAGCGGAAGAACCTTTGCCACTGGTGTAGACACCTCGAGGCGCGATCTTGTGGACATAGCGAAGCAGCTGGGATTTCGAAGTGGACGGATCACCGCAAAGAAGCACATTAATGTCACCGCGGTAGCGTGGGTTACCACCCTTCTGGAAAGACTTGTTGGTGCCTCCAAACATCTGGAGTAGGATACCCTTTTTGACATCATCCATCTCATAGATGCTAGGGGCGAGAGACCGAGCAAGGAGTTCATATACATCCGGCCGGCTGGCAGTTCGCCGGATCTTTTCCTCTTCCTCGGCCGTGAGTTTCCGAACCTGCTCAGAATCTCCAGCCGCCTGCTCAGACAGCTCTTGTTCGATGGTAGTCACGTCGATGCCCAGCTTCTTACGATCGATCTTTTGCACGTGCAAGACATCAATGTACGTCTTGAAAAGTGCCTTCTGCGTCCGTTGGCGGGGATTGACGCGCACAGGGTTGCAGCGGAAGATACCAGTCACTTCAACTCGATCACCAGCCTTACAGACATCCACCAACTCATCGTATACGCAAAGGGAAACAGAGTGGGGAGTTTGACCGTCGGGCACACTATCCGGCGTTTCTTGCAATTTGATGACCTGCTTGTCGGCAAAAACACAACGGTTGTGAATGATCTCCATGCTGTTTCTTTGCTTGCAGGCAGGGCGTGGGCAGATGGTGGGCTCCGCGATCTTTCCACGATCAATATCGACTTGGACGCCGTGATTGCAAGCCTGGCAGCGGAAGAAGGCTAGAGAGAAAGTTAGCCAGCCTGGACGTAAGAATGTCGTACTGCGAACTCACCTTCTTTCATATCCGGGATGATAGGTGTCGCGCGAATGACAAGACCTTTGATACTCACAAGCTTGTCCATGTCTAAGGTGTATGTTAGCAACTGAATTGGTTCAATCGAGAGGCGTATATATTGAGCATACCGGCTGGATCTAGGTCTCTCATGTTCACACTAGAATCAAGTCCGAAAGGAAGAACTTTAAAAGCCTTTGTCTCGACTTCGCCAACAAGATCCGGAATTTCGGTCTGTGGCATCCGACCAGTCTCACTCATGGCATCCGAGCTTGGGACTGCGGGTGCAGAACTGAGATTCCTTGAGTGCGACTGGTTGCGTTGGTTCTGAGTCCGCAGGCGTTCCATCTCTTTGATTGCAAGTTCCACCATAACATCCTTGATAGTCTGATCCATCAAAGGAATAATCTCCTGGGGATATGCGTGTAGTTGATGCCACAACTTCAAGGTCAACGGGTACGCTTTGAGGTTCTTCGCATCTAGATTCAAACTAGTCACACCCAGCTGGCGCATTGTGTTCAACATGCTGATGTATTCTCTCTCCTCTGCGGTGTCTCCCAACCTGCGGGTTTCATCTTCTGTTGCACCCTCGGCCCACAGACGATATTTAGTTGCAAAGTTGTAGAGAAAGTTCTTGAACGCGGACATAGAATCTTGAATAGAGATGTTGGTACCCCAGATAACGCGGGTAGAGCTACCACCCAACGCATCCGCCTCCGAAGTGCCGGGGTGAATGTTCGAGAAGGTTGCATCTGACTGTGGCTCTCCATCGGCGGCAGGTATTCCATTGGCGTCAACAAAGACTCTGCGTCGTCGACTAGGTGTAGATCCAAAACCACCCGAATGGAGATCATTGCGACGGGACACGACATTACGATGGCCGCCTGTAGCCGAGCGTTCTGAGACAAAAAGAGCACCACTGCTACTGCTAGGAATATCGGAGCGTCCTGGTTGGAGGCTACGAGCGCGAGTTGGGCTAGAGCTAGGCATGTATCGGATCGGGGAAGAGTCTGCAAGACGTGAGCAATCAGCTAGTAAGTAGGAGTTCTTGTGGTTGTCGTACCTGCGATAGCGGTACGGTTTCCCCGTGGTGTAGTCTCCTCTTGGTCCATGGTGGATGATGCCCTGATAGGAGAGCTGGGCTCATCCATTCTCACATCTGGTGTCTCGGCGCTGCTGCTATTATCTTTGGCCGGGGAAGACTGATAGAACATCGGTGATGACGAAGGAACCGCTGCCTCACCCCTTAGACGACGAGAAGCGCGGGGAGTTGTTTGTGCATCTGCTACCCTTGGACTGCTGGCCTCCGCCCTGGCTGGGCGACCCCTACGACGAGTTGAAGTCGGAGAAGACATTGTGAGTCGGTCCTATTAAGTGAATTATCGCAATTGGATGGACCGACAAAATCAAAATATTGGGGTTGCTGGGGGGGAGGGTGGTTGAGAAGGGTTTGTTTGTACGGAGTTGGGATCGATCAAGTGGAGTTTCAATTTGCTAGATTCTTCGTGGATTGCAGGACGCGTTCGAAACGCGTTGACGCGTTAAGTGATCACGTGGTATACGAGCTGACTGGGGTCAACAAGATACTCCTCCAATTATTTTAAAATCGAACACCATTTCAATATATGTTTCTCTGTCTTTTCTTTCTTTTGACCGCAAACAGGATTTTTTTCTATTTGTACAGGGGCCATCATTTGACGTTTTTACTCAGGCCGGTAGCAGGGACTTTCATTGTTCATACAGCTGTGAAAGAACATAGTTACGTGTATATTTTCTCGCCGTATTTAGAGCTCTGCCCCCATGTTCCATCGTAATCCATGAGGACTTGCATACACAGCCAATTGTGCCGTCTTTGCATGAATAAACTCGCCCGATCCTGTTAAAGATTGTGGCGCAACCAATTAAAAGTATCGATCTCTGGAAGAGGAGTACCATGTGACGGTCTATATTACGAGAGTTGTGTGCAGCATAAATTCTAGCGAAAGAGATCAAAGAAAAGCACAAACCCACGATGGCGACTCCGACGTAGATAGGTAGCTGGCACTGCATCCATGATTGGTAAAATATTGCTCTTTCTGGTTAGAGCATTAGCCACATCCTTCGCGTGAATATTGGTCCCTGGTCCCTTGAAAGGCCCACGGTTACCTAGTACTTCTACCGCACCGCCACCTTTGTTTATCCAATAAGCTGTAACCGCCCAGGCCCCTTAGGGCTGGATCTATACCAAGAACGGTATGGCTCCATATCCCTAATAGAGAAAGTATCGACATTCAAGATCGTCACAAAACGAGGAGTAAAAAGAGACAAAAGGGTTGGTGTCTTCCCAAATTAAATTGGCATGCTGCTTTAACACATCAGTCATGCGCTGTCCTTACCGCTGTCACTTGGGTAGGGAGGTAATGGAGAGGACTGTCCATAATTTAGTGGCATAATCCTTCAATCAATTTCAGGGGAAGTTGAAACACCAAGCAAGCGCTGGACCCCAGGCCAAACTGCTAGTTTCAGCAGGCGCCTGATGTCATTCTCGGTGGACGAGATCCGCCCAACCCCAGCACTTTTCCCACAAATCGTGGCGCTTCTTCCCTGTTGACTTGGCGGCGAGCTAAACGATGAATGGTTGATTCATAACACCGTCAACGCCGCTACTGTCATGCCTTTATATACTCTGGTCCTCCAAATATCTTCGTCTTTTTCTTCGCCGCCCACTTTTGACTGTGTATCTCTTTGCAACCAAGGCAAAGGGTCGGTGTCACTCTGACCTCATCCACTTACACACTTCCAACACGATGCGACCCCAGTTTTGCAGTTCGTGACTTTGAAGCTGCGGTATTATCAGATCCCATACAATTAAATTTGTGGAGTCTTGTCGCTACCTCTATTTTCTCTCATGA